CAAAAAAAGAGCCTTGATCATGGCCGAAAATGCGACTCCGGGAAGCGCGAACAATGCCAGCACCGACAGCTCACGCGGAATGCCCTTACTATGAGAGACTGCGACGCGACCTGCGCGAGTCACTGAACAAGAAGCGCCAAATCGACAACAATCTGGTCAGTACAGCATATGACGCGTCATCGGCTTTTCCCTGACGCCCATTGCAGCTACAACTCGAAGATAATATCTTGCGAGTCGAAACGCAGTACCTTGAAGAGACAAGCGCCGGAAACATCATCAAGGGCTTTGACAACTACATCAAGGGCGCAGCGACTACGACCGCAGCCGGTGGAGCTGGTACTGCGACTAGGCGAAAGGCTCCGATTAGTGATGCGGACAGAATATTCAGCCGGAGCTCGACCAGTTTTCTGAGGGTACGTGGAGCGGCCGCAAATACAGTATCGCGACCTTGAAACCCCACGGGAGCAAGGAGTCAAGGCCAGCCGCTGACAGCGCTCTCCAGGAAACTTCGACACCGGGCTCAGCAACAGCGACGCCATCGCACGCTCCTACACCCACATCGTCCTTCCCTACACGCGAGTCGAGCCAACCTACAAACGGTGCGAGGCCTGGAGGAAGTAAGAAGAAGAAAGCGGCTGACGAAGACGATGAAGACAGCAACAAGACGAAGCGACAAAAGATCTCGTATGGACGAGAGTGAAACGCCAATGCAAGACTCCGATGTCGCCGCACCGAGAGGCGGCCGGTAAACAACCCACCGAAATTACGCAGATTACAAGAATTGCATTGAAGCGAGTAAATTGCTCCAGGCAAGGACGATTGCGCGTCCTATGGGTCCCGACACACAGGATCCATCATGTATATCAACAAAATAGGAAGGCACACAAGGCATCGGGTAGAGGCCCGAAGCTGCGCATGTTCAAATGGTGGATATGGTGGATACCATGCTACAGCCACGAGCCTTTGATACCGTTGGTAGATCGGCTTTAAAACGCGGGGGTTGGTTGATCTGGACATGCGATCCACTTTATGTAAGACGCCTGCCGACTACCGTTGGGCAAAAACGCCTCTGTGCTGGCAAAGCGGTGGAGTTTGGTTGATGCTTGATTTGTTCCTTGCTCGAAGTGGTTGGAGGGATGCGGTGGTGGCGGTGGAGGTGGAGCATGTCTTGGCGGTTTGGTTACACGCACGCAGTGCAGTGACTGGCGGCTTCATCTCAGCGAGAGCGGGAATTGTTATCCTTTGGGCAGGTTAGCATAGTGGGTCCATGCAAAGGGAAATGTCTGCTGAACGCGTGCTTGTCCCATGAATCGTTGCGGAGGATCTATGTGCAATCAAGACATAATCAAGGCGAATATGAAAGCTGAATGGTAGTAAAACTGACCCCGCAGTCCGGTTAGCGCAAAAGGCCGCCGTGCGTTGAAGCACATGAGCACACACTTATGTGCAACACCCTGCTATAACATGTTTTGGAGTGTTGCAGAGGCCCATCATTTAATTAGGCGAGGACAAACGCATGCACCCACGGAGGACTATTCTCGATATATTCCAGAAGGACGGGGATTGAGATTGACAGCTCAGCCATTGTCGGTTAACCTGAGACGGTAGCGGGGCGAGGACAAAATGTGCAACTGCACTGCTTGCGAGGCTGTCAAGTTGCCAATCCAAGGATACCATGGTAATAACACGACCGGAAGAACACATTCGCTTGCATGCTTGCGCTAGGACAACGGCTTCGCTTGTGCGCGCTTCGCCTCGCTCCATAGTGCGGGATGTGGGCAGTGGCCGTTGCTTAACAGAACCAAGGGTGATGTGCTTGCAAGACAAAGGAGTCGTCCAAGGACGGCGACTATACCGCAAGTCTGGCTTGCATGGTGGCTGAGAATAGCATTTGTTTGCCATGGTGCCTCAGAGACCGAAAATAGAGCAGCCGGAGCGGGTGGCGAAGCATCAGAAGAATGGCGGAATTCGTTCTGTGTATCACAATGGCGCGCCGAGCTGCCCAAGCTCCGCCCACTGACACTGCCAGCGGACAGCAGAAGCAAGGCGCGACACCAGTCGCGGAGCAGCGTCGTCATGTTTCCGTAACGCCTCAGGTTAGACGGCTCAGCCCTGTGTTTCGAGGTGCTGTAAGTCGTCGCGTCCTTGAGTCGATCTTGACTGGAAAAATCGGCGTGCTGTACACGCGCTAGAATCTCATCTCAGGGCTGCTTTCGGTCCGGTGCGCATGCGCAGTGTGAGACCCACCATCCCCAAGCGAAACCCGTATACTTAGAGACACAGTGCGGACAGATGCGTCAGAACAGAAGGACACCCGACAGCAGTCCGACCGGTGCGCGCGATGGAATGAAACACGATGATGACATGGTCTCGTCCCGCGCAGCCTCGCAGGTCACGCAAACTAGGCGACAAGGCTCGTGAAGAAAGGGGAATGGGCCACTAAGTAGGGGACAAATGATAGCATTGAAAATGATTTGTGATTTGAGATGAAAGGCAGTCCCAAGCTGCATCGGCAAACATCCCACTCGCTCACCGATGGAGGGAGTGGATAGGATCCAGTTTTCAGGGTCCAGCAACAACTAGCAAGGGGGTGACGATTCATGACATATGCCAAGCCAACACTCTAGTCGTAAGCCCACCGCTCACGGAACGCCAGATGATGGCATTGCGGAGACACTTGGTCGTGACTTGGTCGCGTTGGTCAAACCGGAACCAGCCAGCCCCCGTATGACGGAGGGGGTCGAGTATTTGGTACCGAATCATAGCCCTCTTCATGCCGTCACATTGTCAGCTGGCAACAAAACGTCAATGGCAAAGGAAAAAAGGACGCAAAAGAGGTGTGGAACAAGGGTCTTTTGATTCTGCCACATTCTATTCCTTCCGCCGCTTGTACGACTCAGTGTCGTTTCGGCTGCCTTTTAGGCGTGTGCCCATTTGTCGGACAATACTACTATGCGCGCGTGCTGCAAGCTACTACTATACAAACGTCATTGTGCGAACCAGTCGCGCCCGACTCAGCGCCGGGCAGCTGGCTGCTAAAAGAGAGTCTAAAATATTAAAAGGGTATAAGCGAATGATGACAACAAGCTCCATGACGACCGTGGGACAAAGCCCAGCCGAGCAAAGTTGTGGATTAGGAAGAATAGGTTCGGGGGGGAAAAGTAAGGCCGAAACCCGGTGAGACAACGCGTAATGTTACAGTGGTGAAAAAACGCCCAGAAAACGAGTACTCGTAAAGACTTTCGAGTCGCAACGCCGGAAAACGCCGAAATGATCCCTTTCGTGGGTGAAGGAACCATGTGGTATCTCAGAAAAACCAGTGGTACGCAGCGATGGGTAGAAGAGGAATAGTGAACCCAGCTGGCTGCCCTTCAGTCTATGGTCGTGACTAGAAATGCGCGACGGTGGTATCTCAAAACATCAGGTGCTGGAACGGGGGATGAGTCAATGTATGATCCAGAGGAGCAAGGGCGCGGAACGGAACGGTTGGTTGGTTAATTTAGTGGTCGACGCTGTCAGGAGATGGGTGGTCGATGCTACCGTCGTTCTTGTGTACTTTTCGGTGCCTTCTTAGGTTGGAGACAACAGAGAAATGGCGACCGCATCCGTCAACCTCACAGGCGAATGCTATGATACTGTTAGTAAGATACAGAATGATTGTGGTGGGTAAACATACGCTTCTCGCCTGTGTGGCTGTACATGTGTGTTTGCAGGGAGCTGGGTCGTGTGAAGCGCTTGTCGCAAATCTTGCACTTGTGCTTCTTTTGCGAGCTGGATGAGACCTTTGAGCTGAACTGGCTCATCATCGATTGCGGCGCAGGGGGCATGTTGGGGCCCAACAGGGTGCTGGGACGAGGCAAGGTGCGCGAGTTGCTCATGTCGACGGATTCGGAAGCGGAGCTGTAGTCGGTGACGGATCCCTCGCCAGCGTAGTATCCGTTGGGGACCGTAGCTGCCGGACGAGATGGACGAGTGTGTTGAGTGAGTCGAGGGAATCCATACTCAGTGGAACTGCGGCTGGTTCCTTGGGAACCGTAGATATTCCTGGGGGTAATGTCTGACTGGCTCAAGGAAACCATGCCGCGGCTGGCATCGAGCGCATCGCTGAAGCTGGTGCGCGGTTGCTGTGAATTCATTCTGCTAAAGTCAACAAGTGAACTTTGGCGCTGGCGCTGAGACTCCACGGATTCGTAGAAAGCTATTGAGGGGACTGACGGGTGTGAAGATCGGCGGGCCGCATCCTGTTGGTATGCATACGGGCTTCGCTCAGTGTTGGCATATTCCACTTGGGAGTAGGGAGCCGACGTGGGAGCATATGTTTGGTTTGATGGTGAAGCAGAGGTAACGTAACCATTAGGGTAGCCTCGCGACATCATATCTTCGGCATCAAGTAAGTTTTGTGTTGCGAAGTTGGCATCCGGGAGAGTAATACCTTGTCCCATGGGAGGAGCAGTGACTTGCAGACCATGGTAGGGGATGGCGATGCTAGTGGGCCGCTGTGGCTCTGCGGGAGGAGCAACTGTGGTTGAGTACATTTGCGGTTGTGGGGGACCGGCAGAGACCCATGGGTTGGTGAAATGTGGTTGTTGCGGGTAGCGCATGTGGTCGTAGCCCATGCCGTTTAGTTGGGGTTGTTGACGATTGTCGACTGCCATTGCCATTGCGCTGGTTGGGTGTTCGGTGAGGTGAGGATGTTGTTGGGTCGAGGAGAGGTGGTGATACAAGAGAACAAAGGCGCGTGTAACAGTAAACACGCAACTTGTAGATCCAGAGGTGAAACGAGGTGTAGTCGAGGGTCAAAAACGTGGAGACAGTCGATCACAGGTACTCAGCGGTGGGATCTGCGACCTTTTGAATTCACTCTGACACTGGGGACTCCCGTGCAGTGGTAGTTCCGGGTTGGGAAATGATAGTCGCTATGGTATGTCGATCACTTGACCTGTACTAAGCAGGAGCCGTGGCGATGAACCAGCGAGATTGGGCGTAGGGCGAAGCGGGTACCAAGTGTCTGAGTGGCAGACGCTCGAGCGTTTCAAGTCAAGCACAGTGCTTGGGGGAGCAGGTTGGCCAGCGGGTGCAGGGCGGACCGTGTGGACTGGGTTGCGTGTTGCGTGTCGCCGTGGGAAAAGTTCGGTAACGTTATTCGCTACAAAAGCAAGCCAACGACCAAGAAGGAAGGATATGGGGGTAAGGATGATGAAAGCGGTATTGATAGTCTGTGTGCACGCGTTATGGGCAAGGCACAAGGTCAAGGTTGTAGGCAAAGCTTAGAAGGGGAGAGAGATGATCAGCGGGCATCAACCGGGGAAGACGTGTTGATAAATTCCGTTGCTTGGAGGGTTTACGTCTTTGGGTTCACAGCACCATCATCATAGGCTAGGAGCCAAGGACAGGAGCTGGCAAGACTGGCTTGAAGACCCCGGACGCACCTACGTCGTAGCGACAGGGGGAATCTTGCGCTAGCACCAGCCTGCGCACCGCTGCTTTTAGGCGTGTGGGTGGGCGCGGCGGCCGTGACTTGAGAGCCTGCGCTGTATCCGCGCAGGCACAGGCGCCATTTAGCATGAGCAGTCCATGTGGATGTGGATGTGGATGTGCTTTGCTCAGCTGCTCTCGATGACGGCCCGCAGTCTAGCATGGATAACGACGACGACAACAACAACAACAACAACAACACGGCCATGACGGTACTACTCGTGCTCTTCTCATCACGCTCTCCACTGTAGACTGCAGACTGCACATTGCACACTGCGTCGTCTCGGCAGCTTGGATGTCGGTATGAGGCCGGTGGAGGGCGTCCCCGCTACAAAGGGCCCTCATCATCGCAGGCCCGGCTGCGAATCAGCGGGCGGTAGGCGCGGGAGGGCTTTTTTGGCTTTTGTTTTGGCGTGCACCCACCAGGCCAGGGTCGAGTTGGGGCATCAAAGCAGACTAGCCTGCTCACCCACAATTGCATGCTGCCGTTTCGAGCAAGTCAGGCTAGCCAGATGCGAAGGAACAGGTGTGAAATGCTCCGCAGCCGTGCTGACTCGGGCGGGCAGCATGTGTGCCCTGCCCGCATCCTGGAATCAATACTGGCCCCGACTAAGCATTGCTTTCTGGCTTTGTCGATATCATCAGTGGGCGACAATTGCCAGTGCAGACCAACGGCCGGCTAGCAGCAGCCTTGGAAGCCAACAAAGGGACCGAAAAAGCCGCTTTGTAAGCTTGCCGTTTCGAGCGTGCATCGCGCCGGACAGTGGCCGGCATCACTGCTTTCGTGTCGCGGAGTCGGACCGCTACCACCATTTTCACGCGCTCCACGTCGTTGCGTAAACTCTCTCAGCGTCTCTTTCACTATCCCTTAGCGCTGGTTCCGCACGCGTCTGCTTCTCCACGGCGCACGGCGCCTTGTGCGAAAGCGCCCGAAGTGAAATTACTCCCACGTCCCCTGAGTACGCCTGTGCGGGCAACCTAAGCAATGGTCAAGCGTTTGATCGCCGTCCATGTTGCTTTTGATGCAAGACGTGTGTAGCTTAGCCAGATAGCGGGTCACGAGGGCTGAGGCATACACCTCAATCTCGGGAACTGCCATGGGACACATGTCCCGCCCAATAGGGGCCGAGTTGTCGAGTCGCTGTACCTGCTTCGCACGGCAATGCGCCCCTCCGTCGTTCCACGCTGGGCCGAACGCTGAGCAAACGCGAGTGAGCATTTTTTGGCTCGCGACAAGTATCTAGGACGATAGGACGATAGGACGATAGGACGATAACAACGCTCGTCATGGCTAATATGGTTAGGATAGTAGGGCTGCACTTTACGGGTGTGGAGTAGCCGCAGCCAATAGACACACTTGATGCCGAGGCCGCACGCTGTCTATAGCGAGCAGCCACTCTCTGCCATGGGGAATCTCTGCCCTGCCCGTTCAGGTTCGTGTCCACATGTCTTCGGCCTGTCATTGAGGCGGATGGGGCTGGCAGGGGGCAGACCATGATGAGAGCCAAGAGGCATCTGTATTGTACCGCCCGCTGACACGACGGCCGGTGAGGAGGTTCAGTTTTCAGAATGTCGTCATAGGGAGGGCTGCGTAGCGGCGCCACTAATACGTCTTCGCCTTGTTTCATTGGCGCACCACCTAAGCTGTACCTGGCGACAGCCATTTGCATGCAAGGTGATGTAGGAGCGGTCAGGATGCGGAGTATTTGCCGCCCGAGATGCAAGCACATAGAGACATTATCGTCGTCGTAGAGGCAGGACCACCATGCTAGGCCTGCAACGCGCATTGGCAGCCGTCTCAACCCGAGACCTAAACGGCTCACGCAGAGCTGGCAAGCCGGCCGAATCCAAGGCTTCGGAAACAGCCATGATCCATCTCACCGCTGCCACTGCCGTCTGCGGTGCTGCTGAGTGGCCGCGTCTTGGGGCAAAAGGCCCGCCTTGCATCGCGACCCAGTGGGCACTTTGGGCACGCACCAAGTTCGAAATTCCCCTCACTCTGACCCCCCGCGGAGCCTTGTCATGCAGGGCAACATCTGTTGGAGCAGCGCCATCCCGCTCAACATCAAAGCAGCCACGCAGCCATTGTCCACAACAAAGTCACAAGAGCGCCCGGGGGTCCACTTGGTTCAGCGCCTCTACCTAGCCTCAAGCACGCTGCCTTTGCCCGTGCGTGGGCCGCACGCCGTATCCTTGCTGTGAGAAGACGTTGTTGTCTTGACGAGCTGCGGCTGTGACAAGGCTACATTCTCCCAGCTTGCACATCATCAAACCACACGAGTCGAGAGCCGGTCAGAACAAGGTCGGCATTTGCACATTACTAGCAGGCCCTGCATTCGCAAGCCGTGCCAGATGATCAAATTTGATTAGCCGTTGCTGTGTGCACTGAATCCTTCGCCTGGTTTGCCAAGTCAAATGGCTTGCTCGATAAGCTTGGGATGGGGGCGTTACTTTTTTATTTCCGAAATCAAAGCCTAGTCTCGCAACACGAGGCGTAGTACGGGCAAGGTGTGGAGACAGTCAAACTCGGCTCTCAAGCCCTAGGAGACATGGGCATGTCCACGGGTGCCGGTAGAGGGTGTAGTAGGAGTGCAACATGATTCCATTGCCTTGGAGATCATCCATAAGCGTTCCCCGCGATCTGTACAGGAGCCGGATTTGCGGCTCTGCAAGATGGATCAGCGAGCTGATCAGGTACGCATCGTCACATCATCAAATACCTTCCTTCATTGTTGCTTGTGCGTGCTCTGCCAAAACGTGGTGCGGGTACCATAACCCGCAGCGCCCTTGCCCCAACTAGCTTACCCAACACATCGCCTCACCTACTACCAATAGCGCCCAAACAAACTCTTACTAGAGAGTGGCAGTAACTGGACCGAAAGGCTACCACACATGCCCTAAAGGCAGCAGTGAGAAAAGACAGCAAAAGGAAATAGTCGGCGAGGCAGCGAATCAAGTCGTCCCGACATTCTGGTACATTAGCCAGCAAGGTCTTTTCAACTAAAGAGAAACTAGTCACGGGCAGCGTTGCATTTGCTCCCCCATCCAATCACCAGCAAGCTCGCCAAGCCCACGCTACAAGTCGGCAGCCCGCAGCCTACGAGAGCTGAGCCCGCCCGATGTAACGTTCGTTGAAACTGCGGGAGTAATGCGGGCTGTCATGTTGCCAGCCTGGGGGGTTGGCTGCGTGGCCCGAGTCTGTGCCGTGGCAGAGCGTGTCCAAGAGTCAAGGTTCAAACTCACCATCACGTCTGCTGAAAATGCCACAGTATGATCTTCACAAAAGTTCCCGCTGTCTAACGGCCATGGTGCAAGATCTTCGCTGTCAGCCCCAGGAATTGGGTAGGGCAAGCATGGGCTCCCTCTTCTTTGGATAGGGGTGGCTATATGTGAGTGGCAAAAGCGTAATATGGTTTGCAGATCAGAATTTTCTTCTTCCCAATGCGTAGGTCCACCATCAAAAAGCTACGTGAGATGCTACCCAAGCGTCTCTCCTTTATGCAGAACGCGCAACAAAAGACGCGCAATGCCAATGCTTGTAGCATGTTCGTCAATATTTGACTCGAGTTTAATGTTGCATGCTAATCCTTCGATCGCCTTGCAGCACTTTTCTCGGCTGCCCAGCTTCTGATTGGTCGCTTCTCATGTCCAAAGCACCTACCTACTGCAACAGGACAGGTGCAGTTCCCCTTTCTGACATGCTATCGCGTGGCGCCTGGCCCTCGTCCTGTGAATGGTAGGCCTAGCCATGGGTACCATCCGGCCTGCTGACATGCCGTGCGAATTAAGTGAGGCGGTGTAATCGCCGAGCAATCCGAAATGTCCAACCTAGAGTCTGTGCGTTGGAATGTCCATGTCCCTATCGAGCATTTCCATCGCGGCGGTCCAGCGTCTGAGCGCACCTGCACGACTTCACTCTTGCATTGCAGACTGACCTTGAGCCTTTTGAGCGCTTTTGGCGTCAGTGCGTTGCTGTCGGAACCGCACTTCCTATCACCGACGCCCGAACGGGAAGGACCAGGTGACTTTGCGATGTGTTGAGCCTGCCATTCATCTTGAACTGGCGGTAATACTCTCGGCACCATCTCCAGTCGTCGATTCATCGGCCAACACTCTCTTCAACGATGGTCTGTTCACTCTCGCGATGGCGGGAATGCTGTAATACCGGGCGCGCCAAGCTCGATTGCCTGTTGTTGCTCATGCTGTGAGCGTTGTTTGTCCCGTTTGAGACGACTTCGTCTGGTGATCCCGTCTTCCTCGCGATGGGTGTATCCCCGTCTTGTTCGTGAACTAATTTCTCAATGTTTGCCTCTGTCAGCGGCATCGACGGTTCATTTTGCGGTCCCTGAGAGCTGCTATGCCGGATAAGTTGCGGGCCTACCAAGGAGAGAAGCTTCTCATCTCGCAATTTCCTGTCTCTTTCTTCCGCGTGGATGCGCCGCATAGCCCTCTCACCTTCGTTTTCGGTGGATCTGGCAAGTGCTGTGTCGCTTTGGTAATGGAGGCGGTCAAGTTCTGCGGTCAGTGCCTGCGCCGTTGTTTCAGATTCCACCGATATACCAGTTTTGCCTAACTGATTCTTTTCGCTAAAGTTCGTTTTGGGACTTGGGATTGCGACGCTGTGTCGATCATTATCCGTAGTGAGTGGCTTGTCCTTGGCCGTTTTTCGCCGTCCTTCGAGCGCCCACTTGACAAGCATCTTCGAACCATTAGAAGATCCACTATTGGGCTTGTGGAACGAACGTACCTTCTCCAGTAGCTTTCCTTTTACCGGTTTAGCGAGATAGTCCTGTGATCATGTCTTAGTATCCTTCACATCTTCATGTAGTATTCACTATCAGCAGACACTCACATCCATTCCACAGGAGACACATTTCTCCTTGTCACCTTGGATTGCACTGGCCGTCATGGCAACAATGGGGACGCCTCGAATCTCGGGCATGTTCCGCCATGGTGCTTCTGTTCGGATGGCATGGGTAGCAGAATAACCGTCTCGAATAGGCATCTGCATCCGTGTCAGCAACTAATACGGGTGTAATTTAGAACGCGCCTTACCTGCACATCCATGAGGATGATGTCTGGGCGTGGATGTGATGGGCTAAACTTTTGGGTCAAATACTCCAGTGCCTCTTGTCCATTCCATACTGCATTGACAGAGAAGTGCAGCTTCTTGATCGTCTTGAGTGCAATTTGCTGATTGATGTGACTGCATACTTGTTAGAATGTGAATTGCAATACATGTCGTAGCACACGTAGAATTTACTTACTTGTCCTCGACGACCAAGATATGGACTTGCTGTCTTTCGCTCTCTGAGAGACTGATGAGATGGTCCGGAATGCTTGGTTTGATCATTGGGTATGCCGAATTTCCATTGGAAAGTTGTGGTGTCAAAGGTGGTGTGTGACCTTCTGAGCTGCCACAAGAGACTGACATGTCACTTTGAAGCCGGTCTGGAATCGATTCGAGATGCACAAGCGGCGATTCACCGTCTTGTGATGGAGCGCGCATGAACGGTATCCAGAATGTAGCAGTGGTGCCTTGACCCAGTTTCGAGTCCAGCCATATCTGACCTTTCATGAGTTCGACCAAGTTCTTGCTGATGGTTAATCCCAAGCCGGTACCGCCAAACCGCCGAGCTGTGGATGAGTCTGCCTGGCTGAACGGTTGGAAAAGCCTCTTGCGCACCTCCTCCTCTATTCCAATGCCCGTATCGACCACACTGAAGTTCACCGTAACCATATCCTTGGACTCCTGACTGATCATGACTGAGAGTTTGACGGTACCCACGGAAGTAAATTTGATGCTGTTCGTAAGCACGTTGGTCAGGATCTGTCGCAATCTGCCTGGATCTCCCATCACTCGCAGATCCGCTTGCACCTCATCTTGGATGGAACTCTGGTAGTCTAGACCTTTCCTCTGTGCGGCAAACGACATCATCTTGTTGACATCCCGAAGAACTACGCTCAGGCTGAACTGCACTTCTTCAACATCCAGTCTTCCCGATTCAACTTTGGAGAAATCCAATATGTCATTGATTACGGTCAGGAGGCTGTTTGCAGATCGGTGTATGTTTTCAGCACAGTCTTTCTGCTCATCGTTGAGGTTCATGTCAAACAAAAGCTCGCTCATGCCGATCACGCCGGCTATAGGTGTCCGAATCTCGTGCGACATGTTGGCCAAGAATTGGGATTTCATGCGACTCGCTTCCTTTGCTGCCGCTTCGTTGGCGAGGAGCCTCGAATTTTCCTTCTCCTGTTCCTTCAACTGTTCTTCTCTTTCACGTAGCTCTGTAATGTCCATCGAGACACCAATGACACCGTCGACAAAAGCGTTTCCTTCGATGCCTGCTGTTCGAGAGGCGCTCATGAGTGGCACTAGGCGAGTCCGGTAATAGCGAGCTTCTGACATGTATCCCCCGTTCACGATTTCATCAGACTGTTTCCCTTGGAGAATCTCTTGGATCGGTCCTTGCCAGCGCTTTCGATCGTTGCCGGTCAGCTCGAATACGTCAAGAATGTTTCTTCCGAGCAGTTCTTTCTTTTTCATGCGTTCATGAGGTGTAATATCGCCCTCAAGGACCTTGACTTCGTTGTTGCGGTCGATGACCCACAGAACGATCTTCGCGTATTGGATAACTTGCTGCAATTGTTCTCTCGTTTGTCGTGCTTCTTGTCGGGCCATTACCAGGTCATGGATATCAGTGCACGTGCCAAACCACTTGACTATTCGTCCCGAGTCGTCGTAGAACGGCAGGGCTCGCCCTAACATCCATCGCCACTCTCCATCGTAGCGTTGACACCGGTATTCCGTGTTGTATTCGTCGCCGGTCTTTAGCGAATGGAACCAACGCGGAGCAGTTGTGGCCATGTCGTCTGGATGGAATGGTAGTCTCCAACCTTCCCCGAGGGATTTATCAGGAGTGAGGCCCGTGTAGTCGTACCAGCGTTGAGAGAACCAGTCATGCATTCCGTCAGGAGTAGTCGTCCAAACCATAACCGGCATGAAGTTGGCGATGTATTCGAATTGCTTTTCGTTCTCTTCAATCTGTGCTGCAATTTGCTTGGTGTATTCAGTGATGTCCTTGAAAATCACTATACCACCAAGAAAATCTCCAGTCTCATCGTGAAACACTGGTTCTCCGTTGATCTCATACACCATCCGAGTTCCCGTCTGAGGATGCCGCATACCGATCCGCCGCTTATCAACCCTGTCTCTTGTGCGGCAGACCTCGATGATGGGAAATTCGTCGATGGCCAAAAGGCGCTGGAAGTCTTCAGTCCAACATGAGAACTGGGAAAGAAAATCCCTTTGGTCGCCAGGTATATACGATGCGTCGCTGGATAAGAGTCGAAGAAGAGCCTTGTTTGGTATACCAAAGCTCTTGTCTTTCCACATAGCTGTGCAAGGTTAGGCAATTGTTAAGTTTTGAAAGATGAGAAAACAACATACCATACGCGGGCATGGTAATAGAATTCAAAATGGCGTCTTTGAGCTGGGTTGCCTTTTGAAAGACCGAGGCAGAAGCAGCCATGTCGCCGTTGCCCTTGGTAGGAGGGCCACGAGGAGGAAATTCTGGTTGTTGTAGTGTAGGTGTGACTACTTTGGATGCGCCATTCGAGTTACTGCCTGAACGGCGACCTGAAGAAGTGCTTGAACCAGAGCTGCGCGACTTGTCAAGATACGCCCCCGTGTTGGTTCGATTGACCATGCGGCTGGAAGAAAGTGTATTTTTTGCAGCAGTCGTAGCTGTTGCACTCGTGAATGTCAGCGTATAGTATTGCGTGTCTTCAATACTCCATATGGAGATGATGCAAGATGCCTGCATGGCTTCCTTGTATGCAGACTTCCTCTCGGACCTTTGCAGTGTGCCATCAGGACCTAAAACAAGTGGTGCAACAACCACATCTACTAATACATCGTGCACTGTGGTTCGCGCAAGATTGGTGGTACTCAAAGGCGGTAGAGATTCTGTGGCTTGTTCGTTCGGTTGGTAGGGTGCTTGCGTGGCAGTTGGTGTTGTGTGACCACTCCCCATGTGAGAGTCTCCGTCTTCATCTAAACTGCTTGCATTCGAATCTTTTATCACGCACTCTAGGAAGTCCTGCACGGTTGGGCGTCAGCAAGTCTGACAACCTCTGGCAAAGACATGAAGTCTAAGACGAACCTCCCATGTGATTAGAATTGGAGAGCCATTTTGTAGTATATCTACACCAAGTTCACCCATGGTTTTGTCTTGTAAGACGTCGGATATGGAAAGGTCATTGATGCTTTCAAAGCCAATACCGAACAAACGGGCCATGGCTTCATTAGCCAATATGACAGTCTTCTGCGATGATAGTACGAGGATAGGGACTGGCAGGTACTGCAGTGCAGTGAGAGACGCCATGGTGGCTGACGGCGCCGCAAGATGCATTGACATGTTGTCGCTGTGTATGGAGCTTGGCGAGGCAGATCTGCATCGCTCTCCCATGGCAAAGTAACCGCCATCGGCGGATCCGGTTTCGGCCATTCTGATTACGATGTTACGGTGGTGCGAATGTGCAGTCGGCCCAGGATGGTGATGCGATTCGCGATTCGCGATCGGTCTTCGGCGCGGGAAGAATGGCCGTACTGCCGAACGGGGACGGAAAATAGGTATCGGCGCCTCAGTCTGAACATGCCACAGCAGCGACAGCAGAGTGACGGGGTCGAAGATGCAGCGAGACCATGGAGAATATTGCGCGCAGGCGTCGTTGTGGCAAGAGGGAAGGCGACGGAGCGAGTCTGAGGATTTACAAAGTGGAGGACGTGTAGAGTGAATAGGCGGGCAGATCGGTTCTAGGCCTGACAATCGATAGGCGCACGGGCGGCAGTGAGGACATGGAGTGCAGGGCACCGTGAAATGTACTGTGGGTTCCCAACACAGCCTCTCTTCACATGTGATAGACAACAAAGACACGAGCAGAAGAATGGTGGGCAGAGTCAACTACAGTCTCTGCCTGAAGCTGAAGGAGTTCTAGAACGATGCTTTCGGCCCGGGGGACTGGCATGCGAATGACGCAGATTGTGAAAGACAGGCCATGAGACGGCGCGCCTTCGTCCCGGTTGAGGTTACCTCTCCGAGCCCTGCGATTCGACGGGGAACGACCTAGTTACAATCTGGCGTGAGGACAGGCGTTCGTTCCTTTGCCCGTCCCGCTTTGGCATGACGATCATCTTGGGCTCCGGGAATGGTTTTCGGCTAAGCATCTCCCACATGGTCAACATGTGCAGACGTATTGAATCACTCCATGATGCCCGACCAACTATTAGGCTATGGATGAATGGACAAAAAGGCCGTCAGGAATCTATGCATCTATTGCCGTGGCAAGCGATCCACGTCGATCGAAGACATCGATGACATGGTAATGTTTACGATTGACAAAATGTTTTGAAAAGGGAAGGTCCAAAACAGGAGCCCGACAAAACCCGTCCTGCTACATCTGGAGTCTTTGCATATGCGCGGCCCAGGAAATGATCTTCTAGCTATTTAGACAGCTGACTAACGAATACGAGATGCGCCATCTGCAGGGATGCCACATGGATGCGGAGGATTACATAATCCCGAGGCTCCAATGTTGAATTCACCAACGACAGCTGTCTTTCTAGTAGCCTGGACCTTCGTCAACTCTAGCCATCTCGTCGCGCCCAAACGTACACAAACCTAAATTCCACGTCTATTCGGACATCCAAAATGTTCTTCTTCGGGCTTGGCGGGTTGTTTTATGGTAATCAATGTCAAGATGCATTTGCCAGAGTAACTCGCTAATACGCGCAGTCGCCGTACTCCTCACCAACGCCATAGCAATCCTCTCCGAAGACCGCTTCCTTGCACGTAGTACGTGAAATCCCATACAATTCATTACCCAGACCGCAACTCCAAACGCGCATACGCCATTCCCCGCTACACACGAGCAATTGGACTGACAACCGACAGTTGGATGGACAGCATCTGCAGAACCCGGCTTCCACGGTCAACGCGACGACGCGAGTATCAAAGCGCGCTTGATAAACCTTGTCTCTTCGGTACGGACATTGATGAGGAGTATGTGTACCCCTCCAAGCGGCCGTCTTCCCCTCATACATCAAATGGGCAGGGTTAAGATGAGTCTTGACCAGGACAGGCAGGCTGACAAATATACAGTACCACTGATGTTTATCAATACTGCTATGATAGGGTATTTGTTAGTTCTTGGCTGAGCGCGGCGCATATGGAGTCACGGCGTTTTCAAAAGGCATACATGCGGCGTTTGGCGCGGTACCTGCCGTGTGCGGGCTTTGGTATGAAAGCCTACAGAGAGGCTTGTAGTTGTACAATCTGAGATCTCGTGGTTGTCAGTTGCTGCAGCTTTACACTCGATATTCAACTATTTACTCACCATCTTCGAAATGACTGCTTTGTCGTGTGTGTACAACACTTGCCCCTGGCGACATATTATCTTGCAGATGGGGCCGAGTTGACAGTCGATATTAATTTTCAGCATACTTGCTTGATTACCCATGTATCCAGGATACATACGTATCGTCCCAACAACAAATTACCATATAGTCAGTCGAATCCCCCCAGACATCCTCAAGGGCAATGAGGTTGCATTATTCGATATGGTACTGGTGACTATAAGATACAGCTGGAAAGATTCTGGCAAGCGTTGAACTGGCGGGCAATCAGACTACACACACGGTTCCAAATGGGGGATTCAACGCGCCTTCCCGCCGGGTCATCTCACTAGCAGTATGATACCAGAAGAACGGACCTGTAGCTACGGAGCCAATTCCAAATCATGTAAGCACCAATAAGTATCACTACAGTCGTATTAATTTCTTCGCTAACAGATATAGAACATAAGCCAACGCTTCAATCCCCCTCTTTTCTTTGCCTCCAGAAATTCGAAACATGATTTTCAAAGAGGTCTTAGGTAGCTTTAATCCATAATGTCAAAGTGTCCCAGTGTGTCTTCCCCAGGTGAACAACAACAGCTTCCCACTTTCTTGATCTCTTCAATATGTTGGATTGAATGAAGTGGGTTAGGTAGCCGCCCCTGCCTAGTGGCTATCAACGATAATATCTAGCTCCTTATCCTGATAGTGTCCAAATTACACGATCCACGACGACAGCCCGAGCTCCAAAAAAAAACTCGTCTTTTACCGCATTTCGCATATAACATGGAGGGTGTCAACATGTATTGATCTCTATCTACACCTTTCTCTTTTTCAACTCGCGAAAACTTCACATGAAAATTCACGACTCGTCAATCGCTGCTTGCACTAATGTCACACGCAGATGCAACTCTCTTTGCACAAGATGGTTACTCAAGAGGTGTTCATAATATCCTATCGTCCCTACAGCGTACGCTTTGTACGACCTTTGAAAGAAGAAGAAAACAGAGAACTCTTGAAAACATAGGTATACAACTATTTGAACAATGGAAAAGGCCTCCTGCAGTATAGAAAAAAGGTACAAGGTAGTGTACGGGGTCTATATAACTCCCATGGTCTCTTCTTCCGAGTCCCTAACCTAGACCATTCCTTTTGGCTTTCGTCCGAAGCCATGTATCTGTCATGTGCACATATTTCTCCTCTTAAGAAGCAGCCTTGACTTCAAGGGCGCCATTGGCGCTCTCCTTGATCATTTGCGTGTCGCCCCCTCCTTCGCTCTTGACCACAGGTGTGGCTACCCTCTCCTCGCCAAGCACCTCTGGCCTCCACCTGATCAACAGCTTGCGTGCACTTGGCTTTGCCCTATCATTCTCCACCCACATCTCCGCTAGGATGTCGACCACAATCTTTCGAACAGGTGGCCTGAACATGTAAAGATAGTGCAACGCGTTACACGCCAGGTCGATGCGTTCAGGATCCTCAGCCATCTTCTTGAGGCGCACCAGAATGCTGTAGTCAATAGTGGGGATTTCCGAAAGGAAACGGAGAAGAATCTTGTCTGTGTGCTCAATGTATGGGAGTATGCCATCGATGAGACGGAGCGCGCAACGGTGGTAGTTTCCTTTTGGTGGTTTCGACTTTGTGTGGCCGTTGGACGAGCCATTTGTGGCAGAGTCTTCGGCGGCTTGGCTGAGGACCATGTCGTTGTACCATTCCTCATTTAACCAAGAGATAGCGACGTCGATGCGCTTCTTCCAGTCGTACATGATGTACTGGTACAGTCCATCTCTTACAGCATCGCTGAGTTTTGTGTTGCCCTTCGCGCTCTTGACGGCGTACTCATCCTTGATGCCTTCTTCAGGGTCATCAAGGCCAGCACTTGCGCGCGTGGCCAATCTTGACAGTATAGTGACCCATGCGTCTCGAGTGTAGTCGATGGCAGCGAGCCGATTAAAGCCGCCTTTGTTGGTCCTGCTCTTCTGCGTCTCATCTACACTGCTCAGCATGCCGAAGGCTCGTTGTACAGTCATATCACCGTACTTCTGAACATCCTGTTCTGATAACGGAGGTGCCTCGGGCAACTTGTAGGGCGCTAGCGCCGTGGTTGGTCCGGACTGAGACGCGAAAGGATCTGAAGGGACGCCGTCCATTTTGTTGATGATCTGTTCGGCATCTTCAGGCTCGAAGTCGGGTTCGTATTCTTCTTCGTCTTCTGCAGCAGGAGCTGTGGGTGGCCGTTGAGGTTGGCTTGCAGCGGTCTGGCGGAGTATCTGGTAACGAGCACGCACCGCCTGGGTATACGTTAGCAGATGCTTGGATGATATAGTCGTTTACATGGTTGACCCAGGTCCGAGGTCAACTTAAGAAAACAGGAAAACATCACATACGTTGATAGCTTGCTCTAGCTTTACTGGGTTGACTGACTGCAGAACAGGTATGACAATCCTTAGCAATTGCTCCGGATCTCTGAAATTCTGCACGTCAAAGTTTGCAGTGCTTCCTTCAGAGTTCAGAGTATACAGTTGTCGCCAGCTCACTTCACCGGGCGGTAGCGGTTGGACAGATGGTGTACGGCTTGGAGGTTCAGCGATCAATCGCTGTCTCTTGGCTTGATCAAGTCCATCAGTCGGTTCACTAGGAGCTGGGCGTTTACGGTTAGATTCATCAAAGACCTCCACCCGTGTGCGATGCATGCGCTCCAAGAACTGCTGTATCCGCCCGTTCACTGGGTTTTCAGGATTTCTGCGTGTGTTAGTATGAGCAGTGCGGTCAGGGGTAGGTGCAAACATACCGCTTCATGATGTTCACCAAGAGCGCGCGTGTGGTACGCTCAATCGACTTCATGATGACCTTGTTCTTGGGTGTCATGGGCGAATTGGCAAGCTTCAAAGGGTTGAAGTTGAAGACACTATTCATGATCTTGTTTGCAGCATTTGGTCGGCGATGGATCAACATGCCCAAACTATTCAGCGTAGCAGTCACGAGAAGGCCGTCACTAGTGCCTGTTAGAGGTGTACCATCAGTCTGCGGCTGTCTATCTAACCTGTGATCTCCGTGTATAATGTCCAGCAACCTGTCTAATAATCCATGTCCTTCAGCCTCGAGGCTTGCATATGGTATGAGAGGATGATCGCGCGGTACGAGAGAAAGGGAGATGTCGTTGGGATCGGCTCGCTGCAAACATCAGATGACTGCATATGTATTTATTTGGGAACAGCACTTACCCGGGGGTCTGCAATGCCTGGTGTCTGTACCAGAACGACTTGCTGGAGAAACTTGACGCAACATATGCGCACACCTGGAGCAGCTGTATCCATTCGGCGCAGGATATTCGACTTGATGCCAGCCATGAGCTGCCACTTTTGCGCATCGCTGGGGTCGGAGACACTGGGCACAAGCAAGTATGAGAAAATGTTCGTATAACTGGAGTCTCGTGCATGCAAGCTTAAAGGGACTTATGGGCGCGCATTGCATATTTGACACGAGGGGACTCTATCTGATGCCTGGAGGGGTAACTTACGTGTGTTTGTAGACCAGCGGGTACACACTCGCGGCCGCCTGGATGGAGCTCTTGATGACGCTCTTGTCGTCGACATTGTCAAGGTAGGCTTTCAACGTAACAAGCACCGAAGGTGCGTTGTTCTGCTTGATCTCTTGGGGCCAGGTTGGCGATGCAAAAGCCTCAGCTAGAAAGTCGGCGCCCCATCGCTGAATGTCGACACTCTGGTCTTCACTGTAGCCGATGATGGGAAGCACGCCTGGTATGATGGTAGGATAGTATCTACCGTCGCCTAGCGCGAGCGACCGGGCTGATTCCATCTGCTGAATCGTTTGCGAACTCATCATGGGCGGTTGGATGACGCAGTGCACAGCAAGAAGAGCTTTGTTTCTTTGAGGGGTGTGAAGCGCAGCAGCAGCAGTAGTAGTGACGTTTGTTCACGCGCGCGACGCAATCAAACTAAGAGCGCGACAAAGACCGGTATCCGCCGTCAAGGCCTCTCCCATTCCCAGCAATATTATCGTTCAAGAGGCGAAGAGAGTGTAGAGAAGCAAAGGGAGTTGCGCGCCTGGTGTTGTTGACTACAGCTACCGAGTGAGGTGAGTGACGAGTGAGCCGAGTGTTCGCGGCTGCCGCATAACTATCATCGCACCTGCTTGCCAAGCCCGACTAGCCTGGTGGAACTCACCACCGCGGCGAGATCCATTCCTTCCCCGCAAGACAGCGAGAGTCAGGACGCCACCATGGGATAGTGAGTGCCCTATGTGAATGCATACTCGTCATGTGCGCATAATAACATTGGCAGCAAACCATTCCGTTCGACCTACTATGACGACCGCATGCGGGCATCGCCGGCCCTGTTGCGAGCCAGAGCACCGTACATTCTCAAAAACACAATCAGCGGCGTCGCTATCTGCGCCCTGGTTGTCGGCATATGTACGGATACATGCCCCGCTAATATGATACCTTGACTCACATTCCATAGACTCCTACACGATAAATGCCATCTCCCAGGACGAATTCGAAGATGTCGTGGTCCCCGACAAGCCTCTTGATCGATCTGCGCAGCAATCGCTAGGCACCACCCAAGCCTTGCAACAGGCCGTTGATGCGCGCAAGTAGAGGGCGATATTACCTTGTCAGTTGGGTGTACAAATACATGTATGCATTGGGCTGGCGCTATAGGAATCTTTCAGGGAATACCACTTGCTCACCACTGGCCATCATTTTGTGCCGACCAAGTTTTGTCTGGAGTGACAAAGTTCGTGGATATCAAGTGTCTTTGCTCGAGCCCAAGTGGGCTCGTAATCCGGATTACCCGCAGAGAACATAGGGTCTGGTCGCGTCCCGTAAACTGTCCATATCCACACGATCGCTTCATTCGCTTGCTTTCCCAAACCTCCGCTCTGTCCCATGGAATAGTCTATGACCCTTCGCTCGCCTCGTTCTCGTTCTTCGTTTAGGTCGGCTCCCAGGTACTCAGTGACTTCGTAGCTCAGAAGTATGATGTATTTCATTTATGAACCACATCTCGTGGCAACGTATGCTTGCCTATTGTGGGCCTTATTTACTTAGTTCTTACTATATTATGCTGTTTTTTCTTTGACCCTGTGAGTAATATGGCGGAAATAGCCCACAAGATCCGGTACAATATTCCTCTCAAAGTTTCGTGCGCACCTGTATAAAATCTCATAATTTCCTGTTTTATCCTCGAAACCATTCACTCCTTGAAGATACACTCTCCAAAACAAAGAGGACTTGAAGCTCGGTCTGTAGGTCACATCCATGAATGTCTTTTAGCGGTTACTGGATTAAAACTAACGTTAGTAAAGAAGTGCCCGAAATTTCAACGACAAATCTATATTCATACTCCTATCTTCATCATGGATATCACTATGTTCACCGTGGGTGAGCAGCCCAAAGAGGCTTCCATCAAGAAGCCTCTTGACTGCCAGGAATCAAAGCCACACTCTTCGATTCGCCGCTGGCTCCGCAAGACAGGCGACTTCGCCTTACTCAAGACTTTCCGCAAGCATTCCGACTCTTCTTTGACTAGCAAAACGAACAAGAACAACTCTGTCGAATCTGTTCACGAGCTTGAGTCGCTTAGTAAAGCCACCCCGGCTCATCCTGCCCGCAAAGACAGCCTCGTGGAAGAAGACACTCCCATTACCAAGATCGATGACAAGGCTCTTTCCGAAAGCATCGCAAACGTCCTCAGGCCCAAAACGGGTATCAACACGTTGTCGCCTACAACTGCAGCCAAAAGCAAAATCCAAAAGCCAGCCGAAGGAGCTCTAGTCACACAAGATACGATGCGCATGATTATGGAGTCAAACAAGAGGCGTGCCGCAGGATCTGGCCAGTATCGAGGTGTGGACAAGACCTTGGGGACCACTGTCATTGCTTCACATAAAAAGCCTATGACAAGGGCAGTGACCGCACCCGCAAACCCGCTCAGATGGTCGCAAGATTAGAACGGTAACCCTGCTTTGAGAAGAGGCGGTCTAATTCTGGAAATTTCTTTTATCCACGGTGTTTTTATTTTCTCAAGTTGAGGTGTTCCGGAGTAATTCATGGAGCATTACAGATTCACCAGCCTCACTACGACCCTCTACAATACAGGTTTAGGACTCAACCAGAAAATCATTAAATTCTTACTATCATGCCCACTATGAGATGTGTTTAACTTTTGTGACTCCTAAACCCCAATCGAAGTTCCAAAAGGGAAGATTCGTATACTCACCTGGGTATCATAAGATGCTTGACAGTGTGGAGTGAGTACCTAATAGGTGTGCCTGGCGACTACAGCGGTCTGTGTACACAGGTATGTCAAGTACTTTGACCCAGGTGTGCTCCAATAGTGTGCTATTTCGCTTTCAGCATCATGTCAATGGCCTGCACCACTTTTCCAATATGGGTGACCCCTTCACTGTGCCCCGCGACGAGCTGTTCTGCATGTATCGCCATGACCTGCTCCGCGAGAGCTGCAAATGTAGTTCGGTCTATGGTGTTGCTAATCTTGTTCATCAAGTCCGTTATGGAGTGGTGCTTCTGTACTCCTCCATGTTGGTCTCGCAGTGCGGTCGCTTGTGCTTCCCAGAAATGCTTGATATCCTGGAGTGCTTGGCGCACACGGAATACGAATGCGACATCGGATCTAGTGTTGGCTCAGCTTCGTCCGACGCCGTCCGATCCACGCATATGCCTTGAAGTCGTTGGAAGATCTCAATATCAGACAGGACGTGTATGATGACCTCTTTCAGAAGTGCCACACTCCATCCGTCTCTTGCACGGCTGTGTGCTAGTTCGAGGAACACGGCCAGGCTCTCGTAGGGAAGTCTTCCGCCGAGGTTTTCGGTACGCATTGTGTCATGTAGGGCCTTGATGAGATGGAGGTCGAGTGTGCATATTCGCGGGTTTGAATTCTGCAAAGACTTAAGTTATTGTACTGTACTGAACAGGGAGGTTGGTTACGAACGAACCTTGACTTCGGATACGACCTTGTCTGCGTCTGTGGCTGTGATGGCGTTGTCGAAATCATAGAATGCCTCTGTTCCTTCGTCCTCGGGCAGCTTCGCCAGTTCGGGTAGCATGTTGTCGACGGTCTGTCGGAGAGCTTTCAGCGCATCTGGCTCTCTCGTCAGGTCATACAGCGAGTGCTGCATTAGAAGCATGTTCGCTGCATTCTCTTCCCTCGTGACATGTAGCGTTTTGGACGTTGTCTCCGCCGACCCTTCGTTGATCTTGGTAACCGGTCTGTCGGGTAGTGGCGATGACATTGTTTGAGTTGAAAACCTCGTGTGTTTGGAGATGTCAAGGTTTTGAAGCTGATGGGTCTGTAGATACAGGGCAAACGGTGGGGGTGAGTCGGTTTGCGTTTGCAGGTGAAGGCGGCGGGTCTGTAGATACGGGGCAAAAGGTGGCGGTGAGTCGGTTTGCGTTTGTAGGTGAAGGCGGCTTGCGTTTGCAGGTAAAGGTGGAGCATCACATATAGAGAGTAGACATCTCCCCGTGACACCACACTCGCCAGAACACCACACTCCCCTCCAGAGCATTAAAGCACCATACAAGAAGATATACCTTTCGTAAGAAGACCGCGTTCACCAGGATACCACCTCAGGTTCTCCACTATGGACGCCGAATTCCCAGGTTAGGACACTGTCCGGGACACGAACTTCTACAATGTCATCAAGGGCGTCAAGGATGTAGTCCATTTCACGGCGACGGAAACTGGTCAAGTCAAAAGAGGCGAAGGAAAAAGCCCGACCGACCGGTTAGAACAAGCAAGGAGTGACCTGAGGAAAGACATGTTCCGGTTGATCACGAGCCCGCACATTCAAGTGCAACGTCCAAAGCCGCTGCAATTCAACGGAAACACAACTCTGGCGTTTCGCGCGATACGGAAGACGAACGAAAAGATCCAGAATACTGCTCCAGAACAAGTCGAACAAGTCGAGTCACTTCAAAAGAAGCTCAAACACGATGTCCAACGTGCAGCGATGTGTCTGGATCCGAGCCGCAACTTCGAAGACGAGGAGGAAGGCGAAAAAGAATCTGCTTAAGGTAGGCTGATTATATGATGCGTTGTAGTAACAGTAAAATAACACCCTCTTTGCAGGATCCCACGAGAATCGGCGCAGAAGCACTCGTCTCACGTCTTCTTCAAGGAGGGACTATGATGAGCGCGAGGAAGAAGGATACGACCTTGGAGAATAGGACTTCAACGATGTGGAATTGGCGTGTAGGGTTAATGCGGATATTGAACTGTGGGCTTGGGCGAGAATTTGTGCCTTCCTACTTTGATAGAGTGCGACTGACCTCCGCTCTCCATGGTGCCTTCCCATGCTTTACTCACCCCGCCTGACTTTTGACGCCCTTCCACAATCAAATTTGCTCTTTTATACTCCAATCTTCTCTCTTCCATATCCCGGTGTGCAGCACTGACCGCGCCAACCTGTATCTTTGGACATCGTCCGATCGCGTCCTTCAAGCCTCTGGTGTGTGGCATGCAGCTACATCTCATAGGTGCAGATAGGCTATAGGTAGATTACAATGAATGATGCACGTTCGAGACGTCCATTTCATCCTACATTCTACGTGCACCTAGGTGTCATAATATACTTAACCGCGTGGGTAAGCCCCTAATAGGCACAGATGTCAATGAGCAAGCTGAGCGAGCTCAGCCAATTGGCTTGCTCAGCCAATTGAGCGGAGGCCAGCAGCTCGCTCGGCTCGCTCGGATTGGCTGAAACAGGGCTGTCAGCTCGCTCGGCTTGATGGGCTCAGTCCCGATTAGGAAAGTTATATAGAAACCTTGGTGTTGAGTTTCTCAGCTAATATCCCACTTATGTACACCGTATTTCGCGTCCATCTCCTCATCGCTGATAGCCTCCTTTACAGGCACCTCACCACTGCCAAATCCAGCTCTTATCCATCGTCGATCGCACTGTATTGCTGCTAGAAGTTGCGGAGAAATGCTGCGCCGACGGGGCTCGAGGAGGTCACCCAGCTCGCTGAATAAGCGCTCACACTCACAGCTTGAGCCTGGGATTGATAGCATGTCGATAGCAAATTTGCTAAGGCTGGGGTAGCGATCGCGGAGTCCTACCCAGTATTTTATAGGGTCGACGCCCTCGCTAGCGATCGGTTCGCTGCGTTTCCAAGCCTCATATTCATCCTCCTCGTTCTCCGTAAGCCCTGCAGGCTCAATAAAGCTGTTGATAGCGTCGTCTATATCATTGTGCCTGACTTTGGGGCGTAAGCGCGGCTTCGGTAAGCTTTTGTACTCCGCCCACAAATGTTGAAACTTGCGGTTGCTGCTCTCTAGCCAATCAGGCTTATCCGCCCACGCTGCGTCAAGGTAGCTTTTGTAGCGAGGATGAAGGATTGTAGCAGCATAGTAAGCTGGCGAGAGGTCGAGCTTGTTGTAGTACTCGCGGGCTTTAACTAGGGCAGCGCGGAGGTTGATAGCAAGGTGGTCTTCGGGTGACTCTGTATGCTCATCGTGAATGACGTCTTCATAGCTTTGCAAGCGGTCCTCATAGACTCCAAGTAAGTATTCAAATACTGGAATAACCTCAGCGATTGCTCCAAAAGCACCGCTTTTGCCGCGGCCTTCAAGCCGTTTTGTAGCTTGTTTCAGTGGCCTGAGCACATCAATATACTCAGCAATCACCTGCCAGTCATGGGCATTGATCCCATCAGACCTCATCCAATCCGGCGCTGCAGGCAGCTTGTTGTTACGACTTCGGGCGTACGCGTCTTCAGTTTCAATCTTCTGAATATGGTAGTTGGCGTACCCATTAACCGCTAATTGCAACTCAACAGCGCGCTCAAAACACGAAACGTAAGAGTTCCAGCGAGTAACAACTGGCTTGACGGGCTCCTTGATTTTGTGCTGTTCTGTTGGCGCGTTGACAGGCTGGTCCCTAATAGCGAGCTTCTGATACTTCTCAAAAAGAGCGTACTGTTGTGGTGTTTTGATGTAGTTGATAACCGCGAGAAGCACTCCTAATGGTCCATCGCCTCGCCAAGTAGCCATGTTCTCAGCTTCGTTCACGCGCTCAGTCTCCTCGTTGTCGTAGGACTCTTTCTCCTCACCCCAGAGTAGCATCTGGCCAATGAGATTAAGCGTATGAGGACCGCAGCGAAGGCGACGCTCGGTAGCGCTGAAGCCCATCTGCAAGGCGAGAGTGTTGATCGTGGTGTTGTTGTTATGTGCGTTGTCGAGGACGAAGTAACCGAGCTTGCCCACAGTGATTTCGAACTGCTTGAATATTGCCATCACGACCTCAGCCATGGCCTCGCCGGTGTGGGCACCTGTCAGTTGTGGGAGCGCAATAGGCAAGTCCCTGAGCTCGCCAGAGCTATCAACGTAGTGGGCGACGATACCTAAGTAACCGCGCTTGCCACCTTTTGTCGTCCATCCGTCAAAGCTTATATGGACTTTGCTCATTGATTCTGAAAGGCTTGCGACAACCTTTGGTAACAGGTAGTTGTACAGGCGTATAACGTATCGTGAGACGCTGTTATGAGATGCCCACAGGGCTCGTTCTGCCTCTACGCTAGCTAATTGTATCATATTGCGAAAAGACGATGATTCGAATTGTGAGAGTGGGAGGTTGTTTTCGACGAGCCAGGTGACGGCCGCAAGCCTAAACTCTTGTATATTGAAGTTGGTAAGCTCGTTGGCAACAGCCTGAGAGCAGCCCTTCTGAAGGGCGCGTTCGAGGAGAGTTTCTTTCCGAGGAGCGACGGTAGTGCGCTTACTTGGAGGCTTCAAGCCATGACCTTTCTTGTCTTCTCCGAGATGACGTGCTGGCGCTGATGGAGACTGCGAGACGTCATGTATGCCACGGCCAACAGTAGTGAACTTGTGCTTATAGCAATAGTGGCAGATCCACGTGACTTTTGCGACGTTGCTGCGCAAGGCGATGCGATAGCTATGGCTGTATACCCAGCTTGCTCGGTTCGAAAGTGATGTGGGCGGCTTGCAGTGCTTTGGGTAGCGACTCCAATTAAAGCCGTCGTATTTGTCCTCTACCCATACGAAACCCTCGTCGACAGCCTCGCTAGCTGCTCCTGAAGCTGCAACAGTGGCATGCTCGCTGCCCTCAGGTGGTGGGATGATTGTCTCTTCGGCGCGCGACTCTCGGAGGGTCGCTTCAAAATTTGGTGCTTGTGGCGCGGCGACGAGAGCTTGACGCGGCGACAGCGGTGGAGGAGGTGGAGATGGTGAGAATGGCCGAGTATCGACTAGCACAGGTTGGCTGGCAGTCCCGCGATGACGCGCTGCGACTCTAGGGCGCTTCGAAGTTGTCGCGATTTCTAGAGCATTAACGCGTGTTCTTTTTGCTGGCATTATAGCAACGGCGAGGTAGATAATAGCTGCAAATAGAGACGCGTTGATGGAGTATAGGTGAGTGTGGTGGGTGATAAGTAGTAAGTGAAGTGTCGCAGAAGGAGAATATTGTTGCCAGGCCGTTAGCCGGAAATTTAGTAGCTTATTTGCTAGAAATATAGCAAAAAAGAGTGTATTTTAGGTTATAACTAGGTTTCGAACTTACGCACTACACCTAAAAATCATCGTGAGATTGCCCCTCCACCAAGTCCTTCAGCCCCAAGTTTCCAACCGCCCCATCCAACCAAGCTAAGCAAGCTGACTGAGCGAGCGCCTATCCCTAAGCTCGCTCGGCTTGCAAGCGCGCACTGCGCGCTCAGCTCATTCGGCTTGGTCAAAACGTCCAAGCCGAGCGAGCTGAGCGAGCCGGCTCGCTCGTTGACAAGTATGCTAATAGGTGTGTCTGGCGTCTACAGTGGTCTTTGCACTCTAGTATATCAAGTATTTTATGACACCCAGGCTCTTACTCAGTGTTTTTAGCATCACGGAATGAGTTCATTGATCAACCAGGGTACTAGGGGAAAGGACAGTATGGGTAAGCACCTAATAGGTGTGTCTGGCGACTACAAGGCCTTTGTACTCTAGTACGTCAAGTATCTTATGAAACACCGGGGGATATAACGCTTCAAGGAAGAGCAGCAACAGCAGAGTAAACATATGGTGTTCTACCTCCTGAACATTCTCATTCTTACTTAGCTTCTTAGCAGTCGGTTAGCAATGTCTTCCTATCTGGCAGACTTGTCAATCAATCAATCAAGTTGTCAATCAATCATCCGGACGCCCAAAAAATCTCAAATCAATCAATCAACGATGACACTGTTGTAACTGCAATTGAATCAATCTGTAGAGTCGTGATTGATTGATTGATTGATTGATTGATTGACGTTGATGGTGTCAATATTGGTCTGAATATTGGACAATATTTGTGTCAATGTTGGTGTCAATGTTGATGTCAATGTTGGTCTCAACATCGGTAAGGTGCGTCCCTAAGTAGGGAGACACACCGTGTCCCGAGACGGATTGGTTGTTCGGACCTTCGGCGCCTCTGATGAGCAGATTTGTAGAGTTGTCATTCATCAGTAATATTCATGAAAGTATTCTCCTCCGCGTCAGGAGGCTCCGACTAGGATCTCTGCAGTGTTGATCATGCTGTCAATCATCCCGTTCACGCTGCGAAGCAACCCTCTTGCGATACCTCCCTGTCTACTCGCCACCTAAGGAGTTTCCTCAGATATTAGAGGTGTAAGGATGGAGAGCATTTAAGGACGGTCACTTCCTTAGTGTTAAGAGACCGCTCCAGCGCAGGCGTGGGCATGTCGGGAGCCCCGATGTGTGGGGGAAGTGATCCCTGCAGACGCAGACTCCGCAACAAGCAATCCAATCAATCTCAGAGTCGTCGATTGATTTGATTGTTGGCAGCCTAGCTGCTGATTGATTGTGGATTGATTGAAGCTATTTTAAAGTGGCTCAGATTGACTTGATTGACTTGATTGGTTAATTTGTACATAGGGGTCATCAAATTTCCGAGGCAGATGCCGCATTAGCGATAAACTGTTTCATCAGCTTATCTGCATGTGACTTTCTTATCATCACGTGATATTGCTATCGATAGAGGCGGACAACTCGATCTCAACCTACATTCCTAGAATAATGATCGAACCAATCTAACTAATCCAATCAATCAATCTATAGGCTTAAGATTGATTTGCTTGCAGATTAGAGCAAATTCAAGAAGTAACAGATTGGATTGATTAGATTGGTTAAACCAATCAAGTCAATCAATCTGTTCAATCCAGATTGCTTGTTGCGGACTCTGTGCAGACGGGCCCGGGCCATCGGGTCGTGTTAGCGCCTCATGATACCTATGAGCCTGCATTAGCAGGTTGAAAGAGTAACTGTATTCTATTGTAATATATTCTGCGGTATGCCTACCTAGCACACAACTTAAAATAGATGTGGCGCAGCATGTTAACGGCTTTGAGTCACGTTCCGTTGTGTCCTTTGCTTGCTTACTGAGTGCCTGAACAATGCTATTTAAGACCTGCTAATGGTTGAAGAGAATTTCGCTTGAGCTGCCTGGATATGCTGTCGATTGTATCAATTACAGCTGGCAAGAATGCATAGGATAGATCGGGAGCCTTCATACTCCGAAGAATTTCTTCCACCCAGTTTTCATGTTCTGCAAAGCACACACAACCTCGGTGTACACCGCACTCTGCAGTGCTTCGCCCTGAAGGTCATCGTCACAAGAGAAGTCGCAATGTATACATTTGCGCACGACCTCCAGATAATGATGACCTAAGGTCATGATGGAATGATGTTGTTCATCAAGCAGCTTTCTCGCTTCGATAACCTCATGGGGTGTACCATCCAGCTGGGGTCCCGCGATATCTTTTTGAGTACAGATCTCCAGTAGTGCAACGCCGAGCTTAGCCAAGGTGAGGTTACGAATGCCAAAAGTATGCTTCAGAACAAGCGATTCTTGCTTGAACTCCGTATTGGGCGAGTCATGGTCTAGAAAGCGGTTGCTCAGATGTAAGCTATTCAGTACATCTGAAATGTCGCTTTCATCGGCTTGAGATGAATCTGTAAAATATGCCACATCTTGGAGAGTCCACGCTTGCGGCAACCAGGAGGTCGAATGATATTGGAGAACAGCCTCGGCTAACTTGTGTGCAAGTGTGATTTGTTGCAGTACTCGAAAGCGTTGGACGAGACTCTTAATTGGCATCGCCCCTCGTCGCCTGGTGGAGGAAGAAACGTCGTTGATTGCGAGTTTGCTGGCATCGTAGAACATGAAACGCGTTAACGCTTGACTCTTTGCAATTTCAAGGAACCCCACACAGCCATCCTGACATGCTAACGTAGACGAGCGCACTCTCCTCACATGGCAGCATACGCTTTTTGTTGTCTTCAGGTCCAGCATCACAAAGGATTGGGCCTGAGTCGTTTTTGTGTTGCTTGTTGTGGGCGTTCGAACACATCTGACGTTGTCTTTAGGATCATTGATTCGGACTCTTTTCTTTGATTTAGCTTTACTTGGCAACTTTTGGGTTGCAACTTGCGAAGCATCTCTAAATCCATGACATAATGTGTTTGCTAGCGCTGGCGGAGGCGACTTTGGTACTCTGTATGTCGTGAGTGATGTAATGGATCGAATTTGTAGCCATATTGGCATGTCGCCAGATGGGCTACACATGGTCGTTAGTGGGATAGTTCTCATAAACCGGTTTGGGCCGCGAAGCACATCCGCTCTGACATACTTTTGGATTACGAGATTCGGGTTTGGTTGACAAGCCACGACAACATCAAGCTGCACGTTGTCATGCCCGCTTTTAGCATCAAGCGATAGCTTTGCTTGGTGTCCATTGTGAGAAGTGTTCGTGCAAGACCATGAGTCGTGGATCGACTCTCCTAGTTGTTGCGAGGCGACGCGGATCTGCTGGTAGCTCCTTGGCACGGCTTTGCGAATAATGCAAGCGGAAGGGATATCGCGTCGCTTCTGAATTTTGCACCTCTGTTTGCGCAACTTGCTCAGCGACTTGTTCCATCTGTCCAAGGAATCCAGCTGTCGAATGTATTCGTTCTCCTTGCGAGATGTGTTAAAAGCGTGCCAGATCTTCCGTATGAACTCGTGTTCCGTTTGCTTCGCGTTACCCAGGCCGTCCTCGAGTTTGGTTAGGCTGATTCGTGTTTCGCGGAGGATATCGCGCAGTCGCGTCGCGATGTTCTGGCATAGCTCGTAGTCTTGTTGCATCAAGCTTCGCAGTCGCTGCTCAATGTCCTTCCCTTGCTCCTGCCAGCTCTTGTGCGTCGGATCCTCCATCATCTCAGAAATATCGCTTGGTTGGACAATGGTTGCCTGAAGTAGAAGGCGGCAATCATTGTTGAAGTTCGCTGCCGCTACCTGGAACCTCAGCTGGATGTCGCATGCAACTTCTGCGTGCTGTGAGAAAGTCGCCAATCTACGCTTGGCTGTGCTGTAAGACTTCAGAATTTCAACAACGACCGGTACGACACCAAAGACGAGACCTGCGATTTCGATGCCCGACATCATGTGGAAGAGGAATCTTAGGAGACTTGAAAGTTGATCAGGCTGAGGACTATGATATTGTTGGCAGAGCGATGCGCAGTCTGGCTTGGCGCACATGCCCTTCCGAGGCGCAGCCTGATCGCCATGGCTGCCCACCCGCATCGACATTCCAGTAAAGAAGAATCTCTCGACCGACAATTCCTCCTCGGCTTATCGTCTAAAAACATTGAAGCATCTACTTATTGGCCCCGAGAGTTTCGAGTTGACCTCGACGCAGTCGTTTGAAAAGGACACAGCAGATTCAGCTCGTGAAGTGTAGGTCAGCCGATAAGAACTTGTGACAACCTCTCGATGCAGGACTGATATCGGACAGCGAGCGCATGTCGCGTTGGAAGGAACTTCAAGACTTAGAAGATTGCGCGCGACATTCGAGGTGTTCCAGGTAGTCGTCGCTCGTGTTTCTAGCAGAGGTTCGCCGTGAGGCCTCAGCGGTCGAGAAAGGCGGCTTGGTGATGGAGCGCTGGCAGGCTGAAACGGGACGCTCTCAAAAAACAGCATTATCACCCGCGAGCAACTCGACTCCTCCATCTATAACACGGCTACCAGCAATGTCTCCTGGCGCCCATGTCTCCTCAGTATTTGACCTATATGTACGAGATATCAAACTCCACGGGCAAGGGCCTATCGAATCGCTATTTAAGTCTCTCATGGAGACGCTAAGACTCATACTTTCTGAAGTCAGGATGCAGTCCGATATAGCACAACCCTATGGCTCCGTAGAGTCAAGTTGTGCAGCTTTGTTTTTCTGGGGTACTGACCTTGGGCTGTTGCGAGGCGAGCTCGATGATATGCTTCAAGACTCTCCTCAGCTGCGCAATACTTGTCTGACTGTTCTCGCATCCATCTCCCAATTTGCCAGCACATGTACGTGGATGACACAAAACCCCAATATAGTGCGCTATCACTGATATGCAGCAGCGTTGATACATCTAGTCAACAGTGAGCATCGTCAAAAGAGAATTTTACAGTCAACGGGAATTTCGACATCCCTGGAGCAGACCATGAACATGATTGAACAACAACATCGCTCCAACTACCAACCCAAGCAAGACGTGGAGACATTATGTCAGACTCTCCGTACAAAGATTGATACTCTTATCATGTTAGCACCCAGCCTAGCATCACCAGCGGAAGAAATCTACGACGACGACGAGCCTCGGGCTATCCAAAGCAATGAAAAACACTTACCGGAACAGGCCTACGCCAACAGCGTTTCACAAAAGTTCCCTCGGGCTGCGCCAGCGATAGTGGTCCATTTGGGAAAATTGAACTGGGATCGATATAATCACATGCTTCGTCTACAGCGGGAGACAATACAGCAGGAAAATCAAGTGACCGCCTTAGAGAAGGCAAGAACAATCTTCCATGACTCTGGCCTCGGCTTCTCTTTGCCAGCGCAGTCAGAAGTTGGGTTGAATATTGCTGTCGATACTTCTCGCCCCGAATCTGTCTACGCACCCTCGATGGTGTCTAGCAGGGCTGAAGCGAGTCACAAACGTGTGCCATCATTGCCAGCCCAAGCACGGTCTGGTGATCCTTTCACGTGCGAAATCTGCAATAAGCAAGTGCGATTTCAGCGAACGAAAGCTTGGAAGTGAGTTAACGCATTCCCGTCCCACTAGAACTTCATCAATGCTGATCACATCGCCTTAGGAAGCATATCTTTGATGACATACTAGCATACGCTTGTTTCTTCGTTGAATGCTACGACACTCGCGTGTTCTTTGAAAACAGCGAGGCGCTAATGATTCATCTACAAGATCACCATGGTATGGACGTTCGAGTCTCGGACGTGACGTGTCCTCTCTGTGTTGAGTTTACTACTGGGGACCGCGATGTTTTATCACTCCATGTTGCACGTCACATGGAAGAAATCGCTCTTGCGATACTGCCTTGTAGTGTTGACTCCGACAAAGAATCAGCAGATAACTCGACAAGCGACGCTACATCTATTAAGGATGACAACATTCTTCAAACGCGTCAGGACGAATGCCCAGAGGACCCCAACGATAGAGAATACCCGGGTAGTCCAATATTACCCTATCACGACCCTATGACAGGAAAGTTGGGTGTTCCATTTGAAATGCAAGCAGCTTCATACAGAGGCCACGAGCAGGTAGTCAAGATGCTGCTCGACGCAGGCGCCGACATTAACGCGCAGGGTGGAAACCACGGCAACGCACTGCAGGCAGCTTCACTTAGAGGCCACAAGCAGGTAGTCAAGATGCTGCTCGACAAGGGCGTCGACATCAACGCCCAGAGTGGAAACCACGGCAACGCACTGCAGGCAGCTTCAGAAGGAGGCCACAAGCAGGTAGTCAAGATGCTGCTCGATAACGGCGCCGACATTAACGCGCAGGGTGGAGAGTACGGCAACGCACTACAGGCAGCTTCAGCTAGAGGCCACGAGCAGGTAGTCAAGACACTGCTCGATAACGGCGCCGACATTAACGCGCAGGGTGGATACTTCGGCAACGCACTGCAGGCAGCTTCACTTAGAGGCCACGAGCAGGTAGTCAAGATGCTGCTCGACAACGGCGCCGACATCAACGCCCAGAGTGGAAACCACGGCAACGCACTGCAGGCAGCTTCAGAAGGAGGCCACAAGTAGGTAGTCAAGATGCTGCTCGATAACGGCGCCGACATTAACGCGCAGGGTGGAGAGTACGGCAACGCACTACAGACAGCTTCAGAAGGAGGCCACAAGCAGGTGGTTAAGATGCTGCTCGAGGCAGGTGCGCATCAACACCAGGAGAATGATCTTGCATCAATGCCCGAATAACTTTGTTCATGCATCCTACCAATAGTCTTAAGACGACGGCAGCAGTTAGGGACAGTACGCAGTGAGCATTTTAAGTTGACCAATAAAGGGGCATAGCGCGTAGGAGAATAGGACTATGCACGTGTTTCTAGATGCTTCTAGTAACGTTAATTCAGCAGCGCGCGCCACATCTATTTCGAGTTGCTATAGGGTAGGCATAGCGCTGAATTCATTACAATAGAATTGTCAGATAGCAGGCGTGTCGAGCCGAAAGTGCCGACACCGCTAGCTAATAATGGGTTAGCGTCTTAGCAGAACAAAACTCTCAGCGCGCACCTTAGAACAGAGAACAATACAATCAATCATGAACATCCATCACTTTTGTGCAATATCTCATCTAATCTGACAAGAATACAGTGGGGGATAAGCGCGCTAATGCAAGCCTATACATGCTAAGAGACACTAGCGCGTCGCGCCAGCTCAGGCTCGTTTTCACAGATCGCCTGCTTCACACAACGGAGCTCCCGGCATGCTCACTCCTACGCTAAAATAAGATCACGAACTAAAGAAATTAATCTTCCTTCTTCGCGCTCTCTTTATAACCCTCCAAGTAGTTAATTACTCCACATAATTATTAATGGACAGGGGGGTGTTGTTAAAGAGCCGATTGACGACGTTAACGTAACGATTAATAGCCTAGCTAACACCACAGCAATCTGTATCAGAGGTAAATCGACTTAAGGAGTAGTAGCTAGAGAATGATTAGGTGTCATTTACATCTCGACAGGATTAAGAAGGAGCATTTCCGGACGTCCGTAGTGTGAACCTGTCTCGCGACATAGTGTGTCTCTGCACTTAGGGACGCACCTTATTAGTATTGATACTGTTTACGATCTCAAATTTCAATCCACTGGAAGCTCCAAATCGGGTAATAGTCTAACCTAATTAGGTAACTCATACACCATCAGTCAGTCAACCAATCGTCAATCAATCAGGTTTTCTGAGCTGTCAAATCAAGTAATTAATCAAAACTTAAAAAAAACGTCAATCAAACCAGTCTCCAGCTTTATAATTGATTGATTTGATTGATGACAAGTCTGCTCTCTGGGACTTCTCATATATATACCCATACCAAGTATCAAAGCCATTCTATGTAAGTACTAGTCCACCCAATAACACAGCAGCAGCAGCAACATAGACTTGTTCCATAACCCCGTGCGTTACTTTCGCAGCAACTGCCATGCCACTCGACGAGCTCCAAGCAGCTCCTTCTGTGCTTGACGATGCCAAGCTAATCGAGGTCGCAGCTTCCGTGCTCGATGAAACTAAGCCTCTTGCAGAAGACGTCATACTAGATGAAGGAACTGCTGCGCTTTCCTCAGCATCATCGGGGGCGTCAAAAAGCTTCACTCCATCACTCGCCAGTGTCCATCCCAACACTTCCCCATCATCTCCAACAGCCTTTCCTCTCACAAAACCCTGCAACTGCGCACCTGCCAAGTCAACAATCGTCTCAAATCCCGTTCGCAGTGCAGTCGTAACATTCGTCCACGTAGCCGCATTACTCGCATTGGCCGTCAAAACAGCCTAACTGTCCACATCGGTAGCACCGTTCCATGAAAAATACACCTTGTTTCCCTCTCGATCCCAGTGCAGATCTGGATTTGTTGCTGGCTTATCCTGCCATTGCTGGCGGAAAGTGCGATACGCGTTTACGACATTCGATTTCCCGAACTGCATGTCGAGGAGTATGTTACCCTGGTGATCTAGCTCAGCGAAGAAGGGCTCGCTGCCATATCCGAGCATGTAGTTTGTGGTTTCGTTGGCGGGGTCGATAGCTTGTAGGCTACCTTCATATATTGCAAATGTCTTTGCGGAGTTCGTGAATTCAGTGAGGAGTTTGACGGTTTTCGCGGACTGATCTACAGATAGGAGGAGCCCACGTGAATAGCCGATTGTATCGGTGGGCCCATTGTCGAAGAGAGTGAGCCGTGTTTGCGACTCGTCTAGCTAACGTGCGTCGTGCTGGAAGGCAAATTTGGCGGCGGGGTCGACATCAAAATCTGATTGCTTTCCTTGGAGACGCCAGATGATGTTTCCATTTTGTCTAGAGATTTTGTAAACACAATTCATTACTCGTGCGGAGACAAGGTAGTCACCATTGTTGTCTTTTTCGACAGAGTTCATGTGGAAGTAGTCCCACGGAGTGTCCTCAGACTGACCTACATCAGACGGTAACGAGTTGTACGGTTCGTTGATTCCAACGTGGGTGCTGGCGTTCCGTTCGAAAACAAGTTCACCAGTTTCTATATTGATCTCCTGGAACGTGTTCTCGAAAAGCCAGCCATTCTCAATACCCCCAGACGTTGTCAGATCCCAGGGTATACCGTGGTAAATAATGACTAGCGCAGTGTCATCACCGGTAATACCAAATTCGTGGATATCTCCCATATTTTCGCCGAAACGATCAACTTCGAAATGCGCAATCTCATCATAGCTCTGGTTGAGGATATGGTACGACCCACGCCCGAACCCATTCAGTAACTCTCCTGACCATAGTGTCAAAACAGACTCGCCCTTGTACGTTTGGACCCTGAAGTCAAAAGGCTCAGTGTAATTTGCAATCCAAACAAGTGACCCCATACGGTCGTCCGAAAATTCTGATTCCACAAAGTCAATAATACGCACTGGCTTGTGCCAACGCCATCTTGACCCAATAACACAGGAAAAAAACATACCAAATATTCCCGGCCAATTCTGCCCACTAGACGGTAACCCATTAACCCCCAGAAACACATACCCACTCTGCAACCCCGTTCCATTGCGATTAATCGGCATCTGCGGTGGCTTCACATTCTTATTCGACATGTACGTTTGAAACGGTGTTCCACTAGGATCATCAGCTCCATAGCTATCGATATTGTAGCTAATCGAGTCTTGGGCTCTGACGACATGAGGTAGAGGCAGTAGCTGTATTAAAGACAATAAGCTCATAACAGCTGGAAGAGGATATAGAACTCTGCGCATAGTGGCCAGTGCGCCAACAAACAGAGTCGATTTTCACGATTAGCTGGAGAGTAGTAGGCAAACGAAAGTGAATACACTGCGAGATAACAGCAGTAGGCTACAAAAAGAGCGGGCAGACATAGGTACATGATGTAACCAAAGCTAGGTCCGCTGGCCCCAATCGAACCAATTCATAGATCCAAGATTCAATATCCCAGATCCGGTCGAGCAAGTGCCCAGATTGGTAGGCTAAGTCACGCGTACCGATCCCAATTCGGGTCATGGGTCTCGCGTGTGGCATGCAGCTACATCCTATAAATGCAGATAGGCTGCAGGTAGGCTGCATATGGTGGGGCCGCGGAATAATGAATGATGCACGTTCAAGATGTCCACTTCATCCTACATTTTACGTTTAGCATCCGCGGTGATGGGATGGAGTTGATGTTCAGCTTGCTGTGGCTAAGCAATGGATTTGGAAAAAGCAGACAATAGTGCCGTTTCCGGCGATTTCTTTCGTCACACAAGGCTAGGAACAGTGAGTTCAGACATAAGCAACGCTTGCTGCTTGCGTTCGGATCGTGTCCGGGTTTAATGTGCTGTGCGCCACAAAATGTAACCACAAGATTAGAGATATGGGGTATGATTCGCACATCACTGCCACAGTCCTTCACTCGCTTGTCACCCGCGTCACTTCGCCGACGATGACGATTACGGCGCAGCACAGCACAGTCTCCACATAGCTGAACAACTTTTCCAGGTTATCAGTATTTGCATGGTCACATTCCTTCTTGTATAGCTAATGTGGATTTGTTCGGTTCAGACTGCCGCCTTGGAATCTTGGACTCACCTGGGTGACATAAAATACTAGACAGTGTGGGTAAGCACCTAATAGATGTGGCTGGCGACTACAGTGGCCTTTTTACACTAGTATGTCCGGTATTTTATGACACGGGTGGACTACATGTAGGCCGATCACTTGCTCATGAACTTGCTGGCCATGTTGAGCATAGTGCCTAGGCCGCCGCCAGAGCTACCACCACCGCTGCCGCCGCTGCCTCCACCCATTTGCGACTTCACGTAGAACTTGAGAGCCATCTGTGCAGCCTGCGCGATTGCCTCTTGCTTGGTCGCGGCGGGATCCTATTCGCGTTAGCCAATCAATCCGAGTGGATAAGGGTTGATGTTGGTACTTACAGTCTTTCCCTCGCTCTGCTGCTTGTCGAAGAGCTGAGCGGCTTGTCCCATGGCCATTCCTATGAACTTGTTCTGTCCGCCCTTTGCATCTTCCTGGCTACCGCTGTTGAACATCTTCATTGCTTGCATAGCAGCAGCAGCGCCGACGTTGTTTGAGCTAGCTTGTTCGCTGCCGCCTTGGCTTCCATTGCCGTAAAACTTCTCGTGTTGTTTGACCGCATCGTCCTCATCCACGTCGTCGTGTTTGAGCTTGTCCTTGTCGCTGGTGAGCATGCCAAGAACACTGGTGAACAGGCTTGAGTCTCCGCTGTTACCAGCTTCGGATGTAGCATGGTGAGCTGCGCCTGAAAAGTCGTCTGAAGCTCCTCCATATCCACCTCCGCCGCCATATGATGTACCAGAAGACTGCTGACCTTGGTGGCCCGAGCTGCTGTGTCCGCCGGTGTTGCCTCCATAGCTGCTAGTCTCTGATGGGCGATCGTTGTAGCTGCTGCCTCCAGACGGGCGGTCATTGTAGTTACTGCCTCCTGAGGAGTGCTCGTTGTAGTTACTGTCTCCGGATGGACGGTCATTGTAGTTGCTGCCTCCTGATGGACGATCGTTGTGGCTGCTGCCTCCCGAAGGGCGATCGTTGTAGTTGCTACTACCTGATGGACGATCCTTGTAGTTCTCTCCTCCGTATCCATGGGATTCCTGGCGCCTGTCATCGCCACCTCCACCATACGAGGAGCCTCCGCTAGGGCGCTGGTCGTAGCCTCCACCTCCCTGTTGTTGACCATGCTCTTCCCTGCGTTCTCCACCGCCACCGTATCCGCCAGACGAATGTCCACCTCCTCGCCTCTCCTCATCACCGAGTGCAGGGCCTCCAAAACCACCTTCTTGGGGCCGGCCGTATTCCTCGCGTCGCTCATTGCCGCCGCCATAACCTCCCTGGTCGTCGCGACGGTCGTTTCCGCCACCACCATAGCCGGACTGCTGTCCGTATCCGCTGCGCTCGTCGTTGTAGGACATCTTGTGGTTCTGGTACCTTGAGTAGAGTTAGTATAGGGTAGGATTGTGAAGTCAATATGGATGCAGCGTGAGATTGGGGCTCCTAAACTTGCTCAATCTGCTAATAGCAACTGTTTGGGCTCCCCCAAATACTCCGCATTTAGCTCCACTACAGCAAGCGGGGCAAGTATCGCGATAAGGGAAGTTGTGTTATGCGACACTTACGTGTGAGAACGAGGTACTTACAGGATATGAGAGTGAAGAGTGTAGAGATTGGGATTGAGCGAAGTTTGACGCAGTAAAGAGTCTTGATTGCGGTTATAACCTTGGAAGGGAGGAAGATGTCATGTACCCGAGTGGCACCTGTAGCTTGAGATGCCCCTCCAGCCAGGGTCCAAGGGCCACTTGCCCCTCACTAGTGACGTATGCCTGCACAACACGCGTCAAACTTCCCTGTCTTAATTCGCTTTGCCTTCACCTTTGCAACACTATTCGACGCATCAATGTCGCACTATTCATAGAACCTGCTGTCGAAGGAAATGATCAGGTTTGTTATGCAGGTATGTGTTTCCATAATTAGCGTTGGACTTGGACCACCTACATAGGTGACATAAAATACTAGACAGTGTGGGTAAACACCTAATTGACGTGTCTGACGACTACAGTGGCTTTTTTACACTAGTATGTCTAGTATTTTTTGACACCCAGGTGGACTGCAAATTGAACTAAACATTGCGTATTTTAGATCAGCGTGGGTAGTAGACGTCATATCATGGAATAGATTCGATTGCTTTAAGCTAGTTGTATCACGAGGCCTAGAAGACACTTCATGCCTTACTTCCAGTGAGCAATTGCATCTGAGATATTCCCATCATTTAACATCCTTCACACCAAGCAGTCGCACAATGACCTTCAAGGATTGTTACATCTTAGTAGTCATTGTCTCTCTTGTTCGAGCTTCCATAACCTGAACTCTCGCGGTCATTAGAACCATAACTGTCCTCGTTAGATCGGCCAGATTTTCCATAGGAGGATGAATCGTTGTCCCGTGTGTTTCCGGAACCATAAGAGTCGCCAGATGTGCCCAGGCCACTGGAAGACTTGTTGCCAGAGCCGTAAGAGTTATCATCATCGTTGGACCTAGAGTTGGATTGTTTGTTGCTGCTACCATAGCTGTTATCGTTGTCGTTGCTGCCTCCGTAGCCGGAGGACTTGTTGGTCGATCCGTAAGAGTCTTGCTTATCTGATGAGCCGTAGCCGGAGGACTTGTTGCTCGAGCCGTAGGAGTCATCCTTATCGTTTGATCCGTATCCAGAAGACTTGTTTCCCGAGCCGTAGGAATCATCCTTATCAGTTGAGCCGTAGCTGGAGGACTTGTTGCCTGAGCCATATGAGTCGTCGTTGGTGTTTGAAGAGCCGTATGAAGACTGTTTCTTGCTGCCATAAGAGTTGTCATCATCATTGTTGCTGCTGCTGTTGTTGTTGCGGCCCGATGAACCGTAGCCAGAGGACGTATTGCTCGAGCCGTATGTGTCATCGTTGTCACTCTTGCGTGTAGACAATCCGTAAGAAGAGTCTTGGTTATCATTGCTTCCATAGCTGGACTTGTTGTTCGATCCATAAGAGGATGTCTGGTTGTCTTCGTCATAGCTTGACTTCTTGCTCGATCCGTAGGAATCTTCGTTGTCATTGTCGTTCTTGCGACTCGAGGAGTTGTATGAGTCTCCAGTGTCATTGGAACCGTAGCTTGACTGCTTGTTTCCGTAGGAAGAGCTGTTCTGGTCGTTACCGTACCCCGAGGTACGGTCATTGTCGTTGTCATTGTTATAGGACATGATTATGATGAGATTTTGACTTTGATTCTTTTTCTCAAAGAATAGTAAACTGAATTGTGCGTGAATATTTTCTTTGATGAGATTGATCGATCAATGTTAGTATTATCTAAATCCAACGACAGTCCTCCCCCTCTTATACACAGCCCCGTCAATGTAGCACCGAGTTACCCCTCCATCACCCCGCATCACCGAAAAGCAAGTTTGGTGGTGCTTTTCATCCCGTTCGTGTTGGATCAAGAATGGATGGCGATCGCCCTGATCCCTGCGAAACTGAGCCGTGTCACGCAGATCGCTCTAGATCTTTGTAAGGCCCGAAGATGAGACGGCGCCAAACTCTTCCCATAGCGTACCAATACCTTTTGTCGCCTCAAACGTACAAAACCTCCGGTATGGCGTTATACTGCCACGGCGAATGCGTTGGCGAGTAGACCGGTGTAAAAGCCCCGTAGACTCTACAAAGACCCACTCTCTGTTTCAATGACAGCTGAGTACCTGCTGCAATCAGCAAGCTCGGCCCATGGGTCGTGGAAGCATTGGGCTGCCATGGTGAAGTTGGAGGGGTAGATAACACGGTGAGCGAATAGAGCAAAGGCAATCCAACACGGGATAGGTGGGTTGCGAGCGCAAATACGCAAGCGACCCTGATGGGGAATTGGATAAAGCCCGCACAACTATGATGTAGCCATCGTATGAACTAGTCTTCCGTGCGTCGCCGGAGGTCAGCTTATTCGGCTCGCCCGCTGACCAATACATGGCAATTTATCCTGCTTGCGAGTAAGAACTAACCTGCTCTCCTCGGAGTGGCCGGTGACGAGAGCAGGGAACTGCAAGCTCATTGTACTACCTGGAGGGAAGCCAATGGAGGAGAGCAGTAGACGTGCGTGTCGGGTCTTCTCTGTGATACCCATATAGATTTGGTTGTACCAAGCGGCAGAAAACCAGGATGGGCAGGCAAGGTCACACGTAAACAATAATTGAACCTTACAAAGCTAATAATGGTACGCATGATCCGCTACACAACGTATTCAACTAATCTACAGTGGTTCTCTCAACTAATAGACGGCATTATGGTTGTAGACACCAAGTGGCCAAATCTAGGATAGAAAGGCAAGTTAACACGCAGACATCAACTAGCCCTTGGATATTTGAATCAGAGTATTTACAGCCTGTCAGGCAATGTCTCCTCCTAATCCATTGTAGTCCTCTCAAGAAGCTCTATAGGTCGAGCAGTTCCAAAGACGAGATGAACGGCAAGTGAACATGCAAACATCGATTGACTCTAAAAACAGACAAAACAAAATATGTACAAGCCGCCAGATAATGTATCCTCCTATACTATTGTACATCTCTGAACTAACAAGGCAGTGCCGTAGATGTAGACGTCGAGCGCACATATACATATTGCTCTTGCTCTTGCTAGCACAGGCTGCAGATTTCAAACAGGACTATAGGAGGATAGAAAAGCAACGCAAACAGACAGCCCGGAGATAGACAGATGGTAGATGATAATATGTATATGAAGTAGGGAAAGTCTTGGCATGATTTGCTCGAGTTCTCATTCACGCCAAAAATCTGCCTTTCTATCTCCAACTTCAATTCTCGTTTCCCAACCGCCCTGAGCATCTAAATCATGTACAATCAATCAATCAGCGCTGACCTACCTGTCGACTTCCCCGAAAACTAGGTCCATGGTGCCGATTATCGCCACCGCATCGGCAAGGAGATGGCCTCTTGATATCTGGTCCATGCAGGCGAGATGTGCGAACCCTGGTGCCCTAATTTTGCACCGATACGGCCTCTCACTGCCATCTGAGACGAGGAAGACACCCATCTCTCCCTTGGGCGCTTCAATGGCACTGTACGTCTCACCAGGAGGGACAGTGTATCCCTTACTGAAGAGCAAAAAGTGGTGGATGAGAGCTTCCATGTTCTCCTTCATAGCGGCACGTGGTGGGGGCGCGATCTTGTAGTCCTCAACCTTGACGGGACCTGCAGGCATTTGGTTCAGGCATTGGTGGATGATACGAAGGGACTGACGGAACTCCTCCATACGGCAAAGGTAGCGGTCGTAGCAGTCACCATTTACACCGACGGGGACGTCAAACTCGACCTGATCGTAGGCGTCATATGGCTGTGACTTTCGAATATCCCATGGAACACCAGATCCACGAAGCATGACACCAGAGAAGGAATAGTTGATGGCATCAGCGGCTGAAACGACACCAACGCCCTTGGTACGACCAATCCAAATACGGTTGTCAGTCAACATCTCCTCGGTCTCATCGATACGGTCACCGAACTGGGTAGCCCATTGGTAGATGTCGTCAAGCAGACCGATGGGAAGATCCTGCGATACGCCACCGGGGCGAACGTAGGCCGCGTGGAGACGGGCACCTGAGACACGTTCGTAGAATTCCTAGATATCATTAGCAAATGCAGTATACGGTTCATGCATTGCAAGACCCACCATGAGCTTCTCACGCTCCTCGAAACCCCACAAGAAAGGTGTGAGAGCACCAACATCCATGGCGTGGGAAAGAACCGACATGAGATGGTTCAAGATACGGGTGATTTCGCCAAACATGGTCCTGATGTACTTGGCACGAATGGGGATATCAATGTTCAGCAGCTTCTCAACAGCCAGCGAGAAGCACTGCTCGTTGGTCATCATGGAAACATAGTCGAGACGGTCAAAGTAGGGCAGCGCCTGGAGATATGTCCGGTACTCGATGAGCTTCTCTGTGCCTCGATGCAGCAGTCCGACGTGGGGGTCGGCGCGCACAATCTCCTCTCCATTGAGTTCCAGAATCAAGCGCAACACACCGTGGGCAGCGGGATGCTGGGGCCCAAAGTTGACAGTGTAATGCCGGATCTTCCTGGTGTCTACATGCTCGTCGGCCTCGGCCTGGGCTTCCTGGGTCGTCTCAGTGGGTGCAACACCTCCAAAGTTAGCATCGGTCGCAACTAGGCGCGTTCGCTGGCTCTCCTCAACTTCGGCGTATCGGCGAGGAAATGAAGTCGACAGGCAGCGCGCAATGGGTCGTGAAGGGACTGCAGTTCGGAGTTGGGGTCGGGAGGCGTTCAGGCACAGCCGCTTCGCCGCGGGGCAGGCCAGACGCGCAAAAGAGACGGGCATGGTGTTCTTGTCTCTCCCTACAGCGAGTATAGGGCCTCAATGGGCGTGTAGAGTGGAGAGTAGCGACGTGGCGTTGGAGGGGAGCTTTCCATATCGATGATGCTTCCAGATTGAAACCACCGCCATTGGCCGCGTGCGTCTTGGCACCCGCAGCGCCGGCCTCGAACTTTTTGTGAACATGAAAGTTGCTCCCCACCGAAACCACCAATCTTGATCCCAACGCCGCAACAATGTCCACACCAAGTGCAGAGGAGCTGATGAAGCGCAAGGTACCTACGCGACCCATCTCATGTGATTTATATCCTGCTGACACCATTACCAGACACTCGGCATCGGCCCAGAGACAGTCACCAACCAGCAGTCTACTGACTTTCCATTCCACTGGCCCGGCGAGAACCACGAGTGGAACCTCGACTACTTTAGAGATGTATGCGCGCTCAGAATGTAGTAGAAACATGGCCGGTATATTAACATGATACCAGAACTTCAATGTCGTCTTCCACAAAAACGACCCATTGGATGCGCAATTCTCTCTCACCGGCATTGACACCTCTGTAGCCAACGCCTTCCGCCGCATTCTGCTCTCGGAAATCCCCACGCTCGCTATAGAAGACGTCTACATCTACCAAAACACGTCCATCATTCAGGATGAGGTGCTCGCCCACCGCCTGGGCCTAATTCCCTTGTGTGGCGATCGCGCTACGCTTCGCCGGATGAAGTGGTACGCGAAGCCCACGGATGAAGACGAAGGCTCAGGAGGCCCGACTTCTGAAAATACTGTGGCACTTACACTAAAGACAAAGTGCACATGGCAGCCGGGCGGAGTTGCAAGAGCAGTTGCAGGCGAGACGGACCCAGATAGACTCTATGTGGGACACAACGTTTACGCCAAAGACATGCGCTTCGAGCCCAACGGAAACCAAGCTGAAAATCTCTCTGAAGCAGAAGGCAAGCATATTCGGTCCACAAACCCGGATATTCTTATTTGCAAGATGAGGCCAGGACAAGAACTTGAGATTCGTATGCATGCCATCAAGGGTATCGGTCAAGACCATGCCAAATTCTCTCCCGTAGCTACCGCCTCGTACCGACTCATGCCCACCATCGACATCACAAAGCCGATTGTCGGTGCCGACGCCAAGAAGTTCTCCCGCTGCTTCCCTAGCGGCGTCATCCGTCTCGACACTGTCACTTCCGCGGACATTGAAAAGCATCCCGAGCTCGAGGGCAAGGAAGGCGAGCCCAAGGCTGTCGTCGCAAACCCTATGAACGACACCGTCAGCAGAGAGTGCTTACGGCATCCAGAGTTCAAGGACAAGGTCAAACTGGGTCGCATACGAGACCACTTCATTTTCAGGGTGGAGAGCACGGGCCAGTGGGAGAGTGACGAGCTATTCTTGGAAAGTGTCAAATTGTTGAAGATCAAGTGTCAGAGGATCAAGAGGGGGCTAGATGAGATGATGAAGTAGACGAGTAAGGGATTGCCAAGGTTGGTGTGACACCGAAGGATTTGCATTATAATGGCGTTCAGGGCATGGTGATGGAGTTCGCAAAAGTTTACGATATCATGGAGCGCGTGTTTTATTCTTGGGGTATCATATAGCACTCTTCGGCTGTAGCTACAAGCATCTAGAAAATAATCATGTCATTGATTCAAATCTCGTCCCATCGGCATCGTACAGTTGCCTCATTTGTACATTCTCTCCGCTAGTATATAGTATAGTAATACAAATGAAGAAGTGCAAGCGCAAAGCAAACATAGCAACGTTTTAACAAAAGGAAAGACTGTTATACATAAAGACATTAAGAAGGGAAATACCAGACAGTCCTGAACGCCCTGGGTATATCGTCCCGACCATATAGGACACATCGACAAACAAACAAAGCAGAACGAACGGGCCATTCAAGAGTGGTCTGAGACGGTTACGACGTCAACGGCAATGATCAACTGTTCATGCGTAGGAGCAACAACCCCCCCAGTCCGGAAGACCCCGGCATAACTCGGATCAAGGTTTCAATGCTGTCGTTCACGAAATTTCAGCAAGGGCATCCCTACACAACTGCTGGCAGCTCTCGGCATCGAATCGCTTCCTAACAGGCACCTTCTTCCTGCGTTGCCATAGCGTCTCGCGGTCCACGGAGGCCGAATCCCTGAAGCGAAAGTTTGTTGTCTTGGGCGAGGGTGTAGGGGAGTCGTTGGCGAACCTAACGCCGCGGATGACGGTGTTGTCCTTGAGGCCACGGACGCTAGCGAGATGGCCTTTGACCATGACGATGAATGAGGGCGTGCTAGGCGGGAGACGTGCGGGTTGCCGTGGGGCTGGCTTGGGGAGGGCCTGCGAGTTGCGAACGGAAGCAGAGAGGTGGCCTTCGGTCTTCATGTGGCGCGAGTAGCGCTTGTAAATTGCGCCTAGGTCTCCGCGACTGTCTCGTCGGCTGTCTCGTCGCAAGTCTCGCTCCTTTGGAGGAGGGGTGGGGAAGCTGTAGTGGTTCAGTACAGAGTCCGGGTCTTGCTCCAGTTCCCAGACATATGAAGTGATGCTGGACATGGAGGTGCGGTATGTGTTTGTCGAGTATACGGACAAAGTGTTGTTGAAGTTGTACGACTGGCGCTGCCATATTCGCTCATCTGGGAGCGTTGCAGAGTCTGGGGTTGAGGGCTGCTCGTCATCGGAACTTGGGGGTGAAGAGCAGGCTGAGGGTGGACTGAGGGCCTCAATCGCGGCCATGTAGTGCTTCTCGGCCGCGTTGAGCTCCTTGAACCGGTTCTTCAGCGTAGATTGCCTGGCCAGAGTGTCGTGAGAGAGGGCAGCGTAGAAGTTGAGATATGCCAGATGTACGGGGTGGGTCTGCCTGTTGATTAGCTACTGCTTTGTGTTGTTGTTGATACTCCAAACATGGAAATGTGTGTCCATGTTTACGTACCTCTTCATCCACCTCCTTCAACAACTGTTCAGCATACTGTACACACTGTGTGTACTGTCGACTAAGATACATTTGCTTGAGAGCCCTCATGCTCTCCCTCAGCTCAGCTTGCTTGGCGTGCTTCAACATGTCGCTCAAATTCGCAAATGTCTCGTTTGCGCGGAAGCCACTCGGATTAGAGTTGAGTGAATTATAGCGAGAAAAGAGTTGTCGTGAGTGGGAGGCCGGACGTGAGGATGCAGGACGAGTGAAAGCGATGCCTGGGGAGAGTAGGGCACTCTCGTGGTACTTGGCGTGTGAAGCCAGCTTCAAAGATTATGCTGATTGAAATGCGGAAGAGCTAAGAGAATCGCGCGATTATTCTAGGCAGTGCAGGCGCAGGGACGAGGGTGAAATGAAATGGGTTTGAGTTAATGCGCGCAGTAACTACTCTTTCCTCTTTGGTCGAATGTTACGAGTTCAGAAGATGCCAGCATTCAAGAAGATAGTGCACAACAATGCTGCTACCAGAGCGCTTAATAGAATAATGCAAAAGTTAGGAAAAGCAATACAAATGCCCGTAGGGTGGCCATTAAGTATATAGTTCTCAAGACCAGCCCCGCTACTAACGGCCGTTCGAACAGGTGCAGGAGGCGTGGGAGGGGCGGTTGTTTCAGGGTTCGTGATGGGGTAGATTTGTTTCACAGCCCACCTATCCTTGCATCTAGCCCAGCTAGGTTTGCCTAAGATAGTCAGGCACCGCACCATACAGGCTAGAGCTCGCAGAAAGTTTATCAGGCCCTGCCTGACGTGCAGTGTGCGTCGCAAGTTTTCGACCGTACCTGAGTCGTTATCCAGTCGTCACCGGGCGACGGATGGTGGGAAGATTCATCGTCGGTCTTACATGCATGCGATAATCGCTTCGATGGTTCCGAAGGCCGCACGCGCTACCTGCCGTCTAAATGTAAGCACAACAACACCCGTGTTCTTGGACTATAGCATGAAAAAAGATAGCCATCAGATACCCGAATCTGGTAAATTTGAGGGATCTTGTCTCTGTCTGGTGAGGTTGAAGGCAAAAGTAACGCGGTAACTATGACACCGCACTGATTAAACATGTTGACCTTAGCCATGTTTCGATACTGAGGCAGAAAGAGTCAGCCTATATGATGCCTGCGACAAGAACGACCGATTCGGAGCCCAGAACTTGGAAGGCTAGGCATACTGGAACGAGACGGTGGATAACCACAGGGAACATCATTGTAGTTGGCTTAGTCAATAGTCACTTAATCAGCTGATTGAAGTTTCCTCGCGTCACCTTGAGACATGTCAATACACCGAGCGGGCGTCCTCATACAGTGAAGTGAATGTGCCCTCGTATGCGCCTGGACCATGCAACTGCTCAGAAAATCGTATGTATCATCACAAAAACACGAGGTGGCCAAGGGTAGTCTCCCTGAACTGGCTAATACAAAAGAGCTATGAACTGAACAGATGCTTATTCTACACAGCCCGTGAGGGAGATGGCACCGGATGCTCGGGATATCAAGTCTAATGCTCCTAGAGCGCTTAACCCTCGGAAGCGGCCGCACCGGTAATAATCTCGACAAGTTCGCCAGTGATGACAGCTTGACGAGTTCGGTTGTAGAGAATCTGGAACTTGTTGATCATCTCTCCAGCGTTCTTGGAGGCATTGTCCATGGCGTTTTGACGCGCAGACTGCTCGCAAGCGTGACCCTCGGCCAGCGCCCAGAAGAGCGAGTTGGCAAGAGCGTACTCACGGAGGTTGGGAAGGACCTCATCCTCAATCTCGAAAGCAGCAAAGTTTGCTATTTTCACTGTTAGACATGGCATCTCTCACTGCAGGAATGCGACATACCGGACGCAGCAATGGCCTCCTCAGAGAAAGCCTGCTGGATAGTGGCCTCGTAACTCGAAGCGTTGATGAATTTGTTGTAGACGATCTGAACGGAGGCGTAGTCGGTGGGCAGCATGGAGATCTGGTCGGCAATGTGGAGGGAGTCGGCAAAGGTAGGGACGTCCTTTCCGGCACCAGCGAAGGACAGAACCATGTTCTTTCCGTTGGAACGACCCAATTGCGCCTTGCACTTCTCGCCAATGACAGCCAGGTCGGTCTCAGGAGCCTGAGCGAGCATGGCCCTGACCTTCCTCGACATTCCAGAGTGGATACCACCGCAGAGACCCTTGTCTGAACTGCAGACGATGATCAAGCTCTTCTTGCCCTCGCCCTCAATTGGCTTGGTCTCGGCGCTCTCGAACACGGTGTTGGACGTCTGGCCGTACTTGCGGGACTCGGTCATGGCCCTCTGGGCGCGGGTGAGCTTGGTGGAAGCGACAACCTTCATGGTCTTGGTGATCTTCTCGATGTTGCGAATCGACTTGAGACGGCCCTCGATTTCACGCAGGGTGGCATAGCCGGCGACATTGGAGGCAGTAAGGGTGGCAGGCCTAGATTCAAAAGTTCCAGTCAGCACCTGATGCAGTTGGCGATGCAATTGACCCGCAATGGGGGGGTTCAATGGCGCGAGAAAAGCTGCCAATTCGAGCGGGAGCGTACCGGGCGGCGGCGGCGGCCATACCAGCCTTGAAGGCCGGGCGCGCAGCTCGTGACAGCATCATGGCTACGGGAATTGAGATGAGTGGAGATGGCGACAGCCGTGTGGTGTTGCTTCACTGCTGTCTTTGCTGAACGCAAGCTTGTGTCGGACAATCGGCATGCTGAATTGCTTTGCGTGCCAAGAGCCAAGCATCACGTGAGAGCACTCGATCTCGCAGAGTCGCTTGACCACCCAGCGGCGCAGGCCCTGTTTGTGACACCCGCGTGACAATTTGATTGTATTCCTGGCTCGCTATTGTCCTTGGGGCAGGCAGTAGAACAGCAGACGCCATGTTGTGGGTGCGCTGATTTAGGCGGACATAGGCAGGAGCGAGCAACGATCGATCAAACAAAGAGGTGGCAAGCATACCAGGCTCCCTCACACACACACCCACCTCATGTCAGCTTACATGTAATTACCATACATTACCGTACATATCTGCAATAATCCTGCCTTGGTCTTGTCGTCTGATTGTGAGAAAGCCGGTGGTTGTGGTGAGGTTACGCACCTGTTACGGGCAGTTAGTGGCCTCGATTTGGTGAAGGCCGAAGACCGTGCGCCGGTGGACTTAGCAGCGAAGCACATGTGGTGTCCCTGGGGCTGCGCTTCACTTAAACTCAGCATTCCTCTTTTCCACTCGTCCTTCGTCGTGTCCTCTCTCCCTCCGCCACCATCATCGCCTCAATCGCTTCAATCGCCCTGCGTCTCAGCCGGTGTCCGGGACGCGCTTCTTTACGACTGTCGCTTTCCTCCGGCACTCGTACTCTTACCTCAGCCAGATCGACTGTGTCCGCGACCAACAACGCTGCACACGTCCGTTCGCTTCTTCGTTATCCGCGACTGCAGCACGCGCCCACCGCTAGCAACATGTCTTCCTCAGACGACGACACGCCTCTGGCGAGAGGAAAAGACCAAGGTGAGTCTACTGTCTATGTACCCGTCGACAAACTGCGCTTTTTGCGCGCGCCATGCCCATCTCACCTTTCACGCGCCCATCTCCCTCGATAAATTTCGCCCTTTCCTTTTCCAACCTTCCACTCCTCACCACATCCTTCGTCTCATTCTCTGCGTCGCAAGCTGTGCAAGTCTACCAAAAATTTCGACAAGGCTGACCATAAGCTCGTACAGCAAAGTCAAGCGAACAAATTTCCAAGGAGGAAGTTATGAAGATGGACGCCGAGGCCCCTTCGAATGGCCATGTTGAGCCTGGCATCTCCATTCGCATGGGCCCTGTAGACAACGACAAAATGGACATCGATGCGCCTGAGACCAACGGAAACGCTGCTGGAAAGCGCAAATCGCGCGGCAGTATACCAAACGGCAAATCGTACAAGGACGCAAGCAGTTCAGAGGAAGATGCCAAGCCACTGGTACGTTCAATTACGCGACATGTATACGTCTTGCGCCCAGCTAATCCTTGACCAGAATAAGCGCCGGCGAACATCACAGCAAGCCAAACCTGTCAAAGACGAATCTGACTCTGAACTCAGCGATGTTCCTCTTAGAGCCAGGGTGTTGCCCAAGGCAAGCGCCGAGCAAATCGGAGAATCTGCCGACTCCGACGTACCCCTGGCCACGAAGCTCACCAAGAAGAAAGAGTCCATCGAAAAGGCTGCAGCAAAGGAGGCAAAGGCTATTCGCACCAAGGACAAGGCTGCTCCGAAGCGCAAGCAGAAGGTTGAGAGCGAGAGCGAAGAGGACGTTCCTCTTGTCAAAAAGAGGGCCCCGGCGAAGAAGACAAACGGCGTAAAGAAGCAGGAATCCGACTCTGATGCGCCCATTGCGAAGAAGTCGGCCGCAAAGAAGGCTACCAAGGCGAAGCCTGCTGCAGCGGCACCTGCAAAGAAGACAAAGGCCAAACCGAAGGAGGAGACTGAGCAAGACAACGAGGCTGCTGACGAGGAGGATGAGTACCGCTGGTGGGACGACCCAGGCAAGAACGACGGCACTAAGAAGTGGGATACTCTGGAACACGCTGGTGTTGTCTTCCCCCCTGAGTACGAGCCGTTACCCAAGCACGTCAAACTGGTCTATGACGGCGTACCCGTCACATTGCACAAGGACGCTGAAGAAGTAGCTACTTTCTACGGAAGCATGTTGAACTCCACCCACAACGTCGAGAACCCTACCTTCAACAAGAACTTTTTCGAGGACTTCACTGCCATCTTGGACAAAACCGGACATGGCAAGGACAAGAACGGCAACACGATCAAGATCAAGAAATTCGAAAAGTGCGATTTCAAGCCCATCTTTGAGTGGTTCGACGCAGAGCGCGCAAAGAAGAAGGCTCTGTCAGCCGCAGAGAAGAAAGCGCTCAAGGCGGAGAAAGAGGCCGCAGAGGCCGACTACATGTACTGCTTGTGGGACGGTCGCAAGCAGAAAGTCGGCAACTTCCGGGTTGAACCTCCTGGCCTGTTCCGTGGCCGTGGTGAGCATCCCAAGACTGGTCGTGTGAAGAAGCGGGTCATGCCCGAGCAGATCACCATCAACATTGGCGAGAATGCAAAGGTCCCAGAGCCTCCTGCCGGTCACCGTTGGAAAGAGATCAAACACGATCACGAAGGCACCTGGCTTGCCATGTGGCAAGAGAACATCAACGGTGCCTACAAGTACGTCATGCTTGCTGCGAACTCCGACATCAAGGGCCAGAGTGACTTCAAAAAGTTTGAGAAGGCACGAGAACTCAAGAAGCATATCGATCGCATTCGGAAGGATTACCGGAAGGATCTCAACTCCAAGATGATGGCTGATCGCCAACGTGCTACCGCCATCTACCTCATCGATCAGTTCGCCCTCCGTGCTGGTAACGAGAAGGGAGAAGATGAGGCGGACACCGTCGGTTGCTGTTCGCTCAAGTTCCAGCACATCACCCTGAGGCCTCCGGAGACGGTCATATTCGATTTCTTGGGTAAAGACAGTATTCGCTTCTACGACGAAGTCAAGGTCGACCCACAAGTCTTCAAAAACTTGAAGCTTTTCAAGAAGGAACCCAAGACTACCGGTGATGATATCTTCGACAGACTGACTACGTCGGCTCTGAACAAGCATCTGACGAGCTACATGCCTGGACTCACTGCCAAGGTCTTCCGTACCTACAACGCCTCCTACACCATGGCTAGGTTACTCAAGGAGATGAAGGCTACCGGTACAGTTCAAGAGAAGGTCAAGGCCTACAACGATGCCAATCGCGAAGTCGCCATTCTGTGTAATCACAAGCGCACCGTCGCTGCCAGTCACGCCACGTCCATCGAAAAAATGAACGAGAGGGTTAGTTGCCACGTCATGTTTTCATCAAATCTAAGCTAACATATGTAGATTAATGGTCTCCGTTATCAAGCCTGGAGAACAAAGATGATGATGATCGATGTCGACCCAAAGATCAAGAAGAAAAAGGGCGCCGAATACTTTGAGCGACCTGAGGATCTCGACGACGAGTGGGTCAAGCAACACCAGGACGCTGAGGTCGAAGAGATGCGCCAGAAGATCATCAAGAAGTTCGAAAAGGACAACGAGAAACTCAAGGCCGACGGCGAGAAGGAGCTGAAGCAGAAGGAGCTGAATGAGCGTCTGGAGAAAGCCGAGGAACTGGCCGCCAAGTACAAGAAAGAGAACAAGACTGGCAAGATCGAAGCTGAGGGCAAGGGCCCGACAGTGGAGAAGCTGGAGGCCAATGTCGAGAAGATTGTCCAGCGCATTGAGAACATGAAGATCCAGATGGAGGACAAGGAAGGCAACAAGGAGGTTGCTCTTGGCACGTCCAAGATTGTAAGTCACACCACCTCAGTGGTACACGATGCTCGGCTAACCACATGCAGAACTACATTGATCCTCGTCTCACCGTGGTCTTCTCCAAGAAGTTTGGTGTCCCTATTGAGAAGTTCTTCTCCAAGACACTCCGAGAGAAGTTTGACTGGGCCATCAAGTCGGTTGACGAGAACTGGGAGTTTTAAGAGGCGGATATGATTTGTAGATTTTGTTAGTCTTCGGACATGTTCGTGTGGGTGCATATGGCATCATGGGGTGTGACTAGGCGATTCGAGGCAAAAAGGCATGGCATTTATTGCACATGTCCTACATGCTGCGAGCGGGACAGGCCGGCAACGATAGTTTGCTTAGTAGCCTTCGGGCTTATTGCATGGCGACGAGGTACACGTTTTTAGAAGCTCTATAGGCTCCTTCACAATACTACACAAAATCAAGACTGCGTCTGAAACACCTGGGTGACATGAAATACTTGACATGCTAGTGTATGAAAGCTAGTGTGGGCGTCAGATGGGGCTGTTGGGAATGGAATGGTGGGGTTTATCTACACTGTCGCTGTCAAGTATTTCATGTCATCCAAGTGGAAATGGATTTCTGCATATGCAAGTGCGGGACGATCCTGATAGCCTGCAGCTTCCGTGCATGAACGGCTGTTCTGGTGCGAGGTGCCTCAGGATGAACTATGACCCGTCTGGACTTCAAGCGTTCGTGCATCCGCGGAGCGACATCAGTCGTCCATGCACAAGCACAAATGTCTGTGTATAAGAGACATGTGGCTTATAGCGGTGAGAAGAGTAGTTCCGGGCCAATGGATAGTCTCTTGTACCTGCTTTTCCGTCGCCGATTGCTTGGGAGTACAGATCATGGATCATCAGGCTGTACTACGGAGTACCGATTGATCTCGGGATTGTACGACACGAATTGCGTGGGGACACATTGCAAGGCTTGGTGCTCGTTTTTCGAAGATGAGGGCTGTGCACGTTCAAGTCATGGTTACGGTACAGGTGCACAATTTCCGCGGCGGTCCTATACATGGTAGATTTCGCAGGGGCGGTTACGTAGTAGCCCCGAGGGTGGTAGTATCTTGCAACACGTAGTGTGATTGCCGTCGCCGTCTTGGAGGGTGCCATGTGTGTCTGGTGCCTACAATGGCCTTTGTACACTGGTACGTCAAGTATTTCATATCACCCTGGTGGGAGCGAAGTTGACGGCGCGAGGACGGGCGGTGGGAGAAGGATCACGTCGTCATGAGGCATGATCTTCATGCAGGTTAGACGTTAAGCTAGGCGATCGGCTCCAGAATTGCTAGCTCGTACAGGAAAGCGGAAAAGGTCACAAAGGCAAAAGCTCAGCGCGGCGACTCCGCACTTGATTGCTTTTGGTCAGGTCGGTTATCGGCCGTTGATAGATGACGATAGTCAGCGCCCGCCAGTGACCACATGTCGGACTCAGCCCAACGAAGCCGCTCAACTGCAGTGTTTGTTATTACGGGTAGGCAGAGGCTATGTGTGGAGGACGGATTGGCTTCCCCTGAAGGCCACCCCACTTTGGGCTGTCATGACCCAAGTCTAAGAGGTCGAGGCCAGGTCCAGCACTGCGGGAGCGCGCCGTCGTCGACTGCCCGCGTCCCATGGTCCATCTCCCGCGACAACCGCTACATGTTGGAGGGAACAGCAACGTCATAAGTTGAAGATGGTGTGATGGAGCCAAGCAGACGGGCCTGTGCCCGCACCTGACCTCTGCAGGGTATCGCGAGAAGAAAGGGCTGGGGTCTGGCTACATTGGACTCGTAGACGAATGCATAACATTCTCGGTCGACTTACGGAGCGGACTGTGACGGTGTGAGAGGGTAAGCCGGAAGTGCCCAACCAGAGCTGCTGCGGCCATGTTTGTTTTTGCAAGCTGCAAGTAGGAAAATCCTCATAATGATAGACGTGTGAGCACAAATCTGCACCATCTTTGCGTATGCTGCACATAGAAATATCGGCCTGACCTACCCCCCCTCCTGCGGGTCAATGAATCGCACACATTGGGCCTGAGCTATATGACATCGTTGCCCGTGCCGCGGTATCCTACTTTGAGCATCCCAGAGTCCTCTTCGCGCCCTGCACCCTCTCTGACCCCAATCGCACCCACGCACGCACACTCGCTCGCTCGCCCTCCCGCGAACACTCTCACCGAGAGTCTCCGACATATACCGTCATCCGTCCGTACCTTTCTCGCGAACCAAGGTCTGAGCGCTGAGCATTGAGCGCCTTCCGCAACGCTCAGACTCCACCCCCGAATTTGGCATTACAAGACACCATCCGCCCACTGCGCCGTTGTTACCCCCCTTAGCGACCTTCTTGCGCAAACAAGAGACGTAGATCGGAAGAAACTTGTGCGACGCCAAACACAATGGCCGCTGAACAGGCCAACGGTGGAGAGAAGCCCGCGGTGCTCATAATAGGCGGATTGGGTAACGAGGCTCCCACCATCCCGCAAGACGCGACTGCAGTACTGATTGTGCGCATTAGGCTATACTGGACGCCACCTGACAAAGTACATTTACGACAACAAGCTCGCTTCCGAAATACGCATTGTCGACAAGCATCTGCCAGAGCTTGCATGGCTCGCCCCAGAATTCAAGGAAGCATGTTCAAGAGAGCGCTTCATCCAGGCCGATGCCGCGCAAGAGAGTGCGTTCTCAACGCATGACTACAACCACCAATTCGACGCTAATTTCCACCCATAGAATCCCTTCCGCGGATATTCGATCGTGAAGGCGGCGCACAGTTTGACTATGTCTTCAACTGCGGCGGCGAGACGCGCTTCTCCCAAGAGGAAAAGGTCTACGAACTCCGCTCCTACGGCCTCTCCATGGCTCTCGGCCGAGAGGCTGCGAAACGCAAAGTCAAAGTCTTTGTCGAGCTGAGCACCGGCATGGTTTACAAGCCCGATAGCACACCCCGCAAAGAGACGGACAAGACGAAGCCGTGGTCCAATCTGGCAAAATGGAAGCTCAAGGCCGAGGAAGATCTGGCCAAGATTGACGGTCTGAACCTGATGGTGCTGAGGTTTGCACATGTCTACGGTCCTTATACGAGCAAGTTTCTGAGCACAGCGTTATGCATGGCCCGCGTCTACCAGAGCAAGGGCAAGGAAATGCGTTTCCTATGGAAGGAGGACTTGCGCACAAACTTGGTACATGTTGAAGATTCTACACGGGCACTTTGGCACGGCGCGGAGTGGTATGCCAAGGGTACTCCTGGTCGCCGGCCGGCACCTGTCTTCAACATTGTGGATCATGGCAACACTGGTACGTCATTACATTCATCGGTTTCTTCTCGGCGCTTGACACTAACACGGTCCCAGCACAAAAACAGACAGCCCAGATCATTGGCGAGATATTCAAGATGGAGACGGGCTTCCACGGTACCCTCATCTCCGCTTTTGCAAGACTCAACCTTGATCACGTAGTCGACGACGTCAACGACGAGACTCTGGACCCATGGGCGGAACTGCAGCAGAAGGCTGGCATCAGCCAATCTACACCACTTACCCCGTACATGGAGAAGGAACTCATTAAGGATGCAGACCTCAGTATGGACGGAAGCGCCTTTGAACGCGAGACGGGATTCAAGTAAGTAGAGGAGATTCGGTATAATTGACAAAATACTAATCCGCAAACAGATACAACATTGAGAGGATAACCAAGGAGAAAGTCGAAGAGGTCATTGAGAGTTACAAGAGGATGAACTGGTGGCCGTAAAAGACCCCCTTTATCGACCACTTCAACCTCAACATCTCGCAAACGGCCATCATCGCTTGCCACGACCATTCTCACGACCCCTCCGACCAATCTTTGTTATACCCAAACCTCCTTCCTTCCTCTATTCTACATTGGGATCAATCCGTTCCGTTCAGTATCGTGTCCCCGCTTGCATCGTTCGGAGCTTTTTGGCTGGGTGGCATCAACTCGACTCGTCTGTATCGCCTATCACGTTCGGTATTGTTTCCTCTCCTCTCACACAGTCATCGGTGCAGGTGGACTCGCTCTTCTCCTTTGTCGCTATTCTTTCTATATGTCTGATTCTTGACTTTGGTGGAAAGTAAGAGGTTTCAAATCGGTACTGTAGGGTTCGTTTCATCCTGGCACTGTAAATGGAGCATGAGATATTATTGGTGTTACATACCCCCTCAATCTAGCTTTTATTCCTTGTATGTTTTGACACCACCTTTGGCTTGTAATCCATGTTGCCAAAGTTGTCCCCATGTGTGTCTTCTCCACTCCACTCATCCTTCTCCTAGATTACCAATCAGTAGCCAGACCATGGGCGATGTGGAAATGGGGAAATTGAAATGGGAAAGCGTCAGTGAAGATGTATAACAGCAACAACAAAACAAAATATGCGAAAGCAAATAAACATGTCTTTTATTCTTCCCATGTAAAGGTTTCTGCATCTATTTTTGCTTATACACGAACCCAAGGAATGGCCACTTTCAGAGAAGAACACAATCAACCCCGCAGGCCTTCTAGGATACATACCCTAACCCAAGCGAACTGGCTTACTCAATCTTCATCTTCTCAAACTGCTGAATACTAGCCTCCCAGTTCTTGGCCTCTAGCTCAGCAGCCTTGAGCTTCTCCTTCTCCTGCTCCTTGACAGCATCACTAACCTTCTGCTCCCACTCATCGTCCATGATCTTCTTCTGGCGAGTAATCGTCTCGTTCGCCTTTGTGAGTCTATCCTGGGCTTTTGTAATCTCCTTGTCGAGCTCAATACGGCCCTTGACATCGAGGTATGCCGTCGCCGAGGTGCCGATGGTGTACACGGCACAGCCTGATGGTGCGGATTCCGAGGGTGAAAGGATCGTGATATCGGCGACGGTCTTACCAGCAAGAGAGCGGATGGATGGGAGTGATGTGGGTGAGGAGAGGGTGGTGTGTGCGGCGTCGTTGAGAGACTGGATGTATGTGGATGCGCCCTCTTTGATTGCGTATTCGGCAGTGAGGGAACGGAGACCCTTTGCGCTGTCGACGAGAAGCTCGTATTCGGCGTTTGCCGTCTCGTCATCAAACTCTTGCGAGTACTGAGGGAATGTTGCAATAGTGATGGAAGGCGTCTTGTCACCTTGCCTTCGGGGAAGTCGCTGCCAGAGCTCTTCTGTGAGGAAGGGCATGAACGGGTGAATCATGGTCAGACCACCCTCGATGGCCGTGTAAAGTGTCTGCTTCGCACTTTCCTTCTGCTCTTCGCTGCCTTCATCGAAGATCGCCTTGCTGTTCTCGATGTATGTGTCGCAGAGGTAGACGTAGAAGTACTTGTAGGCGACCTGGGTGGCAAGACTGAACTCGCGCGCCTCCAGGTGGTCGTTGATCTTCTTTGCAGCGGTATTAAGCTGGTGAAGGATATAGCGCTCGGGTAATGACTCTACGCCTGTCTTTGCGATCTTTTCCCGAGGTGTGAATGAGTCTCCCAAACGCCCAATAACGTACTTGGTGGCTTGGTAAATCTTGTTACAGAACCTTCGGTAGCCGTGAATGACCTAGATAAGGTACTGTCAGCATGTACACAAATATAGAGCAGAAGAAGCTAATAGTATCGGGTCAGACTTACGTTGACGTCGAATGAGATATCCCCTCCTCCTGTGGTGTAGCCAACAAGGGCCATGCGCAAAGCATCTGCACCACACTCGGGAATACCCTGAGGGAACGCCGTCTTCTGATACTTCTCCGCTTTGGTCAACTCCTTGGGGTCTAGGTTGCCGGCACGAAGCTGGTCGTGGAGCTTCTGAAGGGTGATACCGTCCATAATATCGACAGGGTCGACGACGTTACCCAGTGACTTGGACATCTTCCTACCCTCTGAGTCGCGAATGAGCGAGTGGCAGTAGACTTCCTTGAATGGAACTTTGCCAGTGAGGTATAGTGAAAGGAAAATCATCCTAGCAACCCAGAAGAAGAGAATATCCCATCCAGTCTCCAACACAGAGGTAGGGAAGAGCTTTTCGAAATCGGCAGTCTGGTTTGGCCATCCCAAAGTCGAGAATGGCCAGAGACCTGAAGAGAACCATGTGTCGAGCACATCTTCATCCCGCGATAGCGTGAATGTCGCCCCGGGGAACTTCTTCTCGGCCTTTGCTCTCGCCTCTTCTTCTGTGCGGCCAGTGACCCAGAACTGATCTTCACTTCTGGCGTTATCTTTACCTTCCAGCTCAATAAAGTAGGCTGGTACCTGGTGACCCCACCACAGCTGTCGAGATAAACACCAGTCCTGGATGTTGTTCATCCAGTGCATGTAGACCTTCTCAGAGGTAGCGGGTCGGATCTTGATGTCGCCCTTCTCTACAGCTTCAATGGCAGGCTTGGCCAAGCTGTCCATCTTCATCCACCATTGCGGCTTCATGATTGGCTCGATGACGTCGCCAGACCTTGAGCAGATTGGGACCTTCATCGGGTTGGGTTCCGTCTTCACGAAGAGACCCTCCTTCTTCAGCGCATCAACAACGGTGTAACGGACATCGAAGCGCTTCTGGCCCTCAAACTTGCCAGCATTCTTGTTCATGGTACCATTGTCGTTCTGCAGTCGTTAGTAAGCCGAAAAGTCGGCAAAGATGGATACATACCAGAATATTGATGAACTCAAGCCCGTGCTTCTTGCCAAGGTTGAAATCGTTGGGGTCGTGTGCGGGTGTCAACTTGACAGCTCCAGTACCGAACTCGGGATCCACGTAGTCGTCTGCAACGATGGGCATGAGGCGATCGATGAAGGGGTGCTTGGCCTTCTTGCCGACCAAGTGCTTGTAACGCTCATCCTTGGGATGGACAGCGATACCAGAGTCACCCAGCATAGTTTCCGGACGAGTGGTAGCCATCTCGATGAATTGGTCTGTACCCTCAATGGCGTACTTGACAGAAAGTTAGTGTATAGCCGTTGTAGTGGTGATGCTCTACATACCTTGAAATGAGTAAGAACACCAAACTCGACCATTCTCTCGTACCCAGGCACGGATAGCTTGGTAGGGCCCGCCAGGTCTTTGTTGTCGACTTCCAGTGTGCTAAGTGCGGTGTTGAGCGCCGTGCACCAGTTAACCAGTCGATTTGATCGGTAGATGAGACCGTCTTCGTGTAATCGGACAAAAGTTTCTGTGACAGCCTTCGATAGGTTCTCGTCCATTGTGAAAGCCTCGCGTGTCCAATCAAACGAACCACCCATTCTCCGTAAAGTGTGGGTGAGATGCTGATGGTATTCTTCCTTCCACTCCATGGTCCTCTCGAGGAACTTTTGACGACCGAGATCGTATCGTGTCTTGTTCTCCCTACGCTTGAGCATCTTCTCTACCACACTCTGTGTCGCAATACCGGCGTGGTCGCATCCTGGCAGGTACAATGTAGTGTAGCCCTTCATCCTGTGCCATCGTATAAGGACATCCTGAAGACTCGTAGCAAGTGCGTGGCCGCAGTGAAGCTTGCCTGTGACGTTGGGTGGAGGGATAGGAATGACAAAGTGCCCAGGGCTCTTGACATCACCCTTCTCAGTGAATTCGGGCTTGAAGAAACCCTGTGCATCCCACCAAGCATCCCATGCCGACTCTACGACCTTGGGAATGTAGGCCTTTGTGTATGGACCATCCAAGCTCTGCAGACGCTTCTTCTCCCCCTTGGGTGTCTCCTCGACGTATTCGGGCAATTGCTCTTCCTCCTTGCCTTTCTTCTTCTTCTCTTTGGCAGGAGCAGAACCAGCGTCCTTGCTGGCGCCGGCAGCTGCAGCCTTTTTTGCCTTGAACTTTGCATCCTTCTCGGCCTTCTTCCTCTCCTTCTCGAGTTCTTTGGCCGACTTCTCTTTCTTCTCTACACCCTTCTCGTTCTCGCGGCCGGGCGCATGTTGGCCAACAGCATCAGTCTCTGCGGCACTGAGAATGTCCTTCTTGACATCGCCGCTGACTTCGGGTGGAGGCGCGGTATTGGGCGTCGTCTTCTCGCCGGTCGTGTTGTGGGAGGATGCATTGAGCGCCATGGTCGCGGTCGAGTAGTGGTGTTGATGTGTGAGCACGCGCTCAGCGTGGGCGTGATGACGGTGAAGTGCAGTGTAAATTGGCGATCGCAATTGCAAGCGAGGTCGAGCGAGATATACTAGGTTTCGTCTACGGGCAGCGCGCAGTGTAGTAGGCGCGGTGCGGGGCAACATTAACAAAAAAGTGCCTGGGTGTGAGTCGTCCCAAGTCCAGGCTGCATTACCCCACATCAACCAAGCCCGAGCTTCAGTTCCCACATGCATGTCATCGCCCGCCGGAGCACCTGGGTGACATGAAACACTTGACAGCAACAGTATGGGTGAACCCCCAGTATTCTATCACCAATAGATATTTTTGACGCCTATAATAACTTTTGTATACTGGGCTTTCAGCTATTTCATGTCACCCAGGGAGCCAGCCTACAGCCCCAGGGGCATTATCATAGAACTCAGTGAACTTGCATACATCGATCATGTCAACGCGAAGATAGAAACACTCCGGTACCCCAACGGAGCACTCCGTTGGTCAACATTTTCCTTCATCATTTCCACTGGGCAGCTTCATTCTCAATCACATATGATTTATTCCATGACACAACGATTCACAACACCATGACGAGTCATTGAGTACATTCCAGGGCACATATATTGAAACTTTTAGGCAACCGACCAGCACCCCGGAAATGCATTGTCGATATTGTAGCCTTAAGTTTTGATTGCTCCTTGACGCCAACAACGGACCACTATCATCCCGCATCGCTTAGACAAGAAAATCTTCCAGTGCCTTGCCGTATACACCTGTCCCAGCATGAGTCATATCCTTGCGTGTAGATAGACACTGCAGCTATGCTCAGTGCCGACCAGAGAGTTGAGTGAAAGGGAAGAATGGATTACAAGTTTCGCCGCTTGAACTTTCATGCAATTACCGAAGTTCTAATAACTTGAATAGGGTATCTCAATCATGCCGCAGTGCTATTCTGCTGCGCAGCCTGTCGGACGGGAGCAAAATAGGGATGTGACATGGCTTCTTGGGCAGTGAGTCGGTCCTAGCATACACGTCAGGATGTGGAAGCTGGATGATTGTTCTCATATGGACTTACCTGATGGTCGTATCGGAGCAGCTTATCAAGAAAGTCAATGGCGTCGTTACTGACAAATCGTTGGTTCTCGGCGTTGATGAACGAGTGCCAAGGCTTCTTCGGATACCGACTAAGTATGTCGTCGTACTGGGCATCTAGTTCAATGTCGTACTTGTCAAGATAGTCGAACAGATCCTCAGTTCCAAGGACTTTGGCAATTTTAACAAGTTGGTCCGAGTTGCTGTTGCCGTGGAAGAAGGGTTCCCGCCTAAAGATCATAGAGGCAAACATGGCGCCCAGCGACCACATGTCGAGCGAATAATCATACTCCTGGAAATCGACGAGTAGCTCGGGGCCCTTGAAGTAACGTGACGCAACACGAACGTTGTATTCAGTTCCTGCGTGGTAGAATTCCGCCAGACCCCAGTCAATTAGGCGCAACTGCATCGCGTTAGTAAGTGGCTACCGTCTCTAGGCGAGTGCTCTGACCTTGCGCTTCTCATGGTCGATCATAACGTTGTGAGGCTTGACATCACGGTGCATGATGCCTTTGCTGTGGCAATAGTCCAGGGCCTTGAGGAGCTCGAAAATATAGTACCGCACGTCGTAGTCCTGGAACTTTGGGTAAAGACTCCGGAAGTCGGTGTTGTTGACATATTCAAAAATGAGCGATGGAGTTTTGCTCTATGTGTCGCGCGTTAGCAACCCATGCAGACAGAGAAGAACACGCGAAAAAACAGTACCCAGTCGCCAATCCAATCGGAGCCATCACTAACCTGATTATCGCGCACCACGTCCAGCAGCGAGACGATGTTGGGCCCGCCCGACAAGTTTTGCAGAATCTTGATCTCGCGCTTTATCTTCTTCTTCTTGACAGGCTTGAGGACCTTGATGACGCATTTCTGGTAGTTGACGACGTTGATGCCCTCGAAGACTTCGGAGTACTTTCCGCGGCCGATCTTGCGGACCACCTCGTAGTTTTCGAGCACGCCCCAGGAGATGTTGACGGAATCGTAGTCCCAATACGAGCGGGGCATGTTTGCATTCACGTCTGCGTAGACGCGGGCGATGCTCGTGGCGCCCGTCGAGTTGTTCAGCGCCATGTTGGCAGCGAGAGTGTCTTTAGGGTACGGCGACGTGCCGGAAACGGTCCTGGAGATATCTTGGGTGGTGGAGGGAGTCGAGTAGTCAAGTGGTGGGGTGAAGAAACGGACGCTGGCGGGACCAAGCACGAAGACAAAGCCAAGACCAGCAAGCAAGGCGAGCGCTACTGCCTCGTTCCGGGTGAAGAGGCCAAAAAGGCGGTCACGATGGTCGCGGCGGGCCTTCTGTGCGGGCTTTGAGGCCGGATCGTGGGTAGTGGTGAGCTCTGGCGGCTCGTGGTGGTGGTGTTGCAGGCTGGCTTGTGGGCGTTAGGCTAGTTTCCAAGCTTCAGCAGGCAAGCCCGGGCCAAGCTTTTTGGGCCGGACGGGTGGGCAAGGTTTTGACGCGAACGTGCAGGCCTGAGGCGGGCAAGCTGATGACGATCTCCCAAAGTTCTCATTCTCACTTACAACTTTTGGCACCGCGATTCCGCACCGCCTTCACGCCTATCTCGACCTTTTCACCCACTGCCGTCATGTTCCACGACTTGCACGTCCCCTGGACGGATGCGACGCGCGAACTGCAGCGCACCGTGGCCTTTCTCGACGAATGTGAGCTTGTTTGCGCCCTTGCGTCGTAGTCGTAGGCGCGGGCAGGGTGGACTGACGCGATGCAGTAGGATACGATGTAATTGCTCTCACGCACACGTATTCCGGAAAACTGCCCTCAGATATTGTAGGTAGCAGGGAAGCTGTGACTCCCCCTTATTTGCATTTACCCTGATGATTCCGAACCTGCATCCGCTTGCGCCTGCCATCATTCGCTAATGGGCGCTCCTCCAGAGCTCGCCGATACCGACGAAACTCCCCTTCCCCACACCCGCCCACATGCGTATACTGCGCCGTTGCAACATCTTCCTAACCGACGCCGCCTCCAACTTTCGTATCCCTCAGCTGCAGCAGCAATACGACCTCGTTGCTGCCCGGCCAACCGACGAGCGTACCCTCCAACAAGCATGCCAGAGTCTAGATGTAGATATAATCTCGCTGGACCTGACTCGCCGATTTGAAACCCATTTCAAATTCCCCATGCTGGGCACGGCCATCTCCCGTGGTATCAAGATCGAGCTATGCTACAGTCAGGGCATCATGTCGAGCGATCCCTCTGCCAAGCGCAACTTGATTAGCAATGCGACACAGATCATACGTGTAACCAGAGGTCGGGGCCTTATATTCAGTTCTGAAGCAAAGAGCGTACTAGGCATCCGGGCACCGAGCGACATCATCAATTTGGCCTCTGTATGGGGGCTCGGAACGGAGAGGGGAAAGGACGGTCTCACCAAAGAACCAAGGAGCGTCGTCGAGTTTGCGCGACTAAAGCGAAAGAGCTTCAAGGGCATAATCGACATTGTCTACGGCGGCGACAAACCGCCCGAGAGGCCAGTGGCCGAGGCGAAGGACAAGCAAGGCCAAAAGGACAAGGCCAACAAGAATCAGAACGGCAAGCGTCCGGGTGAAAACTTGGAAGGAGCGCCCGTACATGAGACGAAAATGGACAAACCCATCTCGAAGCGCCAGCAAGCGAAGAACAAAAAGGCCAAAATGCAAGAAGCTGGCCAGGAGGTGCCTGCCTGAAGCACAGGAAAGGGCACATCGAGCGCAATACATTTACACCATGCAAAGGACAGCACCGATCGGTGAGCCTGCGAACAACATTCCTCACAAGATACCCATAGACCGCAGCAGTGATGCCAAGCAATATACTTGCACAATCATATTCATTATATATTCACATACCATTACCACCTCGCAGGAGCACTCAATACTCAACCGCAACCACGTGCCCTACTACCCCAAACTATATACTTGAGAAAACAATCTTTTTTCAATGAAGTAAAAGCGAGAAAACAACAAGCATGATTCTTCATATACGAAGTCTTTCTTCACCACCAGGCTCCCATCTGCGTTGGCTTTGCCACTCTCCGGCCCAAGTTGACCGTAACACGGCTCTGCAACGCAACCGTGTTGATATCAAACGGCGCAGAGGGAGGCGCTGCTGCATTGGAGGAACCAACGATTGTAGGTTGAGGCGGCGCGTTGGCTGCGACTTGGCTCTGCGCTGCAACTGAAGTTGATATCGGTGCTGATGGGCTTGAGCTGGCAGCTTCGGCAGGCGCTGATGACGGAGCAGGTGATGAAGCGGCCGACGTAGCTGCCGCAGCAGGAGCCGGAGCAGAAGAAGCCGGAGATTCTCCACTGGCGATGACAGTGACACCTGAACCAGCTGCACTGGCAGTGCCCACGAGCAGTCCTCCAGTAGTCAGACTAGCCGAGTTGATGGGTGCAGGAGGCGTCGTGGGAGCGGCTGCTTGAACGCCAGGTCCGGGTTCTCCACCCGCAGAAATCGTGACTGGGGCGCTGGCCATTGTTTGCATGGTACTTCTGCTCTCCTGTGCCTTTGCTGGTTGAGCGGCAGACATGGGAAAAGCTCCCGCGGGACATTCGCACGCGCAGTTGCAGCCTCCGTTTGCTTCTGCTGCTGCCGTGGCATTGCCTGAGCTTGATCCTTCGCCTGCTACGACAGTGACGGCGGGAGCGGCAACGGCCGCCGCCACAGCGGTCGAAGTTGCATTGCTTCCACCTGCAACAACGGTAACGGGTCCTGTGGCTGCGGCTGCGGCTACTGGGGTTGTTCCGTTCATCTTTGATTCAGCTGATGAGGCTTCATTGCCAGCACCAGCGACAACTGTGACCGCTGCTGCTGGCGCGCCGCTAGAAGATGAAGCAGCTGCCTTCGCAGCACCGGTGTTTGAGGTGCTGTTTCCTCCAGCCTGGACAGTTATGGCACTTCCCGCTGCACTCGTAGTCGTTGCGGCAAGAAGCCCACCAGCCTTCAAAGTTGCAGAGTTAATTGCTGCCGCCATAGTAGTAGTCTCGTTAGCGGCAGCTACTACACCAGCTGGTGATTCTCCTCCGGCAGACACAGTCACGGCAGCAGCAGGAGGCGCTGCGGCAGCCGCTGATGGAGCTTCTGATGGGGATCCTTTCTCCGCAGCAGGCATCATAGCTTTCGTGCTGCTCTCCTCACCCGCTGGCTTTCCTGCTGCCGCAGGTGAGTTTGTCCATGGAATAGGGGTTACTTTAGGCAGAGCTGACTTGCCCGCGGGGAACACTGTCTTGACTGGTAGCGACGTCGATGCTGCCTCTGCTACAGTTGTAGGTTTGCTTGATTCTGTTGGTGCTGATTTCGCAGCTGGGCTTGCCTCCGCTGATCCTGCCTTTACCGATGTGCTAGCCTCTGCTGATGCTGCCTTTGCAGATGGACTTGCCTCCGCTGGTGCTGCCTTTGCAGATGGACTTGCCTCCGCTGGTGCTGCCTTTGCCGATGTGCTAGCCTCCGCTGGTGCTGCTTTCTCAGATGAGCTTGCCTCCGCTGGTACTGCTTTCGGAGATGAGCTTGCCTCTGCTGATTCTGCCTTCGCCGATGTGCTTGCCTCTGCTGGCGCTTCCTTTGCAGATGAGCTCGCCTCCGCTGGTGCTTCCTTTGCAGCTGCGCTTGTTTTCTCTGTGGATTCTGTTGGTGAAGGCTTGGCTTCCGCTGGCGAAGGGCTGGCTTTGGTAGTAGAGGCGCTTGCCTCTGACGGCTTGGGTGCAGCTGCGCTAGCTTCCATAGGTGCTTCTTTTGGAGCCTCGCTGGTCTTTGCTGGTGCCTTTTCCGCAGACGGGCTGGCTGCCTCCACAGGCGTCGTCGCATTGCTTGCGCCAGCGGACATCATGGGAGGAACAGCTTCAGCAGGAGGAGCGGCAGAGGGGGTAGCAGGAGGAGCCGCAGGAGGAGCCGCAGGAGGAGCAGCAGGAGGAGCAGCAGGAGGAGCCGCAGGAGGAGCCGCAGGAGGAGCAGCAGGAGGTTGAGTAGCAGCTTGACCCTGTGGTGGCTGCGCCGCGGCTTGACCCTGTGGCGGTTGTGCGCCAGGCAGGAGTTGGTTCACCAGGCTTCCTCCAACATCAACGACGGGGTTCTCGCTTTGAGTTTGGGGTGCGAGTTGGTTTGCAAGATCACCTGCAGGATTGCTAGTGTTGATGTCGCTTGGTGGGCGCTGGCTACCACTCTGTGCAGTACCCGATGCAGCTTGATTCGCACCTGAAGCGACCCCTTGTGCAGATTGGCTACTACTTGATGCAACACCAGGTGCAGATTGGCTACCACCTGATGCAACACCAGGTGCAGACTGGCTGCCACCTGGCGCGATCCCTTGTGCGGCTTGTGGTGTGGTTCCCACTGGAGCAGTCTGACCTTGCTGTTGCGATGTGCTCTGGCTGTTCGTTCCGCTTTGCTGTTGCCCACTTAGGCCGTTAAGGACATCGTTGATGGATGGTGTGCTTCCACCAGCAACTTGGTTTGCAATGCTTCCAGCGACGTCGCTCGAGGTAATGTCACTGGTGCTGGGCCTTTGGCCTTGGCCCTGAGCAATGCCGGCAAGTAAGGCATTCGCGTCAAGTCCGTTTTGTGCATTCCTAGCAACGAGATTTCCGTTGTATACTTCTCCGGAGATCAAGTCCTGGATCCGCCTTCCGATGGCTTCAGGTCGTACATTAGTCTCATGGAGATTGAGCGCTGCTTGCGTAGTCGCCTAGACATAGTCAGTACGGCTGGATCTTGATGTTCAGACTCTATACGTACTGCGCTCATCAGCAAAAGGGCTTGTGCCCAGGATGATGAAGTAGTTCTCATAGTGAATATCCGATATGCGCACGAGAATAAAAAGGTACAAAAAGGAATTATAAATTAATACATAGAACAGCCCAGCTGAAAAAGAATTGAAGGCAACAACACAAACATACAGGCTCAATTAGGATCTGCACAGCAGAAGGACAGGTGATGAATGGAAGGTGGAATAAAATAAGAAGGTGGAGATGATGGAAACAAGCTATTGGAATCGAAACAGTATAAGCTTCCAAGTAGTGTATGTGCGTGCCAAAACCTTTCAAAGTTCATGACTGAGGCGTATTTCATGCTCTCTATAGGATCTTACTGAGCAACCCCACTGTTCTTGTTTCCAAGAATGTGGTGCTGAGTTTCGAGCCGCCGCAGCTGCTCAAACAATGACTAACTGCGTATCAAGGCTCCCAACGGCTATACTATAGAATGGCCCGGCGCGCCGTGATTGCGACAACAGCGGCATTGCCAGGTCGATCCAGCAGAAAAGGCTTGTTACAGAAGTTTCCGAGCGATGTCAATACCGCCGGACCCATGTAAGGTGGGTTTTGGTGGTGGAAAGGCTTCACGAACGTCTGGGTAGTCGCTGTGGTGGTGAGGTCTGATACGCGAGGTGCGTGAGACGGCATGGTTCATACCGGCAGTGTTTCAAGACAGTGCGTCTGGAGTTCCCATCTTCCCGCCAGTGTAGTCTCGACGTTGAACTGGCTGACTAACTGCGGCGCAAATTCCTCCTGTTCGCAAGTGAAGGATAAAGACTTGGTGTTTTCTGGAGGAGATGCAAGGCTGATGATCACCGGAGAAAGTCGTCCTACTAATCGCAGCTTGGCGGCGGATGACGTGCGTCATTACCCAACTCAGCCAGCTTTCATCGCATAAAGGACCGTTTTGGGCGCAACCGGCCAAATTTTGCCAGCGCAGTTCGGCTTCCGTGCACCGCGAATGCGTTGATAGAGAATAGCATCAAGTATATGAAGACGCACGCTCTGCTCTCCGAAACAATCACATAACGAAGGCATCGTCAAATCATCAACATGGCGGCCGTACACGTCCTCGATAACTACTACCTCGCCATAACCTTCCTCATCACTGTTGCCTACCAGCTGTTCTTCTTTGCCATCGCCTTCTGGTTCAAGTTCGACAAGGTCACCGACTTTGCTGGTGGAACCAACTTCATTCTTCTTGCAATCCTCACCCTCTCCTTCAGCGAAAACCGCGGCGATGCGCGTAACATTGTAGCATCACTCTTCATCATACTATGGGCAGCAAGACTCAGTGGCTTCCTGCTTTTCCGCATCCTCAAAAGTGGCAAAGATGACCGCTTTGATGATAAGCGCGATAAATTTTGGTCGTTTCTCGGATTCTGGGTCTTGTACGTAGACAATGTTTTTTGATCGAGACACCGTTACTGATTATGCACAGTCAAATGTTCTGGGTCTGGTCAGTTTCGCTCCCGGTGACGATCCTGAACTCGCCCAACGTCACGCAATTCAACCAACCAGATTTCGGAACAGGCCGTGATATCGCAGGAATTATCCTTTGGTCGATTGGCTTCATCATGGAAAGCGTATCCGACATTCAGAAGTATCGTTTCCGGACCGCTCATGGGAGCGACGGTGCGGTATGCAACGTTGGCTTCTTTGCCTGGACTAGACACCCAAACTACTTTGGAGAGATCATTATCCAGTTTGGTAAGTATCTTCTGCGTGACCACATCAGGTTAGGGCTAATGTTTGCAGGTATCTTCATGATCGCTGTATCTCCAGCAGCTTACAACTACGTCTCGGGCGGCGCATACGATGCGCTTTATGCATCCATCCTCGGACCCTTCTTCTTGACCATACTTCTCATGTTTGTGTCCGGTTTGACCCTACAGGAGCGTCCAGCCGCAAAGAAGAGATATGAAAAAGGCACGAAATGGCCGGAATACCAAGAATATCTTCACCGGACGAGCATCCTTATTCCTTTCCCTCCGCAACTATACGCGAGGATGCCCGTTATCTTGAAGAGGACCATCTTCCTGGAATTCCCCATATATGTCTTCGATCCGGCGAAGCATGCAGATCAAAGCAAGGTTCAGGCTAGGGAGGCGGAAGAAGGTCAGGGCAGACCCAGCGACGAGCAGGGCCTGAGGTCCTGAGGCACGACGTCTTCGGCACGTTGTTTTCGGCACATTGGAAAGTGGATCCCATGATACCCCATTTCTTACTGTTCCAGAACCCCTGTACAGATAGAACCGAGCCAGATCGCTTTGTAATCACATAATCGTAATTTCATGCATAGTTTCCAAACAGCATGTGCACCAAGTCGAGACGCAGCTCTTACTCCAGGAAAACACGCTCTCGAATCGTTGAGAAAGCGCCAGGTATGTTTGAAACAGGCGTACGTGAGCCTATGATTTTCTACGGATGGCGTTCGTTACCTCTCACCCAATGCATGCATGAGTACTGTGTTCCTGCAGCGCTTAGGGTGAAGAACGCGCGATGAAGCACCATTATCAAATACTTCTCTGGAACATCACCCGTGATTAGCCTAGATGTCTGGATAGCAAACGTCGCAGCTCTCATATCTCTTATGCGAAGTTGGTCAGTTTAATGTTTGCATTATAGGCTTATTCACTATGCTCGCGTTAACTTTAGGGGTCGCAACAATTCCGAGATGCCGAGATGAGAGAAAGCTCGGTGATCCTCGTGCTCCATCAAAGTTGCAACAAACCTGCACCTCAGCCGCTTTCATGTCAGACACGTCGCGTAAGAACGCCATCACCAGTGGGATACAACCCGCTTAGTCAGTTGCCGGGCGAATCACTCCACGCGGCCTTATCGCAGGTACAGAGATCACCTCACGTCATCGCATAAATTCCACCCGCTGGAGCATGACCGCGCAAAATCCATACCTCATATTCGCCTTTTTCCTTGGCTGGACAGCTTAGTTGGACACTCAATAGCCATGAGGATGCCGACGGCTGTTTCTGACGCGGAACTCTCTCCCATCCCGCGTTGCCAACGAACCTGGACTGAGATTACGTCATTGCGTCACTTGTTGGAGGCTTCCAAGGTTGTTTATACGAACTGAAAGAACAAATATAAGACCGTTATTCACGCTTCAATCGTCGTCCATCTATCCCAGCAGATCCATCATCCTTGACAACACCCTTGTGCCACGCTATCTGTACAATCCCGCGATTAGAAGTAACCAGAAAAGATGACTACAACCCCAATTCATTCCACCGGTCGTGGAGGTGAGTAGTGCCAAAATTCCAGCTTTGCGTTCGAAAGAAGCTGATTGTCTACACAGGTGCTGGCAACATTGGACCTGACACCAGCGTATACACTGACGGAGGCCTCGTCCGTGAGGGTATCCAAGGCGAATCAGCAGACGGCGAATTCTCAACTGGTGAGTAGCCTACGCATACAAGCTTGATTGACACCCACTTACCTTGTATGCCAATGATCAGGCCGTGGGGGAGCCGGAAACATCGGTCAATCGCCTCGCGTTGGACCACAGTCTGATGACGGACGTCGTCGCTCAGTAGACATGGTCCCAGAAATCAACCAGCGGAATGCACAGGACGAATTCCACACTGGCGTAAGTGATGTCACAGCAGCTATACGGAGCATGCGGCTGACACGATGATAGCGAGGTGGCGCCGGTAACGTATACAAGGAAAAGCACGGCGGCCACTCACACTCTCCCGAGCGCAAGGGCCTGGGCGAGAAGGTGAAGCAGGCGCTTCATCTCGACAAGAAGAAGGAACATGAAACATCTCCTTTGGCTAAGAACGAGACCTCTATTTGATTGTGATACCCCGATTGGATGCTTTTGATGGAGGATCTCGTAATGGGATAAGCGTTCATGATACCTACCTCAGGCTATGGGCTATGAGCCAACCTAGTTTTCCTTTGCAGTCATAGTCTTCTAAACTCGATTGTATATCCTCTTTCATGAGTATGGTTCCTCGAAATGATTGTGACAATGTTGCGCCGTGCCTGACTACTATGTGGGGGTAGTGGGGTGAGCACTACGCCCGGACCACGTGGGGTGCCTTTCGCGGTCACTGGTCGTGTCATTTGGGTTGTAAATTTCCATCTAACTTTGCGACTTCGCATTCTTCCCTAGCACGTCAGAATGGCTTCGAATGATATTGACGCCGAGGCGCTCGTTCACTCCGATGATCCGAGCCACCCAGCAAACCACATTTGCACGCTCTGCGCAAAGTTTTACAACTTGGGCTGGGTACGATCATCTCCAGGCTCCGGGGACGTCGGCGACGAGGTGATCTGAGTGACGGCTAACAAGGGCATTGCGCCAGGTGACTGGTACTGGTGGAGGAACAAGTATACGCCATGAAGACAAGATTTACATTGCGCCCAGCGGCGTACAGAAAGAGCTTATGAAGCCTACCGACATGTTTGTGATGGACTTCAACAGCAAAGAATACCTGAGAAAGCCACAGGTACTAGCTTCGACCCTGGATGCTGCGCGAGGTGACTAAAGCCATATCAGGTCCTCAAACCTTCTGCCTGCACCCCGCTCTTCCTTGCAGCTTTCGAGCGCGGCGCCGGTTGCTGCATCCATACACATTCGCAATGGGCCGTCCTCGTAACCCTCATCGTCGAGCGCGACTTTGGCAAAGACGCCTGCTTCGAAATCGAAGAGATTGAGCAAATTAAAGGCATACCAAAAGGGCGAGGCAAGCAGGGTAACCTAGGCTATTACGACCGGCTACGCATACCCATCATCGAGAATACGGCGCATGAAGAGGATCTGAGGGAAAGCTTGGAGGAGGCCATGGAGAAGTACCCAGATTCTTACGCGATCTTGGTCAAGAGACATGGTATCTATGTCTGGGGTGACAATGTACACAAGGCGAAGACACAATGTGAGAGTATTGACTATATTCTACAACTTGCAGTTGAGATGAAGAAGCTAGGTTTGCCATGGACAAAATGAGGATATAGGAAGTTAAGGTAGACTATATACATACTCATTCGACACACAGATGATAAACTCATATGCACTGGTTTGCAGGCGGTTGGAGGTGTGCCAAACAACTGCTTGGTAATTGTAACCATCAAATTCCAAAGAAAGGATACATTTAATGAATGGTGAATTGATATTAGCTGCTTAACCCAGTACTCGTGTATGTTTGCTTACTTGTCTAGTCATACAGTCTGTTACAGCGGTTATATACGCTCAGATTCGGGTGAAACGAGGGCCCATTACTCAAGCCTCTTTCCATGCATGGTAATCAAGCAATTAACCCAAAACCCCTAGCTATTAAAATGCTGCGCTTACTAAAAGTCCACAACATCTCGGCTCCAGTTCTTTTACCACTTCAAGCACGCTAAGAGTAGCGATCCGAGTAAGGTTTCGGCCCGCACATATCGCCTTGCATAAAATATCACGCACTATGTGTGCGTCCCCATATTATTCGACTCCTTAGAGGAACTTGCCCTTTTCGGCAAACTCCCAAAACGGAATTCAGGCGAACTTGCTTACAGCATCTGGCAATGCCACATCGGCCTGTGGATACGCCATCGTGTGCTGTTTTGATGGCTTCGACAGATAAGTAGCAACGATGACTGTTTCTGGATGGTTTTTCTTCATCTCTATTCCCGCACTTGCTGTCAGTCATGTCGCCCCCAGCTTTGAGTTCAGACGCTACCACTGCCCTAACAAAGTACATCAATGATGCTACAAAACCAGGCACAGACAACATTATTCTACCAGCTGCCATTGTCCACATAGTGGACGAGCAGAATAATGTCCTTTTCTCCCATGGCGCCAGTGCCAATAAGCCACCCACTGCGGAATCCATGACTATCATCCAGTCCCTTACCAAGATTGTCGGAGCAATGGCATATATGAAGTTAGTGGAGCGCGACCTTACGACCCTCGACGACCCCGCCACCATCACTAAATGGCTCCCCGAGCTCACCGCAAAGAACGTGTTGACCGGCTATACGATGGACGGCGAAACTGGTCAGAAGCAATACCAATTTGAAGACCGAAAGGGAGAAATCACAGCGCGAATGCTGATGAACCATACGTACGGCGGCGGCCACACATTCTTCAACAAGTTATTATTCGACTACGTCCAAGACCTCGGTGTATGGGAGACAACAAACGAAGCCGTCGATCCCTATGGCGTCCTCCTCGTAAGCCCACTATTATGGCACCCAGGCATGAAAACAAACTATGGTCAGGGCCTGGACTGGCTCGCCGTGCTCATCGAACGCATCAGCAAACAGTCACTGCACGATTACCTACAAGAGTACATATTCAATCCCCTGGGCCTCAAGGAAATCGGCATAGAAGCAACATACGGCGGCGTCGCTACCTCACTCCCGCACAACACTGGAAAGTTCTGGCCGCGCAAACTTCGGAACGGAGACTCGTTCATCACGATCGATGTCGCGGAGCCGGAAGTAGTGAAGCGAGCAAACGCTTTCCCAGAAGGTGACTACCACACTGGTTGTTTGGGAACCGGACTGGTATCCAGCGTGCGCGATTACAACCACCTCCTCTCTGTCCTCTTACCCGAGAACATGGGCGTGGACTCCGTAACCGGTCATCGCTTACTGTCTGCTGAGAGTGTGCGGGAGATCACTTCGCCCCAGCTTCCTGAAGATATTAGAGATAATTCGCGTAGCATACCTACTGCAAATGCTACTCCCATCGTGCTGCCTGCTGATCTTTCCTCCCCGGTGCTGGATCCAAAGGGAAGTTACGGCTTGGGATGTGCTGTTCAGGGCGCAGATAGGGTATTGAAGAATGGTGGTAGGGGAAGGAGTAAGGGTAGCGTGTATTGGTACGGAGCGCCGAACTGTGAGATGTGGGTCGATGGGAAAACCCATATTGTGGTGAGTGTTTGGGGGAATTATTATCCGTGGAATGATGAAGCATGGGTGGAACTTGTGGCGGGCGTTGAGGGACGTATTTATGAGGCGTTGGGTCAGTAGATGGTGTAGAGAAAGAGTGTGGAGGTTTACATAACGAACAATGATGGCTGAGCTTGCATAATTTCATACATTCATTCGTATGCTACTGAATTCCACAGGAACTAGAGCAATAGCTTGGAAGTTCCAAGCGTCCCAAAATCTCAAGTGAGCTTTCCATCGATGAAGTCGCATAATACCGACCGATCGCTGGGATGGCGTAGATGTGTACCCTACTGCTCAAAGACGAACTCAATATCCTTGTTCTGAGCAAAGTTCCGGAACAATTCCATGATAAACTTCTTCTTGTCCCTTGCCTCGTCAGGGCGCATAGTGCGTTCACATTTACTCCACTTTGGGATTATCACGCGCTTGAGACCCTGAAACCACATCATAGCCGTTGAACCAACCCATACATGTTCCTTGATATAATGGTTCCTGCTCAAGATGTCTTGCGCCGTGTGCCAAATTTCCCCGTCGATCTGTGCCCTCAAGGTAGTGATAGCGTCTCGCTAAGTCCCTCGGAGCTTTGTCACAAAGTCGATGACATCAGCAGGATATACCTCGAAATCGTTGAGAGTGAAAGGGAGAAAGTATGCTTCTGTGCGAATTTGACGGCAGACCGCGGGGAGCGAGGCCAGAGAAGATAACCGGATGACCTGTCTCTGGGAATGGTCGTAGCAGGAAAGCTTCTTTTTTCCCAGATACTCCGGGCCCCAAATCTCAAGATACCGGTGCTTCGAATAACTTGGTTTCTCGTTTGGTGAGCCAAGCCTCCAATGAATAGTCTTTCCTCCAAGCACAAGTGCGTAAATCTTGTTGCGTATCTCACTAGGCAGGCGAAGGAAAGGCGAGTTCTTCTGGTTGAGACGCATGCTAAAGCTGAGTTAGTTATGGTTATAACTGTTGGTGCATAATACTTACATCTCTTCTACCTCCTCCTTTGAGAGCTTGGGCTTTGAAGACTGGCGCTTTGAAGACTGGCGCTTTGACATCCTGCTGTCAGACTGGGGAGGCATGATGTAGTCACGGGGAAAGAGTACTGAGTATGAGAAATCTGTTGTGATTGACAATTGTGTGAGCGGGGTTTGAGCAGAGGAGCTAATGCGGGGGTGTTTGAGGTACTTGATGGTCCAAGCAGAGGCCCGTGCGGGAGGCAGCAAACAAACGAGGTGAAGGCAAGTAGATGTTATTGGATAGCTCGAGACAGCACTCTCACCTCAGAAAGATGCTTCCCAATACAAAAATCGATCTCAGACATGCCGCTGCCAATTCAAACCCCGCTACTAATAACCAGTCAACCTTGCCCAGGAGTGTGCTGGGCCACAATTTCTCCACCTTCGTGCTTCTGGAAAATGATCTTGACAGGTCGGAACTCGAGGCAAGTTCCGAGAGCTCTAAAATAACAAGATAGATCACTAGAGCTCCGCTCGCTTCAAAACCAATACTCCTCATCTTTTACCACAATCTCCTTGAGCCCGCACAACATATTGAAAACCCCTTTGTATTCAGCAGGAGATTGAACTTGATGCAACCACACCACAAACAACTGGGGTATCTCGATATAGGCGATGGCGCCGACTTGCTCGATCGAGGAACGCTTGAGGAAGACTGGCCAATGAAAACAATTTGAATCAATAAAGATTGCTGTTTTGAATGGCATCAAACCAATTTCTGAACGGAGTTGCCGACAAACTTTAGTGATGCCAAAGATACAGTTGCCTTTCCAAGCAATTGCCCCAGGATTTTGAGATGGATGCCCACGAGCATAAGAGCCGTTCTATAGCGATACACTAGTGTTGTCGAAAATGTACGCATATATCTCGTTTCGGATCTCCGCGGGTAAGCGCAGAAAGGGAGATTCTTGCTGATTACGCATGGAGCTGCAATTATTAGTCAAATCCATGGACAGGTCGGTTGCTGACGATTGCTTACATTGCGTTCGTTTCGGTCACATTGAGCACAGTGGCTTCGGCGGGAGGTACCATCGTGACTTAGGAGGGGTAAAGTTTGTTGTTGGTGTGTGGAAAATGAGGGGAACGGTGCAACTATATACTAACCTGCCCACGCTAGCAGAGGCAGCAAACAGACCTCTAATGTCACATCCCATTCGAGCGCAAAAGTAGCCTATCACACACTTGAAACAACCTTTACCTCTTTTGCAACGGCAGCACAGAGTTCGACTCTCACTCCTGCACCAGAAAGTACGTGAATCCACATTCTTTGTGTGTCACTCAAGCGATCATTCTCACTCTTCACCTCTGCGAACTTGACTTCGCCCTTCTTACCTTCCTCCTCCGGCAGTTTCCAAAGAAACAAATCAGGTACACCGCCACCTCGCTGCCCATATTCTTGGGCCATGACCTTACATACTGTTGCGAGTGCGTCACCATCGAAGCAATGGGCAATCTCGACTAAATCGGAGACACCGTATGTCCAATCGAGACCTATGATACATGTTCGGCGCTCGTGATGGGCATCGTAAACTCTCTGTATGATTGATGGCGCGTCGCCGTTTGATATCTCGTTCAGTCGTGCATTGATCTCGGATATACGCGAAGGGTAGAAGGCGTCGGTATGCAAATCTAGCGGACATGTTTGATACGGCGTTTGAAACACGTTGGGTATGTATGTAAATAAGACGTCGTAAAAAAGGTATGCGAAGAGCGTGCGGATGATGCCACCTTCGCTGTGGTAGCCTTTCCAACCCTGGTCACGGTATTGTGACAAACACATCGCCTCCACCGAGCACTCGCCATCCTCGCGAGGATCTATCCAAATCGTCTTACCACCACGTCTGCCAGGATGTGGTGAGCTATTCCTTCGAGATATCGATGGCCTTTCGCGCTCAATACGGATTCCTTCCATAGTGACTTCAATCGGCTTCGCCAACCGGACGTGTGAGAAGTCATGCTGTAATCGTTTGACGAACTTGAGGGACTTTTCAAGTTTTGTGATACGCTTTTGGAGATCATAGTGGTGAATGATATGCACAAGATTATCTTGTAAGCCAAGTTCACAAGTCTGTAAAGCGATGTTCTTCCAGTGGCTTTTCTGTTTTTCCACGCTTCTACTCCCAGCTTCAGTGAGCGCAGCCATATAATGCTCCTCAAGCAACGCTTTACGTTGATACCACGCACCTCTCCGCGAATGGTGGAAAAGTCTCTGATCTAGCAGTTCCATCAAGAGTTTGTGCTCACGCTTGTGCTCTTTTTGGCGTCTGAGTACATCAAGCGCCTTATGAATAATGCGCGTATATACCCATGCTGGCGATAGACGTCGTAAGTACGAGCCTTCGCCGCTGTGATATACGCTTTCTTCCTTACGTTGCTCTTCCCGAACGAGCACTTGCCAGCGTGGATATATTTCTTCGAACGTGTCTATGATTTCCTGGAAATCCTTTTCCGTGGACCTTCCGTTAAACTCCAGGATATCGTCTATCCGATGTTGGGTACGTATAGATGCCTCGTACTCCAGAAGCAACGAACGGGAAGCAAATATGTTTGTGGACCGAGAAACAATGTACTCTGGGAAGTTCCAACGTGCTATCTTTGCTAGAATGATAGTGGTCAATGACTTCTCAGTCCACTCAGTGGAGCGATAAAACACAAGATGAACACGCTCGAAAAGCTTCAGGGTAGTCAATGAGAGTCGAATACAAGATCCTGTCTCTTGCAGGATCCTGCGCGTAAAATGCGCATCACGGTTGGTATCGTCCGAGAGATCACCCCCAGGCTCTACTTCCGTATCTGGTGTTTCTGGCCGAGACCTAGACGTAGAGGAGTCTCTCGACATCTCGGAGTCAGAACGTTTTAGTCCAAAGTAGCTTAGGCCTGTTTGCTTCTTGCTTGTGCGTCGCAGTGCTTTCAGAAGTTCTCCTTTATTTTTCCCTTTGACCTTGGCATCCTTTGCAAGAGCTTTGAGCTCGTCAAGCTTGAGAAGCGAGGAAGCCTGCTCAAGTGTGGTTATCTCCTCCTCTGACCGGTCGGCGAAGGTGAAAGACGCGCCCATCGTCGTCCCTGCCGGTGCATCCTGCTCGCCTGGATGTGTCTCGACTTTGGAGGATGGCGCTGGTAAATCGTAGGATCGTTGCAATTTTTCAGCTGCAGCTTGGAGGTCTGATATATCGCTATGATAGCCTAGGTTCTTAATGCGGTGCCATGCCGATGTCTTGCGTAGGAATAGGCGTACGTATCTAGTATTACAGGCTGTAATTAGTGATCTAGCACCCAAACACTATGTATATTGACTTACAGGTACTGCGCTTCATAGTCCAGATCCCTCCATATTCGAAAGACTTCCGTCTCAGCTTCATCAAACAGATGGCTTTCCTCATCCAAGACAGTGTCCAATGCCAGATTGAACGCGTCAACATATAGTGAACTCTTTCCTCGCACCCAGGTTCGTTTTTCCAAGCGTTCGTCTGCTCCTTCAGTCTGTTCTTCCTGTGATGCCTTGAAAGCCTCATATTCCTCAATGGCGTCATCACCACTCTTTACTTCTGGCAGGGCACTCTCTAGGTCTGTCTTATGCTCCTTCGCCTCTTCCTTGAACACTGTGCCCTCATTTTCATCATCAGAATCAAGTGTTTCGTGCTTGATAGTCCTCCGTGGTGTAGGCGGCGCTTTCTTGGGACTGTTGGCCGTCTTTTGACGTTTGACCGGCCGATCTTCGTCGCCATCGAAGTTTGTGGATTTTGGGTGCTTTATAAATCGCATGATCATTTGATTGTGTACTGACGGGCTCTTGGGGTTGAGTGCCATCGTGTGGTCACAGTAAGGTGCGCAATGGCCCCTCAGATGAAAGGCGTTCTTGCCACACGATGGCACGCGATGGCCCAGGATCGCGCTGTCACGAGGAAGCTAGTCTTATCTTGGTCACTAGCGCGGCTCTGAGTAATGACGTCATCAATTCATGCTGTGAGTGAACATAGAAGAACAGCAATCGATGGATATCAAGGTTACCTAGATAGGCATTGTTGTTAATACCAGCCGGAATATTTGTAGTAGTTCCTCCTACTAAGATCTACAGAGATTCAAAACTACCCGATCTGGTAATGCGTATTATTGTTAGGACCGGTAGGAAGTTGTAGCAGTTTATACTTTCTACTTCCTACTGCAGAAATCTATAGACATCCATAATTGCCCGATTGGGTTATGTTACCACAATGTATCGCAATGCGTAAGAGGACCTACCACAATCAATGGATATTCAAAGGTCTCCAATTTCAGTAGTATTACCAACTTCATGTGACACTCTTGTTGAGTAAGGAGCTTTACCGCAATCAACAGATGTGGGATGTTGCCTAATTTAGTAGCATATTCAGATTCTCCCAACAGCTCCCGTTGCGTGACAAGAACTAGCAGTAATCAACGGCGGCAGGGAGAGCTCCCGAATTTGACAGCGGCGCCCGATTTTCAAAGATCATTATCAAATGAATGTACTAACAGCAATCGAGGGTTCCTTAGTATTTCGTAGTTGAAGAGTAGCACTTCAGGTGAAAGTCAACAGCAGAGATGTCAACAAGCAAGTCAAGCTGGCTTGATTCTTATCGATTGCAGATCACAGACAATATAGAGGCTCGTGCACAGTGGCACGTCCCAGAGAATGGTCTGTGATCTGCAATCGATAAGAATCAAGCCAGCTTGACTTGCTTGTTGACATCTCTGCCCTTCCCTTTCTACCCACTTCCGTCTACGACACAAACTTTATTGCCATCCACTTCTTGGCCACTTGTCGTTTTGTATTTCTACCCGGGTATTGACTTGCACACCCATCACGCCCTTCCCTTTCCAACTACTTCCAGCTTCGATATCCACTTCATTGCCATCACTGCTTTTAGTACCCCACTGTGTCTGGCCCACTGATAGCTTTGAATCTTGTACTTCTGTCACTTTCTCTTTTATCTTGTTTGCCAGCTCAACATCCGCAGAGTCGAGAGTCGCAAAGGTACGAAGATGGTTGCTCTTATAATGGGATATATTGCCGTATTGCTGGGAAGTGAAACCTGGCATCCTGGATTGCCCACTAGGGTACGTGTTTGTATGTTCGCGCAGGAAGCGGATGTGCTCGCGTAGGAGGGGCCAAATGCCGGGGAGGTTGGCGACGTAAACTGCGACCGATGCTTCTCTTGTGTACCATAGCATGTAGCAGACTCCGCAACAATCAATCCAGATTGGTCAGATTGATTGATTTGATTGGTCATTTGGAGTTTTTACCAACTCAATCAACTCAATCTAAGCTTTTCAAAATAGCTAATCAAATCAACTTGCGAAGGTCAGATTGATTGATTTGATTAGTTAGATTGATTTATTATTAACGAGTTGTAAGGCGAGTAGTGTCGTATTAAGAGAAGGTTTTTGGTGTTGAAGATAGTTATCTTGGACCCCTATCTCGCTTAGCTTGTGATCCCTGTCGGCCGGGCAAGCCAGTCTCTATGCATTCACTTCTCACCAGCTAGCTCTCCTCTTATAGGACTAGCTCCTTCTGCTTAGGGGCTAGCCTCTTCTAGGCTTCACCCCGCACCTATATAGCTAGTCCTTCGCTGTTCTTAATACAACAACGATTTCGCTCACTCAGTTCCCTAATAATCCCTTACACACAACACTAGTTGCCTAGCTACCTATACAGACATTTTTCTTTAGTGTTTAGTATCGCCCACGATGGCCAAACGCTCTCGAGTTCCCACCAATACTGCTGCCGCCGCCGCCGCCGCCAAACGGGCGCGCCTATCAAGGCCCTCTGTCCTATCTCAGCGATCGCTGTCGCCTCAGGAAACCCTTGGCGCCGCCGTAAGCCAGGCCACAACGTTTGAGTCGCAATTTTTCGAGTCGCAAACAGAGGAGGAGGGTGCGGCTGAGGGCAGCCAGGCTGGTACAGCAGCAACAACAGAGGCTAGTGTTGATACAGAGCCTGATAATGGCGATAACTTTGACGGCATTAACTGGGATCGCCTCCCTCGGTTCATGAAGCCTCTTACAACTGGGCGGCGCGTCAAGAGTTGGATCTTTCAACATGGATATCGCGTTGTTGAGCTCTACGATCAGAATCGAGTGTGGTTTGTATGCAAATACTGCCACATCCACAAGGTCATTGACACTGGCGGCAGTGGAGTTTTTGACGTATCAAAGGCCACCTCCTCAGCTGCAGCTCATCTTGGCCTTCAGAAACGAGGCCATGGCTTTACAAAAGACGGCCTGAAGCCTCGAAGAACAGGGCAGCAACTCTCTCTACGACAGACGCTGGAGACTGGTGTTGCAGTCTCTCAAGAGGCTGCCAACGCGATGGGCAACTTCAACATCCAGCAGTTTCGTGAAGTTGCAGTGTTCTGCCTTCTTGATAACAACTTGCCAATGGAGCTACTTGCAAGGCCGTCCTTTCGCGAGATGATTAGCCTTGCAAACCCAGAGGCAGAGGCAGCTTTGTGGGTAAGTCCTCGCAGTGTAGCTACCTACGCAATGCGCCTCTTCCAATATATGCAGCCACAGATTGTCTGCGCTCTGTCAGAAGCTGCAAGCAAGATCCACATAAGCTTTGATGGTTGGACGACAAAGGGTGGCAAGCGTGGATTCTTTGGAGTCGTTGCACACTTTGCTAACGCCTCTGGAGTGATACAAGATCTCCCCATCGCCCTCCCACATCTCGCAGGCTCTCATACTGGTGATGCTATCGCTGATACAATTAAAAAGACGCTCCAAGAATACAGTATTGGGAGTGATAAACTCGGCTACTTCGTCCTCGACAATGCTGCAAACAACGATACTGCAGTCTCCTCGCTCGCCCACGCGTACGACTTCAACGCTGCTCACCGACGCCTCCGCTGCGGCCCTCACACGCTTAACCTTATTGGCCAGGCAATTATCTTTGGCAGCAATCAAGAGGCGTACAACAACAACAACGACGAGCAGCTCCAAACAGAGGAGGTGTACATGCAGGAGTGGCGTCAAGAAGGGCCCTTAGGTGTACTTATCGACGTTATCAACCATATAAAAATGTTGCCATTCAGGACTACACTTCTTGGAATCGGCCCGATGCTTCTTGGCCGAATGTTCTACAACCTTCACTTTCACTCCTTTGCCGTCATGTGCTTACGCACATCTCATGTATATAACCTTGTGTATCTACTCCGTAGGACAATCAACGCAGTTCTCATATGCAGTTGTTGACGTCTTGTCTACTGCGATAAAAAACGCCTCAACAACACGAAATTTTCCGAAGCTTCCAAACCGCCGCCAACGCCGAGTTGCCAGCTAGAGAGCGCCTCCACGTACTTGAGCCTGTGAAGCCTGTTGTTACACGCTGGAACTCTTACTACGCTGCCTTCAAACGCGCAACTCAACTCCAGGCAGCATACAACTCTTACGCTGAGCACTACATTAACGCACTCTCCCTTGAAGATCGCCGCGCTTGTCAACGTGGCAATAAACTCCCTGAAGCACCTAGTTGGATGAGATCAACAGGACTTACAGCTGCTGATTGGGCGGTGATAACAGAGTATCAGGACTGCCTAGAGCCGCTTAAGCTTGCTACGGAGAAGCTTGAGGGTCGCGGAAAGGCAGGCAAATACGGCGCTATATATGAGACTATTCCTGTATTTGAATACGTACTTGGCGCGCTCGAAGCCCGTACGCGCTCGTACGAGCAAGTTGACTTCAACCCACCTGATGCGCCTGAAGATCACCTCTTTGTTAACCTCCGCGCCGCCTGGAGTAAGGCCAACGATTACTACAACAAGCTCGATCGATCGCCAGCATACTACGCTGCTACCTGCCTCCATCCATACTACAAATACTACTGCGAGAACAGCTGGGTGGATAAGCCAGAATGGCTAACATCAGCCAACGCTGGCTTCCTGCAGCTCTGGCAGTCGTATAAGCCTCAACGTACACGTCCTCTATCTCAAACAACTGCAAAACCAAGGCATAGAGGAATAGATGATGTGATTGGCGCCCTCGTACGGCGCAACAAGGCTCAGGTAGAGGCTGCCCACGACGATGAGTACGAGCGCTGGAGAACTCAAGAGCCAGAGTGGACAAGCGAACAGTATCTTAGCGATGGCCACCCAGTCAAGTACTGGATTCAATTACGCTCAAAATACCCGTGTTTGAGCCAGTTTGCGATTGATATACTCACGATACCAGCATCTAGTTGCGACTGCGAGAGGCTCTTTAGCGAGCTTGGCGATTTACTTGAGCCGCGCCGGCGAGCTCTTGGCAGCGAGTTACTTGCTGCCCTTCAGCTTGTACGTTCGTGGAGACGAGCTGGCTTTGACGGCTTGTACAACAACGGTGATGATGAAGATAAGTGGAGTGACGTCAAAGATGAGGAGATTGTACAACAGTACGATATAGAAGGCTGGAGTACAACACCATAACCCCCTGTATACTACTTCTTAGCATCAATCAGCCAATCAACCAATCAATCGCAATCAATCTGCTCAAAAACCCTAACAATCAATCCGCAATCAATCAGCAGCGTCGCCGCAAGCTAATCAAACCAATCGACAACCTTAAGATTGATTGATTTGATTGTTGCGGAGTCTGGCATGTAGGTTGTCGAGTAGACGTCGGAGAGATTGTATACTTTCGTAAGAATTGCCGCGATGATCTGGTGGAGTGTGTTAGTGAAGGATGCTTGATTGACCAGAAAGTAGACACATACGACGAAGACGCCTATGCTGAATAGAACTCCTAGTCCAATCTTCTGCTTCAATGGTAGCTTCAGCGATAATATCATCGGTACCGGAACTGCGATAATGAACAGATCGCTGCTCAAGTTGAATGTCGCCTGGACGATAGCATAATGAACCAAAGTAGTGCATTGTGGATCTGGAGGAGGTACGGCCCAGTATCCCTTGAAAGGGCGACATGCGGTGAAAAAGGCAATCTCAACTGCAACCCAACCGGAGACAGTCCACACTGTGATGAGTTTGATCCATTTCATATTCGATGTTCCGGTTAAAATACGAGCGTACATGAACAGCATACAAGCTTTCAAGGACCATATGACGTTCAACATGCACTGTTTGGCATTAGCTTTTCTTCGAAAATCATTGTGCGCTCCATAGATGGTCAAAATACCTGCTCAGAGAGGACAACAATCTTGGATCCCTTGACACGCTCGTCTATATCTGACTGTGTAAACGTAGAAAACTGCTCCGGTGGAAACAAGTTGCTTCCGCCCCCAGTTGCGATGAGGTTCAGGCATACTATCAGGCCAGTGTAGAGAAGCGGTACAGCAGTGATCATAATGCAGTCGTCGATTGCGAATCGATTTAGACTCCGAACTCGACGCCATCGTGCATATCTAATACCAATGTTAGTATCCAGCAGTACACTTGGAGTAAGGGGTACAAACGCTCGCAGACTGATGAGAGCCATGCCAATGCCATATAAGATCCATGACTGCAACCCCAGCTGCCACTGGAAATCAGACATGATCAGCCCTTCTATTGCTCCAAAGATACAGTCGAGATGTGTCCAGCGCCTTCAAAACGCTTTCCTCCGGACTAGTACCGTAGGGATATGAAACAGACGCTCTTCAATGCTTGCAATCATGAGTCGTACCCACACTTCATACTCCGTCTTGTCAGTGCCTTCGATTTTGGGGACGCCCAGTGTCGTGGCAGCGACTTCGCGCAATTGGAAAAGTTACGAGATTGGAGTACGGGATTTGGAAGAGATCTCTCACAGATAATCAGCGACTTGGCCGAGATAGATATGATGTTACAACAGCCTCCACAACCCGGGAAATTGAACTACGGCTAGAACATTGTCTGAGATGTCCCCACGAGGGTGTATGCTTAGCGTTGCCGCGTAATGATAGCCTGCATCCCCGGAATGCTCGGACGGTCGGTAACGCACGTAGCCGTGACATGTTGATCAGCACGGAAGTCGATACATTTTATAGAGAGATCAATCTACATGCCGGTCATGACATTCAGGTCATCGATTGAGGGCTAGAAAGATCTACGATTGGTACGGAGGTCCGTAGACAAGAACCCCTGTGCCTGAACGACGCGCGGGATAGGAGTCATGGTGAAGGTAATCGCAAGCGCGTCGGCACGCGCGCCATAAGGCGAACGGAACGGCCGCTATCATGTGGGTTTTACCATAGAATGAACCTTGCTCCACAAAGTCGAGATGCCAATAGATGTGTGGCTCACCCGGATGCTATGCTATCTATAACTCTCGATTTGCTGGAGACTGTCGCTATACATCCCTGTTTTCGTCTCAGCCAAGACTGCACAAAGAGGCGAATGGTACGAGGCAAAGATAAGGAAGCGGCTCAAGTCAGTAACGCTCTCCCACCCATGTGCGAACAAGATTGCATGTTCGTATCGCTATTCGACAGTGGTCTTTGGCACAGCGCGTATGAGGACTCTCAATCCAGGATGGCATCCTCAGGAACGCTCTCTCTTCGGACTTCGTATCGTGTGCAGAAAGTACCAATTGACGGCAAGAGGAATAAAGCCATAATGAAGATCGCTATTGCCGAATCAGCGGTGTGAATAGAGACATGCGCGGGACCAGAGGTAGTGGCAGTGCGCGTGACGCAGACATGCCCATTGGTTTGGTTGAGATAAGGGATTAGCAGTGACGACCTGATCAGGTTAGCGTCTTCCCCAAACGTCACTAAGATCGCCAAGAGGACCCTGCCGGCTCATCCCACGCTCACTGGCTATCATCATCCAGCTACGCGACTTGTGAATAATGGGTTTCGACCAAGACTTCTTGATTACAAGGACTATCCCAAACAAATATACGTACACTCCCCAGGATAATAATACTCCGGACCCAATACCGCTATTGTACGACAAATTCCCGGCGGAGAATAAAAGAACAACTCTATGAGAGATCTACGACCGGGTAACAATAACCAAGCCATATAATGCAGGGCAAATGATGGACCCTGCACCCTCCAAGTGCAAAACAATAACCCACTCTATGTACACGCTAAATCAGAAATAAAGATACTGTAGAAGATGACCAGAGTCGAGTGTTGACGCTTGGCTAAAGCGCCCAGCTGCCTTTTCTTACAGCTGTCCCACGTCCCGCACCCAGGAACTCATCCTCAGCCATATTAGGGTGCTGCCTGGCCCACTCCTGAATGTAGATGCGCAAGGCGCGCCATCGCATGCATGTCTCCTCGGTAATTTCTGTATCCTTTAAATTACCGTCTTTCCCTAGACGGATGTAACCACGGGATGTGGCAAGGTGGTCGTCTTGCCTCAGCTCAGAGATGGATATATTCGAGACTTTCGACAGTTCTTCATCGAAAGGCCGGGCCATGGATGGATAGCCGAGCGACAAGTAATTGTACACCTGAGTGACAAAGTCGTCGCCAAACTCTTCTTCGATGGTTTGCTCGACGGCGAGCTTTTCATCTATACCCGAGAAGTCCCCTCCAAATGTGGCCCCAGAGCTGGATGCGGGAGGTGTGGGTGGCAACAAGCTCGTAGCGGGTGTTGGGCAAGGAGACATTGGATTTGGCTTCTCATGGAATGGCGTCATAAGACCCGTCGGTCCGCGTGGGGACTTGTCGCCCCCATTGACGCACATGCCCCCCCACAAACCGTGGGTGCTTGAGGCACGGCTGTTGGCAGTAGACCAAAGAGATGGCGTGGTGCTAGTTTGCCTGCCGTTCCCCTGGCCGCACCAAAGGCTCTCACCCTTTTCGGAAGCAGCCTTGGACTGTTCAGACAAATAGCACATGGCCGTTCTTACTGCGTCGCACCCTTGAGTGGGATCGAAACGTGATGGTTCTGGCGACTGGCAACGTGGGAACCTGATTTCTTGTCCGAGCATTGGGGGGCGAGCTTCTCTCCGTTGACGTTCCAGTTCAGGGTCTCGCCGTTCCTTCGCAAACTTCTTGGCCGTAGCAGCATCAAGGAAGCCGGCTGGGTTGCCGAAAGGACTAAACGCAGGCTTCGCGTTCTCCGTCTGATCCTGCTTTTCTTTCTCGGCCATCTGGGCTTCTTGAAACTTCCGCATAGTCTCCAAGTCCCAATTGACCTCAGTAAAAGACGATTCTTCTTGGGGCTTCGCCTCGGTGAGCGATGGCTCGGATTCTTCTGTGTCACGGTCTACGTAGTGAGCCACAGGCTCGTGAAACTCGCTGTTAGGAAACGCAGCTAACGCCTGCTCCCGAAGCTGCTTCTCGGCAGCCTTGGCGGCCAACTTGAGTAGATAGCCAGCAGATCTATCGTCTACACTCTCACGTCGTCGAGTGGCCTCTTTGTACATGAAAGAATGATCAGAGCTGTAGGGCGGTGGTGACTCAGTCGACGGTGACGACGGGGCTGACGCTTCTGACTCTGAGGATTCAATCGGATCCAAGTCGGGCACGCGGAATGAGTGCTGTGAAGAACTGAAGTATGATCTTCGCCTGGACAAAGGTGAACAGTTGCGCTGTATCTCCAAGAATAGAGGATTCTGGGACATGTCAAATGTTGGCGTGTTCGTTGGCGGCGTGGGTGGCGAAGGCGATATTCCCAGTATCCGTGCTTTGCGCGCGCTGATGGCTGAGTCTGGAGTTGCCTCGGTCTTGTCTTGAGGGAGAAGTGTAGGCGTGTCGTCGCCTGCTTTTCGAGATCTCTGGGCTATCTCAATCAACTGAGGTCTGAATCTCTTCGGAGTCTGCCTTATGAAACCCTTGAGCTGACCATTACAGGGAGATGCCGTTTCCATGGGATTGGCCTTGAACTTCCCTGTGGGGGATGTTTGCTCTTCCCAGTCCTTGGCGAACTTCTGGCGGCTACTTCTCGTTGTGGTCTCTATAGGCTCGGGGGCAAAACGCCGGTTTGATTTCTTGGTCGTCTCAATAGGCTCTGGAGCAAATCTACGGTTCGTTTTCTTGGTAGTCTCGATGGGCTGGGGCGCGAATTTACGGCTGGCTTTGGAGCTCGATGTTGTCGTCTCGATGGGTTGAGGCAAAAACCTCCGCGGCTTTGGCCTCTCGACATGGTCTGCCTGATGCTTGTCTTTGGAGGATGTGATGGTTGTCTCGATTGGTTCGACCTTGAATCGCCGGGGTGGAGCTGACGATGCCATCTTACAGTCTATCCCCGCACTTTACTGGTGCTCTTCTATGCTATTCTTCTATGGGTAATGCTAGTGTCGCTCACAGCCAGTATTGCCAATAGCAAAACAGTCTTCGGTCGCGCGGGTAGGCTAGTGGCAGGCAACGATGTATATAGAATGCGGATGCGCACGAAAGCGGGGGAATGGCTCGGGAGAGCTCGGGAGGATTCGGGGATATACAAAGATGTACAGAGACTCGCAAGTAGGGGCCAATGCAGGTGCAGATTTCCGATTTCGATGCTCAGAGAAAATGCAAGCAAACACGCCTGTCCATGTATCCGAGAGAACCAGGCAGTTAATAGGTGCGGCAGGTGGTAGGGTGCCTGTGCAGATGATTTGGTGCGCGCCGGCCGATCTGAGGGGTTCGTTGGATTCAAGGATGTATGTGTAGACTTCACATGTGTCAGTCGCGTGCGCATTGATGGTCGAGGGTTTATGCCTCACTTACCGTACCCCGTACCTCAATTCCCACACGGCGAGCGGTTTGTCGAACTGCGGAAAGCGTCTGAAGGAGGAATTGCCGGGACACATGTGAAATTCAACAAGGTGAAATAGGACGGATCAACGGCTTGTGGTGCAGGATGACGTATAGTCGTCTGAGGTGTGATGATGGCCGCAGAGCTACTACCGCGGGGGTTCGCAAGTCTTGGCCGATGATTATCGAGGAGCTACCTGGATGCTAGGACGTTGAATGACTTGAGTCTGTGATATAACAAGCAACGGGGCGGCGGCAGTGCAAGACCTAGACCCTTGATCGTAGGAGAAAGGCGCGTCGCAGTTATGAGCTGGTGTTTCTTGTTGAGACCAGGATAGCGCCTCGATCAGTGCGCCTCCCTTTCCAGCCCGGGAACCGGCGATATGGCAGCCATGGAAATTGGTTTATCAATGCATACCGCACTATCGACACCAAACACAGTTATTGCACCTTGGACCGCGGCTGCGCAAAACAAATTTGGAAATACGCGGCGGTCAAGTCGCTACCCGACAATATGTCACGGCATGCTGGCCGTGGGTACCGTACAGCTGTCCTAGCCCAACGTCAGCGCCCATCGCCCTTCCCGGCAACCTAGTTCGCCTCTAGCGATGCGCGGCCAGTGGGTCGGAGTACGAGCCTAGACACTGCTCCATCGAAGATGCCAGATGCAAAAGACTCGGGACGACTGTTGGTTGGGGGATCGACGGATGGACGGCTTGACCTTCTCCACGTCTCCACGACTCCACGCGGCACCGTCTCCTCAGCTGCCATCAGAGCATGACATGCACGTTTGGCAAACTCACTGCAACTCACCGCCGTTCCAGTACGATATTGCCTCTCATCGGCCACCATAGCGCCATCGGCCGCGGGTCTACTCACCGTCAGCTCTGCACGCACGCGCAGTTCGTCACCGGAGAGCCAGCAAAAGGTCCCTCCCCATGTAAAAAGCACTGCCCAACGTCCACCTACACGCTGAGGACCGAGCAAGACAGATCACCGCACATGCAGCAACACATTGCAGACACGTATAGGCTCCAAAAGAACATGCGCCTGCTTCTCTTATCAGCCACAAATGCTTTTTTACCCTGAGCTTACTTGCACACGAGAGAGTGGCATTTCACCACGTTGAATGCTCGTGCACAGGTTATAACTAGTGCAACAGGATAATTTATCGGGAATAACCGGGCGATTCCGGGTGACACGGGTGACAGGACAGCATACATGAAAAGAGCAATCCAGGTTCCGCCTGCCGGGTACCACCTCCACATCTGGATAGCCCTATCTGCTACCACTACGTACACCCTCCCACACCTGTTCTATCAGATAGAATGCAGTCGAACGATCCGGGTCGACCAGATGCGATGCGGGGTCCCCTCGACAATGCTCGTACTACGGACTAAGCCGCAAGGGCGTATGCAAGAAGTGATATTCGCCTGGTAGTGGAGAAGCAGGTTGCATGCTTGTTATCCAGTATAAGATGCCCGGATTTGGTGATAGGCTGCGAACGCTTCCACCAACCGAGGCCACTGGACTGTGATCGCTTGTGGCACAAGGTTCGACTACCAAGCTCTCTGACATTGCGTCGTAGTCTCCCGTCGATGACAACTGAGAGCTAGTGTCGTTCTCTGCTGTGTCTGGGTTTGACATGTTCTCCTCAGCGTCATCCGCAGCTTCGACGTCTTCATAGTCGCCTTGCCATTCAGTAACCGAGTACCCGTTATCTTCCTCACCAACAGCCGTGTCGTCGTCGCTATCTCGGCCACCACCCTCGTCCTCGCTGGCCTTCTGGCATCCCAGTCCACAATCGTAGCCACAGTTTCTGAAATTATACTGTGGCGGTCTATCTGGCGAAGGTTTATCCAGTTTCGCCTGGTTCGATGGGCCACCGGTATTGTTGTGATCATACATGATGAAGACGGGCAATGCAAGCAGAACGAAGGTACGCTGAAGACATGTCAGTTGTGTGTTGTCACATGCGCTCAATAGATTCCGATGACATTGTCACGACAGACATCGATGGCAATATACACCGAGGAACAATACTGCCTACCTTGCAAGTGAACAGGAAAGACAACAAAAACCCGTTCGCCGACGGAATGGACACTTTAGACAATTTTGTTTCAGGAAGCCGCCGAATGCAAAGTCAATGGCTACAAGGTAATGGTGTACAAGCTAATAATACAGAGCAAGTATTTTCGGATATCCAAATACAATGGAAGAACAGAATAGCAAAATCACGACGAAGCGAGAGACTTTATGTCCCCACGACAAGGACGCTTGTGTGTCACAGACCACAGCTGAATTGATCCTTCGGGGAATCGCAATGATTTCCGTTACGACCACTGACACTCTTACCTCACTAGCATATGTGCCTTCAACATCTTGTTACTGGACACATTCTTAGCTGAGCTGCAACCAACGTCATGAAAAAAGGTAGATGCATTTCCCCCGCATTCCAAAAAGTTGCCTCACCCCCATTTATGATCTCGACTCAGAAATCGGGATTCACATGTATACCTGGATTATCCACGTGTACCCACGCGTATCGAGGATACAACAAGGCAGACTGGTGAACCCTGGCACCGGCGATAACCGAAGCGCACACCCTTCAGCTGCAGGGCCAAGCACAGCAAGGCTGGGGTAATGGTGGTGTGCCTGTAAGTGGTCGTCGAAATTGTGTTCTGCATGTCTCTCCCGTAAAGGCGTAAAGGCTGACCGGCAGGAGGCCGCCTACACACCTCTCAGGAGTGGGGTAAAGCCACCTGCTGCGCGCATAACCCATGGATTTAAGACGTTCTTGATGCCATTGGTCGCTTTACTTTTCTGCTCAACCTCGGCTTGGATGTTGAGGGTGTTGCAATGTAGACATGAGGGCGTGTATGAGCCGTATTGCGGTAACTAGCCTGGAGTATCCACCTACCACCGGCAGTTTACCACGACACCATCCGTTTTCCATGTACAAAACGTTTGCGCGATACTCTCATGTACGGAAACGGGTGACTGTAATAGAACTATGCAACTTCGCTGTTTGTCTAGCAGAGGTCCATCATCCACTTTGAGATTATTCATGTGCACTGCCCCAAACCTTCATGTCGATCATCGATGATCTCACGTGACGCGATCTATCCCTCAAGCTATATAAAGCCCCCCACCATACTACAAGACTGATTCCTCGCCCATATCTCCTTTTTCCTGTACTAAAAAACCGAAATCCGCGAATCCATGGTGCGGATATCTAAAACGAAGAGTTGGAATACGCATGTGTCTGTCCTGCTCCCGCTACTGCTCATGCTTCTCAACACTTTTATTCTTCCCTCTAAAAAATGTAGATGAAGACTTCGAATGGCTGCTTTCTCGTTCGGAGATTTTTAAAAAAAAACTGTCGGCCATAGGGTTTATCCCTTGGCTCCTCCTTAGGCAACCAGGCAGCCACCCATTTACCCGCTGGTACCTTTACGGCCTAGCTCCTTCACTCCCTCTTCCCACTGCGTATATAGACCTCTTTCCGATAGCTCTAATACGACATGATTCTCCCCAACCTTGACGCTTGACAAAAACCCCCAAAAAGAGCACAACATGAGTTTCAGGCCAGGGTATAAAGTCGTCCTACTGTGCCGCCTTCCTCTTTTTCTTCTTTCTTCTCTTATTACCTTGCTTTAATCATATTCCTAAAAACACTTAGAGTGCTGCATTATGGTATTCTTTCTGAATCGATAAAACACAAATGAATGAAGCTTCTCCTCCCCCTCTCCCTGCCCTTTATTACATTTCTCTGAAAAAACTGAAAAGGCTCTTCTGTTCTACTATCAAAAAATGAGGACAAATTATATATGTTGAAGTTTGATTCTTCTAGAGCTTATAAAGGACTATTCCTTGAAAATCGACATGATACATTTTGAATAACTTAATGTGTTGTATAAAATTACACATCATCAGAAAACATGTGGACTTCTGTCTCTTCCTGCGTTTTATAAAGCTTTTTCTCCTTTCTACTTCTTACTACTCCCTTATTAAAATAAAGACAACTGCGATGGTATGCAGTCCGAAATGACGACAACATTGATCCATGTTGACTTTTGCCTCTTCCAGCGCTTTCAAAACCCTCGTTCTTTCTGGTTCTTACTACTCTTCTTCCAAACTAAAAAAGCGACACTTTGATATCTTGCTGTCTAAAATCACGACTATTATATGCGCATGTGAACCTCTTCCTCTTTCCGAGTTCTTAAAAAGCGCAATGGATTTCGACGTATGGTTTCTGCCTGGTCGAAAAAGACACATCTTCAACTTCATGTTCGCAGGCCTAACAGCAGAAATAAAATGACATACAGAGAACAACTATGGTGTACCGCCTAGCCAGGTCTCTGGAACTTTGGTTTGTTGCTATATAAACCACAAGCTTACTTGCCTTCTTCCCACCTTTATCTACATTACCTTTCTAAATTCTCTAAAACCCCAAAACCATGACAGATAAAGGGGACGATAAAAAGAGTCCGCTAGAGCTGCCATGAGCGGCATTGCACCACCTAAAAAATGTACTTCCGACTCTGTACTAGCAGAACTGCTTTCCTAAAATCTTAATCAAGGAAAAGTGGACAAGTTGATGGGGCTTTTCCCCAGCTCTATATAAACCCCTATCTTTTCTCCTCCTTCTCTCCTTCTTCCTCCCACTTACCAGTCTCCTTGAAACCATAAGTTCTAGTTATTTCAAAAAACTTAGTGTACTGTCAAACGTTTCCACGAGAACGTCTCGAATAAGACACAAAACCCGGATATGCGCTCTTTCCGCTTCTTTCTTTCTTTCTAAAATCATAGGGATGACAAGTATATGGTGTTCTCAGATCTTGAAAATATAAACCCCCATCTTCTCCCCTCCTTCTCTCCTTCTTTTTCCGACTTACTAATCCTCTAAAAATTAAGAGTTCCGATTATTCCAAGAGTCCAGCTTTCTAATCCATGTTTCTAAGAACGGCTCGAAATACACGAAAAAGTCGTCAATGTGTCTCTCCCTTCTCTCTTTCTAAAAATCAGCTTAGGTCATCTTGATGGTGTTTTGAGATATTTCAAAACAAAAAGAGGATGAAAAATAGTTATGGTGTGGTTCCACTCTTCTGTGTGTTCAAATGAAAAGTCACTCGAAATCTATATTTGGAAAGTTACATGCGCGTTAAGACTTTATCTAAAGGATTATTCACCATCTTTGATGGAAACGTCCTCTCTTCCTTGTTTTACCAAAACTCCCTTGTCTAAAATTTACACAGCCATACCCAATGTGCTGAGCTCCCCGTAGAAAACGCAGAACTATTCCGTCTACCTAAAACCTAAAACTTGATCTATCATGGTCGTGGACTTTTTCTCCGTAAAACCGTCAGCTTTGTGTATACATGTCTCTCGTGCTTCTGCTTTCCAACTCCTCTCCTTCCTACAAAGCACTACTCTATTTCCGAAAAAAAAAACCCCTCTTCATTTACCTGGTATGTGCTGTTCCTGCTTCCTTGTCGCCGGAAGCTTTGACTAAAGAGAATGACGAGTATGAGGATGGGTTTCTTGATCTAACACGTAGCGGATATTGCATCATATGCTGAAACACTCGTACAAAAAGGCGATGGGTTCGTTGTTGTGGGGACTTGTTTATTAGAAGTATCAGAATACACCGCTGATGATTCCTCGTTCTTTGCTACGAATAAAACAGGGAAAGTGTACAAAGGACATTCAAACTTCAGCGACATATGTCATGAAAACACAATCAAATCTCCATACTTTTTTTCAGAATATGCAAAAGGGCATCGTTCGATTCCATCTATCATGAGTTTCGTAAAGCATGGCTAGCTATAAAACGCCGTCTAAAAGATTTTGTATCACCCCGAAAGAAAGGAAAATGCCGTGAAAGGTCTTCAGAGCCTCATTCTAACGCCGCTGCGTCCTAAGCAGCCGGGACCCCGTCATTCACTCAACACCATTCTTAACCTTAGGGCCTACAAGAGCCTTCTCAAGTGCTTGCTTGACATCCGCAACGAGATCAACCTCGTCTTCGACACCACAGCTAATACGGACCAAGTCATCAAAGACACCGGCCGCCTCACGCTGCTCCTTGGGAATACCGCCGTGTGTCATGGCACTGGGGACTTCGACAAGCGATTCGACACCACCTAGCGACTCAGCGAGTGTAAAGATCTTAGTCGCCTGGCAGAAACGCTCTGCAGCTTCGTGGCCGCCCTGGATGCGGAATGACAGCATACCGCCGCCCATACCATCGCGGTGTTGCTTGAGCGCGATAGCGTGCTGTGGGTGTGAAGGCAGACCAGGGTAGTTGACGGAAATGACGTGCGATGAGGCCTCAAGGGCTTTTGCAACACCAGTAGCGTTCTTTGTCGCTTCCCGCGCGCGGAGATGCAGGGTCTTGAGACCACGGTGTGCAAGCCAGCAATCGAACGCTGAAGGCACGGCACCGATGGCGTTCTGGAGGAAAGAAAGACGCTCGTAGAGATCGTCCGAGTTGAAAGCTGCGGCGCCCATGACTACATCTGAGTGGCCGTTGATGTACTTTGTGACTGAGTGCACAACGATATCCGCACCGTGGTCCAGCGGGTTCTGTACGTACGGGCTCATGAAGGTGTTGTCCACAACCACCATGATCCCGTGCTGATGCGCGATCGTAGAGATCTTCCTAATATCCACCAGGGTCAATGTGGGGTTCGATGGCGACTCAATCCAGATGAGCTTCGTGTTCGGGCGAATGAGTTCGGCGATATCGATCTCGATGCTCGGGCTGAATGTGACCTTGACATCGTGTGTGAGCGCGACCTTTGTGAAGTAGCGGTGCGTTCCTCCGTAGACATCCGAGACGGATACGACGTGTGAGCCTGCAGCGAGCGATTGGAGGATGTTGGCAGTGGTCGCGGAACCAGACGAGAATGCAAGCGCATAGCGGGCGTGTTCAAGAGCGGCGACTGCTTTTTCGAAGTTGTCTCTGGGGGTGCATTAGTTATGGGTACCGCAATGGTACCACGGATACGTACCGGTTCGGGTTGGAGGATCGCGAGTACTCGTACTCGCCGACTGGCTTTCCAACGCTGGTTTGCGCAAATGTGGTGGAAAGCGAGATCTAGCGCCGTTAGTTATTTTTCTTCATGAAACTATTGTATCCGCCAGGAACACGTACAGACTCAATCACGGCTCCCGTTACAGGGTCATGAGGGCTCCCTGCGTGTACAGCGAGAGTACCGAACCTGTGAACTGGCGAGGGCGCGCGTGGCGGGGTGTCGATCGGGTGTTCGGAAACCGTCATTTTGATGCTTATGCGATACTCTTTGTGTAGGGTATTAGGTTGAGAAAGTAGAAAGAATTATAATAATCGAGGAAAGGTCGTGTGGGTAAAGGTGGTGGGGTTTGACCAGACTTTAGGCTCTCACAGTGTTGACGTCTGCGAACAAATAATTTACTGTAGGCACTCTTCTAGCGCGGCTTCAACCGGCGAGAGCCTTTGTTTCGTGAAGGCGTGATTTTAGTAAAGAATTTCGGTTGAAAACTTGCAAAGTGGGACTGAAGAGTCCACTCGAATGACTCCGTGACATCTTATACCTGTGCGTAGCCGTTGGTCAGCCGTAATTTCTCAGCAATGGATTAATCAGGCTCTCAAGTCGTGGCGGATGCAGGCCGGTCCAAGGACCCGCGTTGGTTTCGTGAGCAAGCGGGGATGGTGTCATATTATTCTCCGATGCGCCTTGTGACGGCCTTGGCTATACCGCTTACATATCACCTACTGCGCTTATCACCAAGTGTGGAAGGTTATTTGGCCAGGGTTGCTATATGCAGATTTGGAATACGTAAATTTGTGCAAACTAAGAGAAAAACTTTATGCACATGATCTGGCTGAGCCGCGATATGGAGTAGAGAGATTAATCTTTGTCTATACGTGTGCAAGTAATCTATATGGGTATCTTCAATGCATCATTGTGAGGTTCAGAAAGCGTCTTCCTCGGGTCTGCTCTTAAGCTTAACATAGCCACTTATACCTCTCCTGCGCCCAGACTGTTCTCCCTCTGAGACATCACTCTTTCGCGAAGGTGACGACTTTCCGTTCTTTGCTGTCGAAGTCAGGTAACTACGTCCATCGTCTAAGCCCGTGTTACGTCGCTTCTCGCCTACCAGGACAGGATCCTCGGCGATCATCTTCTCCATGTCTTCCCACTCCTTCTGGTTGACAACATCCCACTCTTGCGCTTGCTGTTCAGCGAGCAGGTATGCCTTTAGCTCGTCGACGATCTTCGTAGGTGATATTCCCCAGCCACTGATGTACTGTGTATTTTCAGCAATGCCGAGAAACGAGTGTGATGTCGCATGTGAAAGCTGTCCGAAGCCTACGGGCGACTTCCGAAGGATGGACCTATAAGACTTGGATGTTGTGATGTCTCTATCAAAGGGATTCTCCAGTCGCTGGGGATTGTACGACTCCTGCGCTATCAAAAGCCGGTACAGGTTGCGACCTATGACACATGTGTCTTCCCATTGCTTGAAGCTCTCCTTCATGCCCTGGGTTCGGCATAGCCAAGCTACATTGTACGCAAGCAATGAAACGCCTTCGATGAAGGACCCATATGCAGGAGGGTCTTCGGCCGAAAGGGCACTCAATGGGCGGTCGACGAACAATGTGCGAGGTTTCGGGAGATGTATACGTGCCTCAAGCGTGCGTGACGTCTCTGGGCTGGCGCTTGACGAGTGTGAAGGTGTTGATCCAGGGAAAGGTACTTTTTTGCCCTGATATGAGGAAGCCGGACTGAAGATAGTAGGTTGAGGATAGTCGCTATGGGGGAGCGTGATTTCGGCTGGCAGGCGGATGCCTAGGTAAGCGGCGACGCGGACTAGAAGCTGTGCCACAGCAGCCAGCGATGCAGATAGCGAATCGGGAGCCACGTCTGGGCGAGGGTTAGTGACTACTTATCAAGAGCGAAGTATTACCAGAATCTTACCATTCATATCTCGAAGATCGTAGATGCGCAGGCGCGATCCAGGCCCTATGTTGAAGACTTCCTTAACGCCTCCATCCCGGGTCTTTCGCCGCTGCATCTTGAGTCCGGCCAGCTTCGCGGCAGTTGTACAGAGTTGCATGCGCAAGTCTATGGTGTCGTGGTGCATTTTATCGGCGTTGTAATCAAGCCTCTTGACCTTTTGCTGCACCTTATCCAGCTCATTCGCCCGCCGCGATTCGATGCCGTATGTGGCCGAGGAGAGGTCTGACTTCCTTTGGGCGTTGGCGGCTCGTTTGGCCTCGAGCAATTTCCTCGTCGCCTCCATTTGCTGCCTCAACTGATGCGCATGATCTGAGATGTTGCCGAGCCGCTCCTGGATCTCGGCCGTCTCTGCTTTCGTCCGCTGCCAGTTCAGATTGTTGGTGCATTCTTGCCTATCGACCAAGAGTCCACCCTTTGAGTCGGTAAGTGAGACATGCTGGATCGCCTTGTCTTCGGAGCCGTTGATAATTGCCTTGACGTGTTTCTCGACGCCATCCAGGTCTATCAGCGTCTTTGCAAGTTCGATGCGGGGGTGTTCGAGGTATGCGCGCGCGCACGTTATGCAGTGGAGAGGCTGGCTGAGGCTGCCGTCTCTCCCACAGATGTCGCACTCCATGGTTAAAGATGTGTTACGTGATGTCGCCTCCAGAAATTCCGTAAAGTGGGAGGCTTAGGAGAAGGTGCAGCGAGACCATGGTTGGAGTGTGTCGCCGCGGGGGTTGGCTGGTGCCTATGTATCCATCGATATTAGGCAGTCGTGCGCCGAGTGAATGCTGAGGGTGCGGGTGATTGTTGCTCGAGTGATGTGCAGGTAAAGGGGGGGCGCATAAGTAGGAAGGCAGGAGAGTGAAAGGTCCAAGTCTGTGTGACCGAAGCGGCGGTATGTACCTGGAGAGAGGCGCGAGTCGCGAGTCAGACGCACCTTCCAAACGTCATGCCGCGACTGACCAAAACGGACCGCACTACTGCACGGGGTGTAAACAGCCTATCTTGAGTACATGACCATTTTCACACCGACCGACGGTAACCACTCGGTTCAAACAATAATAACTGCCCTGATGAGGATGCGTCGTGGCTGCCATCACTTCACTTACCCACAGCACTGACCGTCACAGCGGCCTTGCGGATGAACAGCACTACGGACCAGGTGTCTGAATCATCTCTCCCAACTTTCAATTCAATCAGCCGACTTTTCCCTCTTCACCTCGAATATTGAGACGTACTCCGAGCATGCCCGAGATGGATGCAAGTCTTGCAACCAAGGCGGAGCCTTCGCCCACTCAAGACGCTCAAGTTGTCGAGCCACAATCGTTAAAACGCATCAACTCGAATGAGACGGAGCGTCCGCCCTCAGCCCAGCAGACGCAAGATGATGCCGATGACCCTGCAGATTCAAAGAGCGAAGCAGACTCTGAAGAGGAGGAAAGTGACCCTGCAGACAGAATTGCCGACTTTGACTGGGAAGACCTACATGTTCGGTATCACGAGGCTATGAAGGGTTGCCACGAAGAGGAAGCAGCGCTGATGCATGAATGGGAGGCTCTCATGAATGTACTGTGCTTGTTTGTGCTTGATGTAGCAATCGCTAATGTTCGTCATAGTACTTCCGCGTGTGGGCACAATCGGGACATGAGCACGAGACCGAACGGACCTTCTCAAGGTGCGCATGCAGGTGCCTACCAAACATACTAGCGTCTTTACTTACCAACCTAGACTACGTACACGCACCACCTTTGTCCAACACGAAGAGGACACACTTGAGCAGAAGCGTAATCACTGTAAGAAGCCATTTGCCCTGATATTGCGCTCCTCCAACTAACCCCGTCTAGACATCAACGTGGTGAAAGCGTTTGAAAGTGCGCTCAGTCTTCTCAAGCATACCGGCTTCCGCAGTTGATGCTCATCAACCCAGGGGCCATCTACCTTGCTTACCACCCACCCCAACCGCTCGTGTCACAGCGGCTCACTGGGTCCCCAAGTTCACCATCTCCGGACCCCAAATTGATGCGCTCGTCGAGCCTCGCAACATGCACCTCGTCAAGGATGCATATATTGCGTTGCTCAATAATGTGACGAGGTTCAAAAGGGATATCATGTTGCGATGGAGCAAAGGCAGTACACATCACATATAGCATAGCGTTTGATACCCACTCCCATGTCCACTTCAGAAGCCTTGCGTTGCTTGCCAGGTATCTACCCTATCTAAAAACCTAAATTAGCCGCTCAAGATTCTATGCAATATACGCCTGCAAAGCCATTTGGCCAAAGGTCTTTTCCCATGCCCTCCGAGTATACGATAAGCAATGAAATGTCTATGCTCGTGCCAAGTATACCAGAAACTGCCCAAACGTGGTCCAACAGTATAATGATGTGGACACGCACGCTCTATAGGAGAGGGTTGGAGCGGTACTCTGGCACAACGCCGTTGGTCTGCGACTTCTCGGCCTGGTTCTCAGTCTCGAGCTCGTTGCCTACGCTGTCGTCTTTCTCAGCAAGCCACTTCTCCGCCTCGAGGGCAGCAATGCAGCCAGATCCCGCACTGGTGATAGCCTGGCGATACCGCTTGTCTTGGACATCACCCGCAGCGAAGACACCCTCGACGCTCGTAAGACCCTCGCCGGGCTTGGTGATGAGGTAGCCATCCTCGTCCATGTCGAGCTGGTCCTTAAACAGCGCGGTGGCGGGGTCGTGTCCAACTGCGTAGAAGAGACCCTTGGCCTCGATGGTCTGCTCCTCCTTGGTAATGTTGTTCTTGACTACCAGGTGTGTCATGAGACCGTTCTTCTTCTCCTCGCCCTTGATCTCGCTCGCGCTAGTGTTGTACATGATGTCGATCTTGGGGTGTGTTGTCAGTCGTCGAGCGTTGGTTCGGCTAGCCCGTAGTTTATCCCTTCGTACGAGGACGGTGACCTTCTTGGCCTTCTTGGTGAGGTACAAGGCCTCCTCTACCGCCGAGTCACCACCTCCGATAACAACCAGGGGCTGATCGCGGAACATGGGGAGCGAGCCGTCGCAGACGGCGCATGCGGAGACACCGTTGCCCCAGTATTTGTCTTCCCCCTTGAGATCTAACCGCCTAGCCTTTGCGCCAGTAGCAATGATCAGGGCATCGGCAGTGTGTTCCTCCTCCTCAATCTCCTCCTCGTCGCCCATGGGATGTAACCAGTACTTGAAGGGTCGCGACTTCAGGTCAACCTTTGCGACGGTCTGAGAGATGATTTCGGTGCCGCAGGCTTCAGACTGTTCGCGCATTTGCTCCTAGATCCTGTCAGTGGCGGTTACGCCTGGGTTTAGTATCATGGAGTCACTGACCATGAGCTTCCCACCCCCAATCTTGGTAAAACCGGGGAAGTTCTCGACCTCGTCAGTGGTGGTCAATTGACCACCTGCTGCGATACCAAGAGCCATGAAACCCTCGTACATGACGGCTGCAGAATGTCAGTGCTCTGTTGAAAGTTTCTTGAAGCATGCGCCTTACGGTTCAAGTCTGCGCGCGCAGCATAGATGGCTGCGGTGTGGCCTGCTGGCCCAGAGCTGGTATATGTTAGCCTTCGTCCCTAATGACTGTGTTGCGCCCTTGGGGACAACCACAGCATGACAAACGTACCCAATAACTACAACGATATTAGTAACGCTTCAGTGAAGGATATCCAGAATCTACTTACTGACTAGTTTTGAATGCATGTTCCGCGCTTGTGCTTTTGAAAGCCCCGCTACTGGTGATGCGCCCTGTTTATGGGAAGCAGCAGCAGCGACTGGCACAGAAAATAAAGATAGATTTCGTGGGGAGGCGGCCCTTCGAAAGATTGATGCGAACACTTTGGCGGCGTGTGCGAAGTCTCGCGAGGCGTGTGCAGTATTTGGTCGCGGGTGGGTCTTGTGTGGGACTGGGAGATGTGGTGATCAGGTTTAATCACTTATCTTCAGCGGCGCAGACGAGTAACCTGTGAGACCGAGAACAGGAAGGAAGGAAGTAGGCGGTTTTGGTGCTACTCGGGCGGATGCGCAAATAGTGGGCACGGTTCTAGTCTTCGGAGGTGCCGCGATATTTGGTGGATGACGGCAAGCCGAGGTGTAGTGGGGTGTTTTTCTTCGCAAATCTGGAACCAGTCAATACTTGTACCACTTTTTTGCCTCTTGAAAATCAATCAACAGTATGCAGAAGGAAAAAAGGGAAAGAATTACAGAGTGGACGTACTTTATGTGCAAGTGTAGTACATGTCAGACGGTGGGATTCTTCTGCAACTAAAGGAAAAAGTTGGGCGCCTTTGGATCTACGCCATCGGCGCGCGGTGGCTTTCTTAGAAATCGAATTGTACTAGACCCGCGCACCTGCATCCTGCTTTCCAAGGTTCAAACGCCGAAGCTGACGCAAGATACCATGCGGCTCCCGACTCGTTTAGCCTCGGAACGTACTCTTCGCGTCTCACGGGTCCATTATCGGGTCATTCACAACGTATTGGGTGGACGCTTCTCTAACTGATTACACTTCATGCTGGTTCTGGAGTTCCATCAACACACGGTTCACATTCTATCTTTGTAAACGGCTCCGCTTCCAGCTTCTGGCATCCTCCGTCCACAATCCATCGGCATTGCTAATCATCAGCACCTGGCCGCTTTCTCAGGTTTTCAACATTGTAGAGCATGCTTCGGACTACGCTTTCGCCCGCGTCCAAGCCGTTACTGTCCGCTTCCTTACCATGCGCGAAGCCCGATAATGCCGTCGCGATATGCGCATCTTCTACCCATTCGCCATCTGCCTGTCTAGAGAAGTATTGCAATCTCGGCACCTTTTTCAATCGTTAGACATCGCCTACGTAATTTGGTTTCATAACTGCTTACCTTGTCATCTCGGACTTCTGTCGTCGAGCCTGCCTTGTGAATATTATCTATCGAGATAATCAGGCACATTGGGCTTATTGGCGTTTGGATCATGGCTACGTCCAGCGCATTGCCGGCTAGGGGAATATGGTTTGCATGTGCATCGCCCATTTTGAAGTGGAACAGCGCTGGCACACCCTCACATGCTACAAGAATCTCGTCGACCTGTCAAGAATTAGATTCCATAAGCCGACAGCATCGGAAACTTAGTCGGCTCACATTATTTCCGTTTGTTGGCAAAGTCCAAAGTCCGGAAATCGCGATTTTGTAGCTTGCGTGGTCGACTCCTGGTGCCACCAGTCCTTGTGTCTGGAGGGCAGCAAGTGCGGAATCCCGAATGGCTATCTTCTCTTTCAATGCGCAATTTTGCCAGTCCCATACGTAGAGATGGTCATCTCCACCCCCAGATACAAGTAGACCAGACGGTGTAAGGCAAAGCTTGCTGATGAACGCCTCGTGTCCGAAACAGAAGCCCTCGATAATATGTGCTTGCGGCAGGCCCCGTGAGATCCGGATGTGCTCGTCACGATCTGCTGTTATGATGTAGCTTCGGCCATTGACCTTCGCATACACGACATCTGTGAGCATGGAGACATGGCCAAGGAGAAGTTGGTGTTTGAACCGCATAGGCTCCTTGGATTTTGCAAGCCCCTTGGCTTTCTGTTTGAGCTGTTCTTCCAAGGTCTTACGGTTCCTGCCAGAGTGTACTGTTAACGTAGTAGCTGATGGCAGCCAGTCTTTCTGCTCGGTTTCTGCTGCGGGCGCCTCGGGCTGTTCTACCTTCTCCTCTTCAGGTGATGGGAGGAGTGGCAGAGCGTATACGTCCCCAAACTTGTCCGCACACAATATTGTCATATTATCTGACGTAAGAGTGATGGAAGAAGGCCTTCTTGACATGCATCTTTTCGACATTAACATGTGCAGTGAGTACCATTTCGTGCCTCTTACCTTTCGCTTAGCTGCTGCAGCGAGTTCTGGGAGTCGATTTGGAAGACGCGGACACACTTGTCCTCGCCAGTGATACCAACCAAGTACTGCCCGTCGTTTGATATAATCAAACTGGAGAAATTTGCCTTGTTTTCTTTTGGCTGATCCAGCTTGATACGTTTTCCTGGACGTTCTCCATCTTCGTCATCCTGCTGGCCCTGCACGTGTTAGCGACGAACATAATCTCTCCTCCAAAATCACCAATCCCGCGACACTGACACTACAGTTGATCCCATGCTTCACTCACTTCAGTTTGGACGTCTTGCGCAGGCCATGTTGATGTGACTCCGTTACTAGACTGGACGAAGATTTTTGAGCCACTCGCACCAAAAAGCGTCCAGTCACTTGAATCTCCCGACCCTCGCGCAACAAGACACTGGTAAGGAACGGCCATGATGTTGTAGCAAAAGCCCCGGCGAGTCGCTACTTTTCTCTGAGGCCCCGGACGCGCTATCGCTTAATCGAGCAGGGGCCACTTCGCACAGCCGGACGACCTCAATTTTCGCGCGCAACCGAACTTTCTCTCTCCAACCATCAACTACACCAAAACTAAGACCTTAAACATCCCTTTGCGTCACCGAACACAATGGGGGGCAAGAAAGAATTCAAGGCCGCTTACTTCGAGAAGCTCGAGGCGCTTCTCAAGGAGTACAAGAGCATCTTCATCGTCACCGTCGACAATGTCTCGTCGCAGCAGATGCACGAGATCCGCCAGTCGCTCCGCGGCGAGGGTGTCGTTCTCATGGGAAAGAACACCATGGTCCGCCGTGCTCTGAAGGGTCTTATCAACGACTCTCCCGAGTACGAGCGCCTCCTTCCCCACGTCAAGGGTGCGCATTTTCCTTCACACGACTATCGAACGCAGCATTGACAGTAGCACAGGCAATGTCGGTTTCGTTTTCACCAACGCCGACCTCAAGGAGACCCGTAACAAGATTCTCTCCAACCGTGTCGCTGCTCCCGCTCGTGCCGGTGCCGTCGCCCCCGGCGATGTCTACATTCCCGCCGGAAACACGTAAGATACCTTGCGCACATGCAGCAGACAAGCAATTGACACATGGCAGTGGTATGGAACCCGGAAAGACCTCTTTCTTCCAGGCTCTCGGTGTCCCCACCAAGATTGCTCGTGGTACCATTGAAATTACCACCGACTTAAAGCTCATTGAGGCTGGTAACAAGGTCGGTGCCTCCGAGGCCACCCTTCTCAACTTGTTGAACATCTCTCCCTTCACCTACGGTATGGGTATCTACCAAATCTACGATAACGGCCAGACCTTCGATGCTTCCGTCTTGGACATCGAGGAGTCCCAGCTTCTCAAGGCTTTCTCCTCTGCCATCGCCACTATTGCCAGCATCTCCCTGGCTGTCGGCTTCCCTACCTTGCCCTCGGTTATGCACTCCGTTGTCAACTCCTACAAGAAGGTTCTCTCTGTCGCCATTGAGACCGACTACGAGTGGGAGGAGATCAGCGAGCTCAAGGACCGCATCGCCAACCCCGACAAGTACGCTGCCGCCGCCCCCGCTGGTGGTGCCGCCGCCGCATCCGGCAGTGCTCCTGCCGCCAAGGAGGAGGCCAAGGAAGAGGAGAAGGAGGAGTCTGAGGATGACGACATGGGCTTCGGTCTGTTCGACTAAGCTACGCGCGTTTGCAATGACCTTTCTTGAGAGATATCGGCATAACTACGGTTTGTCGAAGCACGTCTTCATGATATAGACAGTCAACGACAATACGATCAGATGAACTCAGAGATTTACCATGCCCGTGATGCTCACGACGCAACGGTTCTAAGCAATATCTAAGGTAAGCTCAACGCTCTTTCCAGACCCCATTGCTATGATTATTATCTTTTTAACCCTGAGATCCCTCGGTGAGGATCAAAATACAACAACAACACTCTAATTTTTTAATGAGCAACGCACATCATTATACTGTTTTTGCACAAACTGCAAAGCTTGAGACTAATTCTCAAACAGATACAATGCACTATCTGCTCGGGTGTCCATTACATGTCTATGTGATGCGCAACGAATGCGACTCAGGCAATGCCCGCAAGCGTCCCTGCCTTCTCTAGATCTATGCGCACCCAAAAGCACCTCCAAAGTGGTTTGCCACCCAGGCTTCTACACACGCTCTCGCTCTGCACATTGCCAGTGTATACATCTGCGTGTCCCCACGCATTTGACTGATCGTCTACTGCTAATCCAGCTGCATGTTGCTTGAAAAGTTTTGCTGCAACTGCCTTTGCTATGCCCTTCCCTCTATACGCCTCTTCTGTATGCAATGTGACAAGTGATCCATCTAACCCAAGAAAAGTCCAGGCTACAGGTGTATCCGTCTCTTCTTCAAATACACCTACACTTTCCAATGACATCAGAGTTTTTGTCGTTCGTGGAATAGATGTCCGCGATTTCACTAGGTCGATGTCTTGCTCGCGCATCTCACCCCACCGCAGTCCTTGGGGTAGCTCACGTGTTTCTGGCAGATCGGAAAGCTTGAAGAGAAACTTGTTCAGTTCCGCATCTGGACCTGGGAGTTCGCTTCGTACGACACCTGCTTCGTGCAGTACTTGCAGAACATCCTTCTGGATTGCGCCCAACGTGACGACTTTGGACATGAGTAGGTGTCGCATGTAGGTACCTGGCGATAACTCGTACGCTCCTGAACTGGGAGGATTCGGATACTCCTTTTCGTGCTGTTTCGCGAGGTCCATAGCAGGGAGGTTGTCACAGCGTATGGGTGGCGTGGGAAGTGTAGACATGTAGTCCACTAATGCCAATACCACCTTTTTACAATCTTTACAAAACTCATCTGACTCTGAGTGATTAGGCTGTTCGCCGGTGCTGAAGATCCATAGCTCGGTTTCTGGGCGCATTGAGCGGTCGAGGTAAGCTGCTGCCCAACATTGCGGTATGGTGGAAACAGAGGGAGAAAATGTGGCGAGGATATGCGCGTGTTCTGTTTGGTTTGGGTGTTGTGTGCGGTATTTCAGGTTGATGCTGTACGGGAGGGTGGCTTGGAGGGCTTTTTGCAGCGTGGGTGAGGAGGTGGGGTGGGCGTAGACTTCCATGTTTTTGACCAGTACCCAGGTTTTGGATATAACGACAATCGAGAATGACGTGGAGTGGAAGATGACTTTATTAACAGTCAGAGATTTTGAGTCAACGTGTAAGACAGTGGTTGTGAAATGTACCTTCCTTCTTGGGATTGATAGATGACTAAAGCTTTGCTATGACGTCTGGAACCTTCCACTACGCGACCATTTTCCAAACTTGGTTCAATTTCGTTATTGTGTAAATAGACATACAGTTGTGTGTAAGATGCAAATTCCTTCATCCTCTCAGAAACTTTTCGGTGTGTGGTACGCCAAACCTGATTATGCTGACCGTGTGCTACCATCTCCTCCTACCGCGGAGTATACTAGGCCATATAGCCCTAGCATACGCTGAACCATGAAACTATCCCACAAGATAGCTATCATACACCGCTCCTACTCAAAAACCACATTAAGCCCTGGCTTCGCAGCATGCTCAACCTTAAACCTCGTCCGCCGGTGCATCCCCATATAGTTCACAAGCCGCATCGACACATTCTCCAACCCTGGAAACAGAGACAGACACTTATCCAAAGCTTCCTGTATCGCCTTCTCCCTCCGAATCACCATGACAAACAGTCGCACAGACTTGACGACGTTACAAGCCGCTTCGCCTATAGTAGCCGCAAACGATATGACACGCGTTGTGGAGTAGAACTCAAAAGTATTTAGGCTGTAGAACGTGACGAAACCTTCAGCACGCATTTGACAGCATGTTGAAAGCGGGGCTAGGTATGCTCGGGCGAGACGCGAGCCGATGGGGTTCCTGGTGTAGACTTCGAGAGCGGTGTTTTGTGGGTGGGTGGGTGCAAGGACGAGCTCGTAGATGCGGTCTCGGAGTTCTGAGGGAAGGCGCAGGAGAGGAGAGGCGAGTTGGTTGGTTTCTGTGAGGCGGTCGTAGTGCGCTTCTGTATGGGCAGCTTGGCGGCTTTTGGGACGCGTCGTGGATCGGTTCGTAGACATTGGCATGGTTGGGTGAGTTGAGTTGAGTGTGGGAGAGTTAGAATGCAGAAAGAGCAGACTTTAAGGCTTTGAGCGGTCGGTGAGTGAGAAGGTCACTACTGGCGGGCAGACAGCAGCGCCGATCGTGTAGCGAAGGCGGTTTATGTAGCTAGCTCCGACACGCCGCAAGGGGACCTCGGAAACTTCCAGAAAATGGAATTGGTTCACACTGCCTGCGTTTTGTAAGGTATCTATACAGGTGAAAGACCTGCTTGGTTTTCACGGCTTTGTAAGACGGCATGAAGACTTTACGCGATCACCAGTGTTTGTCTTATAGTCATCTCGGACAAGAAGAACATGGCATAAGTTTCTGCGAGAAGATTTTGAAGAAGATGAATTCCATCTACATATAGCCTAAAGAGCTAGAGGATCATTTCCGCAGTTGTTCCTTTGAGATCGTGCTATGAGTGGGGACTGATGACTTGTTTCCACCTCTGTTAGATGAAACCATACTAGATGAAACCATGCTAGATTCCGTCGAATCAGGAAGATAGTTTCAACTGTCTACCCAAGATCGAGGAGAAAGCGGTAGAGATCGCATCCACCTTCACGTCTATAACCGGTAGTCCGACGACATGAATGGTCTCGAGTGCCGTGAACAAAGACACAATAACCCTAAAGGCATTCTGATAGTGAACTGTGTCATTCTGGTAGTGAAATGCGACATTCCGGTAGCGACATAAGTTGTCTGCTGGAACCTTCATGCATAGTGTCTTGATGGCTCCGAGCTGCGGTGCAAACCTGCGGTAGTCCACAGACCAACCGCTATACAGACTGAATTCGTTGAGCGAGAAGTAGAGCATCGAGGTCTCCTGGTGGATTTGCCGATATATCGACTGAATGATGAGGTTTTGGGGCTTTTGCCATAGCCGCAATGAGGGAAGAGCGCAACGATCTCGTCTTCCTTGAGTGCGAATCGATAAACGCGGTTGCGGATCTCGGGTGGCAGTCGGAGGAAAGGCGAGTTCGCCTGGTTGAGCGTGGTGCTGGTTAGGAGGAAGGGTTAGTTATGGTTCTCAGATCCCATGAAACGACTCCACTTGGACAGCTTACATGGTATCGTTGTTGGTCATGGCGCTGGTAATGCGCAGAGTTGTCTTTTGTTGTCTGTAGTATCCAAGACTATATTGGGACCGGCACGAGGGTGCTAGCGTGGTGAGTGTGAGAAGGGAAGAAGGCACAGCCCAGCCTTATATTGATGATGTGAGTGAGCACCAGACAGGACGTGCGCCAAGCGACTCCGGGTGAGGTGAGAGAAGCGGCAGGTAAAAACCAAAAAAGCATCTTTCCGTTATGTTGAACTCCCAATGTCGTCCTGTACTCATGATGATGACTTTCTCCAATGCAGGAAATTCACTTAGCTTAGTCGGCACAGGAAGCGCGCAAGACCATGCTTGGTATTCACGAACATTGTCGATAAAATCGACCAAGTCCCACCCAGCCCTCGGCAATAGCGATATTGTGCGTAATTCCTTGCGATGATTCTTCTCTAGACACTGTGCAAACGCGGCAAGCTTGTCTAGGGTCTCCGTCTCGAATTTGGTTTTGCTGAAGAACTGTTTCGCTGTCTCCGCTCGGGTTTGTCGACAGACCCATAAGAGGGCAGATATCTTGCCTTTTTGCCCAATAATTCCTGTGGGATAGATCATAACTTCGTTGTCGATAGAATAGTCGTAGATAATTTCGCGCATCTCCGCGGGTAGACTTAGAAGAGGCGAGAGAAGTTGGTTTTCTTGAGAGCTGCCATAGTTTGAGTGTTTGTATTTCATCTAGAGAAATTAGAGAACTTACATGTGGTCGTAGTACGCGTCGTCAAGTTCACGATTTCGGTCGCTATAACTTCTCTTGGGTTCTGGGATATGTGTACAGCTGATCGTCGCACTGCTCCCTTCGCCTGTAACCATCGCGACGTATCCAAGCCGTAGAAAGCGTAAAAAAGAAAGAACAGACGGCGTTGGCGATTGAATGAAGAATCTTTCTGATATATTCAGTGTTGGGCGAAGGTCGTGAGCCGTGAGTGATCTGGAGCAAGAGGAAGGGAGGTATAGGCATAGGCATAGCTTAGACGATGTTTTAAGGAGTATTAACAGGAGAAGAAAAATGGTATCTCAATAGAATTAAGGTGGGTGAGGCCAACGGGTGGTAGCGATACCCAAGTTATCATCCTTGGTACCCGACTTGGTAGGCTAACAGCGGGACTGATCCACTCTGTAATATCAGACTGAGATCAAGAACTTCGCGTGTAAGTTTGCAGCTCATAGCATCTTTGTCTAGCAGGAAGCCGGAGGTTCAACAGCACAAAAATGGTAGTGAGCTCGTTTCCAACGTTCATATCTGTTGGCCGGAGGCCACCTGGGGTTCTGCCCGAGGCGCGACCATCGGATCTTAGATCACACACGCACTAAGCCTATAGAGGCTTAGCGCATAGCTTCATGTATTGTAGACTTCCCACACTCCGTAGCACTAATACGACACGATTCCACTCACATTCTAGTGCTACTGACAGGTGATGAGCCCTAACCCGCTACCGCTGTAGTGATAATTCTGTAAACTCAGAACGGTCACTACGCGCGCACGTCAATCGTCGCCCTCACCTTGTCGTCGCCGTCAAAAAGCGCGACACGTTTCCTAACTCGAACCCTGCGGTACCCGCCTTCGCGCGCCCTCGAAGCTATGAGTATCAATACTATTACCTCGTCCGCCAACGTTACTGTCCGCCTGTCGGCCGACGGCAAGAATTGGAAGGACTGGGCCAAGCAACTAACCAATTAACGTGTCCGTGCACCTCGTGCACGGATTCATCTCGTGCACGCTGAACACCAAACGCGCGTCTCAGCGTCATAACTTCAACGCGCTATAACTCAACAACCGTGGCTCCAATTGATGATGCGATTGCAGATTTAGAGTCGCAAGAACCCGGAAAAAAACTTGTATTAGCAGAGTTTGCGAGGAAATGGGGTGTCAGCCGTGCAACTCTATCGCGGAGGTGGAGGCGCGTGACAGGGCCTAGGAGTAATGGATACGCTCAGCAACAAGCTATTAGCCCACAACAAGAGCTAGAGCTTGTGAGATATATCAAAACGCTCACAGAGAGAGGCCTTCCTCCTACAAGAGAGATGATCAGGAATTTCTCATTAGAAGTAGCCCATCAGCAGCTCAGCGAGAGCTGGGTTACTTGCTTTATCAACCGACACGAGATCCATCTTATCTCAAAGTGGACCAGCGCCATGGATCGTACGCGCCACCTGGCTGATTCTAAGTCAAAGTATAGACTCTACTTCGAGCTGCTGCATCGAAAGATCACTGAATACCACCTTAAAGCTCGAGATATATACAATATGAATGAGAAGGGCTTCTTGATTAGCTTGATAGGCAGAAGCAAGAGAATATTCAGCAGGCGTCAATGGGAGAAGAAGGAGGTTCGAGCATCTCTCCAGGATGGATCACGCGAGTTTCTGACAGTCCTGGCCTGCTGCTGCGCCGATGGGAGCTCGCTGCCCCCAAGCCTTATCTACGCATCTGCGAAAGGAGCTATACGATCAAGTTGGGTAGAGGATATCAAGGCAGGAGAACATAATATCTTTGTCTCATCATCTCCAACAGGCTGGTCAAACAATAACATTGGTCTAGCTTGGCTTAAGCAGGTGTTTGATCGCTGTACAAAGCAGCGATTAGGGAGATAGAGATTACTCATCCTTAATGGCTATGGATCTTATGTCACGATGGAGTTTATCAAGTACTGCGATCGCCATAGGATTCTCCTCATAATCCTTCCTCCCTATTCGACTCACACGCTCCAGCCGCTCGATGTAGTGCTATTTAAGCCACTCTCTTAAGCCTACTCTAACGAGCTTACCAATCATCTCCATAAGGCTCAAGGCCTCGTCCTAATTAAGAAAGGAGACTTCTTCCCACTCTTCTAGAGCGCATAGATATCCTCCTTTACAGAGAACCTTATATTAAAGGCCTTCGAAGCTACTAGGATCTAGCCGATAGATGCTAACGTTATCCTTCGTAGATTTGCCAGCACGCCAGAAGCTAAGAGAAGCTTATCGTTAGGGCTCTCTGATCATGATTAGAGAAAGATAGATCGATTAGTTCGAGCTGCTGTCACTGATAGCTATCAGTATAAGGCAAGAAAGCTGCGTTCAAGCGTCCACCATCTCTCTGTTTAGAATGAGCTTTTAAAGCATAAGAATGAGGGCTTAAAGGAGGCTCTTTAACACAAAAAGAAGCACAGGAAGAAGGGCAAAGCTCTTGACCTTCAACAGCGCCAGGAGTATCACGGTAGCTCTGTCTTCTAGTCTCCTTGCAAGTTGCGTGAGGCTCGAGCTAGAGAAGCAGTACGGGAGCGAGATGAGACGGAGGAGAAACTCCAAAAAGCATGGGCCAAGAAGCAGCGTAAGGAGGCTCAACTGCAGCGTCAAGTTGAGCTCGAGGAGAAGCGTGTAGAGAGGCAGAGGCTCAAAGAGATGAGGGAGGTTGAGCGAGCTGAGAATGCAGCTGAACGCGCGCGCAAAGTTGAAGCTCAACACTAGAAAAAATCTATCTAACAAGCTTAACAACGCAAGCGTAAAGCCTTACAAGTACTCTCACTAAGTAACAAGCGTCAAAAACGCGCTGGCGCTGCTCACGCTGGTGTTCAAGCTGGAGATGAGCTATCTGCTACTCCAGCCAAAGTCACATCACGTGGCCGCAACGTCAACCTCCCACAAAAATATAGATAGTACAAGTTGATCGCAAGCATCTGATTACTGCTATACTACGTTTTTATTAATATTGAGCTATTATGTGGCGTTGTACAGCCTCATTTTTGAGATCGCTAAGATAGTGTTCGGCGTGCACGGACATGTTACGCCGCTACCCGTAACGCCTTCCGCATCCTGGATGGCCTCCTCTGCCCCACCTTCGAACCAGATGACGATAAGTATACTATCCTCGAGCTCAAATCGCCTATAAGCGTCGCCGGCCAGACCTCAGAGGAAGCTCAGAAGGCGCTTGGCAACTGCGCAACGGTCAACCGCAACGTCCGCGATTACAACGCCGAAGCTCGCACGCTGCGAGCTAAGGATGAGAGCAAGTATAACAACTGGATTACTCGTGACGCGGAGCTACAGAACACAATTATGTCGTCTATTATGCCGACCTTAATCCCCTATGTACGCGTCTGCGACTCCGCAAACGCCATGTACACTGTCCTAAAGGAGCTCAACACAAGCAGCGACTACGCTAACGCGTCCGCTGCCTGGGTCACCTTTATCAGCCTTCGCGCTGACACCTGTAAGACCGTTCGGGAGTACATCTCCAAGTATCGCGAGGCTCTCGGTGAGCTGAGCAACAACGGCATTAAACTCCACTGGAAGCAGCCTAACAACGTCGACAAGTCCGACGCTGCCTCTGAGCTGATGATAATACACTTCCTGAATGGACTAAGCAGCGTCCTCCCTGACTGGGTTGAGGCTCGCAACAACGATATACGCAAGGGCGACAAGTGAACTATCGACTCCCTTGTCCCCTCGCTAGAGGATCACATTCGACGTGCCGCTGAAGAGCCCGTCAAGACCTTCCTTACCATCTCAAGGCAGAGAGAGGAGCAGCGCGTCCTCGCTCGACGCCCCCGTAACCAGCCAGCGGCGACACCTATTGTCAAGCCGACTGACAACACTATAACCCAAGCTCTGCCGCGCAACAGCATCCCTAAGACCGTTAAAGGTATGTGCAACCACTGCCAGCGTGAGCACTCCGGCCCTAACGAGGCCTGTTGGAAACTACACCCAGAGCTCGTACCAGACTGGATCAAAAAGTCGCGCGCTGCCAATAACCCAGCTCGCACCAACGTCACGAAGGTAGACAACAACGCCTCGCCTGATACGCTGTTTGGCAGCCACACCTTCAGCTCTACTGCGGCAATGGTTTCCCCTACGGTGATTAAGAAAGCCGTCCATAACATCAACTATAAGAAGCGTTTCTGCTACAACACCGCTGCCAACCGACACGTGTTTAACGACCGCTCTAAGTTCGTAAGCCTTGTCCGAACCGCTGACCACAACATACATGGATCTACCGGATCTACTGCGGCAGCAGGCGTAGGAACGGTAAACCTCATCGTCGTCAAGTCCGACGGTGAGACGGAGCGAATCAACCTCAACGACGTACTGTACTGCCCGGACTTTGCCACCAACGTAATCTCCCAGGCGCCTTTCAAGCGCAAGGGAGCGTGGTACCACTCCGGCAAGAACAAGCTGTATACCTCTACCGACAACGAGCTGGCCTACCTGCCAGAGATCGACGGTATCCCTAACTTCCTCGTCATCAACGACTCATCCGAAGCCCCGGCTGCCCTCTGTTACGCCTCTCATTACGCCTACCGCAGCTCAGCCGACGAGCCAACCGTCAGCCGCCCGGCGGACGACTGGCATCACATCTACGGCCACGCCAACATGAACATACTAAAGCGCACGGCTAAGGCAGTCAAGGGTATGGTTATTACAACAGGCAAGCTATCCGACTGTCCACTGTGTGGGCTGTCAAAGTCACAACAAGTTATCTCTCGCCGCCCCCAGGACGTCCCTACGGAGCTGCTCGGTATGATACACGTCGATATCGTTGGCCCCATTGCCACCCCAGGTCGCGACGGCGAGATCTATTGGATGCTCCTCACCGCCGGCAAGACTGGTCAACAATGGATTGAGACGTCCGAAAACCGAGCCACGCTGGGCGTTAAGCTGATCAACTGGTGCAAGCGCATGAAGGCCCTCAGCCTTAAGATCATCACGATCCGCGTCGACAACGCTCGCGAGCTGCTGAACAACCGCACCCGCGCGTACTTCGACGACGAGGGGATTGCCGTAGAGGCGTCCCCACCATACGAACCCACGCGAAACGGACGCGCTGAGCGCGCCAACGGTATCACTGAGAACCGTATACGCGCTGCCCTCATCGCCGCCGGATTGCCTGCCTGCTTCTGGCCCATGGCAGCTCACTACATCATCCGTCTTCGCAGCCTAAGCGTCACCAGCGCCCCAAATGGAGATATCACTCCCCTCGAGGCCTGGAACCGAGCGCTCAACTACCCTAATCCGATCCCCAACGTCGCCAAAATGCATGCGTTCGGCCACACTGGCTACGTCCATATACCTGCCCAGAAACGCGTTAAAGGCGACAAGTTCGCACCGCGAGCTCAACTCGGGCGCCTCGTAGGTATGATCGGCGAGTCTATCTACCTTATGTGGATCCCAGAGAATGACAAGATCGTTACGACCTCGTCTGTCAAATTTGATAAGTATGGCGTAACTCAGCCTGCCGCTGAGCCGCCTACTGCACCCCTATCACCTCCATCCCAACCTCTCATTGGCCGTATACAGCCACTGATCGACCGCGTCACTGGACCTACTCAGCTAGCTCCGGGGGGTGAGGATGAAGAGCCTGTACTGCCAGAAGTTGGTCATATTGGTGACAACTTCGATGGTTTTGTCGACGATAATGATGTCGAAAACTGACAATATCTTCTTTCCACTAAGACTAGTAAGATGTGTGGAGGCATATGTGAAATAGATACCAAGAACTCATTTAGTAAGGTAGTTCTAGAAGAGATTTTACACTCTACCATTTGGTGCTTCTCATAAAGGTCTTTTGGACATTTGTGGACAGTACAGGCCCCTGAAGGACTTGATCCGTTACATCGCATCAGAATGCTCCTCATGCGGAGTGGCGTTCATTTCTCGAGGAATTTTTTCAAGATGTCGCGGTGTGTTTATTATCACAGGATGCTTACGGTGAAGACTACCTGTGAAGATGACGTTGGCCCAGTTCGAATGTGGCTAACTTAGCGCCCCGCGTGCCCTCAACCCAAGCTTGCACCACATGTAGCAATTCCTCCATCACACTGTTAAAACGAGATTGAGTTATTACTGATGCTCTAAGCTTCTGCCGCAGCCATGATCTCAGCAGCTATGAGCGATACTACCCAACAATGAGCACGTTCTAAGATCTAGACAAGTGACTGCGCTGAGGCTCAACCAGCGGAGAAAAGTGATACATAGGGTCAAGCCACCACGCTCTATTAACATGATCAGGCCACTCAGCCACCAAGAATTAACAAATAGCTCATATAACCGACGGTGAAGACTTGTGGAGGCTGACAGCTGCCCACCCACGCCAAGTCCATCAGCATATTCAGCTCCCGGCAATTTCATTCCGTTAATTCACCTACTTCGCTCTAGTGTTATGCTGATAATGCCTCAAATGCAACCTAAGAAATAGACGTCGAGGCGGAGTGCATTCACAGACCGACACCCAGAGTAAGCATCAATGCCACGCTGAGAAGTCGATGGAAAGACTACCCCACAAGCTATGCTTGATTAGGAAACGCAATATACACATTGTGTCTTGATGTCGTAACCTTGCTATCTCACCGTCGTTGGAGAGGTACAGCGGAGAGCTGAGGAATGGCGGTCGCAGCGCAAGCTGTACGGCGACGACGTCTGCGAATAGCTTCAGGTGGGCAGTGTCACCAAGACATGCTGTGCTATACGGGAAAAGGGTATCTATGAGAAAAGGTAAGGGACGTGTATAAAGAGACCCTCCATCCACGAGATACAATCATCATCAACAGCATCAACATCTCAACAATAGCAACAACAACCAACAATCCAATCTTCTCTGCCACTTCAACAATAACTTCCAATCCACACCACCACCACCAAACCAACCTACCAACCATCACCATGCAGTTCACCAGCACCATCATCTCCACCATTCTGGCCCTCGCGGCCTCTACCACCGCCATCCCAACCTCCATCCCCATCCCCACAATTACCCTCAAGGTCTACAACGACATGACTGGCGCCTCTGCTACCGCCAGCGTCCCGGCCGACGGTGTCCCACGCTTTGTTACTGACCTCTTCCGAGGCAGTGCCATCTCTAGCGCCAGCGGCGACATCTTGGGCACCTCAGCCCAGCTCACCGGCTTCCAAGACCTTACAAAGTGCCAGCTTCTCAACCTCAACATTCCTGGCTGGACCATTGATCTCGATGGTCGCGCCAAGAACTTTGTGGACCTCGATGGCGATGTTACCAAGCCTATTCCCACTTGGCTCAACGGCTTCACTTTCCACTGCGAGAAGCCTCAGTAGAGAACTCACGAGATGACGGAGGACGATAGGATGCTTAGATGGGAGGTTCGAGAGAGTAACGTTTTACGATTTTCTTACATTCATTTGCATAGTCTTGGGGAGAGAGTGTGGCATTAGACGGTTTGGTAGCATTGGGGGATAGAACTCTCTGCATCTTTTAGTGTGTTTGTTTTGTTTTACGACAGTCCTTACTTTAGATTTGCATATAAACAATAGAAACTTGCTTTTGCATTCACTCTTACCTCAACTTGTTTGACATGTGGTCTTCTATAATCAGTAAGGCAGACTGTTCCGGCTACCCTTCACCTCAACCCTTCAATCAAAACATCTCCCCTATATCCTCACATTCCCAGTGCACTTGTGCGTGAAGCTCTACCATCGCAGCTCTCGCGCTTCCTTATCATGGTTATATACACGTCTGTCTACTCACGCTCTCCACTAAACACCCACCATGTCATCACCCACCTCTCGCATAGCAGCCCTCGAAGCACAAGCCCGCAAGAACCAAACTAGAATCGACGAACTGACACACACAAACTGGCTGCTCAATAATTACAACGACAATGTAATAAAAGAGCTTTTAAACTTTGAAGCAGTGTTCGATATTCAGCACACGAGCCCCGGAGACATATTGCCAGAGCCACCGCCAAATCTTGCAAGGCCTCCTGTCCATACAAATTCTCTACCAACCCAAGTCTTCCACTACCCGGAGCCGCCGCAGCCAACTCCATTCTATATAGCAGCGCGCGCTTCTCCCCACATATCTCTGAGTCTCGTAATACCAGTGTTCAAAGGCGAAGCTCTCGAACTAGCAGTAAACAGCGTAGATCTAGTCTTCATACTACGCCAGGCCCTCCGAAGAAAAGGATGGGGCGACACCAATATTCAACAAGGGGTATCAGATTTCCTTTCGCACCCAATGATAAAAGTGACATGGCAAGGAAAAGAGGGAGAATATGGAAATTTGCTGTAGGACTAAAAGGTATCATAGTTGCTCTATAAGATGGTATCTTTCTAGATAATGTACAAGGCCAGGTGAATATGAATAACCGTTCTTCATATCTTCTCTAATCGTTTTTGTGCTTCTCTTCAAACGCTAGCATGGCACCCATGGCTCTTTCGTATGTCCACATTGTGACGGCGCTGGCTGGGGCTGCTTTCAGTAAACTGACAGTCAGTCCCCGGTACAGACCCCGTCTTCCCTCGTGCTTCCATATGTGTCCAAGAGTGCGGATGACGCCGTTGTATGTGGGTATGTTGCGATGAACGTAGCGTTCGCGTGTTGGCCCTTGGACTTGCAGTCGCTTACGTGTTGTATCGAGGGGGTAGACAGCGGTCTTTGAAAGTACACTCGCGATGACACCTGCGACAGCATCTGAGCTGCCGAGTGGTAGTGGTATGGGCGAGGTGGCGGTGATGGGTTTCAAGCTCTCGTAGCTGGCGAAGAAGAGGCCCATGTATGGTACAATCTGGCTAATGCCCGCTCCGAGACCGCGAAAGAAACCCGTCGGTCCCTCCTGCTGTGCGATTTGCTTTAGGGAAGTTAAGATGGACGTATACACGCGCTCAGGTCCCTGGGCAGCAAATCGCGTGCGAAGGAGGTCGAGCGGGTATGTTGCTGTAGTCGCAGCAGCGCCAGCAGTCGCGCCACTTATGAAGTTGCTTACGGAGCCGGGAGGCGTGTACGGCGCTGGTATAGATTCCAGCAAATGCGACATGTACGTGTAAGCCGAAAACTGAGCACTACCGTACGTCAGGTACATGAGCTCGGCAGGTATATTGCCCTTCCATAGCCCGGTGATGCCCTCTTGTCGTAGAATTTGTTTTAGGGTGCCCAGTGTTCCCTTGTAGACAGGGCCTTTGACATTGCGGACGCTGAAAGGGTCGGAGAGCGAGTGGACCTGCAGTTGCAGGCGGATCTTGATGACATCGAGGGGAGCTATCACGAAGCTGCCGTTCCGTTAGAGCTATCTAGTGAATATGAGAGGGTGGATATACCGTGACACTAAGCCTGCGACTGCACCCGCGACAACTACCTGTTGCCGAGAGCCCTGTGAAGTGAATCAGCTCCACGTCTACTACTTCCCTAAAGACGGGACGATACCTCATGCTTCAGCTGTGTGACACGCTCAGACATGCGCTCAGCGCGTCAATCAAAGACGAACCTAGCTCAAGCGCGCGTACACCGGAAAGACCCTGGCACTCGGTAGTTCAATGTATATGCAGAACGCCGGACAATCGATGGTGTGCTGCAAGACCTCGGCCCTGGTGGTTGTTTGAGCTTGCTGCGCGTTGAAAAGGAAGCCAAACCCCACCAACTTGCATCACAGTGCACAATCGTCAAAACCAACCATGTCTTCGACTATCAGCGCGAGGATTCCCTTGCGAAATCTCGCGTCACAGTATGCACGCTCTTCCACCACAACCACGGTCCAGAGACGGCGGCTCTTCTGCAAACCATTCTGGCGATCATCACCTAAGCTGTCCGAGCACGCTGATTGGAGCCCCGCTATCCATGGACCCTTCAGACCAACCACACGCCGACGCCAGCAACAAGCAGAGCTGAGACCGCCGCAAGAGTTGGACATATTTATTGAAGATTTGCCGAGTGTCACGCAAGTGGATGAAGGTGCAGCAGCCAGGAGCATTTCCGTTAACATTTATGGGGATTCCAAGGTCTTTGACACTGTGTTCCTCCGTGACAGTTGCACGTGTGCGAAATGTGTAGACCCCCATAGCAAGAACAAGCTCTTCCAGACATCAGACATCCCTGAGAGTCTCGAAGGTAGTGCTACGGCTATTTTTGATGAAGAAAAGGGCGAATCAATCGAGCTGGAGTGGTCTACAGATGTCAAAGGCTACGGTCCTGAACACCGCACACGACACTCCATCGAGTGGCTGCGGCGAGCATGCAGCACTGAAATCGAGCTACGCGGTGGCTCAAGACACGACGACCGCGTTTTCTGGGATCATGACAAGATTGCCGAAAACAACAAATGGCTCGACTATAACTCCTACATGACCGACGACGCCACCCTCTTCGACGCCCTCACCCACCTAAACAGATACGGCCTCCTCTTCATAAACAATGTCCCAGACTCCGAAGAATCTGTCGTCTCCCTCGCCTCCCGCATCGGCACGTTAAAGGACACCTTCTACGGCCGCACCTGGGACGTACGATCAAAGCCAAAAGCCGAAAACATAGCGTACACGCCCGACTACCTGGGCCTACACATGGACCTCCTCTACACCGCCAACCCCCCACATCTCCAGCTCCTCCACTCCCTGCGCGCCAGAACCCCCGGCGGTGAATCCTTCTTCTCCGACGCCTTCAACGCAGCACACCAGTTGCGGCGGCAATCAGAAGGCTACTTTAGAACCCTCTGTACTTTCCCCGTAACATACCACTACCACCACCCGAACCAGCACTACCATATGACACGCCCTGTCATAGAGACCTTCCCCTCGCTAAGATACGAAGCCACGGACTGTGCCATCCGCCGCATCAACTGGTCGCCGCCCTTCCAAGCTCCCTTTGAAGCGCGTATTGGCTCCGAGCACTCAAAGTCTCTGCGCACCTTCATCGCCGCCTCGCATGCGTATGAGAAGCTGCTTAGTAAGGAGGAGAACCTGTTCGAGTATAGGCTTAATGAGGGCGAGTGTGTGATTTTTGACAATCGGCGTGTGTTGCATGCGAGGAGGGCGTTTGATGCGACAAAAGGGGAGAGGTGGCTGAAAGGCGCGTATGTGGACGACGATGTGTTTTTTAGTAAGCTGAGGGTTTTGGAAGAGAAGTTTGAAGGGAAATGGGTGGCTGAAGGTGTGGTCAGGCATGCTGTGAAATGAGGAATAGGGAGTATTTGTAGCGTGTGTTGGATGATACTATGATGGAAAATGCTGTAGGCCTGTTATTCAGTATATGACGTTTCACCTTCCATGCCTAGTCCGAGCATTGTTTTGAGCAGGAAAGAGAATTTACCAGTGTCAGCAAGCTAGAACAGTAGCGGATGCAATGAACAGAAATAACAATTGTTTTGTATCCAAAGCCTGGTGCACCTGGGGCCAAACTGCGTCTACTTCCTTATATAGAACATGAGTACCAAAGAGTGTCGACTACCTCCAGTCATGACAAAGATATAGCCTGCTAGCACCGCATATCTTTCCAAGGCACATTAAACTTATGCGGTTTCAGGACTCGATCAGTAATCGAATCTCCACTTCCATAGTCTCCTTCCTATCTTTGCGTACCCAGCGTACGAACGCCTCCCACTCTTTGCGCTCCATCTCCAAAGCATCCTTGAAATAATAGACACAGTCCTCGTAATCGCCATGCAAGTGCTCGTCATCCAGCACGACCTTTCGTAGATTAGGGAACAAGACGGTCAGGAAATTGTAGCCCCGCTCTTCCCACAGTGACGCACTAAACTCAAGCATCCCTTCAGGGACACTTAGACATAAGAAGCGGATAGCCTCACGCTGAATAAGGGTAAACCGAAGACAGAACACCATGAGATCTACCACTGGAGTGTAGAACTCATAATGATCGAACGGTATTAGGCGGGCTTCTGTGTGTATTTGGCTGCAGGTGGTGAGGAAAACGGGATAAGCCTTAAGGTTGGCAGCCAGGATTGGATCAGAATACCTCACATCGTAGAAGGTAGTTTCGCCTAATGTGTAGTGATAAATCTCAATCCTAAGCTCGGCGGAAGACGTAGTAGTTGCGATTCGATGGTGTTCCGAGCTGTGCTGTTCATGAGATTAATATAATGGACATATTTTATATCTTTCCTAGGAGACATACATAGCAGTGATATCTGCTTGCGAATTTTTAAGACCGGGCATTTTGGTGTTGCAGTTGTCGACTTGAAGTGTTGTGGGTCAATGCAGGTGCCGCGGGTAATCGAACTCGCACGGGATATTTTTATCGGAGTTGATCGCATTGGTTGTTGTTGAGTTTGAACAAACAAAGACAAGGTGTGAGGTCCATGGTTTGATATACCGAGTCTCCTTGCCTGCGTGGCCCAATATCCTCTGACGTCATTCATATCACTCTCGAACCGTGCTCTGTACCTCTGAAGTTCAAGTCACTCACTCACTCACTCACCGTACTCTTTAATGCGTCCGTGCGCCAACCCCGGCCTTGTCGCCATAATTGTGTCATGTCGCCTAGGAGTTAAGAATCAGGACGGCTCACCGCTGCCTACCCAAGATACCTTAATATGTACCCCCATCTCATTTCAAGCAGCAGTCTTCTGTTTCTTCTTCTTCACATACAACACCGCCTTATGCGTCTTCTCTTCCAGCCCCGCAGCCTCGCCTCGATGCCCTTCCATCCAGCAGTTTTGACAATACAAGTCATCATCACAGCCTAGACACTTCAGTGTAGCATCATCCTGACATATAATGCACCATGTGTCAATCTCTTCGTCGATATTTTTCTGGAGATTTGTTGAAACAGGTGGTTTGTTCCTAGGTGCGAATGAGGGCGCGGATGGCAGGCCGAGGGAATCAATTCGTGGTGCAGATAGAGCGGCTAGCCGTGCGGTGAAGTCATCCTCAAATGCTTGTGCGCGGTCGAAATTGCCTTCGGGGAGGGTGCTGGGCGCGGAAGGGAGTGTAAGACCGGTGTCTGTAGTATCTTCTTCTTTCTTGTCTCCGGAATCCGAGTCCGAGTCTTCTGGGGCAGGAGAGGGGGGGTCGTATTTCTTGCTCAATTCAAGTTCCGCCATGATTTTTGCAATTATGTCGTCTGCCTCGTCGTCTTCCGTCTTCTTTTTCCCCTCTTCATCTTCGTCCTCGTCTTGATCTTCAGTGTCTCCTTGGGCTCTAGCGACCTCTCCACTTCCCACATTTACTTCGACGCTTTCCCAGTCTGTTAGCTCCTCTTTTTGACACGGGGCCCTTCTTTTGTGCGTCTTGTGTACGACTATTCACAACCTCCGGCAAAATCTTGCACATATCCTTGAGCAATTTCCCAACATCTTGTTGTTCACTCTTCAACACATCCCACTCCTTTGGATCACCAACGGCACCGTTTAGCTCTCCAAGTAGCTCCTCCAAGCTCTTCTCGTCGTCCTCGTTGAACTCTACGTTTGACCCTCCAACACCCTGCGCAATGCCTTCTAAATAGCTCGGAGCGCCTGGTGCCACTATCGGCGCGCCCAGGTTATTCGTAGATGCCGTCCGCGAAGGCTGCGGAGAGCCGGAGGGCGACGGGGATCCGAGGCGCGCAAATCGTGCTGCGAGATCGTCGGTGGGTTTTGGAGGGTTGGTAGACGCTATCGACGCGTTGCGCGTGGTATCTAAGCTGACGGAGGATTGCTTGAGCGCGTTGAGGCGAGCGAGGAGGTCGTCATCTGAATTGGGCATGATTGAATACAGTACTGAAAAGAACAGGAAGATTATAAGGTATATTATATATGGGAAAAGATCAAAGATTAAGTTTTGTACTGGATGCCCTAATTAGAGCGATTCATGACGAGGCTGTGCTGCGTGAAGCTTGAGACGCGGGAGTCGGCGAGCTTGTGGAGTCGCGGGGGAGGGGCAAGCTACCATCGCGACTATGACCGGCTGCCTTTCACCGGATGAACTTAGTCAATTCAATCAATGTAAAATAAGATTTTACCACTAGCTCTAGATCTTTGATACAGCTGTAATAGTTTGTCAAACATAATCACCCACATACTCACATGCTGAGTCCCTGCAGCAACCCCGCAATCATTATGCATGTAGCTGAGCTATCTGCCATTGCGTGCTCTTACAACATCTAACATCTTCTCACACTATTCCAGTAACACTAACTTCTCTCCAACTTCAAGTCTCCCAATTTCCCAACTAGCTTAACACCCTCTCACAATGGCTCTCGCACCCAAATTCGCCGGCCAAAAATTAGCCTCATCCGCCATCTCCCCCAAAGCCGTCCACACCCTCGAAATCTGTCCGTAACCCATCCCCTAGCCCCAAACTAGCCCCCAAACTAACACCCTCCCACAGACCTCGACTACGTCTGCCCCTTCAGCGCCAAACTCTTCAACACAATCTACAACACGCCCCTCCGCCAAACCCTGCTATCCACCTACTCCCCCACCCTCAACACAATCTTCCGGCAACAAATCCAGCCCTGGCACCCCTCATCGACACTCGTCCACGAAGCCGCCTACGCGGTGCAAAAACTCTCCCCCGCAGCATTCTGGCCCTACAGCGCCCTGCTCTTCGCCCACCAAGCCACCTTCTTCGACGCAAACGTCGTGAATGAAACGCGAAACGCGACATACAAGCGCTTGGCTAAACTAGCAGGAGAAGTGGGCGTGGATGAGGACAAGGTGTATAAGTTGTTGGAGATAAGCGATAAACCAGACAAGGACGGGGGGCTGAATGGCGGGAATGGGGTTACGGCGGATGTGAAAGTGCAGGTTAGGGCGAATAGGTTGGTGGGGGTGCATGTTACGCCTACGGTAGTGTTTGATGGGGTTGTAAAGGACGAGATTAGTAGTAGTTGGAGTGTGGAGCAGTGGGAGGAGTGGTTGGGGAAGAATGTTACAAAGGAGCAACAGTGACTAGTCGATGATGAGGAGAGAAGGCAGCACAAGAGATATGGGTTCAAGATATAAATCCATTTTTCCTTACAAAAGATTCCCTGTCTTAAATACACATGTGGATATAGATGAGTCGGGTGCTCTCGTCCGGCAAAACTCCCCAAACGCCGAAAGATGGGAAGATGTTGCATAAATGTCGCTGTGCTGGGGCAAGTACGGCAGACCATATGCCGCTAAACACGCCCAGCCAGCTAAGAAAATCGAGAAAAACTCAGCAGTGGATGCGAAGATCGTAAGCCAGACTCTCGTCCTTTCCAAGCCAGGAAAACGCCGGAAGACGTAACACAACCTTCCACTCAACCCATGCCAATGGAGATTAATACCCGAACCCATCGGCACCTTCCATATCCACATCATCTTCGCCAGTCACCTTCCTCGGTTCTTCGATATCCTTTTTGAACGCCGTCTTCTTAGCATCCACGTCATCCCGGCTGAGATCCTTCATCCAGCTGTTGTTCCTAACAAGAATCTCCTGGACCCTCTCCCTCCTCTCATCGTTCAGCTTCTTGTATTCCTCAGTCGGATTTGGTACCGCCTCGCTGAGACCGGCTCGTACAGCATCTGGTTGGACGTAGTACTGCACGCCACCATTACCAAAAGGCTCACTGTTGACAAAGCCCAGGATGTATGCGGAAGGGCTGATAGAGATAGTGATGGTGTCACAGTGCCTGACCTGCTCGAAGCGCTCTTCTTCAGAGAGGTCCACGTTCTTGGCTAGGCGCCTCTTTAGATACGGGTAGCGGACACGCGAAGCATCGACCTCTTCCGTGGGCTCGATAGCCGTGAAGGATGCGATATATGCTCGCCAGCGCTTAACTCGATCGAGCGTGTTGAATTCAAAGGTTGGGTCATCCTTCTTGAAGAGGCGTACATGCGCTTCCATCTTGGCAGGGTCCTGTTGTGACATTAGAAAATCGTCACCGGGAACGTGACAGAAAGTACTTACATAGGTGATGCGGTAGGTGTCGGTATCCTTGGCGTACTTCTCAACAGCCTTTCGGTAGCTGATCTCGTTCTTGTGCGTTGTCGTGTCATTGACACGATCCTTCTTGAAGAGGTTGTAGATATCAAGGCTCTTATCCTTGTTATCATGGCTTACTACAGCAAGTGCAAACCGAACGAGAGAGCTGAGCAGCCTATCAAATGAGTACAGCTGCCAGCCTGTCTGTAGATAGTACCGCCGCAGAGTCTCTTCGATGAAGTTCATATCCACATCGCCGGTAATCTGATCCTGAAACATGTCGAGAACTTGCTGGTAGTAGTTTGCGGACGGAGATGTGTCTTTGAAAAAGTCCTCTGGCTGTTTGTCCAGCATCTTGAGCTTGTGTGCGGCCTTGGGCTCTTTGGCGCGCATAATGGCCTTTCGTACTTCTTCTTCCTTGTCTTTAAGCTTCCATAATCTCTCGTAGAGCATTACAAACATCCGGAAGAAGCAGTAGATCGAAGCATTGGCGTACATATTGTACTCCACACGTCGGTAGGGTTCATCATGATCAAACTCCTTCTCGCCGAATGCAGTCGGAGTCGTAGCGTATTCTACCCAATGGGTGGGCGGTCGGTCTCCGCGGGGGTTAGAGTTGGAGCTGTCGCCAGCGGCCTCGTCCTCCATACCAGATGTGTCTGGTGTGCTGTCCCGACTAGCTGACGGTGCGCTGTCATCCTTGTCCTTGCGTGACTTGCCGCGGGGGTCGAGAACATCGCGCCGTAGGTCACCCTTCTTCGACTTCTGCGAGCGCTGAGAGACATCCTCATCGGGAGATGGAGTATCCTCGCCGGAGTCGTTTGGTGTATCGCGTCCCGATGTATGCACTCGCTGCTCAAATTTGGCCGCATCTATACCGAAGAACAGGGGCACAAACTCCTTGATGAAGGGTACAACCTTAGCAAAGTCGGCGCCAGTGTTGTTGTCCGCGAAAGTAAGCATCAGGCGAGCGACGTCGAACAGCACCTCTTCATCCTTGAACGAGAAGGCGAATTGGTAATCTTCCTGTGGAATCTCTTGGATCTGCTGCAGACGCTTTTGCTCTTCGTATCGGACTTGAATCTCGTTCGTCAAGGACTTTGGCTGGAACTGTCGTTTGTCGGCTTGCTTGACTGTGATGCTCTGGTGATCCAGTGACTTCCAGAAGATCTTCTGGGTCTGGTCACGCCAAACCTTCTCCCACTCGCGCTGAGCAGCCTTCCAGTCCTCCAGCTTCGTCTTCAGTCGATGGAGAAGAACTGGAACCACGCTCCAAGGCATCGCAAATAGCTCCTTGATTACATCTCTGCCCCTCTCACGGCCGTAGATCTTCATGATGACGCGCTTGTAGATCGTCTCACTCTGTCCACCAAGACCGGGAGGAAGCGTGAATCCTATCCGATCCTCCGGCTTCATGGCGAGCAATTGGTTTGCGATGGGTTCAAGTTGCTGAATGGTACGGCTGCATGCCTCAATATTGAAGTCGTAGTCGTGGCGCTCCTCTTCAATCCTGTGTAGACCCTCTTCGAATGTGTTCTTGCGATGGGCGACAAAGCCAGAATCTTCAGAAGCCCACGTAGGGTGAGAGGCCCACTCGTCGTTCAGGACTGATCGGCAAAGTTCGTCACGTCCACTACATACTCGCTCCCGCTCGCGCTTGGGAAGCAGACGGTAGCTGGGGCCCAGACTGCGACAGTTGGACAACGACACGCGCGAGTTGACCGTCTTGGGGCGTGACTTTTGTTGCTCCTCGTCCTCGCCCATGAACTTCTTGAACCAGGTGAAAAGCTCGACATTGCCGCCGATAAAGGACTGCGCACGGTAGAGCAGTAGTGACTTGTCGATCAAGTCTTGAGAGTACAGGTTGCAAAGCTTTAAGAACTCATTCATCGTATTCTTGTTTCCGATGAACTTCTTGACGCGGTCGAAGAATGCAAGCTCATCCTGGCTAGGAGTCGTAGTCGTCGTTGGCGGCATCGGTTCGGGAAGCGCAGGCGTCAAGGTGGGTGAGACTGGCGGGCCGTCCGGAACCGCTTGCTTTGCAGCATGTCCTGTCTTTGCACGCTTATATGTGTCAGCACGCAAGTTCTTTGCAAGTTCCTGTGAAGGTGAAGGTATCATGTCACGATGAAAATTCGACTGTTACCGTTCTGCTTCAATAATGGGGGCAGATAAGGAAAGTAGAGTGAGATTGTCAAGACCTAAAAGCGGTCACGATGCCCTGCTATTACCTTCGCACATACACGCGGCAGTATCGGGTGATAGCACAGGTGAGAGTGAGAATGTAGATGGGTCTTAGACGTTGAAAAAAAGGAAAGTGTGAAAGGAATCTATGAGGCTGGTGACGGTGCACGTGCAATGACAGAAAGAACATTGTGACCTAAGCTTTGCGCATAACAATGCGAGGTCATTTACGTACCTTGTTTACACTTCCCTGAGTGTAGCCACCGCGGAGATTCGAGGTTGGCAGTTCTTGAGACATGGGCGTAGGCATGGGCGCAGCTACAGGTCCTTGTCGCTCACGCTTGCGCTTGTTGTCCCGGTTCGCGGTAGGCGTAGGCGCGAAGTTGCCCATTGGTGGTAGTCGTGAAGTGTCCGCGCGACCAGGTGTCTGTTGGTTTGCTACTGCTCCGTATCCTGATTCGCCTCTTACGTTGCTGAGCATGATAGCGTCTTCTGCAGCATTCTTAGCTGCTTGCTGTTGTGCCCTGTGATGAGCGGCAGACTCTGGGAGGAACTGCTTGAAGTCTTCGAGGAGATCCGGTGCGCCGCCAAAAAGGTGGGTGACTTGGGCGTAGACGTCCTGAATAGGCTTTGATTCTCGTTGGTATGTCTGCAGTATTTCCAAGAAGTTCTTGTAGATATCAGGGTGGGCCGCAAACCGGTTCTAGTTATGGTTAGCTTCCAGTCGTGTGACTCCGCGGTGAATCCATTTACCTTAATTTTGTTTACGTAGCTGATAGCATGGTTGAACTCGACGGGGCCTCTCTTCTCGGCTGCAGCCCCGCCCATTTGGGGAAGCTGAACAGCGCCATTCAATGCTTGTCCTTGGAGTGGTGTGCCCGCATCAACACTGGGTGACATGATCGAACGACCAGTAGCGGCAGATACAGCGTTCTGCAGCTGCGAGACACCCCTCTGCTCTTGTTGGTGAGCTAGTACAGCCGCTGAGCCAGCAGGGTCAGGATGAGGCCGCGAGGTGACTTCCGGTGAATGTGGCGCTGGACCCTGTTGTTGCTGCTGTCCATACAATGGCTGGCCAAGGGTTCGGTTGTTTGGAGAGAACATCGACTCCTGCCCTTCGGCCTGGGCCCTCTGCTGCTGAGGCCACGGCTGGCCTTGGGCAGTCTCGTAGTAGGTACTCTCGTGTTGCGGGCCGTTATTACCGTTGACAGCGCTTCGTGGCGGCGAAAGCGGCCTGGGGGCAGGCATTGTCGAGACCATGGTGCCCATTGGCGTGGTCACTCTAATAGCGTTTGGGTCTCCGTTTGTGCCACATTCGATCTTGTAGCCGGGTGGGAGGAAGGTGTTGAAGCCCTGGATGAGGGCCGGGTTGCCTGCGAACAGAGTCGAAACCCTTTCGATGACGCCTGGGGTATCAATTGCGCCGCTCTTGAAGTCCTTCATGATATCCAAAAATCGGTTGTAAACATCGGGATGGTCAGCAAACTGGACTTTGACCTGATCAAGGTAGCTCAGAGCGTCGTTGAGGATGGGCTGTTGTCCTTGGCCCATTGCCATTGATCCTGGAGGACCAGCAAAAGGCATCAACATCTGCGCCTGTGTTGGCGCTTGGACTGCGTGTTGCATCCTTGGAGTAGTCTGCTCGTGCTGCACAGAGGCGCTGTTGCCGTACATTTGACCAGTCGCGTTGGGACCACCCATTGGTGGCGCAAGTAGATTTGGCCCATTCATTGGCCCTGACTGTCCTAGGAGGCCGTTTGGACCGTGAATTGTTCGTGTAGATGGCGCTACGGCTACAGGCTGGTGTATTTGCATGGGTGTTGAGTGGCTTTGGAGGGCTGCGTGCTCGCGCTGCTGTCGTTCGTGATGTTCTCGATCTCGCTGCTCCGCTTCGCGCTTCACATGGTCTTCTTGCTGATGCATAACATGCGAATCCATCTCCCGCTCGCGTGTTTCGCGTTCGCGCATTTCCCGTTCCCGGTCTGCGTTCGCTTGCTCCGAAGTCGGCATGTGCTGCTGCTGCTGTTGTTGTTGTTGTTGATGCTGCTGTTGCAACGTTTGCGATATCCCGGGTAACGAGTACGGCGGACCAGGGGGGGCTTGATGCCCTTGCGCTCCTGCGTCAGAGGATGGTGGTCGCTGGGCTGACATGTGGGGCGAAGAGTGCTGAGGTTGCGCCGTCAGCCCTGGAAGCGCGGGGAGGTTCTGATTGTGAGCTGTCGCGGCGCCTGAAGCGTAGTATCCGCCGCCTGTGATAAATGTTAGCAGCGTGTCGATGCGCGTCGTTTGTATATGCCACCTACCAGACGGCTGTGGGAGTACCGGCCCTGAGGGTTGCGCGGATGACGCATGAGGACCCTGAGGATTGCTATTATTCGGTCTGTTGTCGCATTCAAAGTCAGCCTGAATCCAGTCAAAAGCGGGTGAGAAATGCAGTTCAAGAGCTTCGTCATCCATGACGGCTCCCATGGCGAATGCGACAAACAACGAATTACGCACCCATAAGGGCCCAGAGGACGCGGCGCTTGTCCTTGGCTCTGTTCTGTTTGCTGCTGATTCTGTCCAGACACGGCTGCCTGAGTCGGCGGCCACCCATCTCGATGCGCTGGATTCATCTTGACTTAACCACGCTCGCCGGCAATACGAAGCTTGGAATAGCCGGGATGGGGACGAAGGCGAAACCGCGATTACGCTTCAAATTCGGCAGGAGCTCATGAATAGCTCGGCGTGTGTTGGAAACCCTCTGTAGAGGGTGATAAGGTTCGTGTCTTCCTGTTTAGGAGTGTTGCGCAGGACGGGCACGAACAAGTACTTGGCAAAAGCATGATCCGCGGGCGGTGAACGGCAGAATTCCCAGGGACAAGCGCGTCATCCGTGTGAACCATGAGCTCGGGCGTTTGCCGGCAGTCGACTTGGTCCAAACATTTCCATTCAAAACACTATACAATTCCTACATGACTATTGTATGGTAGCAATATAGGGCGCCATCAAGTCCACATCCGGATTGATTCTTATCCCAATGTGTGCACTCGCGCTTCGCTCACATCTCAAGCTGTCCTCACTAATGGAGTCATTGTCCTCACTAATGGAGTCATCATGTACGGAGTCAAGTGACAACCTCAGCGCTCACGCCCCACATGAAGCTCTCCACAAAATCAAAGAAAAAAACTGTATTATGTGGTGGCATATACACAAGGCCCGATTGTCCTGGTAGGCCAACCATGAGTAGCTCAGTTATTCACTGGGCCACTCCAATACGCCACAAACGCCTAGCAAGCAACCGAGACAAGGAAACTCGTAAAATCCATCCGTAGCATCGCCATACCATACACCTAGAAGATCCACTGGAAGCTCTCCTTGACTTCAAAGTTCAGCTTGGACCTGTGAAATATGTTAGCATCTGCATATCAAAAACACCCCTCCTGAGATAACATACCTGATATCAGCGCTGCTAGCACCAATAAGCACTTCAAACAATCCCTCCTCCGCGATCCAAGCCCCAGTCTGCCCCAGGCTGGTATCAAAGTAACCCACAGAGTACTTGTTCAGCGTCAAGACTACGTCCTTGGTTTCGCCAGGCTGCAAGAAGACCTTGCCGAAAGCCTGTAGTTCCTTCTCTGGGCGTGGCAGCGTCGACTTGACGTCTTTGACATAGGCCTGGACAATCTCGTGCGCGGGTATGGAACCTGTGTTCGTAACAGGTACAGTGATTGTTATGGTGTCATCTTCGGAGAGGACATCACTGCTAGCACTAGGTGTCCCGTACGAAAATGTCGTGTAGGTAAGACCGTGGCCGAAGGGGAAGAGTGGCGCAATCTTAGAGCGCTCGTAGTGCCTGTAACCAACGTAGATACCTTCTCCGTAGACGGTCTTGAGGTTCTCGCCAGGCCAGTTGTGATATGCTGGGTTGTCTTCGATTCTGACCGGGAAGGTCGTTGGTAGCTTTCCACTGGGGCTGCTGTTGCCTAGGAGGACATCTGCGAGAGCATTTCCTGCTTCTTGGCCCTGGTACCATGCTTGCAGAATGGAAGGCGCTTTGTGTACCCATGGCATGGTGACTGGTGTTCCGGATTGGTTGACAATGACTGTGCGTGGGTTGGCGGCTAGGACAGCTTCGATTAGACGATCTTGGGATCCGTTCTTTGGCAGGTCCATGGTCTGCCTGTCATATCCCTCTGATTCCCACTCAGCATCCAAGCCAATGACAACCACAGCTACATCAGCCTCTCGCGCAACATCCGCGGCTTCCTGTAGGCGGTCGACCTTGTCCTCCTCTTGATAGCCGATACGGCAGCCGCCATAATCGTGGCGACGACCAATAACTGATACTTTCGAAGCAGGTCGTACTTCGTTGGTGCTCTCAATCAGAATATCCACTGGCTTTCCCTCCTCAAGATGGATTGCCTTTAGCACATCTTCTGAAGCAGAAAACATAGCCTCACCCTCGTCAGTCCAGTCCCAGTTGTCGATGAAAAGCTCTCCGTCAATGAACATGCGTCCTGGTCCGACTGACGCAAAGCTGAAGCTGTGGTTTCCAGTCGATTTGGGAGTAAGCGTGGTCTTGACCTTGAACGAGAAGTCTGGAAGAAGCTCCATAGGTGCAGAGTCCCACAGCCAGAGATCCGTGCTGACCTTGTGCTGGACAACCGCCGGCTCGCCCTTGAATCGGTCACCCTTGTAGTACTCTAACCGCACGCCAGTCTCTCCATTCGACTTGCAATAGGGGGACGCGAGCGGTAGCCATTTTGAGCTATCGCAACCTTGCGCGAATGTGATATCGCCATCGAAGCGGTTTTGGAGACCTTGCCAGGGGGTGACGTTGTAATAGGGATTCAGACCAGCGCTGCCTCCTCCACTGGCAATGGCACGCTTCACGTTGGGCCCAATCATCGCAATCTTCCTGGCATTCTTGATCGGCAGTACGCTGTTCTCATTCTTCAACAAGGTCAATCCTTCAACGCCTGCTTGAAGGATAAGGTTTCGCGTTTCGACGTTGTCAATCGATTGCTCCGGCTGTTCGGTTGTCATATTGCCCAAGCCCTTAACACGGTCGACAAGGTACAGGACTCTGGCAGCAGACTCTTCGATATCTGAGCGGGTCAGTTCGCCTTTCGCCAAGCACTCTTTGACTTGGTCGACTTTGCGCCACTTGGAAGGGCCAGGCATCTCGATGTCAACACCGGCTTTTATTGAGGGCGCAGTCGCATATGTGCCCGTCCAGTCCGAAATGATGGCTCCGTTCCACTTCCACTCGCCTCGCAAGATCTCCTTGAGTGAATGCACATATTCATCGGCGTGGACACCATTGACCATGTTGTATGCGCTCATGAGGGCCCATGGTGATGCTTCGCGGACGGCAATTTCGAAAGGCTTTAGGTAAATCTCCCGAAGCGGACGCTCTGCAATGATAGCATCGTACGCTTGTCGCTCAGTTTCCTGCTCATTTCCGAGGAAGTGCTTGATCGTAGCGGCAACGCCCTTGCTCTGAAGACCACGAACGTAGGAAGCAGCGAGTTTTCCTGTGAGGAACGGATCTTCCGAGTACGACTCAAAGTTACGTCCACCAAGTGGAGACCTATGCATGCACACCGTGGGCGCTAGCAACACTTGGGCGCCTCGGGCCTTTGTTTCTTCTCCAAGATGACGACCGATCTCTTCTATCATGTCCAGATCCCACGTGGACGCCATAGATATGCCACAGGGAAATAGAGCAGCCTGTAATCGTCAGCACGGGCCTGATATTGCCAAGACGGAGTACGTACAGGCGTCCCGTTAGTGAAGAATTCTCCACGGGCGCCATTGGGTCCATCCGATGTCTTGATGGATGGAATGCCTTTTTCAGGAATAGACACCGACCGCCAAAAGTCTGCTCCTGCAAGCAATGAGATCTGGGATGGTCAGCTTGACTCAGGGATAAGGCTGCTCTGGCCACTCTTGATAGATTAAAAAGGTCAGGCGGTGCTCTAAGCGAATACAGGATATGAACCATTCCAGTAGCGGACGTCAGTCTGTGAACGGCTGGTTTCACTGGCATCCCACAAAGGAAAGATGTTGGAGCGTGATGTTGCGGCTCATGGGAAAAGTTCCTGGAAGTGCGGAACCCGTGGACGGAAGCTGACACGGCCGTATGCGTGTTCCGGGATAAAGTGACTGCGTGTCTGGAAATCCTACCCAGAGCTCTTCCCATACCATGAAAACAAAACGTACCTGTTCTTCCAAAGTCAATTTGGCAGCGATCTCTTTTGCCTTGTCGTCCGGCCGCGGCGCTGAGTATATTTTCTTGCCCGCCATTGCATGCTCTTCTGTAGGGGAGGTCTCCTCTGGTGTTGCAGCGGGTGTCAAATTTGGTGTGTCGAGTGCCAAAGGCTGAATCTGGATAGATGCGTGCTTTATATCGATATGTTTGATGTCTTCCGCCGGGCTAGCGTTCCCAAGGCTGATTGTAGCCATTGTAGATCAATCCGAATTGATCATTCAATCACGTCGGGATATCTGAACGAATTGCCGCACTTCTCGCCACTGCAGCCGGTGCGGGTAACGAGCGACAAACTGACTGGGAAAAAAGTTGGAAAACGGAGAATGAAGGATGAAGATGGAGCGTCGAAAAAGCCTGGAAACCATCAACTGAAGTAAATAGTCATCTTTTAGTACCTGCACAGCGTTGGATGCGATTGTGTCTTGACGCATGGACCCCAAAAGAAGGCTCGAATATCGAGCTTCATTAGACTCAAGCCTTGTACCTAGCCACGGCTCGCAGGCACGTCTCAGATCTTGCAAGGGAGGCACTATTGGTCGGTCGGGCGCAATCAACCGAATCCAACGTGGACCAGTCTCGTTCCTGTGCCCTGATAATCAGGGCCGAGCATGATTCGTTGCCTCCTCTACACAAGGCAGCGGTGATGGCGGTCCTAAACTTCCGAGACTAGGACAGCAGGCAATTGAACAGCCTCTCAAAGCCACTAGAGGATGGGACAAAGCAGGTGCATTCCAATCAGTGGTGGATTAATCTGCACGTGATGTTGTCGTCAGGTTGTTTCGGCCCGCTAGGCGGGAATGTTTAGCGGGAAGCCGGGCCAGCGAACCGTTCTGCATATCACGACAAGTTTCCGCCCTCGCCAAGCGAGAGTTGGTCGAGGTCGAGGCGTTGGTGTAGCATTGACCAGATGTCCGGGACGGAATCTATCCATGCATATGTCTGCCCCGCTACTTACGTGCAGCACATGCCCAACAATTCCCATCGTGATCCCAACGTAGACGGTTCCTCGAGGATGACAGTTGGGCACGAATACCTTCCCCGTATCTGCTTTGCGCATGCACAGTGCTGACAAAACTTGAGTTTCTCTAGACATTGCTATCATCATTTATACACATGTGCAAGGTTTTGAATAGCTTCATCACATGATAGCTCTATAGATATCATATGAGGGGCAATCTGATCGGCATCTCATCGGACAAACTACAGATGAAGACGTACTATGATACTTTATTACAACCACCCTGTCACACCTGAGCCATGTACCGAACATGTTCACTACATCTTGATTACTCGTTGAGATGCAACATCCGTCCCACGACAGCGGAAGGCTTACGTTGATTGCAGTGGCAAACTGGTGAGCCATGCGCGCGTCGTTCTCCCTTCCCTTCCGCCGTCTACCCTTCAACTGTGCTGATGCAGAGCGTGTCCGGTCGCGTGGGAGTCGACTCGTCGAAGACGGCACGTACGGAGAGGTACCGAGATACCCCCAGATTGAGGGGCATATACATAGTAGACTGGAGTACATGTACCCACTGTATGGTATATGATATTTGCTCATCGTTCGATTGGAGATGCAGATCGCTATCTTGGATGTTTGGTCGGATGGGTCACCCATTGTAGATGACGGTATTCGTAGCCGAGACTTGCGTGATGATCCATGTCTCTTTAGATAGCCTGCATCAATGTCCATTTGGAGAAATGTACGCGCTGGTTTGTACGTTTAGGTGTTGTTCGCTGTATGCGATTGTAATAATAGCATACCTAAGTCTTAGTGCGAGGATCCACGTGTATAGCAATTGCCATATCTGACTATGTAACCAGCAACGAGTGATGTCGGGCCGGCAAGCCTTCAGTTTGGCTCGTCCAAGACACTTTGCTATCCAAAGCCAAGTTTAGACTCGACCCTAGATTGGTCTTGTGTGTACCGTATATGATGATCGATTGGAATGTCCGATCTCGCGGACAAGTCTCATGGAACCCTGGTATAGCGGGAAGATCAGATGTCTGGGCTTGGGCGGAACAGTGAATCAATGTGTCAATCATTCTATACTACGGTCATCCATTGCCTATCCAAAGTCCCATGTTCGCTTTCGCTCTCCTTGGCCGACTCAACTCGTATCGTCATAGATCGAATTTACCAGTCTTCCTCCTGTTTTCTGCCATGCATAGCAGCTTGTCTCTGTCTCAGCGCTTCAGCAAGGCCACCGGCGATGCTACCACTGCTGTCCCTCGCGCTCTCCATCGTGCTGCCTCCGCTACCGCTGTATCCGCTATCCCGCGCGGAGTCACCATTCACAGCTTTCCTAGCAGCGGGGCGTTTGGCAGGTGGAGCAGGAGGCTTCGGCTTACCCCCTGCCGCGCCGTTGACAGGGCGGGCTGGTGGCGCTGGTGGTGGGGGAGGAGCGGCCACGCGCTGGACCACTTCTTCGAGATAAGCGGAAGGTGCCCAGCCAGAGGCAGACTTGTCGAGACGGGAAGCTAACCACCATCCTGTGACGCCTTCAGTTAGTATTTTGCTCGTCTTCTGACCTTCTAATAGAGTAGGGGTGGACATACCATTGTTCTCTTTCTGCGTGACCAAGATGATCTCATCCTTTCCGAGACTTAGCTCTCCAGCACTCTGACCCGCAAAGTCATACAGTGCCTTGTATCTAGGCTCCTTTGGTTGAGGCGCCGCTGCCGGTGGGGGCGGTGGAGGAGGTGGTGGTGTGCGTGTCGACCCAGACGAAGCGGTGCGTGCATGAGAGGCCGCGCCATTGGACAATGCAGCGACGGGGGGAGGGACTGGCCTGGATTGTGACACAGCTGGCTGAGGGACAGCTCGCGGTTGTGCGGCAGCAGGCGTAGGCACAGGTCTCGGTTGCGCTGGACGAGACGCAAGCTTTGAGGGACCTCCGCCTGGACCACCGGGCCGCAAAAGCTTGCCCTTTGTGATGGGCTTTGCGGCAATCTGCTTGCCTTTGGGTGTGGGCTTCGAAACGGAATTTGGCGGCTCTCCTGGGCCAGTGTGAATGGTGCCACTCTTGTACAGATCGTCTCTCGCTACTGCGGGATCTTTGATTACTTTAACCTGGGCTGGTTTGCCAGGCTTCTTGTTGTACTCGATGCTGCGATGTCTTAGCTTCTCTCGATTCATTCATGATTACACAACTTACGTCTCGCCTATTCTAAGCGTCATTGAGCCTCGTAGTACATTGGTCAAGTGTGTGAAGAATTCGGTCTTGAATATGCAGTTTACGAGCGGATCAGGCTCTGTTGGGGAGCCCGCACCGATTGAGAACCAGTCATCCTTGAGCGTGGAGCAGCTGATATACTTGATAGCGCCCACGGGTATTGTTCTCTCGGCTTGGATTTGGACTTCCCGGTTGACCATTACCTGTTTTACGAGGTACACGTTCTTCTTTGTGAGAACAAGTTGACGGGCCTCTGGTTTACTTGATCGACCAAGCTTAGACACAAGCACTTCAGCTCTGCACGAGAATGGCACCTCCTCGCTGGCTGTTATACCGATGGCACTGGCAATGACCTCGCCAGGACCACCTCGGTTTCCAATACCGAGATAGTCACCCATGAATCTTCGGGAACCGACCAAACTGTATCTTCTCCGCTCTTTCCGGCCTTGTAGGATCTTGTGTCCTTGGTCACGCCATTCGATGAACTCCTTGCCACCATTGAGTTTACGCCAAAACCGTTGTATCCGTATCGCGCACTCTGTCCGGTACCGTAGGTAGTTTCTCCAAGCACGTTGGATACGAATGGCCATGTTGTGCCAGTATTTGTCGCGCATCGTTTCCAAAGCAAACAGTGTCTCCGGAGTCTTGATGAAAACCTTGGTGGTACCTATCTGGAACTCTTCCGCGGGAATGTTGGTATCCTTCAGGATTTGCTTGGCTCCAGTCTCGTAGTCACCAGTCCAAGTATATTCTCCGGCGTAGGAGCACTTTGGCGACAGCAAGAAGAATCGCTCCACAAATTTGTCGAATGTTTGACGCGACGCGAAACCAGCTCTTCGGATACGCACGTTTTCTTGCAAACCGAGATACTTAACCTGATGAAGTACGTTGGAGTTGTTGTATTCCTTTGGCGATTTGTTCTCGTTGGGCTTGATGGTACGGATGTAGGATGGTCGGGCTTGCATCAGGGTAGTGACCAGGTCGTTTGCAGACAGCTTGATCTTATCTCCTGCCGTCGGTGGTCGCCGCCTGTTATCCTGATCTACTTGGTTGGGGAAGAGCGTGTGCACAAAAGTATTGCTGCTCTCATTAAGCAGGTTCAGCAAGTCCTTTAGCAACTGATCTTTGTTCTTGTCAGTCATGCCCTCAATGGCATACGAGACGTCGCCGGCGTAGTGCTTGATAACGAATTGGCCCTGACGAGGTTGGAAGTTGGGGTTGTCGGATAGAGCGTTCAGCCTCTGTACGAAGGTTTGATCGGCGGCAGATGGGTCCGCGTGCGCAGTCGCACAGGCATCGTTTAGGGCAGCAAAAACACCGGGTGGCTTCTTCTCTTCGATCAGATCGCACACAATCTTGTTGTCAAAGTACTTGATGGGTGTCCACTTGATCTGCTCTCGCTCGTACTCTTCTTGTTCTGCTTTCAAGGTCAACTGAATGAAGATCTGCTGCAGCTTCTCGTTGACGTAGTTGATGCAAAGTTGCTCGAAGCTGTTCTTCTCGAAGATCTCGAAACCGTAAATATCAAGGATACCGATGGAATGAGCAGTCGCTCCACGGGCCTTGAGCGAGACATTAACACGCTCTACAATCCAATCGAAGAGGTTGAAGTATATTCCCTTGGAGAGTGCATCGCGGACGGCGCCTGCTTGTGCACAGTTCAAGGGCACATCGTATACCGAGCCTCGTCGTCCTCCTCGGCTTGTTTCCATTACACGGATGGTAAGGGCCTTGTTGACGTGTACGGCGTCTACTTCGAGGAGGTATGCCACAAAGTCTACCACAGACTGGTCTACGATGGCTGCGTTGCCCGAGTCGTCTTCTCGGAATGATACGTTTCCCAGCCAGAGGATGGCGGCTAGCATGCGGAAGATGTTGTCCTGTTCTGCTTGTGGTAGTCCAATAACCTTCATAGCATTCAGTGTATCGGCAAACTCGGCATGGTCGTCGATTCCGGGAACGTCGAAGCATTTCGACTTGCTGGTGTAGAGGTAGGATTGCGGTTGTTGTAAACCGAATATTTCTACCTGGATCAGCGTATGTTTACTATTTCACCTCTGAAGCGTACCTCTGTATTGTGACGATGCAGCTTTGGTGAACTGGTAGAAGATGTGGAAGTTGCGCTCGTTTGTGATCTGCCCCACTACTCGCGTCTTCTCCAGCAGGTAGTTGTTGATGTTTGCTCCCACTGGCTCTCCTTGTGCGTTGAAGTGAATTTCGAGGTATTTTCCAAATCGCGACGAGTTGTTGTTTCTCAGTGTCTTTGCATTTCCAAAGGATTCGAGCAGCGGGTTGGTGGCCAGCACCATGTCCTTGATCTCTTGGATAGAGGAGTTGGTTCCGCCAGATACATTTGCAATGTACTGCATGAGGCGCTTTGCAGCTTCTGTCTTTCCAGCTCCTGATTCGCCAGAGATGATGACACACTGATTCTCCTTGTATGCATTCATGTTGTAGTACGAGGACTCTGCGATTGCGAAGACATGGGGTGGCACCTGTCTCTGATTAGCTCTGGGGGCGTCTGAGTAGCCATGCGCCGCACCTCCAGCCTGTTCTTGCCCTTGTAGCTCTCCAGTACCTGGTCGGTGTAGATGCCCACTGCAGCCATGTCAGCATGTCTTTTGCAACCGGCACGTTCTTGTACATACGGTCGCGGAAGGGGTTGACCGACACCAGCACGTGTCCAATGTATGTCTGCGCCTCTCGTCAGTTGTTGTCCCACGATATGGCCGTGTCTCGATGCGACGCGGGGTTGGCGCAAGCAGGTCCACGCACGTATATCTCGCCATTCTCAAATCGCTTCTTCAAGTTCTCGTTGATGGCTTCGTTGGAGATCTTGCTGATCAGTGTCAGATCCGAGACTCCGACTTCCTTCTTCTTGGTCGTCTCGAAGACGGCCTTTGTTGCGAACTGCGACTTTGGTTGCGCTCGTGCGGCGGGCTGGGCACCTCCGGCCTTGCGCGCTGCGCGGTTGGTTTTCCCCTACACAAGCAGCTCAGATTAGCGCATACACCTCTTGTCATGAGCTTCTGGGACATTTTACCATGGTTGATGCCCGACCTAGAGCAGTGGCTTTGGGCAAGAGTCGGCCAGTGGAGGGGGGGGAGGGGGGATTGTTGGGGGGCTGCTAGGTGTACTGCTGAGACCAGGTTATGGTACAGGTGATATCAATGAGCGTGAGGGCTAAACGCTACGCTATCCGAGTATCAAGAGCAGCAGCCCGGAGGTTGGGTGTGCAGGAACGGAAGTGTGCCTGAACGTCGAAAGACGGGACCAACGTCAGAGGGTCAATTGATCGGGCTGTTCGGAATAGGCGCTCGCCCCAGCCCAGGAGCACAGCCACACCCGCTTTTCGGACGCGCAATCGACCTCGCGGCTTTCCTTCCTGGCAAGTCGTTGCCTGCTGAGCCTCCTAAGCGTTACTAAGACTGACGGACGGGTTCAAACACTCTTTCGTGCCTCATCTAAGGGTTTGGGACCACACCGTACTATAGACCTTTTCGTCCACGCGTCCCCTACTACAACGCTACCGCCTTGCTGTCACACGAGTGAGGGCGAGCTGGCCGCCACGCTGCCGTTGCATAATCCTCAATGACGTGTCGCACTTTCAGACATCAGACACCCACGTTTAGCACTGACAACCATATCCTCGTTCCATACTACAGCTACCAAAACGCCAATCGATATGCAAACCATCGTAAATGAGCGTCCCAACCAAGGCGAACAACATGAAGACGCCGTCAAAATGCCCAGTCCTCGTCCGTATAGTAATGTCCCAAACGCCTTCCCAAGCCCGCTGAAGCAAATCATTCAATCATCATGAGAAAACATCGCCTCCGAAACGGCCAACGCTCGCCCAGTCCAACCGCTTCGACTCCTCCAGTTGCGGGCCGCCCCACGAGTACACCTTGGGGTCCACTAAGCAACCGAGCCCGCCTTGCTGGCACCACTCCTCCACCACCGCGTAGATGAACTCGATCTTCGCTCGGAGATGGTTGCTTTCCGTCAGCTCCTTGTAGCTATCTTCCTTGTCCGCCGACCCATAGAGCAGCTGCTGTAACGACCCCCGCAGATTCGCTCGGGCCTTTACATGTCTCCATGGGACGCTGCCAGTCTCCTCGAGGAGGGAGGTAGCATCGAGAGGGAGACACAGGAAGTGCCCGTATCCAGCGTCAGACGAGAGCACGAGCTTGGTATGATCTGGGAAGTTGAACTGGAAGGTTGTTAGATGAGTGTCAAGACAAGATGCACACTTGAATGCTTACCTGGAAAGAGCCATCGTCAAATCCCCAGATCCCTACGTTGCCTAACCGTTGGTAGAATCGGACAAAGTTCACCCGTGGATCTTTCCTCATCGGCTTCTCCTCGTCACCGAATGTTGCGCACATGTACTTTCCAAATTTGTGCCATACCGTTCGAATCTCCTCGACGCGCCGCGGTTCAAGTACTTCGATTTGAGACAGCCCCCGGTCTTTGTTTACGGATGTATAATAGTTGAGCGCTACGCTTTTGGCCACCTCGCGGTTACCTCCGGCCTTGCGCAGGTGGTTGTACCCATCCGTTGCAAATGCGATTGTGACTGGGTATTGCTCCTCCGCTGATAGAAGAGTTCCAATACTGCCGTCGCTCAGCACGTAACCTACACCGTACCTACGGCTATAGTCTACCCACTTTGCGACAAACGGCAGTTGTGGCGGCTGATCCCGCCTTGATTTGGTGGGCTTTTTGTCGAGTGCGCGTTCGAGATTATCCCGGAAGGTTATCAGTCGTGCGAGTACGGTTACGGGGTCGGTTGCTGGCATGTCGCTGCTGATAGTTCGATAACGGGCAGTACTTCGTGACGTCGTGGACTGAGACGCTGGCTCCGCCTTTTCGCTCTCTCGTACGCTGGTCTTCATGACCCTTAGAGGTGGCAGATCAGGTAGCCCCGATGAAGCTTTCGAGGCCTCTTTTGCTGGCTCTTTCGCAGCCCTAGCTCGGGTCGTGGGTCGCGCCTCTCTAGGGACGCGTAATGGCGCTGGCGCTGTGGCCGTCTTTGCAGTGACTCGTCCAGGATTCGATATCTTCCGGACTGCTCTTAGACGGGTCGGCTGCTTGTCCAGTATCCTGTGTGCTGGATCTGGCTCTTGTGCTGGATCTGGCTCTTGTGCTGGCTCAACGTTCTCTTTCAATGTTTGCATCGGCTGTTGTTCTCTTCGTGACGCTCTAGGCACGCGGCCTCTTACTCGGTCGTTGCCAGTAGTCTCCCCCAGCGCGTGGCCTTCTGATGATGACTCCTTCTCTTCTGAGATTTCGCTCAGGCCGCCTGGAGGCTGATGAGGCCATTGCACGCGCGCAGGGAAAGGCACGTATACGGTATCCTTGGCGAAAGGAATGTTTGGCTGTTTGCCCGCTTCAATCTCCTTCTGGCAGTCTCTGGCGACCGTCTTGTTGGTTCGACGTCCATAGGCACCGAAAGATTTTCCAGGTTCGTATTCACCGACAGCCGAAGACTTGCAAAGCTGCCACCACTCTTCAGTGTATCCGCGCTTGATCGTAGAGGCCGTTGGCGGGCGGTTTCTTGACCATTTCGGTATCCGAGAGGTACAGCCACTATCTAGCTCCAACGGAATATAGCCCAGTTTGAAGAAAGGATGCGCAACAATCTGATCAGGCGTCGGTCGCTCATCCTCGTGCACTAGTAGAAGAGATACAATGTCGCGCAAGTCGTCGGTAATCTCGTTCGCAAACTTGGCAAAATCTGGCCACGTGTACTCTCGCGCCTTTAGCTTCCGGTAGATGTCCTCGCGCTTTGCGGCATGGAATGGCGCTCGTCCTACAGCGAGTGTGTACCTGGAGCTGTCAGTAATCGCATCGGTGCTCCTCAACACGGTCGCTCTCACATCATGATGCCAATGGCCCAAAGGTCAACCTTCTCATCGTGGCCTTTTCCAGTCTTTTCCAGGACTTCTGGCGCGAGGTAGTTCGGTGTGCCGCACATGGTTGTTCGTCGGATCGCCCCATAGTCGCTCTGTGATACCAGTAGTGCAGCAAGGCCAAAGTCTCCGACCTTGACATTCATGTCCCGATCCAGGAAAAGGTTGCCAGTCTTGAGATCGCGATGCACGATATTGCGCTGATGAAGGTACTTGATGGCGCCGCATGTTTGGATCATGAATCGCCGGATCTCAGGCATGGTGAAGTATTTGCGCTTCTTGATCGCGTCGGCAAGAGATCCATTTTCGCATAGCTCCAGAACGACATAGGTACTTGACTCGAATGAAAAGGCGCGGAAAAACTCGACGATGTTGGGGTGGGATAGCTTCGAGTGAATCTGTAGTTCTGTGACAAACTGCGGCGCGTCAGTATGGCTCCTCCGTATCTTCCACTCCGGTTTGTTGCACCTTTTGCGCAAGCTTGGGTGGCTCCATCTTGGATTTGACAATCTTCAAAGCGACGGTGCTGCTACCGAGGTGTTCGTGACCCAGCAGCTTCGCGCGATGGCAGATGGCGAAGCCGCCTTTTCCCAACTGCGATCCCGTCTCATATTGAAGTCCTTCGGGGTCCTGCACCACGGCCGGCGGGGCATCTGCGTGTATCGACGAGGTAGACATTGGCGATAGATGTCGAAGATGTTGGTCGATGAGATCAGTGCGTGTGTTTATCGTGATAAACAAGGGCCTGTTTTAGCGCCGTTGCTAGGGGCCTTCCTTCCCAGTCCGTGCTCGCTGCATGCACTGCTGGGAGCTGCGCAGGCGTGCATAAACTATCACTGGCCATCGCACAACTAAAGCAAAGCTGATCTGGCCTGATGCCATGAAACAATACGAGTGACATGCGCTGGTCGACTTTGTTGTGCTGGAGAGCTGGCAGTCTGTCGTCGCTACGGCTGGGTATTTGTGGATCTTCCGACTGCCGTCAGGCACCTACGAATCCACCGTCGACCATAATTCGTAGGCCCCAACATCGATTATAGAAAATATTCCACATGGCTGCCTGCATTCTCGTATCCCTCTGAAAGCTGTAATGGTCCCGTATTCGCCGCTCGATTGCTTGCAAAAGTCTCCACAATCATCCGAAGCTTTATTGTAATAAAACATGTCCCTCACTCTAAAGGTTACGTCACTGTTCGTTAGGACGCTTGCGAAGCCGGTAGCAGTAGGTCCATTTGCTTCTGCTCTTCTGCAATCATACTGAACACCTTGTCCAGAATGCCATCAAACGCAATGCCCACGAACACGAGCGATTTCGCCGAGTATGCATCAAATTTGCCCAAGGGCTACATCGCGTCGACATGCGCATGCGCCTTGGCCTCCTACAAGACCCCGCCGTCATAGACCGCCAAATCAAGAAGGAAGTTGCATTAGCAGAGGCTGCACGTAAGCAGGCGGCTGCACCTACAGTCTTGACAGAGGCCGAGACAAAGGCAGAGGAAGCTCTCACCGAGAAGGAGCGAGAAGCGATTAAGAAAAAGGCAGAGGAAAGGGCCAAACCGCGCATACGGCCCCTCTCGGAGCAAAAAGCCATTGAGATGGGCGCAAACTTTGTCGCAGAAACCTTCATCTTTTCCGTGGGCATCGCTGTGATTCTCGTTGAGCAATGGCGACAGAGGAGGAAGGCGCGCAATGCCCGAGATGACATAAGGGAAGATCTGGAAGAGGTACAGGCGGAGCTCAAAGCTGTCAAGGCTGAGTTGGAAGAATTCAAGGCAAAACACCCAGAGCCCATATCGTCGAAATTACTAGGCTTCTGGGGTGGCAGTGCAAAGACGGGAGAGAAGAAGAATGAAGCCGCCAAGTCTGAGGAGAAGCCCATGTCTACGAATGCTACGCCTACTGCCGGGCCAGAAACACATACTCAGCCTTCTAGCGAGGGACAATCAGTTGGCGGAACCCCGCAACCGAAAGAAGCAGGAGCACATACACAAGAAACAAGATGATCCACACATGCATGCTCTTGTCTATACGATATATAACTTTTACAGGTGCAAGAGTACATATTTAGCTTGGGCCTGCGTCCGCAGCAAGCGTCTTGCTTTTCTCTCCTCTCATGATACCCTCCACAGATCGTAGATGCTCTCAATTCAAAATAAGATTAAATCAGGCAATAAAAGATCTGATCGTTCTCCCATACACTAATCTTGCAAACACCGTTTGTCTCTGACTTTTGCAACAGTGGTGCTAGTGTTCTTTCCGTTGTCGTGCCTACGCACCTTCCCGGGGCGAGCCATGCATGACACCTGATGAGATTGAATTCCAGATTTTTAGCTCCTTCCAACTATCCCACACCACCCGTCTCTTACACTTTTCGTCGTAAGTCGAGGAACATTTTCGGAACCTGCTGGGTTGACGCCTTGATCCATTACAGTTCACTGGACTTGCCTGTCTCAACGAAACAAGTTCACAATTCCGTAAGCCCCATGATCCGTTGTCTCAATGGGCGTACCACAGAAGTCACCCCTAACGTCTGAAGTGGGAACAGACCTAAGTACTTCGAATATGGCAACTGCGAAAACCACTCAGCCTGCCAGCACGCTGGCTCCTGCCCAACTAGATGGTGGAAACGATTACCATCCCCATGCAAGGCCAGCGGTCGTCAGAAGCAACTACGCTCGTCCTGCTACCTCGTTCTACCCTCAACAGTACCATGGACAGACCCCTTTTCAATCTCGTCATGTACCTTCGGTACCGCCGCCACCTCGTCAGCAGACCCGCACTATCACAACCAACGCAGTCCGCGACCTTCTTCCCTACTGCACTACCGAGCCTCCCCTGGATGAAGCACAAGTCATTGCTCTAAGTGACGTCGTGGGTAGTTTGAGAGAACTCGCTGTACTAGCACTCTGCGCTGCGTCCGGGGATGTGAGCAGCATGAAGAAGCTGGAAGGTGCTGTGGATCAGCAAACTGCGGCAAACATTACAGATTTCTTTGCCGAGGAATGGGAGATTGATGGCTGAGGCAGGGGAATCGAAACATGTACAGTGTTCGTCAATATATCGCCGACAGTGGGGTTGGTGGAGGTTTCTATGGTTACAAGTGTAATCACGGTCATTCTGAGAGAAGGTGTACGGTAATGCTCCACATTTATTTTATTTATCACCTCAACATAAGTCGTCCTCGCTACCAAAGAAACGCGCTACTGGATCATATAAAAGACGCGCATCCTCTTTCCCCTTCGACCTCTACAGGCCCAGGATAGCAGTGGTGAATCCCTATATACAGAGAGAAATACGGCTGAGAGTGAAGAGTATCTTCGAGGGGCCTTCTCTTGCGCCAATGACAACCTTGACCGGTAATGACGAAGAAGGATACCCTTGTGGTATCGAGAATGCTCTGAGGTCATGTGTTGTGGGTGAATTTGTTCTGATCGGTGATGACAAGCACTGATGTCTGACGACGTCGTCAATTTGTTCTGAGGTCGGAGAGGCTTGTGCCGTGTTCAGCGGAGAGAAACGAGAGAGAGATGGTCATGGCGATGTTTTCTGGTGACAAGGCAGGGACCGGCGGGCGACGGGCGACAGGGTGAGTTACTCAGTGGAAAGCGTTGGGTTTGTGCAATCGAGTCAGAATTGCAACCTATAAAGAGAAAAGTGGTTTGTTAGCTACAGATTAGCGGGAGAGGTTAGACTAATAAGAATAATTACTAGCTATAGCCGTAGCTGTAGCTTTATAATAACAATAGTAGTAGTCTTTATCCTAAACCCGCCTTTAATGTATTCTAGTATACTTCTACTACGGCAAGCGTTTAGTTTATATAATTAAGTTAGAATTATAACCTATAAAGAGAATAGCGGGTTGTTAGCTAAAGCTTAGTAGGAGAGGTCAGACTGATAAGAATAATCACTAGCCGCAGCCGTAGCTGCAGCTTCATAATGATAGCAGTAGTGGTCTTCATCCCAAACCCGCCTTTGATGTAATCCAGTATATTTCCACCAGCCCAAACAGATCCCGAACGCCGTCGTGCGAACAGAGGATAGAAACGAGAAAGAGTAGACGAGGGTGCGCGGGATGGTTTCGATGGTGCGTGGAGAGAGGAACTGTAGCTTCGTAGCTGTTGTTGGATCGGAGTGTGGAAGGAATGTCGACGAAGGCATGATGCTATACCGAAAGGCAAAGAGAAGTGGATGAGTTGAAATAAGGAGGAATGGAGGAAGACGGTGGATAGGCGGCATTATATACCAGCAACTGTCCTTGAGCACTGACTGTTTACACTCCAGTACGTCTTGCATGAGCTTTCCCCCAATGTCTGGTTGTGGTGGCTGTATATGGAGTTGGAGAAAGAGGATAGGGAGATATCGAGGTAAGAGTGGTTGGAGACGTGATTGTTTTGAGAGGGAACTATCAGGGGAGCGGCAGAATCGATTTGGTTTTGTATGTACGGAGGCAGTGATGGATGGTCGGTTGATAGAGAGATAATTACAGAGAAGTACCGATGATGATGGAAGTAGTGTTTTTATTCTAGAGAGGGCAAACATATGCATAACGTCTTGAAGGCCAAAAAAACCCCCTCCAGTCCCAAGGCACTAGCTGCACTCTATTCCCCAGCCCAACACCACTCCTAACCCATTCCCACTGCTTTCACGACCAATTCAAGACGGAATCGCAACTCATCACAGCATATTACAGATTAAACAGCAACTGGATGAATAAAATACTTACTTTTTCACAAAAGACGGGGTATCGTACAAACGGATTTCCGCCACATCTGAACGTAAAAACAACGCGCTGTTCCAAACGCGCACTATAAAACGCATACAACAATTCGCGTTCACCAGCTCAAGACCCAAAGCTCGTGGTGTTGATACCAATACCAGCCAACGCAGGGCCAACATCCAAGTTCAACTTGACCGTGTTGCTCTTGATAGCGTCCTCGTAGTAAGTCAAATGCTGACCGTTCTTTACACTGGAGTTGCCGACGATTTCGAGGGGAAGGATGGCGTTCTTGTACTTGCTGGTGATGAGGCCGAGGATGGTGAGCTGGTCGACGTGGCTCTGAATGGGGAATTTGTTGTCGCCGGGCTTGAGGAGGAGGTTCTGGATGAGGGTGTAGCCGATGGATTTGCCGTCGACGCCTAGGTTCATGGTGACGTTGCCGAGATCGAGGGTCATGACTGAGGGGTTGGGGATGCTGACGTTACCGACGAGGTTGGAGCCGTCGGGGAGAATCTCGTTGGCGCCAGAGAGGATACGGACGTCGGTGATGTTGAGACCAGCTAGTCTGTTGAGGCCTAGGGATATGTTAGTATTTGGTTTGATGCGCGTAGTTCTGGCAATTTGTACCCTTCATGGTGATGATTTTGTTGTAGTTGACATCCATGGTTGGAAGTCCAGAAAGGTGGATGTTTGTCTTGCCATCGAGGCGGAGGTCGAAGCTTTCACTGCCGAGGACCGTCTTGGTGTAGTTGGAGAAAGCAGCCAGGGACGCCAATTTGACGTCTTGATCAATGGTGATACGTGTCTCTTTCTCAGACTTGGCCTTTGGGACGTTCAGGTACAGGAAAGGTTCCTGTCCTTCAAGTGATAGACCAGCGCGGAAAGCGTCAATCTCGGGGTGATAGCTACTATCGCTCCTGATGACAGTATCGATCTTAAGATGGATACTGTCTGAAGTTGGACTGGTAACCCTCAGAGGTGACTTCCAACGTCGAAGCATTGATTTCGCTCTGTGCCTTTTTTGGTATGGCAACATAGATAATCGGCAATATGATAATCAAGATGATGATTGCGAGCACCAAGCAGTCTATGATTTGTTAGAACCATGGCATGTGAGCGTTTACATGAAAGACACGTACCACACCACCAGAACTTCCTGCAATGGTTCTTCATGCGACCCTTTGCGCCGGGCTGTGGTCCAGGGGGATACAGCTTGTTGACGACACCACCTCTCTTTTGGGGAGTGGTATAGACATCCTCTGCCGTATGGGGTGCAGCTTTGTCGCTCATGATGAAGTTGTGTTGTGCGCAAATCTGTTTCGAGGTACAATGGTATCTTAGCCAACCTTGGGGGTCGCGGTTCGCGAAATGAAATACAAAAGTGGACCTCCAGCAAAGAAGCAAATGCGAATTAACGAGTAATTATACGACAACAAAGACGACCCCAATCGCCAGAAAGGGCGGACAAATGCGGGGAAAGCAGATCTTGCGCGTCGAAATCTGGAGAAAGGGTGGTGGAAAGAATCTTGGACATGCACATGAACAACCAAGACCCCTCCCCAGCCAACTTGTTATTGGCAATGCACCGGCAGCGGGAATCGACCAAGGACGGGGCGGAAGTCGAAAAGGGTACGATCGGAGCACGCTTAACAATTTTCATGAGGATGGACATATGCCCTGAGAGGGTAGCCCAATGTGGCGATGCTCCGTCATGCTTGCAACCTATCTGAAGAGAATATGGAGCCGAGGCATGACAAGCATGACAGGCATGTTGAGCCCTTTGGGTCGATTGGCACAAGCTGCATCGGTTTTGTCTTTGAGTTGCAGCTAGTAGATACAACGTCTATGTGGCGTTAAAAAGCCGCGAGTGGTCGCGTGTGTAGAAGCTAATTGGTGTAGACATTTTCAGGTCGGCTTTCCCGACGTCGTCGAGTGGCGGAAGCCGCACGACACTGGCACGCGACGAAATGAGCGAGCCAGGAGAGGCACCGGATGGCCCGGGGACAAGGAAACGTTGTTTACCCCATGACTTGGATTGGGCACTGGACCTGATGCAGCTTAGTAGTAGAGACGGATCCTTCAGCGGCAGCCAATGCAAGCGGCAGCTAGCCGGTTGCTCATCTGAATCGGGAGTCAGCGGCTCGTGCTGACATGCTAATAACGAGGGAACATGCCAAACTAAGCAGGTTGCTATTATCAACGGAACTTTGTGTCGAGTAAAGAGAGAGGGATCAACCTCCGCGCCGCGCTTTCACATGTGAGATGAAGGACAAGAGCCCACAGAAGGTGGTGTTTCGATGTCAGTGTCGTATACATGACCCGTCCCGCTCGGTATATGCCACTAAAAAGAAGTGCATGTGAAGCGGGTCGGTATTGCTGATTCGTTTAAGCGGAGATCCTTCGTTTCTCAACGGTCCTTGAAGGAGTTGCGACTGCGGAATGCGCGCCGTGTATGCATGGTGGGTAATGAGCCGCGAGCTTCGTTTCCGTCTCATTGTGCCTGGGTTATGGCGGCGTTATGTGGTTCCGCATTGATTCGTTCAGAAGGCGCGATAGATTGGCACATGAGACTCCCCTCTAACAAAGGGCCATGGAAGCACAGTAAGTGAGATATAAATCCAATAGTGAAAGTGGCTTTCATAGGCTAAGAATATGTGGTCGAAAGAAGCCCTAGGGAGTGCGGAGGATCGCCTGCCCTGACATACGCCAAGTCACGCCAGGGCGGATCGTCGCAGATGCGATTTTGTGAATTTGGACATAGCGACGCTACGACATCTCAAACATAGCGCAACTCACACACATACCATGGCGCAATCCGATGAAGAAGACGACTACATGAATATGGTGTTTGAGGATGCACCCAAAGGACCAAAGTTTGAGACATCTCTCCAGCGCGCCGCGCGTAAGCGCAAAGAAGTGCGTGTCTCCAAGCCCGTAAAACTGTATTGAGCTGACACGACGACAGGGTGAAGCTCGCGCACATCAAAAGACCAAAGCCGAACGTGCAGAAGAAGCCGAGGCTGCACGTGAAGCTGCTCTTGCCACTGCCCTGCCCGAGACCAACAAGGGATTCAAGATGATGGCCAAGTTTGGATTCAAGCAGGGTGATGCACTGGGCAAATCTGAAGATGCCCGTAAGGAGCCTATACGAGTCAATCCCAAGGATGACAGAGGTGGAATTGGCCTGGAATCCGAGAAGAAGCGCAAGTTCAGGGAGCAGTTCGAAGAGGCCGACCGATTGGCAAAGCGCGCAAAGGAGGAAGAGGGTGACTACCTCGAGGTGTTGCGCCAAGAACAGAAGGAAAAAAAGGCTGAACGAGACCTGGAAAGCGCACAGAGGACTGCAGAGAGGTTGTCTGACAAGGAGGCTGAGAAGGAAGGCACACGAAACCCGACCGAGAAGCCATTGGAGGACATTAACGTGCTTTGGCGTACCCAAGCACGACGGAGGGCTGACAGGAAGCGCGACACGCAGCAGCGACGAGAGCTGAACGATAGTATTGCCTCACGACTACCCACATTAGCTCCGGAAGACGAAGACGAAGAAGACGATTCCAAGGTGGCTCAAGGCCGTGACCTAGCACCTTTCTACACCACACTCGAAAATGACCTTGTAGACGAGGACCCAGAGTTGGCTGAGTTTGAGGCCTTGCCCGTGACGGAGCGCCTCCAGAAGCTTTTGCTATTCCTTCGTGACAAGTACCGGTACTGTCTTTACTGCGGGTATGAGTATCCAGATGCCGACATGGAAGGCTGCCCAGGAGTAACTGAAGAAGACCACGATTGAGTGAAGTTAGTGCTTCCCGGGCCTCCCTAGATTGCATAACATTACAAGGTATGAATATGATTCCTCCCTCTTTCCAGCCCATGGATCAGGACAGCCACATCGTGCGACAAGCCATCTAATCAGTGAGTGTTCGGCCTAGTGCAACGCCTCTCGAACGACACTTGAAGTGGTTCCGGATCTGAAGTGTAGGCCAAAAGTGACTACTATGTGCGCCGATGCATCTGTAAAAGTAATACATACGATCGGCGCAGATCGCATGCGGATTCCTTTGCTAACAAAAGCTACTTATTCGCTAGTAAAAGTGATCATACTATATACCCAACTGCAGAGCTATTGAACTAGTCATCAAGATGGTTGTCAGTGTCAACCATGGACGACAGTGTGAAAACACCTCTCAGGATAGAGTTCAGATAGATTACAATGATAATTCAACTATCATCACAATTGAAACTACACATGACAGACTGTGTACACATATACTAATTGATGTTCTGACTGATCGCAACCTCAAGACGCTTTGACCTTACACCAAGTCCCGTGCTCACGCGCTTCGGAACTGTCGCGCCTCGCCAACTCAACCCCTAGCCCTGAATCATCAACAACAACACTGCTAAGCATCCCGAAATACATTGCAATCATCCATAATTATAACGATGGAACACGAGAGATGTTACATATACGAACCACCGGCAACGGAAGAGCGAGCGACAAAGCGCCAACGAACGACCAAATTCGATCCGCAGGCGCAACTCCCGGAACGGCTAAACGCGTACCGAGATCTATGGCGACAGCAAGATGAGCGCATCCAAGTAAGCCAGACCCATCTCACTTTATTCCAAACACTGTTTAATGTAACCAGGACACCCTCGAAGGAGCAGATAGCGCTACTCAGGAAAATATTGCCGACTTCATTTCTTCCAGCTCATCTCCAAATGAAACCAAGTTTGCTATACCGGCAGCACTCATTGTTGCGGGTCCTAGTATCGCATCTCACGGGCCATTCTTTGAGCGTCTTGGCCGAAGAGTCAGAGAAGAGAACAGCACGTACATTGTGCTAACGTCTGGCGAATGTCCAAATCTGAAAACACTGCTGAAGAATCTTATCAAAAAGGTTACCTCGCGCGTAGAAGATGACGATGAAGATGATCTAGATAAGCCTTCTGCAACTTCGAAACATGGACCAAAGCTGTTGAACTACGACCTTGGTCATGTGCAAGCATGGCAGAAGAAAAACCAAGCATCCAGCATTGTTGTTGCATTACAAGACAGCGAGGGATTCGATGTCGGCTTATTAGCCGACCTAGTCGATCTTTTACAGTGCGTCTGCAACATTCTTACGTATACCATATACTGACTTTGCAGTTCATGGCTCGACCGTCTTCCTTTTATGCTTCTCTTTGGTATTGCGACATCGGCAGATAACTTTGAGGAGCGGCTCTCAGGAAACTCGTTACGATATCTTGAAGGACAGAAATTTGATGTCACCCAATCCGATGAGATCGTTGAGAGATTGTTTGCCGCAACTATCGCTAGTACAGATGTCTGCCTCCAGATCGGACCCAACCTCTGCCGCCGTATGCTCGATCGACAAAAAGACCACGTGCAAAATACACAGGATTTCTGTGATGGCTTGAAGTACGCATATATGTCACATTTCTACGCTAGCTTACCGAGTATCTTCCTCAAACAGGGCCTCTCGTTCGAGGATGTATCCGCAGATGCTTTTGAAGCTGTGCGCAATGTCCCATCATTTCGAAGGTGGGTAGAAGACATGTTAGAGGATGGTCATGCACAGGATGTACGAAAAGCACTCAAGGACAACAAGTATCTCTTCAGCCAGATCACCCAGCATATACAAGCTGGCCAACAAACCCTCGCTACGTTAAGCCACGCCTCCAAAGCCCTAGCATGTATACGAGAATCACTCCAGATGTCGCCTAGCGTTCGACTTTCCGCAATCTGGATTCGTGCAGCTGCTGGTGAGCTGGCTGGATCACCTCTCGTTCGCGAAATGATGCTGTCCATTAAGAAGGTTCCATCAGACAAACTGGTACACTTGTTCGCCGCATTGAAAGAATTGGAGGGCGACTACTTTTCAATGGGCATCAGCAATTCCCAAAGGAAGCTGGACAGCCTGTTACAAAACGCCGATGCGCCTCTTCGCACGCAGCACGATGTCCGTAACGATAGCATGCGAACCACCGTTGTCGCACAGAAAGTACTTCTGAGCAAACACAAAGCTGCACTATCGGAACAAGACAAGGCGTACTCGGACCTGGTTACAGACTTTCACGACAAGCTCGAAGCATACTTTACTTCCTCATTCATCGAACCCAAGACTCTGTTCCTCTCAGAAATCTTGATGTACGACCTAAAGTCGCCACATACTGAGGTCTTCCAGCCCAAGCCTCGTCTGGCGGTTGAGCGTGCGCTTACCACCCCTCATGACTACCTAGGCTGTGAGTGTTGCAGCGGAGTAGACGGCAACCCGGCTGCTCTCTCTGCTACCCAACCTGCGACGGCGATTGTGTATCAGATGTACTTGGAATCTGGAACACTGATCAATGTGACTGATTTGTGGGCTGCATTTAATGCGATTGCTGGAGATGGCACGGAGGAGAATGAACCCAACACTATGTAAGTCACTGCTCACACTGTGTCATGTTTTGCAACTAACAACTTCAGGGCGCTGTTTCAAAGAGCGTTAGCCGAGCTCAGATACCTGGGTCTCGTCAAGCCAAGTCGAAAGAAGACGGACCACATCTCCAAAATCATGTGGAAAGGACTGTAATCACGGTTTAGGGAATCTTCTTTCAAACCTATGTTCATATTGTATAACCTCCGCTTCGTCCAAACCTATCCTCATATTGTACAACCTCCGCTTCGTTCAAACCTATCCTCATATTGTACAACCTCCACCTTAAATCGTCCATTCTCCTCTTTAAGCTTTTGGCTGAGGCGCCGTATCACATAGCGTACCGCAATTCTTACATGTCCTCTTCTCCTTATCCTCCTTGAACCCATTGACAGCATCCTTAATTTGTGTCCCTAGATCCGTACAATGAAATGACGACTCATGTACCTGCTCCGCACAGTTTTGGCAATACCACCTCAAGCGATCCAAACTACCCTCTGGTCGCTTCTGCTCCAACACAATACCAACAGTATCCTTGAACCTCACCGGATTATGCGGCGTGTTTGGTGGCAGTAGGAACATGTCGCCCTCATGAATATGTATATCTTTGAACTGCTGGCCAGCGGGAAGCGAAGCATCAACTACTTTCAACAGCATGGAGCCTTTGTGTTGGTAGAACCATTCCGCGGTTTCGTTGATGTGGTAGTCTGTTCGTTCATTGGGGCCGCCGACGATCATGACGGTTACGTCTTCGTTGTAGACACAGTAGTTATTGATGGGAGGTTTCAGCATGTGCGAGTTTTCCGCCACCCTACGACGCGCTTGTTAGTTCATGTTCTTGAGGTTTGGTTTGGCTGGTGCTTAGTACGAAACATGAACCTGAGTATAAGTACCATTTTGGAATGTTCAAAGGCTGGCCTAGCGGTCTGGTGGAAGCCATGATTTGATTTCGTATAGAGGAAGACACAATAAAGTCGGGTTTGCAGATGTCAGAGGCTTAAGACAGCTTGTTAATCGCGCGGAGACGTCCAGTCTCGATGTCATAGAGGGTCCAGGCATATTTAGTGGGGAGCGTCTCGCCCCGCATGCGCGGGCTCGTGCGCCGATCACTGGTGCGACGCGCCATAGCTACCTAGGTAGGTAAGCTGACACAAGTCGTGCCCGGTGACAGCTTGCTTGTCTCTTTCCCTCTCTCTTCTCATACTTTCGCCTCATACACAGCATTCTTCTAGTCGCGATTCTTTCAGCAACAACATGGATCACTCACACATGGATCACGGTCATATGGGCCACGACATGCCCGGCATGGGCGGCGACGGGCCAAAGTGCAACATGAACGTAGGTACCATCCTTCTCTCAAACCCCCACCCGGGTATCATGAAATACTTGACAGCCTCTACCTAGTAGGTGTGTCTGGCGACTCCAGTGGTCTTTATACACTAGTATGTTAAGTATTTTATGACACCCAGGTGCTCCCCACAGAGGCGCGCGAGGAGAAACATGCTAACAAACATGAACAGATGCTGTTTACTTGGGACACGACCGACCTCTGCATCGTCTTCCCCTCATGGCATGTCTCGGGCACCGGCTCGCTTATCTTTTGGCTCCTTGCGATTGTCCTGATGACGGCGGGATACGAGGCTGTTAGAGAGATGTCGAGAAGATACGAATCATATGTAAAGGAGACGACGGAGGGACCAAGAGGTGAGTTTACATCTCATATACGTCGGGTAGCACGGGAAGCGGTGCGCACTATGCTTGCATCTCGACTTGTTCAAGATGTAGCCAGTGACTGCCATGTGATTTGTTGCTATCCCGCGACATGTTGAGTGCATGTATGAAGCTACGCCGTCGAATGCGATACAAGTGTGGAAGTCGGAGACTAGGGAGGTCTCTTTTCTTCGCTCCACCACCTTGAGGACTTTCACTGAGTAGTTGCGTGTGAAGATGAAGCAGATGAATCGAGCTCATTACTTGCCCCAGGGAGAAACGCAAAAGCTGGGCGCAATGAGCAGCAGACCAAGATCATCAAGGCTATCTTGTATGCTGTACAGGTCTTTTACTCATTCTTCATCATGTAAGTTTCTCGAGGATGGCATTCATTGAGCTCGGAAACTTATGTGTGTAGGCTTCTCTTCATGACGTACAACGGCTGGGTCATGCTCGCTGTTACGGTCGGGGCTTTTGTCGGCTACTTGATGTTCAGCCAATCTTCCCCGACCAAGTCGGTCGCTTGTCATTGATGGTGACTTGGATAATACATGAACCGCCTAGGTGTCATAAAATACTTAACATACTAGTGTATCAAGGCCACTATAGTCGCCAGACCACGCCTATCAGGTGTCTATCCACACTGTCAAGTATTTCATGATACCCCGGTGGGTTGTCGGAAACTTGCAGTTTCGGGGTAAAGGAAGCCGAAATGCAGGGGCAAGAGCTGGACGTGCGTACAGATCACTGTACACCTGGTGGAACCATTTTAACCTTTTCCTGTAATATCCGGGGACTCGTATCTGATGGATGTGGTGGACCCAATGCGCGTCCGAGGAGGGCGTTGGTGCATTCACGGAACGGGAATAAACTAGAAATATATCATCATGTTAGGATGAAAATGTTTGCATTGCTGCCTCGACTCGTGTCTCCATCAAACCCCAAATCCGAAGACGGCAATGTTGGCCGCTGGCTGTGAGCACGTGATAGCAAACACCGATCGGGCTTTGATACCATTGCGGGACATGTTGCCATGAACAAAGTCGAAGCCAAAGCAACAGAAGCACATTCAGAAATGTATTGCGTAGACGATGCATGTAGTGGAGGCTCACCCCATGTTCTGCCATCACATGTTCCCCAGCCTTCACATGTCACCGGCGTTTCCCACGCGTGACTTGCCCCAGCTTCCCGGCCCCAGATGCTCGGCGTTCCGTCCGAAGAGGTCAGCCACCGGGCTCAAAAGCAAAAGTAGCCAACCAGGCTTTGGGCATTTGCATCAGCTGGGCCATGGCTGAGACGAGCCATCTTCACATGCGACGGCTCTCTTGGTGGATGGTAAATCAACGGAGCGTCGCATTATACATGTCGCCGCCGCTTACTACTTTGGCCTGCAAACACCCGCCACATCATTGGGTCCGCCGACAGGTTGCATGGCGGGTTAGCGCAAGTCCCCACCTGGCTCCAAAGTCCCGAGGCATAACTTGCGATCGCTACCTACCTAGGCATAGTTGGAGGTTGTCTTCCGCTGCCCTTCATACAAAGCAGCCGAACCCCAGACTTTTCGCCCGCATTTACTCTCTCTTAGATAGACTCTGTCCATCTTTCCATTCACTCTCCATATAACATCCATCACCATGCCCGAGAGAGTCATTGTTGTTGGTGCTGGCTGTAAGCGTCACCGTCTAATCATGCTTCATCACGCGGAGAACTAACAACGGCGACAGTGTCCGGCCTGAGTGCTGCTCACACCATCTATCTTGCTGGTGGAAATGTAGTCCTCCTTGACAAGAACAGTAAGTGGCGCACCGTCTGCGCCGAGCGAGCGCAAACTGACTCTCGGTAGACTTCATGGGAGGCAATTCCACCAAGGCCACATCTGGAATCAACGGTGCTCTTACACGGACACAAGTTGACGAGAAGATTGGCGACAGCGTCAAGCAGTTTTACGATGACACGCTCAAGTCGGCGAGAGACAAGGCGCGGCCAGACTTGATCAAGGTGCTCACCTACAAGTCTGCCGCGGCCGTCGAGTGGCTGATGGACGTCTTCAACCTCGACTTGACTCTCGTTTCGCGGTTAGGGTATGTTTTGCACTAGAAGCGTAGTCGCTACATATACTGACTTGTACAGTGGTCACTCACAGCCCCGAACCCACCGTGGCCACGACGCCAAGTTCCCCGGTATGGCCATCACCTACGCTCTGATGCAACGATTCGAAGAGTTGGCCGAACAAGAACCGGAGCGCGTCCAGCTCGTCAAGAAGGCCAAGGTCTCCAAGGTCAACACCGAAGGCAACCGGGCCACTGGTGTTACATACACATTCAATGGCGAGGAGACGACTCTCAACGGACCCGTCATTCTGGCTACTGGTGGTTACGCCGCCGACTTCACAGAGGATTCTCTTCTGAAGAAGTGGAGGCCAGACACCTTCGACCTCTCCACCACCAACGGTGCTCACGCTACCGGCGACGGACACAAGATGCTGATGAAGATTGGCGCCAACGGCATTGATATGGACAAGGTCCAGGTTCACCCGACCGGTCTGGTAGATCCCAAGGACCCTACCGCAAAGACAAAGTTCCTGGCTGCTGAAGCTCTCCGTGGTGAGGGCGGTATTCTCCTCAACAACAAGGGCAAGCGTTTCTGCGACGATCTCGGTCACCGCGATTACGTCTCCGGCATGATGTGGGCTGAGAAGGAGAAGGGCAACTGGCCCATCCGCCTCGTCCTCAACTCGAAAGCATCAAACGTTCTCGACTTCCACACCAGGCATTACTCTGGCCGTGGCCTGATGAAGAAGATGACTGGCAAGGAGCTTGCCAAGGAGATTGGTGTCAGCGACAAGGAGCTCCAGCACGAGTTCCAGAGCTACAACTCCATCGCAAAGGGCGAGAAGAAGGACGAGTGGAACAAGAAGTACTTCCACAACCTGCCCTTTGACATCAACGACACTTTCCACGTTGCACACATGGAGCCCGTGCTCCACTTCACAATGGGTGGTATTGAGATCAACGACCAAGCCCAATGCTTGAACTCGGAGGGCAAGCCATTTGATGGTCTATACGTCTGTGGTGAGCTTGCGGGTGGTGTCCACGGTGCCAACCGCCTTGGTGGTTCATCACTTCTTGGCTGTGTTGTGTACGGCCGTGTCGCAGGAGAGTCTGCATCCAAGTATCTCTTCCAGCAAGCGCTCAACAACGCTGGTGGCGCTGCCGTATCTCGTCTCGGCCAAATTTCACTCCACATCGACCCATCGCAACCGGGCAAAGTCTCGGTAGAATGGGGCAACAGTGCCAGTGGAAACGCTCAGGCCGGAAGCTCGTCAGACCCCGTCGAGCAACAAAAGCAGATATCTTCGGCCCCTGTCATGTCCTCCAATGCCGACTCAAACGACCCCGGCAAGGTCACCAAGCCAAACGCACCCAAGAAGTTCAGCATTCCAGACAAGGAGTTCTCGCTCGAGGAGGTTGCGAAGCACAACAAGAAGGATGACTTGTGGATTGCAGTAAAGGGCATCGTCATGGACGTGACCAACTGGACAGACGAGCACCCAGGCGGTCCTCAGGCGCTGTTCAGCCACATGGGCAAGGACGCGTCAGAGGAATTTGAAATGTTGCACGACGATGAGGTCATTCCCAAGTATGCGCCCGAGATTGTTATTGGCAGAGTCAAGGGCCAGGAGGTGACGCTCGAATACTAGACGGGCAGTGACAGTTGTTTGTACTTTTAGCATGTTTAAAATGATATCACTTGCATGTATAGAATGCTACTTGCCTGCGTTTCGTGCTTTACAGTGATCAACATCATGTTTCATGTGAATCGCCCGCGTCGTGCCCCTCGCCGCCGCAGATCAGCCGCCTCGGACCCTGGCCGCATTTTCCCCAGACGTCGACCATGCTTCTGATCCCCCTAGCTTTGGTAACCACTATGCACAAGCACGCGTAACCCTCCCTTTGCCAAATTCCCACCCCAAACATGCTGCGCCAGCAAATCCTCCACTCCTTCAGCATACAATGACCACGTACGACGAGTACGGCATTCCCGTTGGCGCATACTCTGAGCCAGAGAGCTTGACACACCAAGCATGGAGACTGGCGAGAGCTTTCTTTCTCTACCGCATACGGCCTGCAGTGCAGGCTAGGACCAATGCGCTGCGGAGCGGCAATTGGGGCATCAAACGGCTATTCACGCTTGTAAACGCGCTGGTGATGCTTTGGTGGGTGGTTCTGTACTGGGGCGAAAGAGGCGTCTTCAACAGCGCTATTGGGAGTTGCAACTGGGACAAGTGGGAGAATTGGGTAAGAACATGGCGATATAGGAAATATCGGTATTCAAGACTGACAAACGTCTAGGAAGCGGGCGCAAACCCTCACAGGCTCATCTTCGTCGCCGATCCGCAACTCATAGACCCGCATACGTATCCCGGCCGCCCATGGCCTCTTAATCCTCTGACGTACAAATACACCGATCTCTACCTGCGTCGCACCTACTCGCGCTTCCAGACTATCCTATATCCGGATACCATATTCTTCCTCGGCGACCTGTTTGATGGCGGTCGTGAGTGGTCGACGCGCACAACTACGTCGCCAGAGAAGCAGTACCGCAAGTATGGCGACGACTTTTGGATGAACGAGTATAGGCGATTTGGCGATATCTTCTTCAAGCACTGGGGTGATGCGGGAATGAATCCCAGATCTGGACAGCGAGGGAGGAAGATTATAAGCAGTTTGCCTGGAAATCACGACTTGGGCTTTGCGAGAGGTGTTCAGGTCGGTGTCAGGAACAGGTTCAATGCCTATTTCGGCGACGGAAACAGGATCGATGTCATTGCGAATCATACATTCGTCTCTATAGACAGTGTCTCGTTGAGCGCATTCGGCCAGGAAAATCCACATGAAGTCGAGAATATCTGGAAGCCTACCAAGGATTTTCTCGAAAACGCAAAACGACAAAAGAAGCGTCTCATTCAGCGCGAGCTACGCGCACAGCAAGGTCTCAAACCCTACCCCGGCATGCTTCACCAAGAGATCAAGCGCGAAGACCTAGCCAAAGCCGAACTCCCACACGCAAACGACGACGTAACCGAGTTTCCAACCATCCTCCTCTCCCACGTCCCCCTATACCGCGCCCCCGGTACACCCTGCGGGCCCCTCCGCGAACACTGGCCCCCGACGCCTCCGCCCGCCGGCCAACCCCCCCTCGAACACGACGACCGCAACGCCATCTCCGTACGCGGCGGCTACCAATACCAAAACGTGCTGAACCGCGAAATCACCGCCGACATAGCGGAGAAGGTCGGCGATATACGATATGCCTTTTCGGGCGACGACCACGACTACTGCGAAGTCGTGCACAAAGCCTACCCCAGCGGCGGCGGCGGCATCCGCGAGGTCACCGTCAAAAGCATAAGCTGGGCCATGGGCGTCCGTCTACCAGGCATCGTCATGCTCAGTCTGTGGAACCCCGTTGATATCCACGGCAACCCTAAGAACGGCGATGCTAGTAAAACAGTGCAGATGAAACAATGTCTCCTCCCCGATCAAATCGGTACTTTTGTAAAGTATGGGTTACTCTTCGGTATTACGCTTCTTTTACTACTCGGACGCGCTGTTTTAGTAACTTTTGGTCTCTGGGGTCGAGATCCTGATGCTCCGAATTCTACAAGCCCCCTCCTACCCACGACAAACACCTTTTCTTCCGCCTCTTATTCGACGGATTCAGATAAACACAACTACACCCACGAACCCCAATCTTCAAACTCGTCTACCTCGTCCGAACGCACCGGTATCTTACTCTCCACTCGTACACCACAGGCTAGAACACGCGCTCCCACTTATTCCTCTACCACTCCACAGCAGCAACATCAACAAACATACTCGTTCCCCCTCGTCCAACACGCAGGCTACAACCCCGCAAACGACGATAGCTACACCGGAGATGACAAGGAGAAATCGAGGGCAAGGGTCAAGTTTTATGGACAACCTGGAGCAGGAGGCAAGAAGAGGAAAATGAGAAAGGGGTTGAGGTTGTGGTGGTATGAGTTTCGGATGGGCTTGGGGAAGGTGGTGGGGTGTGGGTTGGTGTGGTATGTTTGGTTGGTTTGGAGGGGGTGATGTTGGAGTGGAGTGGAGGGCAGATTTGTGGAGTTTGGTATAGAGCCTGCTTGTTCTTTTGTGTGTTTCTGTGGGACCAGGTGGTTAGACTGGGGTTTGGGGTGATATCCTGCATGTTTTTTTCTTGCGTCGTTTCAGTTACCATTGTATTGGTTTGGTTTAATAGGCATACATTTTTGAAGGGGGAAACACAAAATTGTGCCTCTTGGGTTTAGACAACAGAATAATAGAGTCGTTGATGACTCTATCACATCCATATCATCATAATAAACGAATACCTCGTTAGCAACGACGTTGAACATTCATGAATCGTATTTCGTTCATCTAATCTACCACATCACACACACTCCCTCCCAGCGGCAAACCCCATCATCTAAATCTTCAGCCCCTCAATCCACTTCCTCGCCTCCTCAACACCCTCATCCACCTTGTCTGCATTGGTACCCTGACCAATGGCAGTCGGCGCACCGGGCTTGCCTCCGGCCTTACCACCGATAATAGGCGTAACAGCAGAAGCCCACTTGGGTCCATCAGCGCCCGCATTCTTGAACGGCTGTGAAATGTATTAGCATTTGAATCCTCAATCCATGCACTTGATCTGCAAACTTACCTCACTAACATAGCACCCATGCACCACCTTGCCCTCCTCTGGACTAGCAGAGAAAAGATACAACGAGCGATCCTTGAGCGCACTCTTGGGGCCCGAGATAGTCTTTATAGCCTCACTGATAGCCTTGTTGACGTTACTGGACCAGTCCAATTTCTTGACCATGAATTTCTTGGTCTCGTCTTCAAAGAACTTGTTCACTTCGTCCATGACACGCTTGTTGTCTGCCTTGGCAGCAGCCTTTTGCTCATCGAGCATGCTCTTCTGGATCTTAGCGAATTGGTCGCGGAGTTTAGCTTTTGCGAGGGCAGAGATTGTGAGGTTGTTGAGGTCGACGCCAATTTTCTTTGCTTCCGCTTCTTTTTGGGGACCGAAAGGCATTTTGCCCATGGCTTCTACGCGTTCCTGGAACTGCGTGGCAAGGCGTTGGACTCTGTAGGCTTCTTGACCTGTTACGGCGACGATTCGACGGATGCCCTTTGCAATGCCGGATTCTTCGAGGATGACGAGTTCTTTAATCTCACCGGTTTTGAGGACGTGGGTGCCGCCGCAGAACTCGATTGATAGTTTCTCCCACTTTTCGTTCTTGACGTCGGCGAGGAGCTCTTCAACGGGTACACCGACAGAGACGACGCGTACTGGGTCGGGGTATGTCTCACCAAAGACGGCACGTACACCTCGGATCTCTTTCGCAGAGGCAAGTGGCACATCCTTTGCGTACACTTTTGCGTCTTCCTTGATGTACTTTGACGAAATGCTCTCCACCTTGTCCAGTTCCGCTTCTGATAGACCAGCCTTGTGGGAAAAATCGAAGCGCAGCTTCTCTGGTGCGACAAGCGAGCCCTTCTGGTCGACCTCGTTTCCAAGGACTTCTCGAAGTGCGTAGTTGAGAACGTGTGTACCAGTATGGTTATTGCGGATGGGATGTCTCCGCGACTCGTCAAACTCGGCAATGACCTCGCTGCCTACGCTCAACTCTCCGTCCTGGAGGTAGCCAGTGTGAAGTACGTAACCAGCATAAACTTGAACGTTGGTGATGTCGATACAGGCCTCGCCATCCACTACCAACTTTCCCATATCGTACTCTTGACCGCCCTGCTCAGCATAGAAGTTTGTCCGGTCAAGCAAGACACCAAACTGCTCGCCCTCTGGAACTTCTTTTGTGCTCTTGAGGAACTTCTTGTTGTGGTATATCGCTTTGATGACACTGGTTATGTTCTCGCGGCCGTACTTGGCAGAGTCGTCGGTCTTGGGGACATCGGGCATGTTCTCGAGCGCACCTAAGTCGTGTACATCGAACTTGACGAGTGCACCAGCAGCCTTTTTGTCACCCTTACTTGCCTCACGAGCCTTCTCTTGCGCCTCCTCAACCTCCTTGTCGTCAATCTTGAGTCCTCGCTCCTCGGCCATGAGTTTGGTCAGATCGACAGGGAAACCGTAGGTGTCGTACAACCGCCAGACATCGTCTCCGGGTAGAGCATCTGAGCCCTTGACCTTTGCTTTCTGCGCATACTTTTCGAAGATGACTTCACCGCGGTCTAGCGACTTTGCAAAGGCCTTTTCCTCCTCATCCAGAATCTCGACAATGTCTTGTTGCTTCTTCTTGATTTCTGGGAACATGTCGCCCATCTGCTCGACCAGTGTGGGAACAATCTTGGAGAAGAAGTCGCCAATGTCCGTCTCAAAGTATTTGCGTGCGTATCGAGCACCTCTCCGTAGGACTCGGCGTACGACGTATCCGCGACCGACGTTGTTCGGCACACCACCGTCGGCAATGGCGAAGCTCATCATGCGGACGTGGTCGGCGACGACTCGGTATGCGGTATCAATGCCATCTGGGTCTTCAGCACCAAACTTGCCCCTGTATTCCCGAGCACCTGTAATCTCCTGTATCTTCTTGAATAGTGGTGTGAAAACGTCGGTGTCGTAATTTGACTTTTTGTGTTGGAGGACTGAGACCAAGCGCTCGTATCCCATACCAGTGTCGATGTGTTTGTTCGGCAGCGGTCGTAGTGATCGGTCGGGTTCGCGGTTGTACTGCATGAAGACGTTGTTCCAGATCTCAATGACCTCGGGGTCGTCCATGTTGACGAGCGAAGCAGCATTTCTGTACTTGCCACCCTCTGGCTCCCTCAAGTCGTAGTGAACCTCTGAGCAAGGACCGCATGGGCCCTGGTCACCCATCTCCCAGAAGTTGTCCTTCATATCTCCTGGTAGAATGTGGTCCTCGGGGACACCGACACTCTTCCACAGCTCCTTTGCCTCCAGATCAGGCTCTAGACCGTCTGCACCCTCAAAGTACGTAACATATAGTCTCTGGGGATCGATGCCATAGACGCCTGTGAGCAATTCCCAGGTGAAGCCTATGGCCTCCTTCTTGAAGTAGTCGCCAAAACTCCAATTGCCCAACATCTCGAAGAAGGTGTGGTGGTAGCTGTCCTTGCCGACATCGTCGAGGTCATTGTGCTTTCCGCCCGCGCGAATGCACTTTTGCGAGTTGGCGGCGCGCTTGAGCTGTGCGAAGTCGGATGAGGGGTCGACGGTGCCTTGGAAGATGGACTTGTACTGGTTCATGCCCGCATTGGTGAAGAGGAGAGTCGGGTCGGAAAGGGGGACAACAGACGACGAGGGCACTATACTTGTCAATTGATATGCTCACCATCTACACGATAGAGACATACCAAAAGTGTGGCCGCGCTCCTTGAAGTAATCGAGAAACGTCTGGCGCACGCGAGCGGCGCTCCATTCGTGCTTCTCTTCAACGAGCGACATGTTCGCGGCCTGCGCGTTGCCGTGGTGGGGTATGGAAAGAAAAGATGTGCGGGTGAAGAGTCTCGTATGCGGTGCAGCAACAGAGAGACGGGGTGGTGGAAGATGTGAACAAGACGATTGTTTGGTCAGAGTCAATCCACCCCTAAACCTTCTACTACGGCGGTGACTCAGAGGGGCAGTCCGAGCTATGGTCCGGCGAAGCATTCACAAAACTGTTTGGGGCATGGCCAAGCTGCAGCAGGGCTGAGGGTAAACTGCGGGGCAACTGCGCATGCGGCCATGGCTTCGGGGCCCGCCATGACGAGTAGCGCTATCCTTCTGGAAGCTTCACGTAAGTGCGCCCAGACGGGCCAGGTCTGCTATAACACAAAGCACCATGCTACCACACACCCACATCAGGAGACTCGCAACTAAGAAATCACAAAGCGCTTATTCACGGCTCTAAAACATTACTGCCTTACGTTAGCAAGTAGTCCCGTCTGCAATGGCATGGCGCAAGTCGTAGCTCACAGTAGCCACGCCAGCCCGCGATATGGCCAGCAGAACGCGCCTCATGGCAAGAAGAGGCCTGCAGACAGCTCGCTGGAGCACGAGCAGAGGTTGAGCAAGCGATTCGACCTGCTAAACTTGGGTATGTCTTTCACCCTCTACCCGCATACCAACGGCATGCTAACCCGACTGCAGTAGACAACAACGGCACACGCCTCTACATACCCGTTCCAGGCTCTACAGATGCGACACTACCCCGACCACCCGCCAGTCCAACCTCGGGACCCGACCCCCTCGCCTTCGTCGCATCACGACACAGCAAGCGCGACCGACGACCCCACCACTCGCGCCCCCAGGATGACGGCATGGAAGTCGAAGACACACCTCACCGTGTCTACATCTCCGACCTAAGCGCCGAGCTCTCCGACATTGAATCCGACGAGGAGAATCCCATATTCCTCTCCGATATTGAGAAACATCTATCCAAGATACCCCGACATGTCCTCCTCGGCCCCGACCCCAAGCCCAACGAGCACAACCAGGTGGTGCTGTACAATGTACCCACCAGCCTGACGGTGCCAGAGGCCCAGGATAACGTGCGCAAGGCCATCGTGGAAGCAAGACAGCGCATCAGGGATAAGCAAGCGAACCCCATCTCGGAGCCTATCAAGCTCGACTTTGGCGAATCCAACAGCAGGAATACTGGAGGCGCAAGTAGTGGTGCTGAACCTATGATGAGTGATATACCCCCGACGACGCCCATGGAAGAAGACGGCGACGCCATGGACATCGATTGAAATGAACCTGAAATGAAATGACCCGAAACATGTTTCTCTAGATTAATCCAATTACAATATTTCTCATGCACCAAACAGAATCAGAAATGATGATGAATGACAAATAAGAATCGTTTCTTCTCGTTAAAATTACTATATATATGTGGCCGGTGTTTTCTGTTGTTGTTGCTGCTAGATGAGAAAATATACTTATTGTACAAATGATATGTATGACTGAACAGATGTTGAAGGAAACGCCTGATCCAGTCACGATGCCGTTTCCTCCCCTTTTCTCATACATAACATCCTCCCTCCGCCGGTAACAGAACCCCAAAGAAAAAAAAATATAACGTCAACCCACCGTTTACTTCCTAAACCTCTCCAACACACCCATCAACTTCGCCTTCGCCGGTCTCGGTGGCAACTCCTGCGTCGGAACTCGGCCTTGTTCGACATCGCTGCCGCCCACGACACCCGCCTGCTGCGGTCCAGGCTGCGACGCTCCATACATCGGCATCTCCATCGCAGGAGCGGCGGATCCAGAGGCGGTCGCTTGACTAGGATTTGTCTTCGAGGCACCAGCTGGCGCAAAGTATTGAGGCGGGGCATCTGTGTTTTGGTATAGAGGCGGGGGTTCAGCCCATGCGCCGTCGGTGCGTTGGGCGTAAGGGGCGTTTGGCGGCGGCGCGGTACCGTAGGGTTGTTGGGTTTGGTAGAAGGTGAAGTGGTTTTGGGGGGCGAGGGGGCCGCGGCGTTGGTTGTAAGGGATTAGGAACTATGAGGGTGGGAATGTTAGATGACATGTTTCGTGGAAGGGTTGGTTGGAGGGGAAAGGGGGGCTTACGCGGTGGTAGGAAAGAAGAGGGAGACCCTTCTTTAATCGTTGCTTTGCGTGGATGTGACCGATAACGAACCAACCGAAGAAGATGAAGAAGAAGGAGGCGAGGATGATCCATTTGACTATGATGCCCGTCTGTGTAGAGAGTGTTGTTAGTTTTACTCGTCATCGTCATGCTGGTATGTATATACGTACGTCGGAGTACCAAAAGCTGTCATCGTTGAAGCATTCCCTCTCGCCGTTGTCGTACGTGATGCAGTAGTATCGCTTCGACAGAACCATGATTGCTGAATGTGTATGTGTATGTGACGTGTGGTGTGTGGTGTGTGTGTACAAGATGAGTGTGTGCGTGTATGAGAGAGTGATTCCAAACCAAAAAACAACCACTATATGCAAAGCAAACTAACAGGACCGAACGAATGCGAACAAGGAAAGTATTATAAATCTCAAAAGGGACAGACGGGAATGTAGTGTCGATCGAGTCGAGGGAGAGCGACAAAAAAGATTCCGGGTATGTCGCACCTCACGTATAGATAATATGTGTTAGTTTGCTGCTGTGTCCTTGCAGCCGGTTTGTGGTTTGAGGGGAGAAACAGAGGCAGCAACACCAACTTTGCTGCGCCACCCTACGTATCGAAAAGCTGAGGATTTCGGTCGTCCGATTTGCCGGATGCAAGCTGTGTCGCGTGTGGGTGAAGGCGCTGCGAGTTGGCAACGGCGTCTGTTTCAGGCGTGTAGGGTGCCCGCGCAATCTTGGTTTCAAGTGTGCGGCAAAAAGGGGCCCGGCGCAAAACGTCCTGAGGTAAACTGGCCGGATTCTTCAATTGCGACAGATTGTGGACAGGTTACAGCTACAAGACTTGGTGGTTTCGATGCTGCTGCTGCTGACGCTGACGGTGATGAAGTGATGAAGGGGATTTTGCAAGTATTGTACAACGGCGGAAAAACCAACTCTTACAAATAAAGGAGCGACTTTGACTCGAAAAAGAATAATTACAACCAAAAGGAGAGAGAGTGATGATGCCTTCTGTGGCTGGTGCCAAACTTGAGGTTGGGGAGGTCGGGATGGAGCATGCAAGAGGGACGCAGACGCGTGGATAGGAGTGGAGCGCGCCATCCGTGCGAGTCCTGCAAGGCTGCGTGTGGGCCAGGCCCGGGGAAAAGCTTGATCGCCTTGCCCAGATGCCCGGATGTGGCGGATGTCCGTTCGCGACGCTTCCATGGTTCCATCAACAGCCACCTGACGTTCCTACAGTTGTGGCTGTAGCGGTATTTGATTGACAACTACTCAGGTCTTCACCGATGCAACAATAAACCACATCGAACATGTACATTGAAACCCATGTTTCCTTCGGTACGCGTGTCGACCATTGTCGCCCATACACGCTATCCCTGCCATCTAGCTACATGCCATTGTAAGCGCTATTCCCACTAACACGCGGCTTCCTGGCGAACTGCAAAAGGAACACAAAGCGAGAAACACACAGTAAACGTTGTGGTATAATGCCACCGAACGCCTGATTCCATACCCCATCATGACTAGCCAAGCGGCTCCCTAAGCTTCCGCCTGGTCACCCTCGCTTTCAACCTTTTCCCCTCGCAATACTGCGTCACCGTCGAGCATTGCGATCGACTCGGCCCTATGCGCATCGTAAAATGTGAAACGAATGTTAACGGATAGATAGGCGACAGCAAGGAAATGTCTAATGCAGCAAATTGCGAAGTGATGGGCTCGCACTTGCCCCCGTGTTGGCCCGCTCAATCGGCGCCGATGTTACTGCCGCCGGAGCGTCCCGCATCACTGCGTCCATTGGAGTCGCCGGCCTGCCAGGCGCAGCACTGCCATGATGTAGCGCCGCGTACTGTGGCACTGCCTGTGGAGGTGCCGAGAATGGACTTTCGCGCGACACAGGGTGTGCGTGTGGATGAGTGGGCGAATAAGGCATTGTCCGCGGCGACTGAAGAGTGCCGTTGACTAGCATCGAACTATTGTTGTGGTGCAACTGCGGAGGCCCACTGATAGGCGGCCCAGAGTATGGCGGACGCAGCCCTGCCGCTAGAATCGCCGAGTGCATCGGCGGACCAGAGAACGCTGAATATCCATTCGTCTGCGGCGGATATGGCGCATGGAATGGAGGGACGTGGCCAACTGGCGGGCCCGGAAGCGGTGGCGCGTACCCATTGCCGTTTGGCAGATGGTGTGGATGACCAGGTCCAGGAGGAACACCACTATGCCAGGTTGGCAATGGAGGAGGGTGACTGAGCGGCGGAGCTCCTGGTAATGCCCAGCCTCCAGCCAGCGCAGGCGGAGGAGGAGGTGCATACGTTGGTATTTGAGTTGCAGGCAGGGCGTAAAGCTGTGGCGGTTCCTTGAAGATGGATATCGATCTCGTTCGCTCCTCCTCCTCTTCATCCGTGCCATTCTGTTTCTTCCAGTAACATTTCTGGCACAAGTAGGAAGCGGAACGAACCGCTTCAACTTCAGTATCTAGTCGCAAACCATTGCGCCTAGGCGACCCAACAGGTGGTGCGTCCGACATTGGTTGATCCTCGCTGCCATTACTTTTGACCGCTTGGCCCTCTTCTAGGCCGTGCTTCTTCTCACCATGTCCGTTCATATCAGTCGCGCCGTCCAGTGGTCCGTCTACAATCCGAGACACTTGGAGTGCTGTCGTTGCTTCGTCAATTTCCCACCACCGCGGGCTGACTTCAGTCTTGCAGCGCGAGCACTTGTGCTCGACCTTGGGCGCGATTGGCTCTGCTGATTCTTCCTTGACTACTATGCCAGCATTGGAGTGCCGTCCTCGTGCAGATGTGGGCGTGGATGCTGTGACTGCGGACGCCCTACGGTTAACCTGTGTTGGCACAACTTGTGGTACGACGCGCGTTGTCTGGTCGACTAAGTTGGCCTTGCGCGCCGTGCCTGTCAAAGTCAAATCGGCCTGTTTGAACTCGCGGGCGAACAGTTGAAGGGCGATCAGTTCAGTCCCCTCCACTTCCTCGTTCATGGGGTGAACAACGGTCTTGGGAGCATGTTCCTTGCACCAAATTGCCGCAATCAATGTCCCCGTTTCTCCATTTAGAGTCACAGTGGGCACTGCGTCCCGACGCGAGACCTTGACTGGCGTCATGTCGAAACCGAAGGTGTATCCGCTGCTGTGAGCGCAACCGACATGGAAAGTTCCATGGCATTGCAGGCACGACGTACATGCGCCTTTGTTCGTTTTGCAAAGCTTACAAACCGCATCGTATCGAAGTGTCGGCGCTCCTATGCCCTCCACCATGTCCAAACGGATTGCGCTGCTAAACTTGATCTCAGGATGCCAAATTGCACAGTACACATGCACCCAGTTGTTGTCAGCAGTACGCTTGAGCGGCTCACGAGGAACGAGTGGTCGGCCTTTCTCCTGTTGTTGGATGCGATATTCTTCCTTTGCCTTGTCAACAAGTTCTTTCTCCAAGCGCTCCTTTTCTCGGTCGCGGTCTGTCTTCTTCTTGTGTGTGACTTTGGGTTGCTCGTAGAATTCTTGTTCGGTCTCTTTTTGCGGACAGAGAACACATTCGTAGGACTGGTAATCGTCAATAATAGGTCAGTGATGGTAGCAATAAAACTTACATATGACACGCTCTCTTTCTTGTCGTTCTTGCAGGTGTCACAGTACCACTTGTTGGCTTGTCGTGTCTCTTCAACACCATAACAAGCCTTGTGAACAGTCAATCGACAAGCGGAACATTCTAGGCGTGAGCCTTCTGTTGATCGACACACAGCGCAGGGAAGAGCCCTGAGCTTTGGGGGTGCAGGAACTGGTGGAGGCGTAGGCGCTTTGGGGACCGGAATTGGCTTTTCCTTTTCCTTCTTCTTGGAAGTGGGCTCGTTGACGGGAGTTGATGTTCCGCTGTCTCCGTTTGTAATTGCCATGGCAGTTTTCTGCTTCTTTTTAGGGGGCTCGATAGTCGGCTGAGCGGTAGCAGGCGGAAGTTCGACGTATTCGGGGGTAGCGTTCTTGGAGCTGGGGTCTGACTGTGCAGCGGAGACTTCGCGGAGGAGCTCTTCATCTATCCGCCTCTTCCAGGCCTTTCCTCCACCTTGGGCAACCTTCTTCGCAATTTCGTCGACATTCTCCCAAGTCACTGCGTATTTGCGCCACAAGTTTGCACACCGCAAGCAAAGCGCAATGAGGAATCCTGTCTTGTCTTTGGAACGGCCGTCAGGAGGTATCATCTGACCAGGTGTCACGCCAGGAGCACGCCTCCATTGTCGAGAGTGTCGAACAGTACAGAACTTGCACTGGAAGAGGCGCTTGCGCTGAATCGCCTTTGCGCTGTCGAATGCCGAGTCGTCCTGGTTATCCGCCACGTCGTCCACCAGTCGAGCCTGCGCGTCGGGCTCAACTTTCTTAGTCCGCCCCTTTCGACTGCTGTAAGAGCCCCAGATCTCCCTGCCTTTCATTGTCTTCTTCCACATATAGTAGTACCGCACAGCATCTCCGTAGAACATCGTTTTGCTTGTGTGAAGGCGGACGAGCCTAATCTCTGAGCCATACTTTGCGACACCTTCGTTCCACTTCTTTTCTTCCTCTTTGGTCAACTCTGGCTCCTTGAGATCTTTTCGCTTGTCAATCTTCTTGACATGCTTCAAAGCTACGTCGGCGTCGTATTGATACTTGGTAAAGAGAGCCAAGCACCTATCCAGAAAGTTGGTGTTCCAAGGGTCCACTCCGACATGCGATTGAGCCAGGGCCTTTGCTCGGTCCATGTAAGCCTTCACCTGCTCTTCCGTCACAGTCGGCGAATTGTCTTCTCCGCGTGTGGAGTGCACACCCAAAGGAGGCATCTTGAACAAAAGCTCCGCGGTACATTTGGAGTCCTTGTTCGGTATATCTTCACCGCGACGAACATAGCCAGGTGGTTCGTCCATGACCCACTTCGGGCGCTTAGCCTTCTCTGCCTTGTCGGCCTCAATGGCGGCAACAGTCTCTTTTGACAGCTTGCCCTCCTTCTTATTGCCTGCAGCCTTGACATAGCGTTTCTTAATCTCTGCCGGTTTGACAAACTCGACGGGATGTCCGTGCCAAACATTGACGTTGGCTTGGTGTCGTGGTCCGAGCCGGGAACTTGCACGTGGGTAGATGGCCCGATCATCGTATTGCAGCGCATCCTCTACCCTACAGTGGATACCCAGGTATCGCATGGGCCACATCTTAGCCAAGGCTATCTCGGCCTGTGTTGCAGGATGCGTGTCGATGTGTGTTTCAGGGTCGGGAGTGGTCGAATTTGTTTCGCCATTTCCTTCCTCTTCTTCCTCGTCTACAACCTCCTCCTCTTCTGCATCCTCGTTGGTGGCGCCTAAGCGAGCCTCCAGCCTTTTCTCTTGGGCTCGACTACATGGGCCGCAAGCCCAGGCAAACCCGCGAGATGGCTTCTTCAGAAGTGGTGGCCGCACACAATTCATGTGATATGTATTGTGGCACACGGCACATTCGACGGAGTCATTCCTATTCGGGTTAGCTTCGTCACGTGGGTGGCTCGATGAGAACTTACGCCGCGCAATATCCAACACAACGCTTGCAGCTCTTGACAGCGCTGGTCAGCTCCTTGACTCGACTGGTCTCTAGACAGATGTACTTCCATCGCTCGTCCAATGCTTTTTTGACTCGGTCGGGTACATTGATGACAGACGAGACCGGAATGACGTCGTACCATCTATGGATGAAGCGATCAAAAACTTGGTTGAACCAGAAACTGTCTTTGGTCTTGCGATACTCATCCAGGTCGCCGATTTCGCTCCGATGCAAAATCTGGCACTTTCCTCGTAAGGATGCGATGGGACAGAGATCTGAGTGCATTGTTGCATACACCAGACGGGTGTCGTTGTTGTAGCGCTGAACATCTCGTGGGCGATAAAACCAGTTCACCCGCATAGACTCGATTTTCTTCTTGGGGTCATTGTCGACGTGAATAAACTCCATAACCCGGCAGAGGTAGTAAGGCTCGCCGGGCGGCTCGCACACGAGGTACACTTGATCTGTACACCCAATTAGAAGTCGCTCCACAAGCCGCGAGACGTGGCTGGCGTAACGGAGCGGCCGTCAGCTGCGCCTGAAACAAATGAAGACTTACCATTAACGGAGATAATCTGGCCATCGTCAGCCTCCAGGTGCCCATCCTTGAGAAAGGCACCAGTGTTCTCAAAAGTCATCATGTTAGTCTCTCGTGCGCTGTTGGCGGCTACCACGGCGTTGGCCTGACTTGCGCGTTTCGCCGCAGCCTGGCTTGGCGCAGCCGTACTCGCGTGACTTCCATTTGCGGCATTTGCAGCAGCATTTTTGCGCCGTTTGGTTGTAGGTTGGGGCTGTGGTGTGCTGGCCTGGGCTGGTGCAGCAGTGGTTGATGGAGCCGGGATATTGGCATTTGCCGCGTTATCTTTGGTGTTGGTTCCGGAATTACCCCACGACGCATTGCCTTGCGCAGAGCCGGAACCTTTTTTCCCACTCACATTGGAAGGAAGGCCGCTGTCGGGAGCCACCGAATTACGCGACGGCGGATCAGACACGTTACCGTTGGTGGGCGCAGCTCCCACTTCAAAGTCAATTTCAGTGTCTTCAGCATAATTGGGACGCGACCTGCCGGGACGGCCGCGCGACCGCGTGCCATATGATGATGGAGCCTCACCATTCTGCTCGGGCTCTTTTGATGACGACTTGGCCTTGGATGATGGGAAATTGGCTGTTTCCGATGTCATCTGCACGTCCTCCATGGCAGAGGACGCGTCGTTGGGGTCTTGTGCAGGCTGCGGTGTCTCCAAAGAAGCAGCCGGAGTGGAATTTCTGGTGGAAGAAGCCTTGCTAGTGGATCCTGAAGGCGCTACTTCTGACGCAGCGCTAGGTTGATGCTGTTGATTGCTTTGCGCGCCATCCTGATTGCGCGGTGATGGGGCATTGGACTGATCCCCAGCAGTCGAGGACGGGGCCTCGCCTCCGCCGTTCTTCGTGTCCGCCATGATCAAGTCTGTAAGAGAAGACAGAATCAAAACTAAGGACGGACCAAAGGACAGCGAAGAAGGCTTTCAGGCCGGGCGCGGGCAGTCGCCAGGGTGGTGGTGGAGTGAAGGCCCGTCACAGGCGGATATCAACGCAGCATGGGATTGCCCATGGGCGCATTCACGCGAACTTGGTGCGTCGAGGGTTAGATGTAGTTAATTTGGGGTATCCTGACCGTTGGCTCGATGGGGCCGATGGCGAAAACAGGAATTGTTTCGCGATTAGACGAGAGCCGGCGTGGTGTGTGGGGATTAGTGAAGAAGGGAGCAGTGGTTGAAGGAATTCAGAGATGGCGAGGGCGGGATAGACTCGCTGTAGTATGGGTCTAACGGTGCCAAGCTAGGCCCAGGGCTACGTCCGTGGGACCTAGTTCTTTCTTACGCATATCTCATCTTTCTCATCGGTGCTGCCAACAGCAGCACCCTCGCGGCCGCAGCCGCGCCTTCCCACGCCGCAGTGGTGCCCGCTTCGGGAGCCGACGGGGGCGTTGACGTTGATGCATCTCTTGTTCCTCCCAGTCCTGTCTTTGATGGTTTTTGCATGTCCATGTTCACACGCTCCGTCCACCAACGATCTCCACTACCCCTGTCCAGCATATACCAGTAACGCACTCATCATGCGGCGACTATCTCTACTATTTGCACCTTCTCCGCTTGTCTCAGTCATGCCGCCGGTAGTAGGCCAGCGGACAGGCAAGAAAGCGTCTGGGTGACTGCTCAGGGCCATCAATTCCAGGCAACATTCCTGCAGCTAGCCATCTCCAACGCGCGCTCCAGCGTCTGATCCAGGGCACAAGATTGCTACAAGAGGCGCTTTCATGGCGTGGGCACAGCGACGAAGGTTGAAGGAGGCGATGTATGGTGGTCTAACGACATACTAATCCGCTTTAGCGCCGAACAAGGGTCTAACGACACCTCGCAGCTCGTTTTGACCAAGACCCGTGGATGGATGCCGCATCGGTCCACAGCACACATTGCGTCACGCCCGCTGGCAGCATGTTTGTGAAGGGCCAGCGCGGCGACTGGAACTTGTATAGCGCCACAGTGCTGCATTTTGTTCCTTCCGCGGCATGCCCTGCTAAGCCTGTTCGCGTCTGACTCTCTTACACATCCACCTGTTCCGGCCACATCAGCCCAGTCTCAGACGGCCCGATCGTGTCCATGGTCGACGCGCCGCCGGTGGTGGCTACTAAACTGCGCTCATGGTTGCAGTTGTGTGTGTCGCACGTCTTGCTGCGAAGCGGTGATGCAGCCGTTCGGTTCGCGGGATTACCCAGCGGCATTACTAGGTAACTTAGACAGGGCACATCTGCACACGCTAGCAGATCGATTCAGTCATGTCGTTTTCGGCTGCCTTGTCGCCCCTCGAAACACTGCCTGCAGCCCAGCCAATCCTCATCAGCGTCACTTTGCATGCCTCTCATTCGTTGCGTCGGTCGTCCAAAACCATGTCTACGCATTGCCCATGTTCGCTTCGTAATAGCTGGCACATCAGCTCGCAACACCAGCTGCCGTAACTCTACCTAGGTGCCTGCCAAGGCCTGTACTTTGCTTTTTCACCTTGCATATGCCGACAAGTAAGCCGTAAAGGCATCGACACATGGTGACATGGCCACTAGATGGTGTCTGAGAGTATCTATGCGTCCCGAAACACTCCCCAACCGTCACTCTGTCAATACACGGCCGATATGACCACGGGAATGCTCGGTCCTGCGCGGAAGGCGATAGATCTGCCATTGCAAGGGTCATCCCATCACTGTGCGCCCATCCAACTGCTGGCAGCCCGCCCACCGCACTGGTGACTAAGGAGCCAGTATCGGAAACGACGAGCAGAGGCTGTGGACAGTTGTGAACAGCGCGCAAAACAGACGTCACTATTTTTGGTATTCGCACTGAAGCCCGCATATGGAGGGCTATTGCCGACTTTGAGTCGTTGCAGACAGGGCGCGCAGATCCAAGGTAACGTTGATTTGCTGCTGTCTGCCGGTACGTCTCCACGCCCCAACACGTTAGTACCATGGCCTACACATATCGAGGACAAGCTACTCTTAATGAGCACAAAGGGTGCCGAGGGGTTTCGGATATCCAAAAAAGTAGCAAGCACTACCAACGAAGAATGCGGGTGATTACCGCGATGCGAACTATTGTTCCAGAATGCTTCCATGGTGCCGAGTACAATAGGAAAAATAATACCAAGCAATTACCAAAAAAGCACTTTCCGAGTGTGTCGCAATCGTCAGACGTCAATAAACCAAAGGGTTGGCGCGCTCCTATCTGCCTCGGGCCACCACTCTCCGCCCGTCAACGGCACATACCCCTTTCCTTCAACCATGCAGTCTCTTATCCTCTCGGACCGAAGTCAAAATTCGTCATTTCCCCAGGTATATTTTTCCCTTGAGCATTCCAGCTGCTTTTACTTTGTTCGTCAGTTGAAGGTTGCCGTTGGAGCACAATGAGGTCTGCTGACAAGGTCCCGCTCGCCCAGATGGGACTAGACGACCGAAACACGGCAAAGTTCACACTTGGACGTTAGGCAATCCTGGCAATTTTGTTTGGAGGAAAGCGCAAAAGCGTCTCTTTTCACCGTCGCCAGATCTCGTTTCTGAAATTTTCTCAACCTTCTCTGACGAGGTGGGTGGGCGCTTGTCACCGTCTCTGCTCTGTGGGGCCTTCGATGACATGTGCGTCCCGAGATGATGCCGTTCTGGGATGCGCTGACCTGCATTGAAGCACGCGCCTGCGCTAACAGCCCTAGTGCTGATCCCCCTCCACGCGACAACCTCATTTCACTCACACAATCTAGGGCAATTCGGTCAAGCTCAATAATAACAAATATTCAATTCACCAACTACCGACTTCAGTGAAACAATACTTCAAACAACCCAACCCAATACAGCAAGGGCATCCATGCCGACATGATGTGAGGTGGCACCACAAATCACAACGGCTTGGGCCCTTGCATCCCCACACCGCAACGTTTCTTTCCAAGCCATCGGATCGTCGATACATGTGCATCATGTCGACATCAAATGGTAACGTTTTTGGCTAGATTTACAAAGCGAAGATAGCCAAGAGACCGGCAAGACCGGCACCAATGCCAGCAGAAGCCTTGCCAGCGGCGCCAGACGCGCCAGTGCCCTGGGGAGCGGAAGAGCCAGAGGCGTTGGTACCAGTGGGGCGGCCAGCATTTCCTATTCAACAGTCAGTGAAAATTCAAAATTGCGTTTGTAATGCATTCGGCATGTTGGGTGTGAGTAAATGGAGAACGTACCACCGTGAGTACCAGTAGGGTTGGAGGTGCCGGTGGGTGCGGCAGCAGAGTCGCCGCCAGCGCTGGAAGCAGGCGCGGCACCGGCACCAGCGGGAGCGTTGTTGAAGGCCGTCTGGGTGCTGGGGAAAAGGCTGTTGATGCAGGCGTCGACACACTTGGCGTACTTCTGCGAAGCGGGGGTGGAGCCGTCGCCTTGGTCGCATTTGGCGGCGCACTCGTTGGTCTCGATAGCCTGGGACGCGTTCGGGCGCGCGTTGCCCAAGCATGCGGCTTGACAGGTGACATCGCCAGGGTTGCAGGCGAGGGCGCAGCTGACAGCGGGAGTGAGGCCAGAGGGAGAGGCAGCCGAGGGAGCGCTGGTGGTAGGAGCATTCTGGGGGGTAGCGACGGCGCCAATGGCGAAGAAGAGGACGGTGGAGAACTTCATGGTGATGGTGGTGTTGGTGGTACGGTAACGGCGTTACAGGTTAGGTGCAACGTTTATTAGTATGATTATTGGAGTAGGTAGGATTAAAGAGCGTAGAAGGATTCAACAAAAAACGAGTGTGTAGACGTAGGCGTATGCAGACAAAATCCGGGGCAGACACCTAGCTTTTATTGCACCGACCACGTTAAGCTAGTCGTTGCATAGGGGTAAGGCGACTCGCTTTGCTGCGCTTATATTGGCTTTTTGCTATGCCCAGCCTGGTAACGCTTGCCGGCCCGCCGGCGTCATCTGAAATGCGCGTCGGCTGAACCTTACATGTGGAAGGCGCTTTGCAGGGTCCTCCTTCCCAGTGCGGGCCAACCCACTCTCATTGAACGCGCTAGAACGCTAGAAAACGACGCGTCGTGACCTTCACCTGACCAACGCCTCCACCGAGCACTGTTGTTGTCTTTCCTCACTCGGGCCATGGATGACAGCGACGAGTACGGCGACGAGTTTGATGACACCGAGTTCCTGGATGCCGCAACCCAGGCTGAGAAGGAAAACACGCCTGCATTTCTGCCCTCACCGAGGCCGGCCAAGCGGCGGAAGATCAGCACAAATGAGCGGACAGCGTCCATTCCGCCCAACGCCCATCATGGCCGTCGGCGAGGGCCCTTCGTATCGTCTGATGAAGACGGAGACGATGCTTATGGGTCTGACCGTACATTATCCGATATAGGCAAGGAGAGTCGGTCGTCTCGTGAACACACCGGACCTCCAAGTCGAAAGAAGAAAGCGCAATCAAATCAACCCGGGAACACCACCTTTGAAGACGACGATGCATCTCCCGTACAAGAGTCGCGCGCGAATAAACGCCAAGAGTGCATTCATGTTCCTACTATGAATATGGACATGACAGATGTATTCTACACGCAGCCACCACAAGTGCATTCGCCACCTTGGAAGCCGAGAGGAGCAATATGGGCGAAACCAACTACCATGATTGGCGTACACAAACCTTCCGAGCCCTCTGAGCCCGCCAAGTGGACTGGGTTAGACGCAACGAAGACAATGGCATTGCCGGGTAGGCAGTCGATCTCTTCCCGACCGACACCGCAAGCACCATCGTCTCCAGATCTTTTGAGCTCGCCTATCGAACTTGAGGAGACCCCACGACTGGAGACTGCCGCAGGAAAGAGAGATACCGCGACTGAATATGATTTTTCCACTGAGCTGGCAGACTTGCCGTCTGACGCCTTCTCTTCCTCGTCTTCGTCGCCACAGAAGCAGGGCGAGGTGGAAGTCGCCGGTGCCCGCAGGCATCTTGTAACACCTCAGACAGGCCTCCGTCAAACCACATTGTTTGGGCGCGCTGGGGTTGATGGCCAAATCGCGCCCTCACAGGCAAACAAGCGGTACAACTTCGTCGTCGATCAGAAAGCAGAACCGCCGACGCACCACAAACTTAACCCAGAAGCTATCAAGACATGGGTATATCCGACAAATCTGGGCACCATCCGAGACTATCAGTTCAACATCGTCCAGAGAGGTCTTTTTCACAATTTGCTAGTCGCCCTCCCCACCGGTCTCGGCAAAACCTTCATTGCAGCGACCATCATTCTCAACTGGTTTCGATGGACGCTTGATGCGCAGATAGTCTTTGTCGCCCCGACGAAACCATTAGTAGCCCAACAAATCGAGGCTTGTTATAAAATCGCGGGTATACCACGCTCGTGTACCACAATGCTCACCGGGGGGGTTCAAACTGGCCTGAGAGCAGAGGAGTGGAAAGATAAGAGAGTCTTCTTCATGACTCCCCAAACTCTGCTCAATGATCTCAAATCCGGATATGCAGATCCGAAGAGGATTGTGTTGCTTGTTGTCGACGAAGCACATCGGGCAACCGGTGCCTATGCATATGTCGAAGTTGTGAGCTTTCTCCGACGCTTCAACACGAGTTTTCGGGTAGTGGCTTTAACAGCAACGCCTGGCGCTGATGTGGAGTCAGTCCAGAAGGTTATCGATGGTCTCGAGATCTCTCGAGTGGAGATCCGAACAGAAAACTCCATGGACATTTGCAGCTATGTGCACCAGCGAAAGATTGAAAAGCAAGTTTTCCAGAACACCGACGAGATGGAGATGTGTATGGATCTCTATAGCGAAGCTCTGCAACCGCTGGTAAACACTGTCGCTGGTTTGAACGCATATTGGAGCAAGAATCCTCGCGATCTGACACCTTTCGGTTGTCAGCAAGCTAAGAAGAAATGGTTCATGGAAATTGGCCGTAACGCAAACCGAGGCCTTCAGAGCACAGTACACACCATCTTTGCCATTCTTGCATCCATCTCGCACGGCATGGATCTGCTGAAGTTTCACGGCATGGGTCCCTTTTACGTCAAGATGAAAGAGTTTCAAGACGAGGCCACCAAGACAAAATCCAAGTACAAGAAGCAGATTCTCGATAGTGACGCATGGAAGAAGCTCATGGTGCGCCTCCAAGGATGGATCACTGACGACAACTTTGTCGGTCATCCCAAATTAGAATATCTGCAGCAAGTCATCCTCGACCACTTCATGAACGCAGGTGACGGCCGGAACGTTGACGGTGCGCCTCCTTCACAGACAAGGATCATGGTATTCGCCCACTTTCGTGACAGTGCTGAGGAAATTGCGCGCATTTTGAAGAGACACGAACCAATGATTCGCCCTCGTATCTTCGTGGGACAAGCACACGGAAAGAACTCGGAAGGCATGACCCAGAAAGACCAGCTAGAGGCTGTCGAAAAGTTCAAAAATGGTGAATTCAACACACTTATTGCTACCTCGATTGGTGAAGAGGGTCTGGACATTGGCGAGGTTGACCTCATCATCTGCTACGACTCAAAAGCATCACCTATCCGTATGTTGCAGCGGATGGGCCGTACAGGGCGAAAACGCGAGGGAAGGATCGTTATGCTCCAGATGCAAGGCAAGGAGGAGAATGATGCTAACAAAGCTAACGATAGTTACCTCAAGATGCAGGAGCTTATAGCAAATGGCACGCACTTCAACTTTCACGAGTATGTTTCTCGGAGAATCCTACCGTCAGACGTAAAACCCGTCGTTGACCGACGAGTTGTAGACATACCAGTCGAAAACTCACAGCAGCAAGACTGGCTTCCTGTGCCAAAGAAGGGCCGGCGGACCAAGAAACCTCCCAAGAAATTCCATATGCCCGATGACGTCATCACCGGTTTTGTCACTGCAGGGCGAATGGGCGAAGAGATTGTAGCAAAGGGTCGTGGGAAGAAAGCAGCAGTTTCCGTCTATCCTAGCGAGGAGCTCTTTGCAGTACCGTCATTGGAGTCGGTCTTACTGGATGATGCAGCTACTCGTGATCTAGAGAGCCGGTACCAGACTGTCTTCGACGATGATGAGGCACCCACGGTCGGCATGCTTGACCTGGGGAAGTATCCCGAGCGGCAGCGGGTTTTGCCTCATACGAATCATCGAATCGGTCCGGGTCGTGTCACGCGGGCTTTTGCTGGTACGATGCAGCGCATGCACGACATGGACAACGACCGCCTCGATGCTTTGAAGCGTGATTTGCGCTACTCCGACTGCGAATTAAATGTAGACGACGGTTTTGTCGTCTCGAATACAGAAGTAGCTCCGGTGATCGAGGAGGACATATGGGAGGACGATCATCCCGCCTCACAGAGCCTTCCAATAGGCAGAGCAAAGCCGGTACCCAAGGCTAAAGCAAAGGAGCCGGCCAAACCGAAAAAGGCAGCAGCACCAAAGGCCAAGCAAAAGCTAGGTCCAGAGCCTCAAGAAAATGTTAGTCCTATGGCCCCAAAGACCCCGGCGCCTCGTGCTCGGCCGCGAAAGGACAAGGCTGCTGTGGAGACGCCTATTCATCAGGTTAGAGCGACTAGTGAGACTCCGAGAACGAAGACGCCGGACTGGCGTGTATCTGGCCATGCTCAGGAGGGCGATGAATCCTCACCGCCACCAACAGATCCCCGTTTTCGCCTTGCATCTCAAGCTGACACGATCGGCTCCGATGACACAGCAGGTGCAGACGAGCCACAAGATACACAAGCATATCTGCTTGATTCGGAGCTGGCGAGCTTCATTGTCGAAGAAGGGGTAGAGGAGATAGTCCCAACTTCTAGTCTCCCCAGCATTGACTTCAATGGCGTTGGAGCAGGCACGCAAGCAGTCGTCAAGGCTGCTAGACCAAAGAGAACGCCAAGGCGTGAGAAGATATTTACGAGCGATGTGACTGACAACGATGCGGTTGTCAGTAGCGATAGCGATGATGAGTCACCGCTCAAGAAGCCTGGAAATGGTGTGAGTAAAAGGCAAGCAGTAGTTGTAGACTCGGAATCTGAAGCGGAGGATGTGTCCATGGTGCCTAGAAAGAGAGCTAGGCGGGTCGTCGATGACGATTCAGATGATGAATGATATACTAAGCCGAGCACTCCAGGGCCTATTTTTTCACGAACTGATGTAATAATGTACGCTTGTATATGTATAAATTGACTGCTTCGGAATAGCAGGTATATTGCGCGACGTACTCAATGTGTACTCACTCAAACTGTTTCCAATACTCTGGCTCAAAGCCGTCCATCTGCTGTGTGAACATGTCGCCACCCTTGACCCATCCTTTGATACCACCAGCTAAGGTGAGCGACTTTATGTCATCATCGCCCTTCTCAGCAATGTAATCTGCAAACCAGCCTGAGCACCTTGGCCCTCTCCCGTTGCATGCGCCTGTTTTGTGTCAGCCCACGCTCCCGCGACAAACACGCCATCCTGCGTGCTTGGACTAAGCACGACGAGAAGTAGCAAGCTTCACACACGACTACTGCACCACGACGGTATCATGTTACGACACGGGATACTCACCACAATAAAAAGCAACCCTCTTGACACCCGCTCGCTTACAAAGCTGGTACAAGACGCCCCTATTCATGTAGAAGGATTGGGCAGGCAGATTGATGCTGCCTCTGACGGCGCCACCTTCGTAATCGTTGCGTCGCACGTCCACGATGAGTAAATCTGGTGATGAGAGATCTGACAGAGCCTCCTCGGGTGAGATGAATGGCGCCGTGGTACGTGGGGCAGGGAAGGCATCGCTCCAATTGCCCGTGGGTTTGGCGGGGTCTGCCATTTGCTCGATAATATGAAAACGACTTTGAAAATGTTTTGGCGTGTTTTGGAGTTTGAAGGTTAATGTTTTTGTGCCTTGGAGCCAGTCGACGTTTGAGGCTCAGTAGCCGATCCCCACTAGTTAATGTGCTGGTAGGCTTGGAAACTGAGAGGGTCCACTCCTCCGCCACACCTCATCAATGTTGGTAATGGCCACCTTGCTACAAGCTCGGAACCCGGTGGTCCTATCAACGCGTGATTACAATTTCTTCTCAGAAAATCAATCAACTGTAATATATGTCTTCATTCCGCGCCCATTTTCACTTCAATCCGACTCAATCACATATCCTTGTTTTAAGTAGCAGCCTCGACGCCACAACCAGGGTCTCGCCTTGTGACATTGCAGTTTCAATATCTACACGCTGGCCTCTTTGCACTTCCCACGTAAGCGTCGGCCTGTAATCGACCGAGAGGCTTCTTATAGTGAGGCCGAAAGTACTTGTCAGTCCTAGAGCCCTCATGCGCCTTGATGATGCTGGTCGCGAACGTTTGCTGACGCGAGGAAGAGAGTAGTACAGTAGCAACACCACGATGCGCTCCGCAGAACAGGTCTTCTACCTAGCGATATTTTCGCTGCTAGGTGGATCTTATGCTGCAAGCCATGCTACCAAATCAAACACTCCTGTGCCAAACGTTTGCGATGTAAGCAACAAATCGTCATGTTCGCTGTCGCCAGCACACGACCAGAGTACTAAGACTACCTTTCAGATATCGCCTGGAGCGATAGTATCCGACGCCTGCGCAAGCTATAATACCCTCGAGCAGCTCAATGAAGCCATACACCCGTACCTCGAATCCATCACACACGACACCGACTTCTTCTCGCACTACCGGTTGAGCCTGTATAGTAAGAAGTGCCCCTTCTGGGACGATGAAGATGGCATGTGCGGGAACGTAGCATGCGCGGTGAACACATTAGATAATGAAGAAGATATACCAGCGGTCTGGCGCGCAAAGGAACTCGGTAAACTCGAGGGACCGACCGCACAACATCCGGGACGAAAGCAGCAAAGAGAGGAGAGGAAACGGCCTTTACAGGGAGGTCTAGGCGATGATGTGGACGAAAGCTGTGTGGTGGAATATGACGATGAATGCGACGAGCGCGACTACTGTGTGCCAGACGACGAATCAGCGACTGCGAAGGGAGACTACGTATCGCTCGTAGACAACCCAGAACGCTTCACCGGATATACTGGTGTAGGAGCTCAACAGGTCTGGGAAGCTATATACCGCGAAAACTGCTTCAGCAAACCTCCCAAGAATGCGCCTTCGAATGGCCAGTCCACGTCACCCGGATCGCTTTTTGGCGGTTTCGGAAATCAGCAACAGATGCAAGCTGCGAGCCAGCTCAAAAACGTCATGCAAGAGCAAGGCAAGAAGCAAAAGGTCCAGTCAGCTATTGCTCACGGTACTCCTGTTAACAGTCTGGACCCAGTCGAATTTGACGACACGTGTCTAGAGAAGCGTGTCTTCCACAGAGTCATCTCTGGCATGCATGCATCCATCTCTACGCATCTGTGCTGGGACTACTTGAATCAGACAACAGGTCAATGGGGGCCCAACCTAGCCTGCTACGAGGAACGCCTCCACAAGTATCCTGAGCGTATCTCCAATGTCTACTTCAACTATGCCCTCGTCATGCGCGCAGTTGGCAAGACAAAGCGGCACATCTCCGACTATTCTTTCTGTTCTGAAGACCCCGAGCAAGACCTTCGCACCAAGAACTCTGTCCTCCGCCTCGCGTCCGCCCTTCCTTCCGGCCCCGAGATTTTCGACGAGACAGTCATGTTCCAAGAGCCAGACACCGTGGCCTTGAAAGAGGACTTCCGCAACCGTTTCAGGAACGTGAGTAGGATCATGGACTGCGTAGGCTGTGACAAGTGTCGCCTCTGGGGAAAACTACAGACAAATGGCTACGGAACTGCGCTCAAGGTGCTCTTCGAGTTTGACGAGAACGATTCCTCTAAAGACCCGCCGCTGCGCCGCACTGAGCTGGTAGCACTCATTAACACTATGGACCGCCTGTCGCATTCTCTCATCGCGATCAAAGAGTTCCGTCGCATGATCGATGAGCGCGATGGCGTAGCTGACGCCGATGCAACCACGATCCCTGAAACCGACCAAGGAGTGCTCAAGACCAAGTTAGCTCTAAAAGAGTCGGAAGAGGCTCAGCCAATCAATGTGCTGACTGGCAACGATGAAGTCCCAAAATTCACGCGTGACTGGGACACTAGGCAAATGACTGTATGGGATGAAATCAAGGCAGAGTATATGCTAGTACAACGCACATTCATGTATGTGCTATACCAGTGGACACAGCTCCCTGGCCGATTGTGAGTTACCCATCTCATTCTGTACGAGTATGCTTTCTATACGATAAACAGTCAGCTAATACGAGGCAGTACGAGGATCTTCATCCTTGAAATGGGCAGGGTTTACGATTGGTGGATGGGCTTCGTTCCTGGTCCGAGGAGTTGGGAGATCCGCATCCCGAGACCGGATGAGCTCTGAGCTTCTTCGTCCGGCTTCCATCCCCGACTTACTCGTCGTATTCATCATTTTCAGAAGATTGCATAGCTATGGCGTTTTGGGGGGTGGCGAAAGGGATTCTGTTGGCGTTGATGAGGCATGATCTTAGACAGGAGTCAAGCTCCCAACACAAGAAAGAGAGTATGGAATAGCCATATGAATTAACGTAAATACCGTTTTTTCTGTTTGCAGGAACCATATAGTTTATCTAGTACCAACTATGGCTCCTCGGGCTTACTTACAACCACAACATGTGCGCGTCACCACGAAATCTCTCTCCCCCAATCTCACACCCACGAACCAAAGAAATTGCCGCGGCCACCTCACCATCATCACAAAGCCGTCATAGATGCGGCTTTTTTTCCTGTTCCTACCCCTTCTCCTCTTCTGTCCCACAACAATGGTTGGACGCGCAACCTTCCCCTCTGCAGTCGCGCCGGCTAAGCGTGAGGAGAAGCACCACGCCTATTTTCCACAGTTACTCGAACAGGAAACAAACCTACCATCGGAACAAAAAAAACTTTGGAGTGCAAAGATTTTGCCCCCAGCAAAGGAAAAAGGCGAGAATTTACCAAGCTCCAGGGGGGGCCTTGTTTCTCGGCAGAGGTAGTCTTTTTTTGGTGCGAGGTGACGTTCTGCTTTTACCAAGCCCTACGCCTGTTTTCTATACCCAAGACTGTGATGTTACTACTTTCGGGGTGTGGGGGTGGTGGGTTAGATGTTGCATGTCGGTGTCGCGCCTTGGGCGTGGGATGCTACGTGGAATGCTTGGGCTGGCCCCTTGGCTGTGCTGTGTTATGTTTGCGGTCTAAGCTTCTACGGTCAAGACGATGTACCTGCCTGTGGGCAGATGGGTTGTTTTGGATATTGGCGTTCCGCATGCGGTAGCGAGATGGGGAGAGGAGAGGAGAGGAGAGGAGAGGGGTTGCGGTGGTCGGACCGGTTCCGAGGGGGTAAAGAGCCAAGAGTGCCAGGTGAGGAGAAGACGGACGCCTATTTTCTACAGCTGAGGGGGTGAGTTACTTGGAGTGGTAGGTTTGGTGGCGGGTGGCTGCTCGGATGGTGGCCGATGAGGGAATTTTGGTCGGAAGCGCGTTGTTTGGCGTCATTGGTGGTGGTTGTGCGGAATGTTTCGATGTCGTTCTTTTTTTCTCGGATCGTGACTAGTTAGCTTCTGCAGATCTCGGATGATTGTTGTTGTCGTTGGTGACTATGGTGTTGATGCCGAGAACAAACAACTCGGTGTTTTGGATGAATGCCTGTCTTTTGGCGGTATACTCCAAGCCTGGACGTGATAGGTGAAACGTCAACATGTTTGCTCATTGTGAGTAGTTGATTGATTTTGCGCACAGCGTAATAAGAAATTCTCCTAGGTTATCTCTTCAATTCCCATGCGATACATTGCTAGCCTCGCCCTTGCTTTTTGCAGCCACCCACGCCGGTAAACTACGGGTAGCTCCCGCACGTCAAGCCGCAAGATAAAGCGAAGGAACACGCCTATTTTCGATGGTTGCCTTTCCGAGCGACAATAAAATAAAGCGCATATAGCTCCCATTTGCTTTTCGATTCAACACGCAGGCTGACCGCTTGTAGACGTGTCCAGCAGTACTGCGCTAAACTGCTTGCGTCTCTGTGCATGACAAAGACGGTGAAGTAAGTATGTTCCAAGGACGCTGATGCATGGTGCTTATTCTGGGCAAAAAAATGAAATACATGAAAACCACCCCGGCAACAAAGGGAACAAAGAGCAGAGAGAAAAATGAGGCTCTCCAGCGCCTACTTTCAACACCTGCCCAACTCGGCATATTTGTCAAAGGGATTATGACACCCGAGCGAGAAAAAACTTTGATGAAACGTGCTAGCAGTGACAAGCTATACGCCTATTTCCTACACCTACCCCTTTGAGGACAAATGCCCAAGGGATGTCTCGCTTCCCTGATCCGGTGCCAATGAACCCCTAGCTTGCTACCATTTGTAAATATCAAAATTCAAAGAATACCCAATTCCCCTATGACGCGGTGGCAAATGACAGAAAAATGTCTCCCGTTATTCCCGGCATACCTTCCCCATTCCAGTTCACAATTCGTAGCGTACCCGGCGGGCCCCTTTCCGACGTTCACAAATCAGACCCTCCGAAGCGGAGATAGCAACAAACTTGCACAGAAACAATTGCCGAACAAGCTTTTACCAAGCCCGGCACCTATCTTCCATGGCCTTCTACAAGCGGCAGTTTGTGCTGCCAAACAGCGAGGCCAAGATGGACGCCTATAATCCATACTTACTGTTTGCGGGAAAAAACTTTTCTTGTCAAGCTTTTTGGGCCGCAGAACCCGAGTTTGGGGTGCGATATACTGCGGCCCGTGTACGGCGCGCTTTGTAAGGGGCATGGGGGCGGGTTAGTAATGTCGACGGTAGGTTACGGGATGCGTGAGGTAATTCGTGTAGTCGATATTTTCCTTGGGGATTAGAGATGCAAGCGATCCTATTCAGATGGATTGGCATTGTGGCGGGTGGGGGAAGGTGGAGATTAATATAACCGTTTTACGCCTGTTTTCTACGATTGCTGTTTGAGGTAGGATTAGGATGCTGGATATAGGGCTGGGATGTTTCTACAGTTGTTATATGGAGGCTGTTAAGATTGTGATGATGAGTGCGTGACATCATGATGTTTCGTGGTTATTATGAGAAGATTAAGATTACTAGACAAATCGCCGAACAACAAGACCGCCTTCCCTCTCTTGCGTCTAAAGCGAGCACGTTTTCGCTCTTGTACCGGGTTTTGGGTAACATACCCCAACTGTCATCTTCTCCTTCAAGTTGAATTGTCTATTCAGAACAACCTTGGCGTCGTTTTGGGCCACGGGTTGACAGGTTCCACCGCAACTTTGTCCCTTGACCGAGGTTGAGCAATTTGGCAAGCATACCGGCCTCTTGATCGGCGTATTTTCTCCAGGACAAAGTATCATAGCTTTGTGGCAACTATAGGTTGGTTGACATGTCCCTGCTGGAGAACAAAGTGCAAATCCGGCTCTATTGCTGCCTCGCCCTTCTGCGTCGCGTAGGTTATCTCCGGGGTTGCTGTCCGAGTCTGCTTCCTCAACTAATGCTTCATCAATCTTAATGTCCAACTCCAGAATCGGCTTTTGGGCTACCCGCTCGGGAGGTGGGGACGGGTTGGTGTTGTTCGTGGTTGAGAAGCCAGTTGAGCCTTGGACGCAAAGTGATGAGTCTACAAAGGCAGCGGCAGAGACATCATGCCATAGCTGTGTCATGTTGTACAAGTTCTTCATTGTGTAGTAGATGCGACAGTCGGCTGCTTCGTACTCGAACTGTAGTGGTGTGGTCTCCTTTGCCCGCACCTGGTCACGGAGATTGACGCCCATGTACAAAACGTACATGCCTTGGTCGCGCACATCGGGGACCGTAGCGATCGACTTCGTCCTGTCATAAATTGGTGAAGATTTGACACTTTCCATGTCTGTATCCAGGCTGTCTGCATCGTAGGATGTCGCGCCACGAGTGCCAGAGGCTGCTTGCATAGGGCCAGTAGTTGGTCGACCTCCTGCAACAACTGTACGGACACCAGCGCGGGTCATCATCTCTACAAACAATGCGCAAGCGGATGCACATAGACCGTCTGTAAGGAGGACTATTTGATCTGGGTTCCATGGGCGCGTGTCGTTGTTTACAGCGTCGGCCAGATACATTCGGGGAATCCACCCAAAGGCAGCCTGTAAAGGTGTCAGTCTCGACGTCAAGTCTATAGTGGGTAAAAACATACCGCATCGAAGTTTTCATTGGCAAGATCGTATCTCTCTGTGAGTGAAAAAGTATCCCCATTCGCTTCAATCGGTCCTTGATACTCAGGCCACCCTGAGAAGTTTCTTCCAGTGGCAGCGTTCAATTTGGCGTTGATGACCCACTCGTCGGCCAATAGATAATTCTTGAACCATTCATCATCGGTACTTGCCCAACCATCCGATACGGTAGTGCCAATCACGTTTGCCAAGGGAAAGCTTCGTCGACGGCTTCCAGCGAATGGAGTCAGGTCGGGGAAAAAGCTCTTGAAGATGGTAAACGGGAGAAAGATGGCTCCACCAGAATTCTGCTGGAGGTCGATAACAACTTTTTGTAGACCTGCAGCTGACGCATTTCCGATAAAATCACTCACTGTTTGGATGTAGTCTCCTATAGAATCTGCAACGCTAAACACAATGACGTTACCACACGCGCCAATAAGGTATCCTTCTGTTCACTTACATATCAAATGTGGGAAGACTAAGGACGCCAGTCGAGATGTCATTATAAAAGTACCCGGTCACTACTCCTGTACCGAACAGACCTAGATCAGGCTGTACAATATTGGCGACGGGGAATGCACCAAAACTATCTTCAGTCCAGTTTGTGACTGATGCTGGTGAATCAGCTTCTTCTTCGGGTGATTCTTCAGAGGATGGGTCTGATTCTGAGTCCGGTGAGGTGTTATCAAATGACGCAGGTAAGAGGCCGAGAACAAAGTAGTTGTAGAAGTCGCCTCCCGTTGTCAAAGGACCAGTTTCATTTGCAAACCCACTGTAAATTGCCACCCAATATGTGTCGTATGTGGTGCCATTCTCAAAAGTGAACGTAAGGTCGTCGCCAGGGTAGAAAGTAGCGCCTCCGGAGAACGTGGTGAGTGATCCCTGTATATCCAGCGCCGGGTTTGACATCAGAGAGTTCCATTCAGCATGAGGTTCGGCAAACTCCCATGAATTGAGAGTGGCAAAATGATTCAGAAACTCATTGACTTCGGTACCATTGATCATGGTTATTGCAGAAGGTTCCCAGCCTTCAGTTTGGGAATCCAAAATGTCATCTGTTCGTGGTTAGGCGTGAACAACTCTCCTTACTCCGTTCAATAAACTCACCAGTGATATAAACTCGAGGTTCTTGTTTTCCATCTACTGAAACAGAAGCGATCTCGATCGGGCTCGCGAATGTGAAAGCCGAGAGAATGCCTGCGTTCAACGAAACATGGGAGTCGCGCATGGCATATACCAAAAGCTGAAATTCTGCTTCGAACTCATATTGATTCAAATACAGGTTCGCATCAACCTTCTGTTGTATCCTCTGAACTTCTGCTAGAACATCGACTGCAGGTTGTTGGTATCCCTCGGGGGGATTTTTGAGGTACGCAAGGGTTGACTGGAACTGTATCGTTTCATTCCAGTACTTGACGAAGCGCGTGGCAACTGCAGAATTGAAAGGTACGCTGTTTAGACATCTATACACATCTGATGCCAAAAAGTATGTCTTGCCTTGAAGCTGTTAGCGACGGACACGGTGATGTCACTAGCGCTGAGCCACTAGCGTGACCCTGGACCCAGTTGGTGCCCTTCCTTCTTGCCGCACTCTGTACTCACCTTGGTTCACATAATTGATTATATCGCCGCAAATGTACTCCGGATTGGTAAAGGATACATCCTGGCGTGGCTTGAGTCCTGATGGAAGCGTTCGTGCGAGGCTGCACGAGGCGAATGCAACGGCCGCCAGGTTCTTGACGAACAGCATCCTGAGGTAAACTACAAGAAAGAGGGAATGGCGATGAGCGATAACCAGACTTTAATGCATTCATATCCAACGCTTATACAATAACACACACCGTTGATGTTCCCCTGCGTAGTGGCGCGATTTCTCATCTCGCGTACGATGGGGCCAGGTCTTAGCCGCAGGACGTACAGTAGGCCTCCCGTGCGCCATCTCAGCCCCCAACGACCTATTTAGGGATGTGACAGGGTATGTTGTACAACTCTCAAGGCCACCTGAAGTCCTCAGCCTCCACTATAAAACATCAGCTAGAGGCTCATTTATCGGTCCCGGGAAGCCAAAGCAGACTAGAGCGACAATATGAGCACATCTGAGTCTACAGCCTACGATGCCTTCGTGGTGGGAAATATGGCTTTGCAATCTTCTATTGACATATCTTGTGATATCTTTCCGGGTGTTTACGATTGGTTCTTCACAGCGGACGTGTTTGTGCGGTGGCGCAAAGCTCGGATGACATGGCCACTCCACTGCATTGGAGGCCCCGGTGCTGGGAAGGTGAATACTCGTTGTACAAACTTGGTCTTCCACTAATGATCTCGATAGACTACACTGGTCTCGCTTGTACGACAACATCTTACCACACACCCTGAAACGCACATTTACCCTGTCGTGCATATGTCTATCTCTCAAGACGTTCCTCATTACGACAAGAATTTTGTCGAAGATTTCTTAGAATCTCTATACGATAAACTGGCGGAAACGACTCTGCTCGAAAACGATTGTTCATATGAAGCATTTACCGATTATCATGAAAAACGTTATTCGCTTGAGGATGCACCTGAAGGATATAGAGTCAAAGAACGGCTGAAATCACTTCGAGCGGCACTTGGTCTACGCCTCCAGACAATTAAAGAAACGCGTGCTTTTCTTCTCCTGGACGGCATTGACAGATATGACTCAACGCAGCGCCTAATCATTGATGATGAGCTTTCAAGGCTTCTTGATTCGGGGTTGAGCATACTTATCACCTCTCGTATCGCAGTATTTCAACGCTTGCATACCGTTTGTGATCATCCTGATGATCCCGCTTCTCACATATCCCAGGACTATCGACCGCCTTTAAGCATGTATTACAAGTGCAAAGTGTGTGGAGACATAGTCTGCATGCCATGTAGAAATCGAAAGCGGTCATGTCCAAGTGGGTAAGTTTTTGTGTGAGGGCTCCGTATGTATGCTGACAACAGTGTTAGGCACGAGGAATCTAAACTATTGGAACCATACGATCATGTCAGTATCAACATGATAATCCCAGACATGGCTATGACGAACTACGTTGCATGGGATCTCGAGCGGGAACACGGTGATCTCGGGCTTGACAGCCCTGCTCGAAAACCTCCCTTGTCGCCTTTAGGCCAGGTGTTGACTTCCAAAATAGCCAGTAAATCTGTTCAGAAGTACATGGAAGAGATTGTCGATGCTGCTGGAGGGAACGTAAGCTTGGCAAAAGCAAGACTCGACTTGCTACATACGATGGAAACTCTAGACGATTTAGAGGCAAGACGAGACCAACTCCCAACCAACATCGTCGCAATGTTCGAATCTGGTCTCAAGCGCATAGAGACACAGCCAGGCAACCAGCATGAGATAGCCTTGAAAGCACTAGGGGCCGCAGCAACCGATATAAGAGGAGCAGAAGTCCCGGTTCTCCGAGAAAAGCTGCAAAAATTCGATATCCGCAGCGGCGAAGACATCCTTGAAGCTGTACGAGGGTTTCTTCTGAGCACACCAACCGATACCGAAAGCCTGCGACTTGCCGCATTCCATCTGAGCTTTTTCCGCTATATCACCGAGCGGTATCACCAGGGCATACATCATGCCTCTCAACAGATTGAGATCCCCAAGCCTTCGTTCTACCCACAAGAAATAGGGACACCAAGCCCTGTCACCCCTTACACGCTGAGTAGATCCATTACACAGCCTATTCAGCCGTTCATCATTCGAAAGGACACCCGCGATTGGGCATAGCGCTTATAGGCTCAAGGCGCACGATTCTGCCTCGCTCGCCACATGAGTCTCAAAGCAGTTCAGCCTTATACAAGAGTGTTTGTGGGAAAGTCCAGTTTCCCAACGCACGGAAAACAAATATGTGATTTGAAAAATGTATTTCAGGGTGGTGTGAGCTAAATGTATACAAAGCTAAGCTGGTCTTCCTTGGCGCGTCACTTTTTTCCCCATCCAAGCGCGGTTCTCTGGGTAGGGCTGCATATTCTTGGCTGTCACACTCGCACTCCCAACCAATATTCATACATGCAAGGATTAGTCGTGTCTCTATACGTAATCGTGGTAGTGCAAATTCGATCAGGCAACGGCGACGCCATTTCAGCCCCCAATGCACCACGTGAACACTTGTTTCCGCCCCCACAGGGCTGAATACAGGCAATCTCCGAATCTCATGTGGGTGAACAACGCCATCCCATAGGCCGATGCTTAGTTTTATCATGACCGAAGGCTTTGCAGCCGCCCGGCGGTTCATTACATTTGACCTGATCTCGGAGATCTTACCTAGGCAGCTGCCGGTAGACGCTAGGAGTTCTGGAGGCGGGATTCGGAGGACTTATCGCTAGATTGATTCGAGCAGCAATATTCACGATGAAGCTATGCGAATATTGCGTTGAACATGTGTTGCGGAGCAAAAGTTCATGGGACTACCATCGTCGGTCATGGGAGTCGTTGAGAGGCGAATGGGACATTGATGCGCCTTCACACTCCCGTGGGGATTCAAAATTCACGACCAAGAAGGAGAAGGATCGGTGCGTGTTCTGCTGGACTTTGGGGCAGGATATCGAGAAGCTTTCTCCGCTGCTGAAGCACGAGAAGAACGCATGGCCCGTATACAGATGGAACATCAGAAGCCTCGCCAAGATTCGAGAGAGCCTGGAGGCGATAGTCGTGACATTCCGCTATGTACATCCCGTAAGCGAAATCAGAAACAGCGCGTATACGAAAGTTGCGCTGCCAACACGAACCTTCTTTCTCTTTCCCGAAGCCGAAATGCAGCCACTGCCTAAGCTAGAGGACCTTGGGCCTTCAACAAATCCAGAGCACAACGGCGGTCATCAAATAAGAGCTTGGGTCCACAATTGCGATACCACACATGAGGACTGTATGAAGCGTAGGAAACTCACGCCCAAGTCTAAGCGCTTCATTCCCACTCGTTTACTGGATATCAGCGAAGAACCGGGAGAACCGATACGAGTCATCGAGACAGCGACTACGTCTGTTCAAGGACCATACTGCACGTTGTCGCATTGCTGGGGTTTGATAGAGTTTCAGCAACTTCGCGATGCGAACAGAGAGCGTTTCATGAAAGAGGGCATCCCATGGCATCTCTTCACAAAGAATTTTCAGGACGCGATCGAGGTTGCTCGTTCATTGGAAGTTGGCTACATATGGATAGATAGCTTGTGTATTATCCAGAAGAGCAAGGCGGATTGGGATAAAGAAGCGGGTCGCATGCATCTTGTGTATCGTAATAGCTACTGCAATATAGCTGTTGTAGATTCCAAGGATAGCACTGGAGGAGCATTTCGGAATAGAGATCCAGAGAATGTCGCGCCGGTACGGTACAGGCCTGTTAACGACTCGCCGCTGTTTGGCAACAAGGAAAAGGAATGGATAGTGGTTGCCGAAGATCTGTGGGAGCGCGAGCTCATTCAGTCATTCCTCTATGTTCGTGGCTGGGTATTCCAAGGTTAGTCCCCCTGGACTTATCTTTATTGTGTACTAAGCGTGAGACAGAGCGAATGCTGGCGCCACGCATCCTCCACTTCGCTGAGAAACAGATTTTCTGGGACTGCCCTTCACTAAGTGCTTGCGAAACGCTTCCAGGCGGTTTACCGCAACCTATGGATAGAGTAGCCGGCCCAGACCGACACTGGAGAGGCCGCCTCCAAGTATCTGAAGGTAGCGATGAGCCCTTGGCAGGCGCCATAGACCAGCCTATGGAATCCTTCTGGAAAACAGCCGTCCGCAAATACACAAGTTGCAACCTCACCAACGGCAGCGACAAGTTGATCGCCATGTGGGGTATCGCGAAGCTAGTACGAGACGCTCTAGGCGTTGAATACGCTGAAGGCCTGTGGCAAGCAGACCTAGAAGACCAGCTATCATGGCACGTCGCCGAATGCAAACTGCTGAAGCGACCCAGTGAATGTCCGGAATGGAACCTAGCCAGAAATATCCCTTCCTGGTCCTGGGCATCCATGGACGGCGAAATCGTGGTCCCAGACCGCATGTCCGACAAACCACACTACAGAGTCACCGACCATAACGGCCGGCCCATAAAAGTCAACATAAAAGGCAGGCAGAGTCTTACACAAGCTATAGCTAGCAGAACTGTCCCTCAAGCCCCGCCCGCGCCTGTACGCGTGCGAAGTGATTCCGGAGCAGAGATCCAGCGTCGAAACGTGCAGTCGCGCAAAGAGCATGGGGACCTAAGCGGAGAAAAGGAATTCCACAAAAGCGTTGTTCCCGAGAAAATAAATGATGACGAGGAACCCAAACTCGTCAGCCAATCGATCCGGATCCAGGGACGCATTGGCCGGGGCAGACTGGAGGGTAACGACGCGGGCGACAAGTGGACGCTGCAGGTCCGCGGTACTGCGGATTTCGAAATCGAAGCATTTCCCGACACGGTTCCTAATTTGAGGGATCCGGTCGACGTGTGGCCGTTTTATGTGGTTTTGTCTGCGAAACAAGTCTATATCCCACAGTCCTTTTTGAGCAAGGTGTCGGAACCACAGCATATACAGAGGAGAGATACGAACAGGGATACCCATCGGCTTGCGAGTATCGATGAGTTGGTAGAGGCTGAACCGGAAGAAGAAGTCGATTATGCAGGGCATGGCATCTTATTGAAACCGACCGGTGGAAACCACTTCCGTAGGACAGGAGCTTTTCGCTTTGCGCATGCGAGTGAGCGTGTCTTTCAGATATTGCAAGGACAGGAGAACTGCAGATTTTGGTTGGACTAGTCGGCAGTGACTGGATGCAAGGCGATTGGATAAGAGTTTACTTTGTACATTCCATTTTACTCATAGTACCTGTTCACTATCCCATCTTCACGTTCCTGATATCGAAAATGCTTAAACTAAGCCATAACCCATACTGGGCCGATACAGGCAACTGTCTACGCCAGTAGCGTCTACTTGCCACGGGTGTAGGTCGAACCGCCGTTGCCGTTGTTGTAGTACGTAGAACCCTAGTACGACGTCAGTAAAGCCCCAACCACAGTGTTCGTCACATCTCACGTTCGGGTTGCTGTAGTAGTAGGAGCCGTTGGTGTTGGAGTAGTGGTAAGAGTTGGGGTTGGAAGCACCAGAGCCGTAGTCACGAGAGCAGTAGTGGTTACCCTGGCAAAACTACATCAGTACAGACGCGCAAGCATGGGAACTATGTCAAAGTCTCACCTGGCTGTTGGTACCGGAGCTGGTGACACTGTAGCCCTTGGAGCCGGAAGAGGCGTTACCGGAGTTCTGAGAAGGCATTGTGAATGATCAGGTATAATCGGGTGTTGCAGTTGATTTGTTCAGACTGTTGAGCGATTGAATTGAATCTGGGCGCAAGATGGGCGGAAGGAGACATATATAAGGGGAGAGGGACGCTGCCGCAATGACCCGTGACCCCGCAGCAACTTCCAAGCTTGGTTTGTGTTTCCCCTCTTTCAGGGTAGCGACATTTGCTACGCGGAACGCTACCGCTCGATTCGGTATCGCGCTTATCACGTTATCGCGTTGTCACGAGACATGGGGATCGCATGGGTAGTACGATCAGAGTTTGAGCAAAAATGCATGCTAAACCTAGTTGTACGCGTTGATAGTTCACAATTGCATAATATATGCTGCACTTGTGAGCCTGAGCAAGATCAACATTGGCACAGTTACAGGATAAAATTGGCACAGCGTTTCATGATTTTGCATATACTATGACATGGGAGTGCGGAACAAGTCAAGCCATGGTATCATTCCCTTTGCCGTCGATGCACATTACGCACGCAGAAACCAGTGATTCCAGTGTCGAGCAACAGCTTGCTCATCGACACTCACCCATCTCGGCCTATAGACCATATACATCGAGCCCTTCGCCTGAACGCCTGTATCCGTATCATCAGCACCCATGCTGGGGATCTCAACGCGCAACGCCGATTTCGTGCTCCACAGGTCGTCTCAGAGAATATCCATTACGTGTCAGCTCCTCCAACTGTATCGTAGCCTCGTGCTGTTGCCTCTTCTTTTTCATCCTGAACCAAACGACAAACAAGACGAAGCCAACCACAATTGACAGCCCGACTGCAGTAACAATGACCAGGATGATAACTGTCTCAGGCACAGATCGTTGCTTCCTAGAGCTACCCGGAATGGGTGTTGGAGTGGGGGCGAACACACTCATTGGTGTGTCTCTGGCGGTTGTGTGGCGGGTAGGTGATTGGTAGGCAGCAGTGGCTTGACAGGGCGGCGTGAAGTTGCGATTGGGTTTGAAATAGCACACTGCTGATACTACGCTACTTGCTCTATCGACCTTTGCTGTAAATGGTGTAGGTTGAACGTGGATGTCGTGGGCGCAGGCGGTAGCGTGTCCGTCCAGATGAGTGCCGGTCCGTTGACAACGACGACGCCGCGTTCTCGAAGGCGCCTCCAACGTGCCTTGCTGCTCAGATTGTGGTAGCGGATGTATGCAATGGCGAGGAAAGTTTCGAAGAGAAGAATGCCGACGACGACTAGAATGATGAAGAGTTGGGTCTTGTCAGTCGAGTCGTGTTGACTGTCTCTGCGGGTAGTCGCTGTCAGGATGACAGGCATGTTGGGGATGGTGTGAGACGCGGTGAACAAGAGTGGATATGGCGCTTATTAGCGAGGTGAGAGGTGATGTAGAAAGCGATTTGCGCGATTTTCCGCAGAGAAAGTCGTACAAGTGGTGAAAGTGAGTCCCTCGTCTCCCGGTTATACATCGAGGCCACACTCCTTTAGTCCGCCTCTCAAACTAGCTCGAGCCAATCGTGATACAGGCTAGAGAAAACTTCATATCCAGAAATCTCTCCAGATCTCCTTGCACTTTGCGTAGTTTGCCACGGGCTCGTCTGCCGCACACGTGTAGTGCTTGTGAGCTTTTATCTTTGCTTTTATACTACGGCTTTCGACTGTACAATCTCTGCTTCTATGCCTGAATGCCTTCGAAGATTGCATTTCATACTCTGCAAGTGTGGGTTTCGGCGCGGAAATCAGACGAAGGATTGTCCACAGGGACTTCACGAAAATGAATACTCCACGGAAGTGCAGCATGGTGTTGCATCGAACAAATGAAATAACGCAAGATTAAAGAAGAAAGCTCGGTTTTAGGGTTGTCCATGTTGTCAAATGTATTGCACGCTTTTCTCTTAACGTGTTGGTATGCAGGGCGCGGGAACATGGTTCAAAGAGACACCGGCACCTTCACCCTCCGCTGAACAAAGAAGCTTATTGAAGGTAGGGAACCCAACTAAGAAAACCTAGAAAAAGAAAGAAAATCGTGACAGTTCTGCTCGAGTAATCACACACGCATGCCGACGAGATGCAGTCCCTGAAGGATCCAGTCTCATGTACAATAGACCCAGCCCCCGCCCTGTGCTCCCTGTTACTCAAGTATATTTCATTCCTCTTCTTATGAAACTTTTTACCGAGTCTCCTTTGGTCGAGTCTCTTTCGTTGAAGGGTAGAACAGGTGGGCTGTGCAAAGTATGCGCACCTGCGCCAGTGCTGGTTCATCATTGCAAGGGCTCATGTAGGTGCACTTGCCTGCCGTACAACCCGGGCAGTAGCTTTGGGACCTTCGAATCTCCTCACAGTCAGCATATCTCCTCCATCTTCAATTGTAAGTTGTCTGACAAATCCCAGCCTTACCATCACCTTCCTACGCATTCGAAATCAACGCATGCGCGCCTTCCCTACTCCCTTACACCAACCACACAGCCTTGTAAACACGATCAAAACCACACAAATGACGTAAAGAAGCAGCCCATAGTTGATGGCTAGAAGCACCAGGTAGCCGAGTCCAAAAAGATTGTCGCGTGTACAGAGACCGGGTCCGATGCCCAGATATTGGATGGCGGGTTCGATGAGCTGCGCAATGGGTGTTGGACAGTCATGGAAAGAGGGTGTTTCATCGAATGGGCTGCGATTCCTGAGCTGGTGGGGATATGGTCGGTCGTGTGGTGGCGGCATGTTGTTTGATGAGGCTGTAGAGGTGGAAGAAGAAGAAGAAGAAGAAGAAAGGCAATGGGTGTGTGTGTGTGTTGTGCTGATAGGGAATTAGAAGGTTTCTCTCTAGATTAGAGACGGAGGTTGGTATGCAAAAATCAAGGTTACGTCATGCCATGTTACACGAAACGCGGTCCATACGCAGGGCCCAATCCGAGGCTGCCTACATGTTAGGCTTACTTGAAATCGTATCATAATGCGACGCTCCCAATTTCTGCATTCCCTGCCTTGTCACGTTGGCAACATTCACAATTTCTTCAATTAAATTTCGAACTCACTCTGCTCCCCTTTCCTCTCCCATGCATCGCCCTCGTATTGACCTTGTTCTTAATCCAAAACACCGCATGGTCCCGCATAGACTTCGACTTCACAGTTGTTGTATCCCGCTCTACCACCCCTCTCTAGAACCTGCTTCCATGAAGTGCTTCCATCTTCACCTTTCCCGAGGAATACGTATACCCGTCCGTGCAATACCGGCATTCCCTTGTGACGTGTGGCTCAGTGCCACCTTTTGCGCCGGTGATGAAGCATTCGGCGAGCTAGGGAGCTGGAGAAAACGTTAGTGAAAGCTGAAAGTTTTATTGTGGCATACAAAAAAGTGATGCTTAGAGGAGTTCGGGTAGTGTAGGCTTACCTCAAGACGACGAGTCTTTCTAGATTTCACAGGCGAAACAATGACGAAGCGCGATAGGGCTGACACACCACCTGGATCATGCAAACCACTACGTCCGAGGAATCACAAGACGAGACTTTTTGATGAACGAGGCTGTGCGAAAAATTACAAATGGATGTTGTGTAGAGAAGCTATAACAGAAAAGACTTCAAGGTTGACTGATTTATATACACGAAGGCATACGTACTCTACATTGAAAAGAAACTACACTGAAAATCTGACCAAAAAAATCATTCTTGTCTAACTATGTTCTTTCTCTTTCTGCTCATGTTCTTGATTTTGTTTCTGCTCTTTTTTCTTTGCAGGCTCGTTTTCACCTACTGCTGCGGAATCCTTTGCATCCCCAGCGCCATTCTTGCCCACTTCTTTCTGAGGCTCTTTGTTCTCTCCTTGTGCAGGTTTCTTGTTCTCTCCTTGTGCAGGTTTCTTGTTCTCTCCTTGTGCAGGTTTCTTGTTCTCTCCTTGTGTAGGTTTCTTGTACTCTCCTTGTGTAGGTTTCTTGTACTCTCCTTCTGTAGGTTTCTTTTTCTCTTCTGTAGGTTTCTTGTACTCTTCTTTTTGAGGCTTTTTCTCTTCTGTGGGTTTCTTGTGCTGTTCTTTCGGAGGCTTTTTGTTCTCTACCTCTGTAGGCCTCTCCTCCTTTGGAGGCTTCGGCTGCTTCTTCGGTCCTTTTAGAACCGGCGCGTACTCTTGCTTAGGGGGTTTCTTCTCATCGTTGCTAGCATGCCCGAGATGATCCCAGTATTGTTTAATCTCCGCCGTGATGTCCCTCGTTACACCAGTTTCCCAAATGTTCCCAGTCTCTGCCAGCAGATCATACCAGTCCAACATGATCTTCTCCCTTTCATTATTTCCTGCGAAGTGTAGTACAAAATCTCCTCTCCTCACACGCCATGACTCCAGGTTCGGCCTCTCCACACCTGAAATGTAGGCAGGGACGCTCTGATCTCCATCCGGGTATAAGTTGAACCAATGTTGCGGAACAATGGCTTGATGGTCCTTCCATTCAGCCGAAGAAAGGACTAACTGCATGGCGGTTTGCTCCGCGAAACCGAGATCTACGTCTGGATAGTATAGGGGGTATGCCAGGACAGCAGAGAAGAACATGGATGACCATTTGTTCACTCGAAAAAGAAAAACACCGGCGTTTAGACCGTTCATATCGTGGTTCGTGATGATGTGGTACTTGTCGAATTCGGGACTGTTTGGGGGCAAGAAGGACGATAGAGGACGGCATGCATCGAGGACGATGGCGTCGCGATCTATCCACAAGATCCACTCTAGCCGCTCATCTTCTGGCTTGAGTAGCTCAGTCAGAGTGAGATGCTGGAGGTAGGCGATCTTGTTCCAGGCGCCAGGGGCGAGATCTTCGCAAAGGACATGCGCTGATGTTCCGTGAACGGCTGCATGGAACATTTGGGTTTGGATCGCACCGTCGTATGCGGGGATGCGTTTGCCCGTTGATATAGTTGCCAAAGCGACGCGACGGCTCTCTTCTGTGGGAAAGGGTGCGTGCTGGGAGCATGATGCTCTGCGTTCGAGAGCGAGTTGCTTGTGCTGGTCGTCAAAATCCGGCATGCATTGTGCAGTTCCGTAGGATAAGTGTATCTTGTTCCAGTCGATGGCTGGAGCAGCATCGCCGGTATGTTCTGGTTCAGGTTCAGCAGGTTGGATGGCTGGAGCAATAGCACTGTCGTCATGTTCTTGTTCAGCCTCAGCAGGCTGGATAGTTGGAGCAGTAGCATTGTCGGTATGTTTTTGTTCAGCCTCAGCGGGTTTGATGGTTGGTGCAGTCGCATCGTCGGAATGTTCGTGTTTAGGCCCAGCAGGTCGCGTCCCTGTTATCGAAGTTATTGTATTGTCGCCTAGCAATAATGTTGCATGTTCCTTGATGGTATCCTTCAACCATGACTTGGTGGGGACGTCCAGGTCCGATGTCTTCCATGGTAGTTCATACAGAATTCCCAGAAACAACAGAGCTATTAGAACTTTGGGTATAAAGGCAGCGGCGCGTAACATCGTGAGAGATGCCGCATATATCTGATAAAGAGAATGAAAAGAATGGAATTGTCCCACACGTGCAGGCTGATGCAGGAAATTGAAGAAGTGGGGGGTATAAGACCCCGACGTGCTGGAAACGACGAGATGAGCATCGAACAGGGAGAGAGATAAAGGACAGACATCGTATCTAGAAACAACGAATTGAGATAGATCCATGCGCGATTCTCGGCAAACCTAGTCAATCGTGTGCATGTATGTAAGACAGCCACAACCGAGGATGAGGCATGGATTCTGTATGTAGTTCGGCATCAGTTGCATCAGCAGCTCGTAAAATCCTACGACAAATGACAGGGAGACGCAGGGATGCGCTGTTCAGACGGGTCAGCAGCTGCAGAGACGAGTAGCACCGAGGATGTTTGTTGATATACTCCAACGAACCTCTGAATACACAGCCCTTGCTTTCCAGCTGCTCAAGTAGCATGTGTAGGGATCTCGTAGCATCATGAAGGCCGAAGATGTCGAACACGAGAGAGTGGAGGGAGTGTAGGAAACAGGGATGTGCAATTCTAGAAAGTTGAAAATCAGCGTAAGCTGTAAGCTGATGGACAATTGGCCGAGTCGCCGGCCGTGTATTGGACGCTGGAAGTTTGACATTGCCAATGAAACTGAAATTGTCGGCGAACGTTTCCCGTTGCAGTTATGGTCTGAGTATCACATGGGCTGCTGCATTTTGGTGACTTCTTGGCTGAACAATCGTTGGAGCGCAATAGAAGTTTATTTTGCGGTTGAGTTCCCGGTCGTATTGGAGGGGTAGCAGCGTGCGTCTTACGGAGAACGTTTTGCAGTGTGCATGGTGATCGTAATTTCGAACATTTCCCGGCTGATCCCCAGAGACTTGCTCTCGACTGCAATATCTAGATATGTGGGCTGATCGGAGGCCAGGATGAGATTGATGCGCCCTTGGAGCCTTAGGTACCTGCCTCCTATCTCAGATCTATCCATATCGGTACAGTCAGCGCTCGGCTACCCTGGAGGCTAGGGCTATGTACATGAATCGAAATTTCAAATTCGCGATCTGCATCCGTTCGGCACCTGTGAAGTTGCGGTCACCAAACTGGCATTCTCACAACTTCCGGCCCGCCCTTCGACAGGTTGGAGATGCTCTGACTTCGATCCCAGACCTAATAGTGTTACAGCGAGTATAGAAGAGCTGAAGATGGTAGCTTTGCTTTTGCTTTCGGGTAAGGAAACAACGGTCGTGAAGGGAGTGCACGGCATGGCACTACTGTAGTGGATACTGGTATTACCGGTAAGTTACCGGTCGGTACCGACGCTAAGCCAAATCAGGGATGCACCCCCTGTCCAGGTGCCGCGACGCAATTTGGCTCTTCGGCACACACTCTCTTACCTACAGAAGCTTGCTTGTTAGCAGCCCGATATGTTTTGAGTGTGACACGGGTCCACATACAGGCTAGATTCATGACCTTCGCAAGGTCTGCGCAAAGATCTAAGCGTCCCGGTTTCGGATAGGAGAATATGCATATGCAAGATCTGTCATGGCATCTGCCTATGGGGCCATGTAAAATATATCAATAGTAAAGATATATGTCTCGTTGATTATCGCGTGGCACATTCTGTGTTAATTGAAGGCGCCACGGCAAGCAAATGTCTTTAGAATGATATGTAGAAGCATTCAGATTCTGGCGAACAGATTTCTGAAAGATATCAATCGGTTGCGTTGACGCTGGGGTGGTTCGTTTACAGTTTTAAACTCAACTGATTGTCTGATAACTTCAATGAGTATGATAAGACAACTCAAGAAGTTTGTAATTTTCTCCTGACGACGTTGTCTGAAGGTTAGTCGCGCGATATCTCTACCGAATTTAATCGAGTGTAGCTGATCATCGTAAACAGGGCTTTACCGAGATCGGGGGACAAACCAAGAGGTTGACTGCCGCAGGACCATCTGGATTTTGGCAAGCAATCGTGGCAACGAGAAGATCGCATCGTTTCACGAACTGAACGTAAAGAAACTCACAGACAAGGAAAAGCTGACTACTGGTCTTGAGCCCCTTGTGAGCAGCCTTAGGGACACATTCCGAGAAATATGGGGTGTATGGACCTACCTAGTGAAAGTAGCAAAAGACATGGAGCTGACTCTTTCAGGATCCCTTTGAATCACGCATTGACGAAGTGATACCTTTCTTTCCGTTCTCGCTCGGGGAACAGGCCGTCGTGGCACACAAGTTTTTGCGCAGAATCGCTGCAGAGGTACGCGAAAAGATTGACTTACGACCGGAAACAAGGCGACACATTGGTCAATGCCATATCTCCCTCCAGGATGATAGCAAGACCTGCAGCCATATGGCAGGGCGAGGCTACAATCGCACCTCCGGGACCTGTGGGCTCAGCCGAGAAGCAATGCGCGTGAGCCAGATGGCTCGCGACGTGTATACCAAAATTCCTGGACGTGTGACAGAGCGGTTGAACGAGAAACCAGTAGAGAAGTTGGAAGTGAGACTAATGCCGACACCCAATAACGGGCAGAAAATCGGGGTGTTTCGAAAACAGGGTGGGGAGCGGATGGATGAGGCAACACAGCTTAAGAAGCCTCAAGACTCATAGAGATTTTTTTTACACGATAGGCCATCCTAATTAAGTAGATACCAGACATCGGGATGGCCGTGTATGCACCGCGATGTCGAATGCCGCTCGCAGTGATATCATCACGTCGCTTAGCGTCTCCTAGTTGGGCTCCTTTATTACACAAAACCATGCTAACCCTTCCCGAGGTCTGCTTCAGCTTCATTGATCAGCCATCTCAGTGCCGTGGTGCCTTTGGCCATCTTTTGCCTATCTCTATACAAACGTGTCCGGAAGTCGATAAGTGGGGCTCTCACGACGGTTTAATCTCGTTAAGGCAGGTAGCGTCGATCGCGCCTAAAGTACTGCGATGATGCGATGCCCAGCCAAAACATCGTGATAAAACACCTCGAAGATTGTTCTTTATATAAGTGTGTGTAGAGGCAGATTGGATAGTGGAGCATCGCAGCAGTTTCCCCAAGATATAAGAAAATGAGGCTCACTACGTTCTTCTCCACTGCTGCACTCGCAGTCACGGCCCTTGCAACTCCTACATACGGAACAAACGGTACCAATACAACATACATCGGTCCTGAAAATGGCCATCTAGTCATCGTAGGAGGTAACCTACAAAGCGAGAGCATCTACCAGCGCATCATCTCCCTTGCCGGCGGCCCCGGCGCACCTATCGTTGTTGTTCCGACCGCAGGCGGTGACCCAACATACGACCAGAACTTCACTACAGCGGCGTCTTTTCGCAAGTATGGAGCTACCAATGTAACGGTACTTCATACCTATGATCCTGCCGTCGCTGATACCGATGCATTTATCGCGCCATTGCTCGAAGCAAAAGGCATCTTCTTCGCCGGAGGCAGGCAGTGGCGACTCGTGGATGCTTATGCGGGGACCAAGACTGAGGTGGCCTTCCAAAAGGTGCTGGATGCTGGGGGTGTAATCTCCGGATCTAGTGCTGGCGCGAGCATCATTGGGAGTTTTCTGGCTCGTGGGGATACGGCGAACAACACAATCATGATTGGTAAGTCCCCTGAGTTCTCGAAGATTGTCGCGTCTGGGATGAATGGCTAACGATGGAATGGCAGGTGATCATACTGTTGGTTTTGGATATCTTAAGAACTCTGCCATCGACCAGCATGTTTTAGTCCGCAATAGACATTTCGACATGTTTGAAATTATAGATGCTCACCCAGAGTTGCTCGGTCTGGCGATAGACGAAGACACTGCGTTGGTGGTGAACAAGAATGAGATGGAGGTGATAGGGCGCACGTACGCTTTGATTTACGACGGTGGTTTTTGGTCCAGGGAGGGGAGCTGGGAACGGCCTCTTCCACCCTCCAATGCGAGATTCTACTTTTTGAAGGAGGGAGATAAATATGATCTTGGGACGAGGAAGATGATTGAATCTTAGATTGCCGGAAGAACTAAAGTAGTTGTTGGAGCATCGCAATCGTTGCTTCCTGTACCTAAGGACGTAATTGTGCTTTCGAATCCGGTGATAGTGTCGCTGATTCCACATCGCAGACTGAGCGCGAGAGCTCAAATCAACTGTCGCAAATATTCCCACGACCATGAATATGGTCGAAAGCCCTAAGCAGTCCAAATAAATGCGCTATGCCAGCGCAAATAACCAGACAATGCATGATCTGATGGCTCGAGCCCCAGATATCGAATCGATATGGGTACCACTTCTCAGGAATCTAGAAACTGATCAGTTTTCCAATTCCCTAGCCGTATTTCTTTGGATGTTGTCTACTTACCCTCATAGCATATAGCGCACCGCCCGTGAGGTTAAAAATCGTCATCAAAGCCATCCAATCGAGACTCATCCTCCACATCTGCGTTTCCCAGCCGAATTTCATGATACCATGGATAATGGGAATGATGAAAGACAATCCCAGACCAGCGTACATGATTGCACGGTAGGGTCGATATTTGGGGCGTCGAAAAGCGGGATGCAGCGTTGCGTAGACACAGCCGGCTGCTAAGACTGAAACCAGCGTGTAATATATTTTCTGGAGCGATGGAGTACAGTAAAAACCGTAGTATACGCATGGTATAGTAGATCCCCACATCAAAATGACGATACCCAGCTAAGATGATTAGTCAATGATTGGAAGCGGGACAGTGGAAGTGCCTACGTAGTCCAGCTGATTACCGAAAATATGGACGTTCTCGCTGTGATTGTTGAAGATATGAAAACTGTAGTTAAAATTGGTCATTGCCGATATAGTAGCTGGTGGGGTAGTCGTACGTTGCTGAAAGCGCGAAGCAGATAGCGACACCGAAAAAGAACGTTGAGAAAACGACAACGTCTGCTGTGTTTGCTGCATTGTATATCGGCTGTAACGTGTAGTATACGGGTATAGGAAGCGTGAAGAATAGCATAGAGCCGAGCAAATGCGAGAATATATTGACTTGAATCAATCAGCCGGAATACTGGCATATCGGAAGCGGCAGTACCTGTTTCATTGTGGATACCTAGAATGCTCTCAAACGATCGTTTATACGATTTAGATACCGCACTAAATTTATATCATGTTGGTATTAAGCATGGGAGTATTACATGTTTGATACGCACCGGTAGCTCGACAGTATGTACTCGTTGTCTCTTGGTTCTGATAAGTATTATCGCGTAAGGTGTAGTATTAAGATCGGCCTTACTGATACCATGATGCTGTAATGCCAATCAGTGTGAATCCATTTCATCAATGATACCCATGCCTACGAATTTCGTCCCATGTCAATAGGGAGCTTAGGGATTTGTTCTTCATTCGGTCGTCTGGAGCAGCCTTGGAAAGGTAAGCCGAAGGTTCGATAGACGACGGGAACTCACATACTCTCCGCTCTGCGTTTATGGTGGAAGATTCTTTCCGGGATCGAATACCCATATCATCCAGCTAGTATTCGCAGTTTGTTGATACTAAGAGGGATGTATTTTGTGAGTTTGAGCAGGGCGGCTACGACAGCGGGGACTAGTGAGGAATACCGGTAGGGAAGGTGGATGCACGGATCACTTGAAAACGCACCTTGATCACTCGCATCCTTCAATGCCTCACTCCAAGCGAATAGACTGACGTCTATCCCGAAGATATCACCCAATATAGCATGGATAGTGCCATGGAATTGAAGGATCTAGGGGCCGTTTGCGCGCGCATTTTGAGGTCATGCCGATATCTCAACGCCACCTGTTTCAGAGCTTTGCGGTGCAGTAGAAGAACCTGCATCAGGGTGCGATCACCAACTGTTCATTCGTCAAGCTTCAAGCGGATATGCGTCTTTGGAGTTCAGATCCTCACAACTTCCGTCGGACTGCGCATACAGTTTCGGCCGACGGCTGATACGCTTATCGGGAGGCTTGCGCGTGTCTGTCTTGCCGCCCCCAGTGGGAGCTACTGCGCAATGGAGGCACAGTAGAAACCACAGGATACCAGCACGATAGTATAAGCGGGAGGTCCCGTAACCTCGAATTATGCTCCGATTACTGGGCCTGGAGCCATCATCGTCGACCATGTTGTCAGGCACAACCACCGTGAACTTCGTTTTCGCATTTGTTAGCAGTGTTTTTGTGATGGGCACCGGTACAGTAAACACGACAGATACCATAGGATTTGTGGAAGAAGACAACCAACGCGACACCATCTCTCTACTCATCAGTTGCTTCGCCACCCTTGGTCTATGCGTCTACTCAGCGGTACATTTGAACGTACCGCGCAAAGCTGAAGGCAGCTACCGAACACTGCTCCGAGAGTTTCAGTGGTGTGTGCTTGGCTTATTTGCGCCTGAGTTAATACTCTACACCGCTTGGAGGCAACTGGCTTCTGCACGCCAGTTACGATACGAAATCGAGCAAGTATCGAGAGAAGAGAGCGTTGGGACAGGCTGGAATGAGAAGCTAAACCCAGCAATTCTTCTGCAAGAGCAGCACTGACTATCAATAGACGACGGTAATAACTGGGGGAGATGCTCCCAACACACCTAAACGTGCCCCATGGACTATCGCGCACGGCTTCTATGGTACTATGGGAGGCTTCGCAATCGACCTCGACGATCCCCATGATCAATACAAGCCTCTATTTGGCGGCTTCAAACGCCTCACATTAACTGCCCGCGGTGTTGTGCTACTCACGAAATGCGGACACCTACCAGAAGTCTCGCTTCATGATATTCAAGACAAGAACAAGGCTGATGGCCTTGCTAAGCTACTCGTATGTGTCCAGGCGGGCTGGATGATTGTACAAGTTATAAGTCGAGCAGCCACTGGTCTACCGACTACACTGCTCGAAGTCCACGTGGTGGCTCATGTCGTCTGTGCCTTGATAATGTACGTTCTGTGGTGGCACAAACCTTGCCAAGTCGAATCGCCGACCGTCCTCAAAGGCGAGTGGTTGTCATTGGCTGCGTACATGTACCTAGCAAGTCGAATGAGTGGTGAAAAACCATCAGGCAGATTTTCTCGTTTTCGCTCAGCTACTCCTGAGCTCGCGAAGCTTGCCTATTTCGGAGGGGGAGAGGCATCCGACGACGGTCATCGTCATGACACTGTATTTGCTGTAGACGGTCGATTTGGTCTACGACCAAGTAGCCAGCCGTCTGAACGCGATCGCGGGCCCATGTCGCCTGCACCGGACATGGAATTTACCTCGGAAGTAAGACGTCTGGCAGCGAAAGCCGTCGGACTCTACCCATATCTAGAAGCTTCACTCACCCAACAAACCGATGCGAACGTTCAGCAATATTCACTTCTCTATGTGGGCGAGCTGGTGCAGCCAAATGCCCTTGACTGGCCTAACGAAGGCCTGTTACGAAGCACCCAGTCTCTAATTATGGGTATGGTACTCTGGGGTGCGTCGATGGCGTATGGTGCCATTCACGTCGCTGCTTGGGACTATTTCTTCCCTACCGCACTGGAACAGCTATTTTGGCGGATGAGCTCCATCTGGGTGACGTTCTGTGCAGCCTTCTGGTTAGTCACCAATCTCTTAGCTCACGTTTTTCCTGTCATCAATAGGGTCTGGATTACATACAATAATCGACAATTGGGGTGGTTAAGTACTGCAGTTATCACACTATTGTGTGTATTGTGCGGGGTAAGTTACATATTAAGTCGAGGTTATATCGTGGTGGAGGCTTTTGTCAGTATAAGGAAGGTTCCAAAAGGCGTGTATGAGACACCGGCATGGTCACAGGTGTTTCCACATCTGTGATTATGAATCGATGTTTGCGAGGCAGAACTAATCAATATCAATATCTCTGCGGCACATCTTCTTCAAAGAAGCTGGTGGCGCATAGAAAGAACATTGAGACAACACAACTGGTGTAGAGAATGGAAGACAACTGTGATGCAGCGGCATGATGAGGGTCACTTAAGTTACTTACAGCCGCGCGACTCTTGACGCCGCATGCATCATGCAGCCGTGCTCCAATTAGCATAGCACTTTTCTTCGACAACAGCAAGGGCGGAAGGCAAATGCGAAGCATCTATTAATGGATTCAGCAGAGGGTTGAGATGACAAAAGATGTCATGGTATGTCAATCGTGCCTCGGCATCTTTCGGCTCCACCAGGAAAGAGGAGCGGAGCGGAGGAAGCCGACGGTGATGCAAGCAACAATGCCGTCTTGTCACTCCAGGCCCGGCTTCTTCATCCTCACTACTTCAAACCTAATTGCGCATCCAGGATTCAAGTACGAATTCGAGCTATTCAATTTCGTCAATCTGTAAAAGCATAAAACATTACATCACAATGTCCTCTCCCTTCGACATCATGGCAATCCTTACGCCCAAGCAAGGTTGTCAGTAATCAATATCTCATCAATATTGTTGTTTGATTTGTTTGATTCGGAGCCAACCAACTAACCAACAGTTAGCCACTGTATTTCTGTCAATCAATCAACCAATCTTGAGAACAAAATGTTGATAGGATTGGTGTTGTTTGATAGTAAGCGAGGGAGGGGGATACCTAGGTGAGGCCTCTGGGATAGCTGCTCAACGACGAATTCTTAGTGTTGGATCTTGCTTACTAAGCCTACTCGCGTGTAAGTTATATGACCTAGGTTCCATCCCATCTCTCACTCACTCCAGGCTAGTACGTACGAGGCTTAGCGCCCACAACGCTAGCTGGCAGAGACATAGATCTCAATTCCTGTAGCACAATACACAACACGATTCACACATGTTCTATTCCTAGTGCTACTGACATCAGGCTTATAACATTTAACAACACCTTACTTTCTCGCGGCTCCGGCTTACTTTTAGCCTTATCCATGCCCTCTATACCAGCAAAACGCAAGCCCGAGGCTGCCGAAGAAGCTGATACTCCCTTCAAGCGAGCACAACGTACGCGCAAACCTACGCTCAAAGCGCTGTTGGGTGACGGCAGCCAGCCAACCCAGCCGATAGAGCTGCCAGAAAGTACGCCGGATCCGCCTACAGAGCCGCCTACACAAGTTATCGAGCCGCCCACACGGGCTATTGAACCGCCATGTAAGCCTGTACAACAACCCGAGGAGCGCCCTCGGCGGGCATCACCACTGCCTATTTTGGCTGCCTCACAAGCCTCTCGGCTCACTGATGAGCCAGCCTGGGAGTCGCAGTTAATGTTTGATAAGCCAGAGGACTCTATTGTACAGCCTTTAGCTTTCTCTAGCGCTGCCACTGAGGCTTCGGTGGAGGAGGATAGCGCTGTGAGCGTCGATTTTCGCGACTTTGAGGGCGTCGATTGGTCGCGATTAAAGGGGTTTGTCGCGCCGCTGAGCACTCCACGAGGCAAGGCAAGCTGGATTTTTCAACACGGCTGGCGTGTCTGGAAGGAGGGTACTCACCACCCAGATGAGTTGTACTTTGTGTGCAAGTACTGTCATATTCATAAGCTACCTAATGGTGTACACCGAGTAACGAAGTCAACCACTGC